GCAGGTGATTTCAATAATGATGGAATTTCGGACATTGTCGTTAATCCCACTTCAGGATCTGTTGTTCTTGTCTTAGTGGGATATGGTGATGGCAACTTTGATACCCAACTGGTGTTCTCCACTAGACTGAGTGGTAGTTACGCTTGGGTTGTTCCTGCAGATTTCAATAGCGATGGTTGTCAAGATATACTTGCTTCGGATGACACGGCTGGCGCTGTATTCGTTTTGCTGAACACCTGTGCATGCCGAACAAAGAGTACGACTCTGACGACTACATCGATGCATCCTTAGTTCTTATCAATTATCTTTTTATTAATCAAATTTCTGAGTAGTTCATCGTTGTTTTCCTGCGAACTATTTTACCAAGGCTTTACTAGTCCCATAGCTTGTAACACTCTTTCAAGTTTCCACTCCTATCCTTTCCATTTTTGGCCTAATTAGAATCTCTATGTTGTCTATGGGTTTGTTAAATAAAGCTGGAAACTAAAGTAATTGACATCAACGAGGCAATCGTGATAATCACAAAACCGCGTTTCAACTAAAACTTCATAGTTATTAACATCTGTACAAAGAGAAGCTCGATCGAAGTGCACATTCACTGAAAAGATTTCCCTATAGTGTGGTGTAGGGCGGCGATAAAATTTATTTTATTCAATGGTAAAATACTTAAAAATTCTTTGCTACTTCATTCATTTTATCAAGGACAATATTTGCGTGTTTTTCCGTGAAAACTAATGCAGGACGAAAACGTACAGCAATATCTCCACATGCCCCCATTTGAATACCTAAAAATAAACGAGAAGATCATCTTTCATATATATAAAACTAACACATACCAGCATTTCTCATTTGAACAAGATATTTATCTCGAATCGATGCATTTGTCATATCAAATGCACAAAATGTTCCGCGACCACGAATGTTGAGAATCAATTGCGGGAATCTCTTACTTAAATCTTTCAATCCAGCCAAAAGAACATCACCTGTTTTTCGTGTACTTTCGATTAAATTTTCTTGTTTGACAGTTTTTAGAACAGCATCGAGAACTAACATTTTTGCTGGTTCACCCATCCAGGTATTAAATATACGATAAGGCTATTGACGTACAGAAAAAAATAATGATCTATCCTGCATTACGAAACAAACCTGTTTCGGTTGATATTCAGCTTTAGCGAAGTAGCCACCGGTTTGGAATTTTTTCGAGAAGGTAACAATATCGGGTGATTCAGGTAGATTGAAATGTTCATGTGCCCAGAATTTACCTGTTGCACCAAGACCTGTTTGTACTTCATCGATAAGCAGTGCTGCATTGTTCTAAATCAAACATCTATTCGTCAGTCATAGAACAGATCGAGACTTCTTCATACTTGTTTGGTAATCTTTTGTAGACGTTGAAAAAACATTGGACTTCCGTGAAAGTCTCCGCCCTCGCTTTGGATCGGTTCCACAACAACTCCAACAACAGGATTATTCTTCGATTTGTACTCATGGAATAGCTCCTCAACCTAAATTAGAGACAAAAGCTTTCCAAAAAAAAAAACCAAAAACGAACGTTCTAACGGAGTAACGTGTAAAATGAGACAAAAGTTTTTACGATCTGTTATTACAAGCGCACGAAACTCACACGAGCTAAACATCTTTCGTCTTCTTTCGCATTCTCTCGTTGGTTTTCTTCCAATGGATATTTGTATCTTGGAAAAGGTGCCGCTGGCCAATCGAAACTTGGAATATCCAGTTTATGAATCGGTTTCGAATGTGTGCATGATAATGCACCTAACAGTATCAAAATGATGAAGTTTTCCATTGATTGACTGAAGCATTTGCTTACCGAATGTTCGCCCATGAAAGCCACCTTCGAAGGACATGATCGAAACGGTCGGACAACCCGGTGATTTGTTGTACATCGATGATTTCAATTCTTCTTCGCTGAATGCTTTGCCATCACGAAGTTTATTCGCATGCCAAATACACATTGCTTTGATGGCGTTTTCATTTGAACACGAACCACACATCATGGGTTGAACATGTTCGAGACCTTTAGGAGCAATCTATAATAAATGAAAAATATTCTTCGCAATCAAAAATCGACTACATGGCGAATACCGGAAGGAGTGTTTCATTGATCTGCTTGATAAATTGAGGTGTTGGATGAACACCAAGTGCCGGTCGATTGACTAGTTGACTCTATTTAGAAAGCACTGTTCTGTTATAGTGAACAGAATTCTATGAAAATCGAACTAAGTTTGCTGGATTTTGAAACACTTTTTGAATTGCTGGATGGTTGTACCCTGCAGAAGATTGTTTTGTTTACACATGACAATGATCATTTCTCGCATACCTAAAGCTAACGAAGCGATTTGCTCATAAACATCTAACATAATATTCCCATCGACATCAACTGCATAGTTTCCAATTGATTTCTCGACATCAAGAACAAATATTGTACTCAATGCATTCTAAATTAATTTGAAAAACAGGCCATCAATCAAGGAATATTTTCACTATATTTACTTGCGTCTTTTCTAAATCATGCATGAACCGCTTCGATTTGGGACCCTATAGTAAATTAATGGAATCAAAATGCTTGTGTTAGAGAAGAAAGCTCGTCTTACGGGAATTTGCGTTTGCATTTTCGGTCCCGATGGTTCTTGGCTAAGAACGCTGTTGCCTGTAATGTCTTAATCATTAATTTCTGCTTCAATTTCTCAAAATTAATCAAACCTCGACATGAAGAACGCGTATGAAGTAAACCGTGGAGTTGGAGAAGACGTGAAGCTCGCATATCTAAATGAGAAAAAAGATGATTTTGTTTTCTATTTCACCTCGACCTCGATGATGGCAACACACAATGATGAATTAGAGAGAAAAAAAGAGAGTATTTCTAATACTGATTTGCTCTCGGCTCTATTTACTTATTGCTTACATATTTTCTCTTTCTCTCGGCTCTTCCCGTCACCATCTTATCTTATCATTTAGTGATTTGGAGAGCAATTTATTTTGTTGAGAACACAAGCGTGAGTGTGGCATTTGGCAAAGTGGAATTTATTGAAATAATTAATCAGAACAGAAAAAAACTACGCTTGTCAAGCGGATCGTAACGTCGATGTAAACCCGACGATGCTAAGAAAAAGAAATCAATCAGTAGTAGCTATCTTCACTAGCGTCATCTTTCAATACAAATCTGATTTGTTCGCAAATTCGTCAAGTTATTTGAAACTAAGAAAAGTAAAGTAAAGTTTGTCATTTTTGTTTCACAAACGACGGTGCCAAAAAGCTGGTAAGTTCTTTATCTTTCAACATATTCATAAATTCTTGTCTGGAAATCTTATCATCGTTATTTAAATCTAAAACAGCCATGATTTCGTACGCTACATACGACACACTGTGTCGTTCACAGTCAATTCCATATAAAATAAATAGCGCATGAACGATCTGATAAACTTCATTGTAATCGATCGTTCCGTCACCATCGCAATCATAAGCGTTGTATAACCATTCGAGTTTTTCGCGTGGGGTACTTGAATTACTATGAATATAAATAGCGAGAAGGAATTCATCGAATTGGATGTAGCCGTCTTTGGACAAATTATCGAATGCACGAAAAATGAACTCCGAGTAGATATCAGATGATGCTGATGGAAGCAATTGTTGATAGAACTCAACAAATTCACTTTTGGTTAAGCAACCTGAATGACAACGCGTGCGAAATGTCTGATAATAGCGAAGAATTTGTTCACGAGTAAATTTCGTACGTTTTATCAAATAGTCGATTTGAATTGCTGTCAGTTCATTTGCTGTTCCAAAGTCGGGAGCTTCCTCTTCTTTCTAGAAAAGAACGAAAAACCTCAATCGAATAGTTTATCCTGCAAATCAATTTAATTTACATTGATATTCCATTTCGTATTACTGAACATTGGAGCTATCAATTCCAGTAAATCAGTGCATTGTTTACATAATGCGATGAATTCTTGACAATTTAATTGTCCATTTTCGTCCTGATCGTGTTTGTTGAATAACGCTTTCAATTCGTTGATTCGACGATTGGTTAATAAGCGTCCGTGAATGTGATAGATCAAATAGCAAAGGTCGAGAAATTCATCAATGTCGATTTGTCGGTCTTCATTCGAATCGTAGAGAAAGAAAACCCATCGTAGTTTCTCGTCGGGATCAGCTTCGGGTAGACTGAGTGCTTTGAAAAAGAGAATTTCTTTAAAATTCAGTCGTCCGTTCTTATCCGTGTCGATATGATTAAACAAACGTTCGAGTAACGGTCGTGAATGGCAGAGGTGTTTCAGTTCATTGGAATATAAGTCACAAAATTGGTCGAATGTCGCGTAGCCGCGCGGATAATAAGTTAAAAATCGGACGTGAAAATCGTTGATTTGCTTCCGAGAGAAATTCGTGTGGAGAGTGATGTAAGTGATTTCTCGTTCGGTTAGTTCTGGACGTTCATTCCGACCAAGATGAATATTACCCATTCTGAGCGACGAAGGGTATAGGTCTGAAGAATAACTGCGCCATACGCGCGATGTTTTCTCTTGTTTTTCTTTTGGAAAGAGAGTTTTCTCGTCATTAAAGAACGAGGAAAAATCGTGACTGATGTCGATACTGTCATGGGTTACGGAAAAACTTGTTTTTATGATTCATACATGTCCGGATCATTGTGTTGACTTTTTGTTTAGATCTATGAACTAATGTTTTTCCTTTTCCGATTGTCAAACGCACCGATATTCTCCTAGTTTCGCTTAAAAAGTAAGGTGCGTAAGTCGAATTGTTTTACTGGTTAGACATTCATTTTTCCAATTTTCTAGATTTGTTTTTCTTTGATATACAAGTCATTTATTGACAACTACATGTTGATATTGTCAATATTAGCTCAGCAAGGATCTTGTGATAATGTCTCGAAGTGTCCGTGATCTACGTGAATTGATTTGTTTATCTCGTTTTGGTTTTCGCTCGGATGACAATGAGTCAGAAAATCCGGCGCATGAATCACAAAATAGCATCTTATTCTATTTTGATGCTTCGCTACTCAACAATTGGCTGCAAATAACCTCATCTCGTCTGGAGAAACTACGTTCATTGACAACTGATTCACTGATTGATTTCATGTTTTTCTGGTTGAAGCAATTCGATTTTCAACATAAACAATCCTTATTTCAAATGGAATTCGAACTCTTTATCGAACATTTACTCTTAGCGTTCACACCCAACGATGTCAATTCCGTTCAAGTCAGCCAATTCGCACGAGAAATCCTTCATGACATCGACAAACAAATTGGACAATATTCGTTAGAGAATGACCATCACTTCCTCCAGATGATCGATATCTTCAGTCGGTATAAACGTGACGAAGAATATCGAAACGTTTTAGCTAATCTACCGAATGAATTAACAGCCAATATCGACAATCGACTGCACTTACAATGGATGCTAGCTATTCGAGCGTTTGGATTAGTTGCGATATGCACAGCAGCAGTAGACTTTTTCGAAAAGATTCAATCAACTCTAGAGCAAAATAGACCGACAGGTAGGAGTCCATGACTTCTTAGAAAAGTGTTTTCAAAACGATTTATTTTCCAGGTGAACGACAATCTTCTCAATCGAATGAACAAATCGCCTTTAATAATTTATCCGAACAGAGAAAAATTCGAATCCTAACTGCTCTCAGGTTGATTGAATCGAGTTTAAAATTTGTCACGACAATAGTCGTTGTCTTGCATGTTTAGAAAAGGTCACATCGAAGTGATTGAATACTTCATTAAAACTAATCAACTGACCGGCGATTCTCTCGATGATCAAAATCGAAATGCTCTCTTTCATTGTTTACCTCTAGGAAATCTACTAATGCTCGAACATTTACTCAAATCAGTTGAGTATTTGCACACATTTTTTTCTCTCTAACAGACTCTTCTTTCAGAATCTTCCCAATCTAAATATTAATTCACTTGCTCAATCTGGCAATAGTCTTGTTCATGTTTGTATCACTCTCCAATCTCTCGAAAGTCTTCAATTACTACTAAAATACTATCCCAACGTCAATTTGAACCAACGTAACCAACAGGACGCCACTCCTCTTCATCTTGCTATTATCTATGATAATCTCGAGTTGATCCGCTTTCTCGTCCAATCAGGTGCTGACGCGAACTTGTCCTTAAAGAACAAAACATGCTTGGCAATGTCAACTGAATTTGGCAATGAATCGTTGATACAGTTTTTCACAAAACCTGTTTGAAAGAATATTTTGTATTTTTATTAGTTATTATTCTTAATATTACAATTATAAGCACGTGAATGAAATACAATAAATTGACAACATCAACAAAAGAAAAATAATACGTAGAAAGAAAGGGAATGTCGAGTGGATATGTTCTGGTGTCTCTCAAAAAGAATTTGATTCTTCGTACTTGATGTTTTTCTTCGTTCGAAAACATGGAAACCAGATGTTAGCTGGCTTTTTGAGATTTTCCGCTTTTTGATGCTCAGCAAATTGAATACCTGATGCAAACAGATTCAGTGCTTGCCGATGGACACGAACTTGAATTTCGTTTCCATTGATTAATTCGCCATCACAAGACCAATTGCCTCCACGTTTTCGACCTGTATTTATTGGACGTATGAGAACTTCACTGACACGATATTTTTCAACATTCGGTAAGTCTTCGATTGTTCGACTATCATTTGCAACTTGCCAAAGAAAGCGAAGAAAACCGGTGCGCCACGAACGTTTAACCAAAATCAAATCAAATGTTCCATCACCTAAACGAATGCCGAATGAAAACATCGATTCTTGCTTCTAAATCGTCATCTTACCTAAATGAACGAATGGCGACATGCCATATTTACTTTTGGCACAACGGCATGGCATGTTAAGACAGTTCACAGTTGTGTATCTTCCTTCACGTTTGATTTGTAAAGATGAATGGACTTTGCCGGGATCAGCTTTTTCTTCGGCGCAGAGTACACAATTACGACTACAAAATGTTACATTAGGTGTAACAATTTTACTAATCGTATCCATTGATTTATTTTTCGAACATTCATCGATTAATGATAGACTACTCGAATTGATCAATCGTTGATAATCTGGTGCAACAGATGATGTTCCTCCGACGCTACTCAATGATGTCGCTGCTTGCGGATGACCGATTCGAGCTGAGTCGTGCGGTGACAATGTTATTGTTAATTCACTGTGATAGGATGTATTACGAACAAACTGACAAAATCCAGCGAGATCGTATCGTAATGGACCGAGACAACGCCACCTATCTGACTGATGTATGATATCACCAAAAAACCCGTATGCGAGCATTGTCGCCATGAAACGAACAAAACCACTTTCATTATGAACCTAAAAGAAGATAGAAAAGGTCATCTTCGAAACGAAAACGAAGCTGTCGCCTTCATACCGTTGTTATATCGATCGGTAACGATTCTCCTGCAATGATTTGCAATGCACTTGTCACCGGATCATTCAAACCTGTCGTTCCGAACACGACCGCATCAGTGGAACCAGCTGGTATAATTCCGATTCGTAAATTCGGTCGAATAATATCCACTTGTGGATCATCAATATTGATTTCTCTATCACGCGCCGTGCGTAACAACAATCCATGACATAGTTCAGCAAACATGCCATCACCGCCGGCACATATCAGACCATCGTATTCGTCAAGTGGCTCATTAATAATATGATCTTGAGCATGATTTGCACGATCGGTGTAGATTGTTTGAACAGCTATATTTGCTTGTTGAAAAATCGGGAGGACTTTCTTATCGTAGACAACACGGGCATGACCTAAAAGATAATATATTTGTTTCTGATAACACGCAGTATATTTTCTTCTCGGCAGTTTTAACTCAAGGCTTGCCCGATATTCAAATCTCTCGGTCCATGACGTCATCAGACAATCAATGCACAATTCGTACTTTTAGTTCGTCAGAGTCGTGAGTGCGCGCCCACTCAACTCGGAGAGCGAGCAAAAAAAACAAGTTGCGTGAGTTTTGAAAAGCTTGTTTGTACCTTTGCCGGATAATGGATTAACAAAGGCTAACAACCGACGTGGTCGTTGTGTTAATGTTGATAAACAAAGATTCAAATTGGCGTACAATTCATTGGCAAGCTCTTCAGTTTCTAATTCTAATTCTAACGTTTTCGTATTCCATCTAATTGAATTGGAAACATCGACATAGTCGATTTTAATTGTTGTTTTGAATAATAGAACAGCTTCACTGTCTTGAGTGGATAATGAAGGAAAAAGACGTCGAAAACTGAATTGTCCACGTTTGAATTTCATTTCGGAATTATTTGAAGATAATGTCACGCGAGTTGAATCTTGAGACTGTTCGAGCGATGGCGTCGTTCTTTCCGACGATGCATTGATAGACGTGGTTGCTTGGAGACTTTGAGAGAAGCTTTTATGAATTTTCCTCGGTGATGATGTCGTTTGTTTAATGTTTAATAAATGATTGAGAGTAATCGTTTCAGGAATGTTTCGAATCGTTCTCTTGTCTTCTAACGATTGAAGATGCAATCGAGTGAACGAAGGTTTTATACACGCAATTGGAATGTCTGTCGCGGTGAAGTCAAGTGAACCAGTTGCAGACGGTACACTTTCTTCAAGAGTGCTCTGATTATCAACATAGATACGTAAACGGTAGAGATCGGCTTTGATAAAACATGTTGTTGAATATAAAATGGACGGCATTGATTGGATAGTTGCAGAGATAAAAATAGTGAATAGGAGTAATCTTTTTTCAATTCAACAGACGATGCAGATGAAGAAAAACAATAAATAAATATACTGGTTTTACATAGGTTGAATGTTCATCATTTGACATGGTTAGAACGACAACAACATTGTATGTACTTGGATGGCTACAAAGACAGATAAGAGAATTTTGTCATATATGCACAGGTAACAATGACAATGTCGATCACGATGTCAACGACTAACCTTTTAGCGCAAGCTTTTAGAGGTAAAGAAATTTTTATCGATAGAAGGGCTTGTCGCTTTACCCAATCGATTTATACATCAATAGTAGGGCGTCGTTCGAAATCGAAATACAAAAAAATCTTTATTTATTGACATTCAACAGAATGAAACGAACGATGGATACTCTTCTCTTCATGTTGTTCTTTCTTCTTCTCTTTTTCTGCGAGAGTAATCAAGCCATCAAGTAACCAATGCCAGAGCACAGATGGCGCATCTCGTTTTCGACCTGGAAAAAAATCAATGCAAAGGAAAATATTTTTCGACAAGTCCGATCGAAATTTTCAATTTGTTCGTTAAAAAAAATCAGTTTGTTTGTGACGACGATTCATTAACACTTAGCAACATCCTCGATGATCGATGTTCATGGAGATCGAGTTCACGGTTATTAAAGGGTGAGAATATTTCAACACGTAGTGAGTCAAAAGAAAGCGAATATGGATAAGTATATGATTATATCGCCGATCGGCGAAGGATCTTTTGCAAAAGTTTATCGTGCTCGAGAAAAATTCACTGGCCGAGTTCGTATTGTTTTGTTCAATGAATTGTTAAGAAAGATTTGGTTTCGTTTAGGATGTTGCACTGAAGTTTATATCGAAATTAGGAAAAAGCGAAAAAGATTTGAATTTCTTACGGCAAGAAATTGAGATTTTGCGAAGAATGAAACATGAAAACATCGTCGAAATGATCAATAGTTTTGAAACAAACAATGAAGTATGGAAACGAGAGACACTGATTATTCTTTAGGAAAATCTTCTCTTTTGTTTTGTAGATTGTCGTTGTGACGGAACGTGGTTTAGCTGATCTGTTTCAATTATTAGAAGACGATGTCAGCTTACCTGAAGAGACGGTAGGATGTCATAATTTGCTTCTTTGAGCTTAACCGGTGTGTTTTACTAGGTACAAAAGATTGCTTGTCAATTGGTATCTGCTCTCTACTATTTGCATTCGCATCGAATTTTACATCGAGGTTTGTTTTGATTCACCTGATAATTCAATATGAAATCGATTCGAATAGATATGAAACCACAAAATATTCTCATCTTTCCGGCAGGAAAGGTTAAACTATGCGATTTTGGGTGAGTCATTATTGATGCGTGATGATTCATGTTTAATGTAACTTTGCGTTCAGTTTTGCTCGAAATATGACAATGGATACCATGGTACTAACATCGATTAAAGTCAGTGTCATCCATCGACGTGTTTCCCAATTATTAGAATTTGAATATGTTTAGGGAACACCGCTGTACATGTGTCCTGAACTGGTAGATGAAAAACCGTACGATCATTCAGCAGATCTATGGTAAGTTCGTTTAAGGAGTTGGACGATATTGTTTGAAATTATACGATTGATTATCAGGGCGCTTGGCTGTATTTTGTATGAAGTTTATCATGGTAAACCTCCGTTTTTTACCAACAATGTGTTTCATTTGATCAAAATGATTGGCAAAGGTAGAATTCTTCAATCTCATTTTACTTGAAAAAATGAACGAAGTATTTCAGAATCTGTTAAATGGCCAAAGACAATCAGTCCCGATATGCGTAGTTTTCTCGAAGGTCTCCTTACGAAAGATTCGACACAACGTTTAACATGGCCTGATCTTTTACAACATCCATTTGTTCGAACGGGAGTAAAAGGTAAGACAATGATATGCAAAGCTAAACTTCAAATACAATTTGAACTGAATAGTTCCAACATTAACTGAATCAATTATTGGACCATTGACGCAACCGCCAACGGAAGAACAGCGAATTTTAAAACAACAGCAGATTAAAGCTAAAGGTGTTTCGCGTGGACCTTCGAAACTTCTTTCGAAATTCATGCCAGAAGAACATCGAAAAGTAAAGCTTTCGATTAACTATGCTCATTATTGGAGTATATTTTAGCAAGAAGCACAGAAATCACCTGGAAATAAAGATAAAACTCCAAAGAAGACAAAAGCTAATACGCCGCAGAAACCTGAAGTTCAGCCACATGCTCCTGCTCCACAAATTCAACCGCCTCCACCGCCCTCGCAGCCACCTGTGCTTGCTACTGAGCCAGTTGTTAATAAATCAGCTCTCATCGCAGACTCTCTGACTAGTCAAGAGGATAAATTCGTTTCTGCACGTGAGAATCCTCAAACAGCACGCTCAGTTGAAGAACAAGAAATCGAGCAGTATGCTGAACAAATCGAATCGATGTCCAATGAACGAATAATGACTTTACTTCAACATCCACCATTCGTTAAACTATTCCAAACAGTTCCAACAACGATCTTAGGCAAATTACTAGAATGTACCCTCAATGGCGCCTCGTTCTATCGTAATACAATGAAGATTATTCGTTTTACATTACAAGCGGAAATCGATCCTCATCTGGCAATCTCGTTCATGAATACAATTCATACACCAGATCTGCCATTGAAACATTTAAAAGCAATTTTAGAACATCCGATGATCCGAAAAGAAGTAAATCGAATTTGTCCTTCGCTTTGAAACAACTTCTCTCAATGTTTCGTCTTTAGCCTTGGTTTGCTCATGTTCTCTACGACATTCTGATCATCTTACGTCTTTGGTTCGAACTGATAACTGCATATACACTTCAACAATTAGATGAGGATCAATGTCAATTCTATCTGGACATGTCACATGAATTTCTTGAACAAGTAGCGGCAGTATTGACCGTTGCATCCTCGTTAGATCTCACGATTTGCTGCGAAGCATTAATGATTGTAATTATTCTTTGCGAATCGTACGAAGACGCATCTCCTGTACTTTGTCAAGCATGGTACGATCCAATCCGGTTAGATAAATGTCAAATCTGGCCAGCTATTGCCCAACTGATAACGATGACTTTCAAAGCAGAAAGTAGATATTCGAAGAAAGATTGATTTCGGAACGTCTCTGAAATTCTGATTCTAGGTTCAAATGCAGAAATTCATAGTGAAACTATTATGTATACTGTCGCTACGATTGCTGCTTTAACTTATCCTTCACAATGTTTACCAGATGAATTACTCGAAGCAAAAATAAAAGTAAGTATGATCATTGTTCGATGCATTGTTTTCATTTCTATTGGTTTCTCAGGTGGCTAATTCATTTGCATTGAAATTACTCGACTCCAACTATGTTCCATTTCGTGACGCATGGCTCGGCCAATTTCACACTCCGAAATGCAGTTCGAACATTCTCAAAGTACGTTTTTGTTTGGAAGAACTCAGTTGATAGGTGATTGGTACTATCTAATCGTTCAGGCACTCTATGGAATGTGTTTATCAACTTCACGCTTTAGTGCGTTTATATTCGATAGTTCGTTCGTGTCCAATGAACTAATTGCTTTCCTTGCTGGTCAAGTGAGATGATTTAAAAGCAAATGGTTTTGTATATTTATCAAAATGGTTTCTTCATAGATTACAATGGAAGAGTCGGACGTCGATGAGGCGATTGAGTTGTCAATTCACATTAGCACTGTTCTGATCAAACAAATCATATTACAATAGTAAAACTGGAATATTTCATTTTTAATCTCTTATTTTTCATCTAAATTATTTTTAGCGATAATAACACGCGAATTGATTTACGAAATCCACCGTTAATCAAAGAAGATCGTAAATTAGAAAAGTAGGTCTTTACAACCTTGCAAATACATATTCAATGTACCATTTATCACTTCAGACTTCAACCAATCACTACCCGTATTGCACAGTTAGCACTAACAAGCCAAGTGTTACCACAACGTGCTGCATGTGCTCTACATCTTGTTCACGCGATTCTATGTGGCATGAAATTTGCGTTGAACTTCGAAGAATATATCGATGGCCTTTCCGCTGTCTTCGTTCAATCCGAATGCGATGTAAATGAACCAAACAATGTTCGACTGAACAAGCATTTTTTCTTTTGTAGTTTATTGTTCGATTTCCATTTCAACATGGTTTACTCGATGGATTAATCATGTTAGTGTTTCACATCGTACAAATGGTACGTAGATAAGACGAAGAATGCCGTGAACATTCATCTGATTCTTTTTGTGTTTTCAGGATCCACAAAAAGCAGTCGGATCGTTGATTGATAGTGGTTTGTTTCATATCTTATGGCAACAAGTTCGCGCAGCTTTTCATTCGTTACATCGAAATGAAACTGATGAAGAAATAGCGATGGTTATAACACCCGACTGGATTGTTATTTCACGTGACGGTATTCATCAACTACTTCAACTAACATTGGAATTATTTCTTCAAGTAATGAACACTTTTTTTGACTGTTTTGTTTTTTATTGAATAAGATAATTGCTTTCGTTTTAGCGAATGCATAAATGTTTAAGTTTACTTATCCAACCGGACAGTGTGATCTTCGAATCGTTGAGTATGATGCTAAGCAAGGAATTGATTGAACAATTGGACATTAAGTAAGAACAAGGCAATTTCATTTTTGAAAAGAAAACTTTCATTGCTATATTTATAGATCGTCAAATTCATTAACAACAGAAGTCGTAACATTGATATGCAATATCTTCATGTTCCCGTTTTCCATTGAAACGAGTGAAACATTTCTCGAACGGACATTGGAGTAAATCTTCACACAAACAAACGGAAAATCTTCATTGATGTTTTGCTTATTTAGACTATGTCATCGTTATGATATTATTCAGAAACTTCTTTGGGTAACCATGACACATTTACCAACGGATCGTGTCGAAGTACCCATCGGTCTTGTAGCACAATTAAGTTATTATCAAGAAAGTAAGAATTCGAATGCGAACGAACGAAGCCAAGTGAATATTTTGCTTTCAGCTGCTCGAAAAGCCATCAGTCAAATGCTTATGGAAGATGTTCAGGTAGCGACTTCAACTTTGAACTCTTCGCCTTCTGATTTCTTTCTTCTTAGTTATGTCAATTCTATGCCAATGTTCTCTATGGAAGCAACGAAAGTGAATTTATCCTTTGCGATACGTTCTTCACCTTTACGAATTTAATCAAAGCGACAGAAAGTGTTGTACCATCGTTAAGCGATATTCTCAGTGGACCGCAAAGTACGAGAGATGAGCTAATTGATGTAGTTGTAAAGTTGCTGTTTAGATGACTTTGATGTTCTGAAACGAGCTTTATCGGGAAGTAATTTAACGAAAGCGAAATGTTGTTTTCTCATGGGTCATATGACGAAATCGTCTCGAACATTTTGTACCGTTCTCAAAGCTCATCCAGATGTTCTCGATCTTCTACGACAATGTTGTTTCGAAGAAGATTCTCATGTTCGAAAAGTAAATGACGACATTTCTACTCGATATGCAAGTTCAATGCACATTCATTTAGATGGCATTCTTTGTTCTGGGAAATTTTATTTCCACGAACGAAATTCTATATGAATACGTCGACGAATTAGCTCCATTTCTTGTACAAGCGTTAAATGACACCATATCAAAAATACGATCCCATGCTGTCAGTACGTATCGCAGAAAAATTTCTTGTTGATCGTATTTGATTTCATTTTCCACTAGATACACTTGGATTCTTGGCACGTTACCGTTTATCGGATCGTTTAATCGAATTAAAAGTCGCGGAAAAGCTACTGGATGTTGCTTGTCATGATACTCATGTTACTGTTCAAGAATTTGCTCTTCGCGTCCTGAAACAAATGCTCAAACACGAACGAGCAAAGCAGGTACGTTCAAAACGAAACTTCGCCTTTCATGTGAAAAGCCTTCTCTCTTTTAGATACTACAAGACTGTAATGCCGTTGATAAACTATCAAATCTACTTTCGAATTTATGTGCCCAAATCGAGAATACTCAATATAGCGAAGTCGATGGTTTAGTCGATGAATGCGACGATCTGCTGAACATGTTAATTGAACCGTGCACGACTTGAATTAGAATGTTTGTTTTCACTAGTCTAACAAATTCGTTCTTTTTTTTTTTGATTCTGTAAATAAATTCTTCTTCATCACATGTGTGAAAGAAAAACATAACTGTTGGTCAGCCGGACGAGAATGATGCTCGATCATATACTTTCTCTTTCGTTCGCTACATCCATCCGTCCGATGGATTTCGTTTCGTCTTCATCATAGAAAGCAACATTTCTTCGTCATGACTTCGTTTTCATCTATTCCATGGGGTTATCTCGAACCAATAAACAATATCTATCCCCGAGGAGTTTTAACCAAACCTTCTTACACTATCGGCCGTCATCCTACTGAATGTGACATTATTCTCGATTCGAAAGAACTTCGACAACATGAATATTTCATTCATTTAAGTTCCAAACATTTTCTCGTCGAATGCACTGATAACGGTCGTTCAATATACTTTCGTGATGTTAGTAGAAATGGATGTTATATCGATGGAGATTTGATACATCACTCGAAGATTCTACTACAAAATAGTGAACATGTTATGTAAGTAGATGAATATTGATTGCGAATGTTTGCTATTGAACGTTTTTTTTTAAAGTTCTCTTGCGTTGAAAGAAAATCGTGCGTATCGATTTATACGTTTATCCGGTTTATTCGATGTGATTAATCTTGATGAACGTTATTTAAAAGCCAATCTGCTCGGCTCGGGATCATTCGCGAATGTTTATCGAGCGATTTCACATGTGACAAATACACGTCGAGCAATCAAAATTATCAATAAAGATCAATGTGAGAGACAAATCGGCCCTGGATTTTCCAAATATCTCTATCGTGAAGTGTAATAGTAATGAAGGACATTGATATAATCATTTGTTGATGTTTTGCTTGCAGATCGATTCATGGAAGTGTCGATCATCCTTGTATTCTTCGCCGGTTTGATGTTTATCATGAAAAGTCCGATTTATACGTCGAAATGGAATATGCCGCAGGAGGAGCGCTACTCGATCGAATACATAAGACGTACATTATGGATGAAGATGAATGTAAATTTATTTTTTATCAAATTGGATGTGCATTGGCATATTTACATCGATTAAAGATCGTAACGAGAATTGACTTCGCAAAAAAGTAATGATTGATCGTTGTTGTTTAGGTTCATCGAGATATAAAACCAGCGAATGTTCTTCTCATGTCAAATGAACGAGAAACAGTTGCGAAACTAAGCGACTTTGGTGTGGCGAAGTATGTCTACGCGTCTTCGAGATATCTCAACACGACCATCGCTGGTACACAGCAATTTATGGCACCAGAAGTACAATTTCAAACAGGACATTCAACAAATGCAGATGTAAGCATGAGAATTCTTTCAGCACGCGTATATTTATTTAGTTGATTTAAGTCAATAGAAGAACAAGATAATATTTTGTTTGTTCTAACGAATTTTTCTGCGTGAATGAAAACGTAAATAAACGATTTGCTGATATGTTTGTTTTCTCTTCTAGGTTTGGTCGTTTGGTATGACTCTGTTAAATGCATATGTTGGTGATACCGTGTTTCGTTTACGTGGTATCCGAGCGTTGAATTCAGTTTCACATACGAAGAAAGACTTGAAAGAAATCATCACGAAGACTCTAGAGAAGAATACATATGCTCGACCAGATATGAGTCAATTATTTCGTTATTCGTGGTTTCGCGATAGCACGTGTTTCGAGCGAATTCAAAAACTTGTTCATGTGCAGACTGGTAAACTGTTGAGTCTACCTTACGAAAGATAAGAGTGTCGATCGATACGTTGTTTTTTTTTCTTTCTTAACAGCGAAAATTTGTGAATTTTTCTTGTCTCCTTCCCTATATTTGTTTGTTGTTCATGTTAATTTGTTTATCTGATACTAATTCTCTCTTCTTTCTCTTTTTTTATACAGTATGAAATCATTGGTGACTAATAAACAATCAAATATCGCATTTTCTTCGTCTCTCATCGTAAAACTACGTTTATTGGATTTTGTCTGGGATCAGAAAGAAAAGGTTGCGTCAATAATCTCTCGGTGAGAGATAACCTTTGTCGTTCTACATTATAAAAATGAGTTATCCGCGTCAATTCAATCATGATTTTGAATTGTTCCGATAATTGATCTTAATGGACACGTTTCCTGCGAATATATCACTGATGGTATCGGTTTATCAACACTCAAACATCTGGTTAACAAAGAAGACAATTGTTTATCCTTTTCTTTTTCATATAAGACAACAAAGAACAAACGCGTATATCATATCATATATCGTGTATACTTTGAATTCGATATCAACCATAAAAGATGTTTAGACATTCTTCAAATGACTGTCTGACTTATGTTAAGTTACTTTTGTTTTCACTTAGATACGACGTCACAAGCCTTTTTCTGCGGTTTGTACTGCGAAAGGAAAATAATTACGCGTGTTTTGTCTCATGCTGTTAGCCTCCAGCATGATAGTCGTTCGAATCGTATTGATTTCTCTGTATAGTTCTTGGTTTCTTATGGATGTTTTAGTGAGGAAGAAACGCGGCTATGATTTATTACTGGTTGTATAGTTGTCGTGAATCAGCTCGTCGTCTGTATAGAAGAATAACAAGAAGAGCGCCGACAAATGGATAACACTGACTTTCTGTTATCCTGCTTTTCTTTGTGCTGAATGTCGATATTAGGCGGCAAAAGGCGATGAAAATATGTCTCGAAACAATTATAAGTCCGACGAGTTTTCTCGATAGTCGGAAAAGAAGAAAAACATAGATCTTTAGGATACACAGTTGGTAAAGCTCACAGAATAGTATCGTTCTTGTCAACAACGGCTCGGTTAGATACGAAGCAGCAAAGACTTTGTCCTTTGGTAAAAAACATCTTTTTGTAGTTTTTACACTCTCTCTATTATTCAATAGTACAATTGAATGGCTTTGACCTCGAAGGAAACATCGGAAACGAAAACTGACGAAGTTAATTCAACAGTATCGAACGACGAAAGTACCATGGAACAAGAGGAAATCGAACATACGGACTCATTCGTAGCTGACGAAGAACCAATCTATTTGTCAGTAGCTTCGCTGGAATCAGAAAATGAGAGTCGAGAAAGTTGCGATAATAGCAGTCGAACACTTTCTAAAACTCGCTCAGTCAGTTTTGCTCCAATGGTGGAAGAATATGAAATCCCAGCTCGATCATCGATTTCTTCCGATTGTTCGACTGATTTCCTTGATGCACTCGTTGAAAGTTATAAACTTCAAACATCCGTCAATCTCAGTTCAGTTCCCGAAGAAAAAAAATATACTCGAAGAACGACTCATGTACGTTCGAATCCAAATTGGCGTGAACATCGCATTCGACGTTTAATGAATCGTTTAGAAGAATTAACGCTTTGGGATCGAGAAGAAGAATTAAAAGCTTCTCAAGCTCAATCTCTACGTTCGCAAAAACTAGAACAAATCCACGATCGTCAACGGAACAACGACCTATGTTTACAACTAATGCGTCAACGGCATGAAAGCGAAATGGAAAGCGCTGTACTCTTAGATCAACAAGCAAATCCAGTTAACAAAGAAAACATTCATGCAATTATCTCACGTACAATGAATTTAACGTCACCATCCGACGCACAGGATTACAATCTGCCAAATCCGCCGTACCAGCTCAAACGACGTATCGAAAAAGAAGAAGAAGCTATGACACATTTGAAAACGCCCATCGGCCGATATCGCCGATTTGAGAACAACATGAACACTAAACTTGAAAAAATCAATCAAAATTTCAAACCCGACTGGCAAATCATGCGCGCATATAATCCGTACTTCACGTCAATACCGGCCAATGTTGTACCACTATTTCACGAAACGTATGCATCATTACTTTCAATACCGGACGCATACTCTCGTCAATCATCACATGCGTCAAGTCCGGATTGCGAAGCACGCGTCCAAGCTCGTTCAAATCGCGATGTACGTGTGCCATTAAAAGATCACAGTACTGACAATAGCGATAACGATGACGATGACGATGATGATGGTAAACATCGAGGGAAAAACTCACGCTTGAGTTTTAGCCCAGCACGGCGATCGACAAGTGCCACACCATCGAGTAGTTCATCGAAACATGACTATTCATATGTTAACTCTCGACAAATCCCTTCGAATAACATATATCGACGAAGTTTTCACGATGATTTCAATAGTTTAACTTATTATTCATACGAAACCCACGATCGTCATTTACCAACTCGTCTTGAATCATCGAATGACAAATCAACCAGCAAATCTCGCTCGTCATCTATCCCCGCCAATCGACGCATCAATTTCAATCATCACGATAGTGAGCATTTCAAAAGATCCTATCACCCAACGATGATCTCGCTTTCGTCAATCAAATAATCGCTTAGTTTTAGATCAATTCAATCTGCTTTGTTTGTCAATATTTCATTTCTAAAAACCAATGTTTCTAAACGCAATCCATTGCCATGTCACTCTTTTCTTTTCTATTTATCGAAACTCCTTTGCTCTGCATACACAGATTCTGTTTATACAAAAAGCACCAACTAGATTGTCATTCTATCCGAAAAATAAACATAAACATGATACTCTTTCAAGTAAATCTAAGATATTTGATACTAGACGAAGACAAGACTTCGAAGCCAAGGTCAGTCCGAGCTTCCTCATCATCATGAAGTCCATGTCTTGTTCAATGATGTTACACAACAGTTTAATTTAATGATCAGACATGTCCTCTTCATTTTCGATTTGATCAATCATCGGTCGGGATGAACCTGATCTGTTCTCCCTCTTGCATTCAACCATAATCCATCAGACAAATCTGAAATGCGATAAATCATGCAGATCAATGCGTCCTGTGCTGTCGAAGATGATTATAACATGGAAATTAATTTGTCTAGTTCATTGGCAAACAAGATTTTCTCGTTACTTGGGTTCGAACAAAAAAGCGCATTTTTCTGTTCAATATCTTCTTAGCATGAGCTGTTCACACATATCTCTTCTTCATAATCCAGTGTTAATTCCTGATTTTGCCGCGAAGATTACTCGCCAAGCAGGAAAAGATGAAAAAAAAAAGTTTTTCTCAGTGGTTTTTTTTATTGATAATCAAACAAGTAATTATTATCTTTCACAACAAAGAGGAAAAGAGAAAAAACATGTTAAACTGTTTAGGTCATGTTGACTAGGTTTATCGAAACACGAATCGATCAGTTCACATTGAGTTGTTCGCTTTTCAACGCGTTAATATTCTATTATTTGGTGAGAATTCATTTGTTAATGATATCTACGAAAAAAAAAGAGAGAGAGAAATGAGGAACTTCAATAGTCATAATAATATTGATCGAATAGATAGATCTGAATAGAAGGAAAAAAGAAGAATGGGTTAATCCATCCTATTCACAACCTGAAAGCAACCATAAAATCATGTCGAATGGACACTTTTTGGTTGTGAAAAGGATATGATTATATCTTCGAAGTAACTAATCTCGTCTTCTATTTACTTACCATTCCACTATCAAGTGAACATTGAGAAGTTCGACATGGTAATGATGGATGATTATCTATGAAATAAGCAAAAATTTAAGATATATAAATAAACAGACATATCTCTTGTTCGTTCTTACTGATTGGTAATGCCATATCGAGTAAAGAGTTCGATAATGTTCTCGATAATGGTCGATCACGTTTTATTGTTGGATGATCAATTAATGATGAGAGAATGCCATGATTATTTGTTATATCAACAAGTGAATTGGATGAAGCACGTAATTGGTCGAGCTCAGCTTGACGATANTTTGTTACCACCGGTGATTTCAATGGTGACAATCGAGCGGATGTTGCAGTTTCTTATAGCGGTGGAAATAGTATTGGGGTTCTTTTTGGTTATGGAAATGGTACAATGAGCTCTGTCGCCAAATTTCCCACAGGAAATCGAACATACTATACTCGAATCACTGCAGGTGATTTCAACAATGATGGAATTTCGGACATTGTCGTTAATCCCACTTCAAGATCAGTTGTTCTTGTGTTAGTGGGATATGGTGATGGGAACTTTGATACTCAACTGGTGTTCTCCACTGGACTGATTGGTAGTTACGCTTGGGTTGTTCCTGCAGATTTCAATAACGATGGATGTCAGGATATTCTTGCTTCGGATGACACAGCTGGTGCTGTGTTCGTTTTGCTAAACATCTGTGCATGCCGAACAAATAGTACGATTCTGACGACTACATCGATGTACCCTTAGTTCTCATCAAATATTTGTTTATTAATCAAATTCCTGAGTAGTGCACTATTGCTTCCCTGCGAACTATTTTACCAAAGCTTTACTAGTCCAATAGCTTGCAACATTCTTTCAAGTTTTAACTCCTATCATTTTCATTTTCACCTTAATTAGAATCTCTATGTTGTCTATAAGTTTGTTAAATAAAGCTGAAAACTAAAACAATCGACATCAACGAGGCAATGGCGATAATCACAAAATCACGTTTCAACTAAAACCTCATAGTTATTTATACATGTATAAGGAGAAGCTCGATCGAAGTGCATATTTGCTGAAAAGATTTTCACATAATTTACTGTAGAGCGGTGATAAAATTTATTTGATTCAATGGTAAAATACTTAAAAACTCTTTGCTACTTCATTCATTTTATCAAGGACAATATTTGCGTGTTTTTCCGTGAAAACTAATGCAGGACGAAAACGTACAGCGATATCTCCGCATGCTCCCATTTGAATACCTAAAAATAAACGAGTAGATCATCTTTGATACAGACAAAATTAACAGATACCAGCATTTCTCATTTGAACAAGATATTTATCTCGAACCGATGCATTTGTCATATCGAATGCACAAAACGTTCCGCGACCACGAGTATTGAGAATTAATTGCGGGTATCTCTTACTTAAATCTTTCAATCCAGCCAAAAGAACATCACCTGTTTTTCGTGTACTTTCGATTAAATTTTCTTGTTTGACAGTTTTTAGAACAGCATCGAGAACCAACATTTTTGCTGGTTCACCCATCCAGGTATTAAATATACGATAAGGCTATTAACGTACAGAGAAAGATAATGATCTATCCTGCATTACAAAACAAACCTGTTTCGGTTGATATTCAGCTTTAGCGAAATAACCACCGGTTTGGAATTTTTTCGAGAAGGTAACAATATCGGGCGACTCAGGTAGGTTGAAATGTTCATGTGCCCAGAATTTACCTGTTGCACCAAGACCTGTTTGTACTTCATCGATAAGCAGTGCTGCATCGTTCTAAACCAAACATCGATTCATCAGTCATAGAGCAGATCGAACCTTCTTCATACTTGTTTGGTAATTTTTTGTAGACGTTGAAAAAACGCTGGACTTCCGTGAAAGTCTCCACCCTCGCTTTGGATTGGTTCCACAACAACCCCAACAACAGGATTATTCTTCGACTTGTACGCATGAAATAGCTCCTCAACCTAAATCAGCGACAAAACCTTTCAACAACAAAAGAAACGAACGTCCTAAGGGAGTAATGGGTAAAACGAGACATAAAAGCTTTTACGATCTGTTATCACAAGAGCACGAAACTCACACGAGCTAAACATCTTTCGTCTTCTTTCGCATTCTCTCGTTGGTTTTCTTCCAATGGATATTTGTATCTTGGAAAAGGTGCCGCTGGCCAATCGAAACTTGGAATATCCAATTTATGAATCGGTTTCGAATGTGTGCATGCTAATGCACCTAACAATATCAAAATAATGAAGTTTTCTATTGATTATCTAAAGCATTTGCTTACCGAATGTTCGGCCATGAAAGCCACCTTCGAAGGACATGATCGAAACAGTTGGACAACCCGGCGATTTGTTGTGCATCGATGATTTCAATTCTTCTTCACTGAATGCTTTGCCATCGCGATGCTTATTTGCATGCCAAATACACATTGCTTTGAAGGCATTTTCATTTGAACACGAACCGCACATCATGGGCTGAACATGTTCGAGACCTTTAGGAGCAATCTATAATAAATGATAAATATTCTTAGCGATCAAAAATCGACTAAATGACAAATACCGGAAGGAGCGTTTCGTTGATCTGCTTGATAAATTGAGGTGTTGGATGAACACCAAGTGCCGGTCGATTGACTAGTTGACTCTATTTAGAAAGCAATGTTCTGGTATAGTGAACAGAATTCTATGAAAATCGAACTAAGTTTGCTGGATTTTGAAACACTTTTTGAATTGCTGGATGGTTGTATCCTGCAGAAGATTGTTTTGTTTACACATGACAATGATCATTTCTCGCATACCTAAAGCTAACGAAGCGATTTGTTCATAAACATCTAACATGATATTCCCGTCGATATCAACTGCATAATTTCCAATGGATTTCTCGACATCAAGAACAAATATTGTACTCAATGCATTCTAAAATAATTTGAAAAATAGGCCATCAATCAAGAAATATTTTCATTATATTTACTTGTGTCTTTTCTAAATCGTGCATGAACTGCTTGGATTTGGGACCCTGTAGTAAATTAATGAAATCCAAATGCTTGTGTTACAGAAGAACGTTCGTCTTACGGGAATTTGCGTTTGCATTTTCGGTCCCGATGGTTCTTGGCTGAGAACACTGTTTCCTAAAATGTCTCAATCATGGATTTTTGTTTCAGTTTCTCAAAATTAATCAAACCTCGACATGAAGAACGCGTATGGAGTACACCGCGTAGTTGAAGCAGACGTGAAGTTCGCATATCTAAATGAGAAAAAGATGTTTTTGCTTTCTATTTCACCTCGATCTCGACGATGGCAATACACAATGATGAGTTCGAGAGAAAAAAGAGAGTATTTTTTAATACCGATTTGCTCTCGGTTCTGTTTACTTATTGCTTATATATTTTCTCTCTCTTTCTCTCGGCTCTCCCCGTCACCATCTTATCTTATCATTTAGTGATTTGGAGAGCAATTTATTTTGTTGAGAACACAAGTGTGAGTGTGGCATTTGGCAAAGTGGAATTTATTGAAATAATTAATCAGAACAGCAAAAAACTGCGCTTGTCAAGCGAATAGTAACGTCGATGTAAATCCGACGGTGCTAAGAAAAAGAAATCAATCAGTAGTAGCTATCTTCACTAGCGTCATCTTTCAATACAAATCTGATTTGTTCGTAAATTCGTCAAGTTATTTGAAACTAAGAAAAGTAAAGTTTTGTCATTTTTGTTTCACAAACGACGGTGCCAAAAAGCTGGTAAGTTCTTTATCTTTCAACATATTCATAAATTCTTGTCTGGAAATCTTATCATCGTTATTTAAATCTAAAACAGCCATGATTTCGTACGCTACATACGACACACTGTGTCGTTCACAGTCAATTCCATATAAAATAAACAGTGCCTGAACGATCTGATAAACTTCATTGTAATCAATCGTTCCGTCACCATCGCAATCGTAAGCGTTGTATAACCATTCAAGTTTTTCACGTGGGGTACTTGAATTACTATGAATATAAATAGCGAGAAGGAATTCATCGAATTGGATATAGCCGTCTTTGGACAAATTATCGAATGCACGAAAAATGAACTCCGAGTAGATATCGGATGATGCTGATGGAAGCAATTGTTGATAGAATTCAACGAATTCACTTTTGGTTAAGCAACCTGAATGACAACGCGTGCGAAATGTCTGATAATAGCGAAGAATTTGTTCACGAGTAAATTTCGTACGCTTTATTAAATAGTCGATTTGAATCGCTGTCAGTTCATTCGCTGTTCCAAAATCTGGAGCTTCCTCTTTCTAGAAAAGAACAAAAAATCTCAATCGAATAGTTCATCCTACAAATCAATTCAATTTACATTGATATTCCATTTCGTATTACTGAACATTGGAGCTATCAATTCCAGCAAATCAGTGCATTGTTTACATAATGCGATGAATTCTTGACAATTTAATTGTCCATTTTCGTCCTGATCGTGTTTATTGAATAACGCTTTCAATTCGTTAATTCGACGATTGGTTAGTAAGCGTCCGTGAATGTGATAGATCAAATAGCAAAGGTCAAGAAATTCATCGATGTCGATTTGTCGGTCTTCATTCGAATCGTAGAGAAAGAAAATCCATCGTAGTTTCTCGTCGGGATCAGCTTCGGGTAGACTGAGCGCTTTGAAAAAGAGAATTTCTTTAAAATTCAATCGTCCATTCTTATCCGTGTCGATATGATTAAACAAACGTTCGAGTAACGGTCGTGAATGGCAGAGATGTTTCAATTCATTGGAATATAAGTCACAAAATTGCTCGAAGGTCGCGTAACCGCGCGGATAATAAGTTAAAAATCGTACGTGAAAATCGTTGATTTGCTTCCGAGAGAAATTCGTGTGGAGAGTGATGTAAGTGATTTCTCGTTCGGTTAGTTCTGGACGTTCATTCCGACCAAGATGAATATTACCCATTCTGAGCGACGAAGGGTATAGGTTTGAAGAATAACTGCGCCATACGCGTGATGTTTTCTCTTGTTTTTCTTTTGGAAAGAGAGTTTTCTCGTGATTAAAGAACGAGGAAAAATGGTGACTGATGTCGATACTGTCATGGGTTACGGAAAAACTTGTTTTTATGATTCATACATGTCTGGATCACTGTGTTGATTTTTTGTTTAGATCTTTGAAATGATGTTTTTTCCTTTCCGATTATCAAACGCACCGATACTCTCTTAGTTTCACTTGAAAAGTAAGGTGCGTAAGTCGGATTGTTTTACTGGTTAGACATTCATTTTTTCAGCTTTCTAGATTTGTTTTTCTTTGATATACAAGTCATTTATTGACAACTACATGTTGATATTGTCAATATTAACTCAGCAAGGATCTTGTGATAATGTCTCGAAGTGTCCGTGATCTACGTGAATTGATTTGTTTATCTCGTTTTGGTTTTCGCTCGGATGAAAATGAGTCAGAAAATCCGGCGCATGAATCACAAAATAGCATCTTATTCTATTTTGATGCTTCGCTGCTCAACAATTGGCTGCAAATAACCTCATCTCGTCTAGAGAAACTACGTTCGTTAACAACTGATTCACTCATTGATTTCATGTTTTTCTGGTTGAAGCAATTCGATTTTCAACATAAACAATCCTTATTTCAAATGGAATTCGAACTCTTTATCGAACATTTACTCTTAGCGTTCACACCCAACGATGTCAATTCCATTCAAGTCAGCCAATTCGCACGAGAAATCCTTCATGACATTGACAAACAAATTGGACAATATTCCTTAGAGAATGACCATCACTTCCTTCAGATGATCGATACCTTCAGTCGGTATAAACGTGACGAAGAATATCGAAACGTTTTAGCTAATCTACCGAATGAATTAACAGCAAATATCGACAATCGACTGCACTTACAATGGATGCTAGCTATTCGAGCGTTTGGGTTAGTTGCGATATGCACAGCAGCGGTAGACTTTTTCGAAAAGATTCAATCAACTTTAGAGCAAAATAGACCGACAGGTAGGAATCCAGTACGTCTTAGAAAAGTATTTTCAAAACGATTTGTTTTCCAGGTGAACGACAGTCTTCTCAATCGAATGAACAAATCGCGTTTAACAATTTATCTGAACAAAGAAAAACTCGAATCCTAACTGCTCTCAGGTTGATTTAACTGCATTTAAAATTTGTCATGACAATAGTTGCTGTCTTGCATGTTTAGAAAAGGCCACATCGAAGTGATTGAATACTTCATTAAAACTAATCAACTGACCGGCGATTCTCTCGACGATCAAAATCGAAATGCTCTCTTTCATTGTTTACCTCTAGGAAATCTACTAATGTTTGAACATTTACTCAAATCAGTTGAGTATTTGCACACATTTTTTTCCTTCTCTATCAAACTCTTCTTTCAGAATCTTCCCAATCTAAATATTAATTCACTTGCTCAATCTGGCAATAGTCTTGTTCATGTTTGTATCACTCTCCAGTCTCTCGAAAGTCTTCAACTATTACTAAAATACTATCCCAATGTCAATTTGAACCAACGTAATCAACAGGACGCCACTCCTCTTCATCTTGCTATTATCTATGATAATCTCGAGTTGATCCGCTTTCTCGTCCAATCAGGTGCTGACGCGAACTTGTCCCTAAAGAACAAAACGTGTTTGGCAATGTCAACTGAATTCGGCAATGAATCATTGATAGAATTTTTCACAAAGCCTGTTTGAAAGAATATTTTGTATTTTTATTAATTATTATTCTTAATATTATAATTATAAGCACGTGAATGAAATACAATAAATTGACAACATCAACAAAAAGAAAAATAATACGTAGAAAGAAAGGGAATGTCGAGTGGATATGTTTTGGTGTCTCTCAAAAAGAATTTGATTCTTCGTACTTGATGTTTTTCTTCGTTCGAAAACATGGAAACCAGAGATTAGCTGGCTTTTTAAGATTTTCCGCTTTTTGATGCTCAGCAAATTGAATACCCGATGCAAACAGATTCAGTGCTTGCCGATGGACACGAACCTGAATTTCGTTTCCATTGATTAATTCACCATCACAAGACCAATTGCCTCCACGTTTTCGACCTGTATTTATTGGACGTATGAGAACTTCACTGACACGATACTTTTCAACATGCGGTAAGTCTTCGATTGTTCGACTATCATTCGCAACTTGCCAAAGAAAGCGAAGAAAACCGGTGCGCCATGAACGTTTAACCAAAATCAAATCAAATGTTCCATCACCTAAACGAATGCCGAATGCAAACATCGATTCTTGCTTCCCAAGTGTCATCTTACCTAAATGAACGAATGGCGACATGCCATATTTACTTTTGGCACAACGGCATGGCATATTAAGACAATTCACAGTTGTATATCTGCCTTCGCGTTTGATTTGCAAGGATGAATGGACTTTTTCGGGATCAGCTTTTTCTTCGGCGCAGAGTACACAATTACGACTACAAAATGTTACATTAGGTGTAACAATTTTATTAATCGTATCCATTGATTTATTCTTCAAACTTTCATCGATTAATGATAGACTACTCGAATTGATCAATCGTTGATAATCCGGCGCAACAGATGATGTTCCTCCGACGCTATTCAATGATGTCGCTGCTTGCGTATGACACATTCGAGCTGAGTCGTGAGGTGATAATGTTATTGTTAATTCACTGTGATATGATGTATTACGAACAAACTGACAAAATCCAGCGAGATCGTATCGTAATGGGCCGAGACAACGCCACCTATCTGACTGATGTATGATATCACCAAAAAATCCGTATGCGAGCATTGTCGCCATGAAACGAACAAAACCACTTTCATTATGAACCTAAAAGAAGATAGAATAGGTCATCTTCAAGAAAAAGACGAAGCTGCCGTCTTCATACCGTCGTTATATCGATCGGCAATGATTCTCCTGCAATGATTTGCAATGCACTTGTCACCGGATCGTTCAAACCTGTCGTTCCGAACACGACCGCATCAGTGGAACCAGCTGGTATAATTCCAATTCGTAAATTCGGTCGGATAATATTCACTTGTCGATCATCAATATTGATTTCTCTATCACGTGCCGTGCGTAACAACAGTCCATGGCATAGTTCAGCAAACATGCCATCACCGCCGGCACATATCAGACCATCGTATTCGTCAAGTGGTTCATTAATAATATGGTCTTGAGCATGATTTGCACGATCGGTGTAGATTGTTTGAACAGCTATATTTGCTTGTTGAAAAATTGGGAGAACTTTCTTATCGTAGACAACACGGGCATGACCTAAAAGATAATATATTTGTTTCTGATAACACGCAGCATATTTTCTTATCGACAACTTAAACTCAACACTTGCTCGATATTCAAATCTCTTGGTCCATGACGTCATCAGACGATCAATGCACAAATCGTACTTTTAGTTCGTCAGAGTCGTGAGTGCGCGCCCACTCAACTCGGAGAGCGAGCAAAAAAAACATTTTGCGTGAGTTTTGAAAAGTTTGTTTGTACCTTTGCCGGATAATGGATTAACAAAGGCTAACAACCGACGTGGTCGTTGTGTTAATGTTGATAAACAAAGATTCAAATTGGCATACAATTCATTGGCAAGTTCTTCAGTTTCCAATTCTAATTCTAACGTTTTCGTATTCCATCTAATTGAATTGGAAACATCCACATAGTCGATTTTAATTGATGTTTTGACTAATAGAACGGCTTCACTATTTTGAGTGGATAATGAAGGGAAAAGACGTCGAAAACTGAATTGTCCACGTTTGAATTTCATTTCGGAATTATTCGAAGACAATGTCACACGAGTTGAATCTTGAGACTGTTCGAGCGATGGTGTCGTTCTTTCCGACGATGCATTGATAGACGTCGTTGCTTGGAGACTTTGAGAGAAGCTTTTATGAATTTTCCTCGGTGATGATGTCGTTTGTTTAACGTTCAATAAATGATTGAGAGCAATCGTTTCAGGAATGTTTCGAATCGTTCTCTTGTCTTCTAATGATTGAAGATGCAATCGAGTGAACGAAGGTTTGATACACGTAATTGGAATGTCGGTCGCGGTGAAGTCAAGTGAATCAGTTGCAGATGGTACACTTTCTTCAAGAGTGTTCTGATTATCAACATAGATACGTAAACGGTAGAGATCGGCTTTGATAAAACATGTTGTTGAATATAAAATGGACGGCATTGATTGGATAGTTTCAGAGATAAAAATAGTAAATAGGAGTAATCTTTTTTTTTTCAATTCAAGAGACGATGCAGATGAAAAAAAACAATAAATAAATATACTGGTTTTACACAGGTTGAGTGTTCGTCATATGCCATAGTTGGAAACACAACAACATCGTATGTATTTTGATGGCTACAAAGACAAACAAGAGAATTTTGTCATATATGTACAGGTAACAATGACAATGTCGATCACGATGTCAACGACTAACCTTTTAACGCAAGTTTTTAGAGGAAAAGAAATTTTTATCAACAGAAGGGCTTGTCGCTTTACCCAATCGATTTCTACATCAATAGTAGGGTGTCGTTCGAAACCGATTTACAAAAAAATCTTTACTTATTGACATTCAAAAGAACGAAACGAACGGATGGATACTCTTCTCTTCATGTTGTTCTTTCTTCTTCTCTTTTTCTGCGAGAGTAATCAAGCAATCAAATAACCAATGCCAGAGCACAGATGGCGCACCTCGTTTTTTGACTTGAAAGAAAAATCAATGCAAAGGAAAATATTTTTCGACAAATTCGATCGAAATTTTCAATTTTGTTCGAAAAAAAATCAGTTTGTTTGTGACGACGATTCATCAACACTTAGCAACATCCTCGATGATCGTTGTTCATGGAAATTGAGTTCACGGTTATTAAAGGGTGAGAATATTTCAACGCGTAGTGAGTCAAAAGTACGCGAAGATGGATAAGTATATGATTATATCGCCGATCGGCGAAGGATCTTTTGCAAAAGTTTATCGTGCTCGAGAAAAATTCACTGGCCGAGTTCGTATTGTTTTGTTCAATGAATTGTTACGAGAGATTTTGTTTGATTTAGGATGTTGCACTGAAGTTTATATCGAAATTAGGGAAAAGTGAAAAAGATTTGAACTTCTTACGACAAGAAATCGAGATTTTGCGAAGAATGAAACATGAAAACATCGTGGAAATGATCGATAGTTTTGAAACAAGCAATGAAGTATGGAAATGAGAGACATTGTTTAGTTTTTTAGGAAAATCTTCTCTTTTGTTTTGTAGATCGTCGTTGTGACCGAGCGTGGTTTAGCTGATCTGTTTCAATTATTAGAAGACGATGTCAGCTTACCGGAAGAGACGGTAAGATGTCATAATTTGCTTCTTTGAACTTAATCTGTGTGTTTTATTAGGTACAAAAGATTGCTTGTCAATTGGTATCCGCTCTCTACTATTTGCATTCGCATCGAATTTTACATCGAGGTTTGTTTCGATTTACCTGCTAATTTAATATGAAATCGATTCGAATAGATATGAAACCACAAAATATTCTTATCTTTCCGGCAGGAAAAGTTAAACTATGCGATTTTGGGTGAGTCATTATTGATGCTGATGATTCATGTTCAACATAACTTTCTGTTCAGTTTTGCTCGAAATATGACAATGGATACCATGGTACTAACATCGATTAAGGTCTGTGTCATCCATTGACGTGTTTCCCAATCGTTAGAATTTGAATATGTTTAGGGAACACCGCTGTACATGTGTCCTGAACTGGTAGATGAAAAACCGTATGATCACTCAGCAGATCTATGGTAAGTTCGTTTAAGGAGTGAGACGATACTGTTTGAAACTATACGATCGATGATCAGGGCGCTTGGCTGTATTTTATATGAAGTTTATCATGGTAAACCTCCGTTTTTTACCAACAATGTCTTTCATTTGATCAAAATGATTGGCAAAGGTAGAATTCTCCAATCTCATTTTATTTGAAAGAATGAGCAAAGTATTTCAGAATCTGTCAAATGGCCAAAGTCAATCAGTTCCGATATGCGTAGTTTTCTCGAAGGTCTTCTTACGAAAGATTCGACACAACGTTTAACATGGCCTGATCTTTTACAACATCCATTTGTTCGAACGGGAGTAAAAGGTAAAATAATAATATGCAATGATAAACTTCGAATGCAATTTGAATGAAATAGTTCCAACATTAACTGAATCAATTGTTGGACCTTTGACGCAACCGCCAACGGAAGAACAGCGAATTCTAAAACAACAGCAGATTAAAGCTAAAGGTGTTTCGCGTGGACCTTCGAAACTTCTTTCGAAATTCATGCCAGAAGAACATCGAAAAGTAAAGCTTGCGATTAACTATGATCACTATTGGAGTGTTTTTTAGCAAGAAGCACAGAAATCACCTGGAAATAAAGACAAAACTCCAAAGAAGACAAAAGCTAATACACCACAGAAACCTGAAGTTCAGCCACATGCTCCTGCTCCACAAATTCAACCGCCTCCACCACCTTCGCAACCACCTGTGCTTGTTGCTGAGCCAGTTGTTAATAAATCAGCCCTCATCGCAGACTCTTTGGCTAGTCAAGAGGATAAATTCGTTTCTGCACGTGAGAATCCTCAAACAGCACGCTCAGTTGAAGAACAAGAAATCGAGCAGTATGCTGAACAAATCGAATCGATGTCTAATGAACAAATAATGGCTTTACTCCAACATCCACCATTCGTTAAACTATTCCAAACAGTTCCGACAACGATCTTAGCTAAATTATTAGAATGTACTCTCAATGGTGCCTCGTTCTATCGTAATACAATGAAAATTATTCGTTTTACATTACAAGCGGAAATCGATCCTCATCTGGCAATCTCGTTTATGAATACAATTCATACACCAGATCTGCCATTGAAACATTTAAAAGCAATTTTAGAACATCCGACGATCCGAAAAGAAGTAAATCGAATTTTTCCTTCGTTTTAGAACAACGTTTCTCAATATTTCACCTTTAGCCTTGGTTTGCTCATGTTCTCTACGACATTCTGATAATCTTACGTCTTTGGTTCGAACTAATAACTGCATATACACTTCAACAATTAGATGAAGATCAATGTCAATTCTATCTGGACATGTCACATGAATTTCTTGAACAAGTAGCGGCAGTATTAACCGTTGCATCATCGTTAGATCTCACGATTTGCTGCGAAGCATTAATGATTCTAATTATTCTTTGCGAATCATACGAAGACGCATCTCCTGTACTTTGTCAAGCATGGTATGATCCAATTCGTTTAGATAAATGTCAAATCTGGTCAGCTATTGCTCAACTGATAACGATGACTTTCAAAGCAGAAAGTAGATATTCAAAGAAAGTTTGATTTCAGAACGTCTTTGAAATATTGATTCTAGGTTCAAATGCAGAAATTCATAGTGAAACTATTATGTATACTGTCGCTACGATTGCTGCTTTAACTTATCCTTCACAATGTTTACCAGATGAATTATTTGAAGCAAAAATAAAAGTAACTATGATCGTTGTTTTGATGCATTATTTTCATTTCTATTGGTTTCACAGGTAGCTAATTCATTTGCATTGAAATTACTCGACTCTAACTATGTTCCATTTCGTGACGCATGGCTCGGTCAATTTCACACTCCGAAATGTAGTTCGAACATTCTCAAAGTACGTTTTTGTTTACAAAAGCTCAGTTGAAACCTGATTGGTACTATCTCCTCATTCAGGCACTCTATGGAATGTGTTTATCAACTTCACGCTTTAGTGCATTTATATTTGATAGTTCGTTCGTATCCAGTGAACTAATCGGTTTACTTCATGGTCAAGTGAGATGATTTGAAAACGAATGGTTTTGTATATTTATCAATATGGTTTTTTCATAGATAACAACGGAAGAATCGGACGTCGATGAGGCGATTGAGTTGTCAATTCATATTAGCACTGTTCTGATCAAACAAATCATATTGCAATAGTAAAACTGGAATATTTCATTTTCAGTCTCTTATTTTGCATCTAAATTATTTTTAGCGATAATAATACACGAATTGATTTACGAAATCCACCGTTGATCAAAGAAGATCGCAAATTAGAAAAGTAGGTTATTAAAAACACCCTTTCATATACATATTCAATGTATTTTTTTATCACTTCAGACTTCAACCAATCACTACCCATATTGCTCAGTTAGCACTAACAAGTCAAGTATTACCACAACGTGCTGCGTGTGCTCTACATCTTGTTCATGCGATTCTATGTGGCATGAAATTTGCATTGAACTTCGAAGAATATATCGATGGTCTTTCCGCTGTCTTCGTTCAATCCGAATGCGATGTAAATGAATCAAATAATGTTCGACTGAACAAGCATTTCTTCATTTGTAGTTTATTGTCCGATTCCCATTTCAACATGGTTTACTCGATGGATTAATCATGTTAGTTTTTCACATCGTACAAATGGTACGTAGATAACAAGATGAATGCCGTGAACATCTATCTGATTTTCTTGTCTTCAGGATCCACAAAAAGCAGTCGGATCGTTGATTGATAGTGGTTTGTTTCATATCTTATGGCAGCAAGTTCGCGCAGCTTTTCATTCGTTGCATCGAAATGAAACTGATGAAGAAACAATGATGGTTATAACACCCGACTGGATTGTTATTTCACGTGACGGTATTCATCAATTACTTCAACTAACGTTGGAATTATTTCTTCAAGTAATGAACACTTTTTGACTGACTTTTCTTCGTTGAATGGGATAATTGTTTTCGTTTTAGCGAATGCATAAATGTTTAAGTTTACTTATTCAACTGGACAGTGTGATCTTCGAATCGTTGAGTATGATGCTGAGCAAGGAATTGATCGAACAATTGGATATCAAGTAAGAACAAAGCAATTTCTTCTTTGAAAAGCAAACTTTCATTGCTATATTTATAGATCGTCCAATTCATTAACAACAGAAGTCGTAACATTGATATGTAATATCTTCATGTTTCCTTTTTCCATTGAAACAAGTGAAACATTTCTTGAACGGACATTGGAGTAAATCTTCACACAACAAATGGAAAATCTTGATTGATGTATTGTTTATTTAGACTATGTCATCGTTATGATATTATCCAGAAACTTCTTTGGGTAACCATGACACATTTACCAACAGATCGTGTCGAAGTACCGATCGGTCTTGTAGCACAATTAAGTTATTACCAAGAAAGTAAGAATTCGAATGCTAACGAAAGAGTCAAGTGAATATATTCCTTTCAGCTGCTCGAAAAACCATCAGTCAAATGCTCATGGAAGATGTTCAGGTAGCGACTTCACCTTCGAATTCTCTCCTTCTGATTTCTTTCTTCTTAGTTATGTCAATTCTATGCCAATGTTCTCTATGGGAGCAATGAAAGTGAATTTATCCTCTGCGATACGTTCTTCACCTTTACAAATTTAATCAAAGCGACAGAAAGTGTTGTACCATCGTTAAGCGATATTCTCAGTGGACCGCAAAGTACGAATGACGAACTAATCGATGTGGTTGTAAAGTTGCTATTTAGATGACTTTGATGTTCTGAAACGAGCTCTATCGGGAAGTAATTTAACGAAAGCGAAATGTTGTTTTCTCATGGGTCATATGACAAAATCGTCTCGAACGTTTTGTACCGTTCTCAAAGCTCATCCTGATGTTCTCGATCTTCTACGACAATGTTGTTTCGAAGAAGATTCTCATGTTCGAAAAGTAAACGACGACATTTCTACTCGATATGCAAGTTCAATGCATATTCATTTAGATGGCATTCTTTGTTCTGGGAAATTTTATTTCCACGAACGAAATTCTGTATGAGTACGTCGACGAATTAGCTCCATTTCTTGTACAAGCGTTAAATGACACCATATCAAAAATACGATCCCATGCTGTCAGTACGTATCGCACAAAAATTTCGTTTTAATCGTATTCGATTTCATTTTCCACTAGATACACTTGGATTCTTGGCACGTTACCGTTTATCGGATCGTTTAATCGAATTAAAAGTCGCGGAAAAATTACTGGATGTTGCTTGTCATGATACCCATGTTACTGTTCAAGAATTTGCTCTTCGCGTTCTGAAACAAATGCTCAAACACGAACGAGCAAAACAGGTTCGTTCAAAACAAAACTTCGCATTCAATGTAAAACCTTCTCTCTTTTAGATACTACAAGAATGTAATGCCGTTGATAAACTATCAAATCTGCTTTCGAATTTATGTGCCCAAATCGAGAATAATCAATATAGCGAGGTCGATGGGTTAGTCGATGAATGCGACGACCTGTTGAACATGTTAATTGAGCCGTGCACGACTTGAAATAGAATGTTTGTTTTCAATAGTCTAACGAATTCGTTGTTTTTTTTGATTCTGTAAATAAATTCTTCTTCATCACATGTGTGAAAGAAAACATAACTGTTGGTCAGCCGGACGAGGATGATGCTCGATCATTTTATTTCTCTTTCGTTCGATACATCCATCCGTCCGATGGATTTCGTTTCGTCTTCATCATAGAAAGCAACATTTCATCGTTATGACTTCGTTTTCATCTATTCCATGGGGTTATCTCGAACCAATAAACAATATCTATCCCCGAGGAGTTTTAACCAAACCTTCTTACACTATCGGCCGTCATCCTACTGAATGTGACATTATTCTCGATTCGAAAGAACTTCGACAACATGAATATTTCATTCATTTAAGTTCCAAACATTTTCTCGTCGAGTGCACTGATAACGGTCGTTCAATATACTTTCGTGATGTTAGTAGAAATGGATGTTATATCGATGGAGATTTGATACATCATTCGAAGATTCTGCTACAAAATAGTGAACATGTTATGTAAGTAGATGAAGATTGATTCCGAATGTTTGCTATTGAATGTTTATTTTTTTAGCTCTCTTGCGTTGAAAGAAAATCGTGCGTATCGATTTATACGTTTATCGGGTTTATTCGATGTAATTAATCTTGATGAACGTTATTTAAAAGCCAATCTGCTCGGGTCAGGATCATTCGCGAATGTTTATCGAGCGATTTCACATGTGACAAATACACGTCGAGCAATCAAAATTATCAATAAAGATCAATGTGAGAGACAAATCGGCCCTGGATTTTCCAAATATCTCTATCGTGAAGTGTAATAGTAATGAAGGACGTTGATATAATCATTTGTTAATGTTTTGCTTGCAGATCGATTCATGGAAGTGTCGATCATCCTTGTATTCTTCGCCGATTTGATGTTTATCATGAAAAGTCCGATTTATACGTCGAAATGGAATATGCCGCAGGAGGAGCGTTACTCGATCGAATACATAAGACGTACATTATGGATGAAGATGAATGTAAATTTATTTTTTATCAGATTGGATGTGCATTGGCATATTTACATCGATTAAAGATCGTAAGAAGAATTGACTTCGTAGAAAAATAAATGCTTGATCGTTGTTGTTTAGGTTCATCGAGATATAAAACCAGCGAATGTTCTTCTCATGTCAAATGAACGAGAAACAGTTGCGAAACTAAGCGACTTTGGTGTGGCAAAGTATGTCTATGCGTCTTCGAGATATCTCAACACAACCATCGCTGGTACACAGCAATTTATGGCACCGGAAGTACAATTTCAGACAGGACATTCAACAAATGCAGATGTAAGAATGAGAATCCTTCCAAAACGAGTATATTTATTTAGTTGATTTAAGTCAATAGAAGGACAAGACAATATTTTGTTTCTTCTAACGTATTTTTTTGCGTGAATGAAAACGCAAATAAACAATTTGCTGATATGTTTGTTTTCTCTTCTAGGTTTGGTCGTTTGGTATGACTCTGCTAAATGCATATGTTGGCGATACCGTGTTTCGTTTACGTGGTATCCGAGCGTTGAATTCAGTTTCACATACGAAGAAAGACTTGAAAGAAATCATTACGAAAACTCTAGAGAAGAATACATATGCTCGACCAGATATGAGTCAATTATTTCGTTACTCGTGGTTTCGCGATAGCACATGTTTCGAACGAATTCAAAAACTTGTTCATGCGCAGACTGGTAAACTGTTGAGTCTACCTTACGAAAGATAAGAGTGTCGATTCATACGTTGTTTTTTTTTCCTTTCTTAACAGCGAAAATTTGTGAATTTTTCTTTTCTTCTTCCCTACATTTGTTTGTTCTTCATGTTAATTTGTTTATCTGATACTAATTCTCTCTTCTTTCTTTCTTTTTTTTATACAGTATGAAATCATTGGTGACTAATAAACAATCAAATATCGCTTTTTCTTCGTCTCTCATCATAAACCCACGCTCGGATTTTGTCTGGGATCAGAAAGAAAAGGTTACGTCAATAATCTCTCGGTGAGAGATAACCTTTGCCATTCTACATTATAAAAATGAGTTATCCGCGTCGATTCAATCATGATTTTGAATTGTTCCAATAATTGATATTAATGGATACGTTTCCTCCGAATATATCACTGATAGTATTGTTTTATCAACACACACACAAACATCTGGTTAATAAAGAAGACAATTGTTTATCCATTTCTTTTTCATATAAGGCAACAAAGAACAAACGGGTATATCATATCATATATCGTGTATACTTTGAATTCGATATCAACCATAAAAGATGTTTAGACATTCTTCAAATGAATGTCTGACTTATGTTAAGTTACTTGTTTTCACTAAGATATGACGTCACGAGCCTTTTTGCGGTTGGTACTGCGAAAGGAAAATAATTACGCGTGTTTTATCTCATGCTGTTAGCCTCCAGCATGATAGTCGTTCGAATCGTATTGATTTGTGTATAGTTCTTGGTTTCTTGTGGATGTTTTAGTGAGGAAAAAACGCAGCTATGATTTATTACTGCTTGTATAGTTGTTGTGAATCTGCTCGTCGTCTGTATAGAAGAATAACAAGAAGAGCGTCGACAAATGGATAACACTGACTTTCTTTTATCCTGCTTTTCTTTGTGCTGAATATCGATACTAGGCGGCAAAAGGCGATGAAAATATGTCTCGAAACAATTATAAGTCCGACGAGTTTTCTCGATAGTCGGAAAAGAAGAAAAACATAGATCTTTAGGATACACAGTTGGTAAAGCTCACAGAATAGTATCGTTCTTGTCAACAACGGCTCGGCTGAATACAAAGCAGCAAAGACTTTGTCCTTTGGTAAAAAAACATCTTTTTGTAGTTTTTACACTATCTTTACTATTCAATAGTACAAATGAATGGCTTTGACCTCGAAGGAAACATCGGAAACGAATACTGACGAAGTTAACTCAACAGCATCGAACGACAAAACTGCCATGGAACAAGAGGAAATCGAACATATGGACTCATTCGTAGCTGACGAAGAACCAATCCATTTGTCAGTAGCTTCACTGGAATCGGAAAATGAGAGTCGAGAAAGTTGCGATAGTAGCAATCGAACACTTTCTAAAACGCGCTCAGTCAGCTTTGCTCCAATGGTGGAAGAATACGAAATCCCAGCTCGATCATCGATTTCTTCCGATTGTTCGACTGATTTCCTTGATGCACTCGTTGAAAGTTATAAACTTCAAACATCCGTCAATCTCGGTTCAGTTCCCGAAGAAAAAAAATATATTCGAAGGACAACTCATCTACGTTCGAATCCAAATTGGCGTGAACACCGTATTCGACGTTTAATGAATCGATTAGAAGAATTAACACTTTGGGATCGAGAAGAAGAATTAAAAGCTTCTCAAGCTCAATCTCTACGTTCGCAAAAACTAGAACAAATCCATGATCGTCAACGGAACAACGACCTATGTTTACAACTAATGCGTCAACGGCATGAAAGCGAAATGGAAAGCGCTGTGCTCTTAGATCAACAAGCAAATCCAGTTAACAAAGAAAACATTCATGCAATTATCTCACGTACAATGAATTTAACGTCGCCATCCGACGCACAGGATTACAATCTGCCAAATCCGCCGTACCAGCTCAAACGACGTATCGAAAAAGAAGAAGAAGCTATGACACATTTGAAAACGCCCATCGGCCGGTATCGCCGATTTGAGAACAACATGAACACTAAACTTGAAAAAATCAATCAAAATTTCAAACCCGACTGGCAAATCATGCGCGCGTATAATCCATACTGCACGTCAATACCTGCGAATGTTGTACCATTATTTCACGAAACGTATGCATCATTACTTTCAATACCGGACGCATACTCTCGTCAATCATCACACGCCTCAAGTCCGGATTGCGAAGCACGTGTCCAAGCTCGTGCAAATCGAGATGTACGTGTGCCATTGAAAGATCACAGCACTGACAATAGCGATAACGATGATGATGACGATGACAATGGTAAACATCGAGGGAAAAACTCGCGCTTGAGTTTTAGTCCAGCACGGCGATCGACAAGTGCCACACCATCGAGTAGTTCATCGAAATATGACTATTCATACGTTAACTCTCGACAAATCCCTTCGAATAACATATATCGACGAAGTTTTCATGATGATTTCAATAGTTTAACTTATTATTCATACGAAACCCACGATCGCCATTTACCAACTCGTCTTGAATCATCAAATGACAAATCAACCAGCAAATCTCGCTCATCATCTATCCCCGCCAATAGACGCATCAATTTCAACCATCACGATAGTGAACATTTTAAAAAATCCTATCAACCAACGATGGTCTCGCTTTCATCAATCAAATAATCGCGTAGTTTTAGATCAATTCGAACTTTTTCGTGTGTCAATATTTCATTTCTAAAAAACAAAGTTTCTAAACGCAATCAATTGCCATGTCACTCATTTTTTTTTCTCTATGTATCGAAACTCCTTTGCTCTGCATACACAGATTCTGTTTATACAAAAAACACCAACTAGATTGTCATTCTATCCGAAAAATAAACATAAACATGATACTCTTTCAAGTGAATCTAAGATATTTGATACTAGACGAAGCCAAGGTCAGTCCGAACCTCTTCCTCCACTTCATCATCATCATCATGAAATCTATGTCTTGTTCAATGATGTTATATAACAGTTTAATTTAATGATCAGACATGTCCTCTTCATTTTCGATTTGATCAATCATCGGTCGGGATGAACCTGATCTGTTCTCCCTCTTGCATTCAACTATAATTCATCAGACAAATCTGAAATGCGATAAATCATGCAGATCAATGCGTTCTATGCTGTTGAAGATGATTATAACATGGAAATTAATTTGTCTAGTTCATTGGCAAACAAGATTTTCTCGTTACTTGGGTTCAAACAAAAAATGCTTTTTTTTCTGTTCAATATCTTCTTAGCATGAGCTTTTCACACATATTTCTTCTTCATAATCTAGTGTTAATTCCTGATTTTACCACGAAGATTACTCGTCAAGCAGGAATAGATAAAAAAAAAAAAGCTTTTTTTTTCAGTGGTTTTCTTTTATTGATAATCAAACAAGTAATTATTATCTTTCACAACAAGGAGGAAAAGAGAGAGAAAAAAAAACATGTTAAACTATTTCGGTCATATTGACTAGGTTTATCGAAACACGAATCGATCAGTTCACATTGATTTGTTCGCTTGTCAACGCGTCAATATTCTATTATTTGGTGAGAATTCATTTGTCAATGATATCTACGAAAGAGAGAGAAATGAGAAAATTCAATAGTCATAATAATATTGATCGAATGGATAGATCTGAATAGCAGAAAAAAAGAACGAGTTAATCCATCCTATTCACAACCTGAAAGCAACCATAAAATCATGTCGAATGGACACTTTTTGGTTGTGAAAAGGATATGATTATATCTTCGAAGTAACTAATCTCGTCTCCTATTTATTTACCATTCCACTATCAAGTGAACATTGAGAAGTTCGACATGGTAATGACGGATGATTATCTATGAAATAAGCAAAAATTTTAGATATATAAATAAACAAACTGATCTCTTGTTCTTTCTTACTGATTGGTAATGCCATATCGAGTAAAGAGTTCGATAATGTTCTCGATAATGGTCGATCACGTTTTATTGTTGGATGATCAATTAATGATGAGAGAATGCCATGATTATTTGTTATATCAACAAGTGAATTAGATGAAGCACGTAATTGGTCGAGCTCAGCTTGACGAGACAAACCATCCATTTCATTCATTTCTAAGATTGCTTCCTTCAAATCATCGCAGAACTTGCTACGATCGTGTTCATTTCTTGCGTTGAAGACAATTAGATTGATTTCATTCGTATCCGATTTGCGCACGAGACGGATACCATATTGATGATCTGTCCAAATGTTTAGAGATAAACTAGATAAAGAAATGCGAGAAAGAAAGCTTACATGACGTTTGAAACAAATAAACATTCATTCCCGACAGACAATACGCTTGCCGAAACTGCTGGTGCTTTTTTCCTGAGAGTTTGCTGATCTAATTTAGAGAAAATGACTTATTCACAACTTTGCTACCAAAACTTTCTACTTACTACTAGTAAATCATTGAAAAGATACACTTCACGTTGGTGAGCGGTGAGTTTCTCACGTTTGGTTACATCATAGATTTCATATAGTCGACAATAGCACACCAGTCGACGATGCGGTGCTGTTAGAGTTGGTTTCTTTCCAACTAATCCTTGTTCGAATTTCAGAACTTGACTCACGTGATCATGATCGGGACAGAATTCATCCGCACGAATCCGCTCGTAAATCCCAGTTAAATAATTGACATCGAGATCTGCACCATCATTTACAGCTAAAAATATAATAATCATTATTAAGAATAGAAAAGAATCAAGCTGAATGAGTATTGACATATAGTTTTCTCTCTTTCTTCATCTTCGTCTCGCATGTTTTAGCTTAACAACGACAAGGCGAGCGATAGCAATGAGTGGTACTACTGCACGCAAGCGGTCGATGATTTATAGATGATGATTTTCTTCGCTTTTTTTCTCTTACATACATCCAAAGAGGAAATGAAGAAAAAGCCGCACTCTCTCCTTTTCCTTTTTCTCTCTCTCTTCTCTTTCTTCGGTTCAGTGCAACATTTTTGCTTCGTTTCCGTTCCCTGTCGTTGCTGCGATTTGCGGAAAGAATCAGTCTAGGATATAGTATTGTGAAAATTGAAATGATCGATTTTGATTCTATTCTTTCCATTTTTCTCTTTTCCCTTTAGCTTTTCCTATCGACAAAGAAGAGAAGAAAGCAATTATTTCTCTCTTTCCCCCCCCCCCCCTCTCTCTCTCTCTTTCTTCTTTTAACGTTAATGCTATTACTAACATGGAGTGAGACCGTTCGCCTAAGTCTACACGAGCCGAAGGAAAATTCGATTTTGACTATGAGCGAAAGACCTTGACAGGATTGATGATAAAAAGAAAAAGTAGTTGACGAGTGAGTAAATAAGTGAGTAAACGCTTGTTCTCATCGAAGCATTTTCTTCCACTTGTCTTTAATGAACGAGTGTCGGATTGAGCGTCAAGCGGAAATCGGCTCTCTCCATCTCTTTTTCTCATTGCCTCTTTATAGCAATCAAGTCGATAGAGAATTTCAAAGAGAAAAAGCAAGAATGATTCTCTCAATAACGGTAGTGGTGGGTGTTTCCTCTCGGTTTTGGAAGAAAAAAAGCGTATGATTCGATTTTCTTTCTACTTTCTTACGCTTCCGCTTACGGAAACGAAGCAAAAATGTTGCACTGAACCGAAGAAAGAGAAGAGAGAGAGAAAAAGGAAAAGGAGAGAGTGCGGCTTTTTCTTCATTTCCTCTTTGGATGTATGTNCGATTGAAATTTTCGGAGAGCAACATCGATTGACATATCATGAAAATCGAATTCATTCACAAAGGCACTGAAAGTAATCGAATTTACTCCAGAAGACTTATCTAATAAAACTCACTGTAAGACTTGCATAGCAAATGAATCTTGCAAATTGCCGAGATATTCGCCAATCATTTGCCGACTGAGACCTTTGCGCGAAAGGAGAAAGCGCGCGACGGACTGAGAATTGGAATCAATAAAACGATGAGCGATCAAATAACGAATGCCGCGTTCAGGCTTCCTATGAAAAAGAATGATATCTATATAATTGATAGTTAACATTGAAATCTCAATGAATACAAATAGCTTTCCGGTAATTCATTAAATGTACATTTGTCTTAGAAAATCCTTCGAACAAGACAGATGATCATTTCGTCTGAGGAATGCCCTTTCACTATGAAAAAGAGATTAACATACTTATTGAATATATTCAATCCGGCTCGATAACATCGTCGTCGATAGATTTCGTTGTTTCGAATGTTTTCTAAACGTTCATTTCCTTGTAAGATGATTTGATCGTGTGGAATTAATGCTTGTTGCTGCAATTCAATACTATTGGATGAGAATCGATTTGATAATGATCCTGAATTTGATTCACTACTCAATGATTGTAAACTCATACTATCATGATCTGAACTTAATGTTGATGACGGACTTGTGAAGGTCAGAGTCGATGGATTGGAACTTTCCGTTGGTAAATCAGCTGATTTCGATGTTGACAATGGTGTTTTTTTCTTCCATATAGGCGACGGTTGACTCGAACGAGACTTCAACGATAAACTTCGAACTACGCAGAAATTAGATGTGGTTAGTGTCGATATACAGTTGAAGGAGTAATCTAATCAAGGAAATGGAAAAGCAATAATCTAGTAGCAAAGGTTTTTTCTCTCTTCCAGATGCTTGTCTTTCTTTCTAATAACAAGGTTAGATGAATTCTATTGACAAACTATGTTTTATCTATTATCGTCAAGGTTTTTACCCGATGGTGTCGATTTCCGACATTCGATTGGTGAACCCGTCAAATCTTTGTAGAAACTCTGATCATTTATAGTTGAATGTGTTTGATCAAGACCGTTCGGTTCATTTGTTTGTCGATCAATAAAATCGCTCAGGCTATCAGCTTGTTCGTAGACATGATTTATCATTGGATGATCAGTTATAATACAAACACGTTTTCTGGTCTGTTGGTGCTGAAAAGAATTTTCCGGTTGTTTCGTAGATTCGATGAAATGTTCGAAATTGATCGAGGGTAAGTCTAGATGATGTTCGGGAAAGTGTCGTTCGGACTTCCTCGAGATTCTCAAACATGGTTTCAATGGTTTTATGATTTGATTTTGTTCGAGAAATGTACATGACAAACGTTTGTTGGTTTTGACAGTTGCACATAAATGACGAAAGTTTTCTTTCAATCGATATTGACGATATCCACGTTGAATTATAATTGCCGCACGACGACATCGCAATTTTCCGCCATACTTTCGTTCAAGAATTTCAATCTGCTTATCACGTAAGTCTTGCGAGAGATCATAGTTCGTTAATATCGTTGGCCGATAATCAATCTTTTTATTAGCACTGAAAGAAAAAATTCAAATGAGCAAGTAAATCTTCCAGCTGTCAAACACCAAGGCGAAAAGTCTCTCAGGTTGTGTGATTGTCAAAATTGATGAATGACAATATATATATATATAAGATGGATCAACATGTCGTGCTTCTCCTAGCCCTATAGCGTAACATGTTGTCTATTCACTTCGTTCGACACATGTATAGATGATAGCAGACATGCACATTTATCTATCTGCTGACAGGATGCATGCACATATGTTTGTTCGCTTAAAATTGATTACGCAAAGACATGCATATGCAACCTTGATTCAAGAAGGAATTTCGAAAGGAACTTACATCGTTTTAATATGACATCTCTGCTCTTCAGATAGTAATGAAATGATATAATCGCGTTCGACTTGAATCGTTTGAATTTGGGTTTGGAGTTTGGCGAGTTCATCTTGTTGTTTCTTGATGATATTGTCTTTCTCTTCGATCAATGTCCGTGTTCCACCCGGAATCGGACAATCGATTCGTTGGCGTAAAAACTGTTCCATGCCGTCGTTTTAATAATCCGAAAATTGCAAGTTCAATCTGACTGATGATGTAAATGTTATTCTTCGTCGAACGGTGAGAGAGCGAATGTAAAGGAAAAACAGAATTGTTGACGAATATTCATTGTTCATCTGAAGTATAAAAAAGAGAAAAGAAAAGATCGAGTATCAAGACAGAAAAAAAGGAAAGTATGCGAATACCACGATTTATTATTATCTTTTTCCTCAACTGTTGTTACTGTGACATTGGAAATGATGGATGAAATAGGAAGAAAAGAAGAAGATCTGATACTCTATTGTTGAGTCAAATCTTGTTGGTGACATGAGTTCAGGCGAACAAAGAAGAGCACTAATAGATAGAAGTTATTAGAAGAGTATGTCAACGAAGGCGACATAAACAGGCAGCTCTTCTTGAAAAAAGTGAAGAACAATTAGAATGATAGAAAAGAAAAATGACATTTTTCGATTAGATTCCAGGAAACGACGCGAATTCGTGGGAAAATTAGGGGAGAAAAAGTGACTATTGTTCATTTTGCATTGCAGTTTATCTAAGGTTTAGAATAACAGAAAGAATAAATGAGAAGCTCTAATGCTAATTGGATTGCGGATAGGGTTGTGTTTGGTAACATCTCCCGGGATGAGGGGTTACAATATAAAGAAAGAAAAAGAAAGTAGGAATATGTCGAGTTCATCTTTAATTGAAATCGACAGAGTACAATTAGGATGTGAAGCGGAATGAGTATGACTTCTTACATAAAACAATGTACGGAAACGACAAGAATGCATCGAACTTAACCGACAATCAGATCAAATAAAGACGAGTTTGTCTGTCACATACTGACATAACTCATCTTGATTGCATATATCGATCTTCTTCTCGCTTTTTTTTATCTTGTTTCATTCAACTCTATCGATTCGATATGCTATAGACAATCAATTGAAGATTATTATGATCATCATCATTATTATTATTATTACATATATCTATTGGCACTTCACATCCGAGATCGTCTTCATTTCATTGATAAGTAGTGCACATAGCAAGATTGATAGAATACAAACACATGCTTGAATATCGTCGAGAATAGATATAAACGGATTACAAACCTTGACCGCAAAGAAAAAAGATGAGAGCGCGCGCGAAGCCTCCTAAAGCTCGACAAGTCATTTTAAAATAACACAAGAAAAGAAAAGAACACTTACAAGATATTTTGTCACTGCTACTCCCTTCTGTCGCATCTGTGATATAACACGAATCGAATATAATCAGTCGGTTTAATAAACCTCATTCTCTATTTACTCTGTACATCATGTATAAACACGAATCAATAAACACAACTGACAATATTGATAAAAGATAGTGAAACTGGTCATAATTACAGTACATGGCACTATCATCAGTTGACTTTGTGATGAAAGAAAAATAATCATCAAAAAAAGGATGTAGTCACATCCTGCGTGTATGTAACAGCTAATGGAAAAGTAGCAACTATTTCTTCTACTGATGGAGTAGTCAGACATCCAACGTCCATTAATGCATTTATATATATATATTATATACTGTTCTCTTCGTTAGATAGTTTATTGTTCCTACTATTTCTCTCGTTCTCCCTAATTTCTTCTGACATTGACAATAATGCTAAAGCTCAATCGAATTATATATAAGCGCAGTTCCAGGATCCAACTCGTCTGACGTGTCACAAACAGTGGTTAGATAAAAGAAGGCTGTTTTTTCTCGTTATGAGAATACGAGCTGTCTGGATTGAAGATAAATCAATCAAATCAAATGGAAGTTCAATATTGATATAGAAAATCTTGAAATAAGATGCGCATAATGACGTGAAAATGTCTTCATTGATTTTCTCGGGAGAACTATCTATGCTCGAACGATTAAAGCAAGAACAATCAAGTCGATTCAATTTGTCTGGTTCTCAAGAGAGTCTAACATTGATGATAAATCATCTCAAATGGCAAATCAAAATCGGAATGACGACTATTTAGAAGATTTCGTTCTTATAGCGAAGAACGAATTCGCTTTTCTACCTGAAAGTTAATTGATGCGGATTAAGAAGCTGACCTTAACTTTTTCTTTCAAAATGAAAGGTTGCTGACGATCAAGAGGTTATGTAATCTTCATGCTACTTTTATGTTGAAAAGTCAATAAGGTTAATCGTTTGTATCGCGCCTTATATATCACATGACTGAGAATAGCTTTCATTTCTATATGAATCGACTCATTAGTTCGTTATCATTTCCGCAAGTTTAGTTTAGTTTTCAAAAACAGATACAAATCAAAATCTGTCTGAGATCCATAATATCAGAACTTGTTTAGTATATAAAAAAAAAGCAGAAAATGTTTATTGAATTTGGCACGTATCGATTTTGGACTGATTTATGAAAAAATTGTTGATTCCAAGTAAACGGTAAGTGAGTAGTTTTGGAAGAACTTGATCATAGTTCTTTGAGTTTACTTTTCGTTGGCTAAAAGATTCTGATACAATAAGATTATTTCTTCAAAACTAGATTACTTTGGAGCCTCGTCCTGGAAATGTTTGTTGGTCAATAATCACCTCATAACATTCGGGCTGATTGATGAGAAACTCTTTGATTTCGTATATACGTGAACCATCATCAATGCCGAACACTATTTTGTTATCATCACCTACGAATCTACGATGCCAAAAGATTGTCTCTTGTTTTATTTCTAAAAAAATCTTACTTATGCACGTCGTAGAGAGCATTTCGTAATCCCATCCACCATATTAGTGCAATTTGCTCAGTTTCACGTTTCGTTGGGTTGCCGGCGACGAGTGCAGTTAGCATCGTTGCTTGTCCTTTTTTCATTTGAGCAAATAACTTCTCGGGATCTTTTCCAGTGAGCGGTCGTTTCGGCTGATGTTTTCTCGGATCGTCTTCATCATCTTTCGATGAACCATCTTCGTCATTTTCCTATCGAAAATCAGTTTAGACAAGAAACAATTCCCCTGAACATTACCTCCCATTGTTCGAACAATCTATTCACATCATCGTCAGTGTAATCGATTGGATCTCTATGTTTATGATCTCCATAAGCGGCAAACGTGACATTCAACGTGTAGATCAGAACAAAGCCGAAGATTATCAAGTACCTCGAACACATTTCGACGGAAAAAAAGAAACGAAATACAATTTGTTTGCTCTGTATGAAATTTTCATTTAAATGGATTTGATTGCCAACAACATGCCACGCTACGTTACTCAATAGGAGTAGTTCAGGTGAATTTAAAACGAAACTGCATCCAATCAAAAGTAAAACATTTGACAAGTTTTTCTCCTTGATCAATAGTGCCATCTGAGCTTCTTTTCGTACAAATCTGTTTCGAGAATTCAATCATTCGTCATCTGATAAAATCTTGAATGCCTTTTCTGTTGATTAGATGACTGCTGTTTTCTGTCAATACATCAAAAGCATAAATAAACGAATTGTAAGAATGTCAGCAATGATGCGACTGACCTTCGTATTCAAATGGGTAGACATGCTGACGAAATCGACACTCATAACAATACTTGAGGTATCTAAGGACGTTTTTGCAGATAATTACGTTGATAGAGAACTTCTGGGACATGATCGCTTTGTCAAATCAAGATAAAGATTTGTTTATGTCTAATCAGATCCGAACGTTTTCCGCATATATCGTTTGATCCGTTCAAGAAAGGCAGATCTTTGTAAAAATCATCGGCAGAGATGCAGAATGCTACTGGCAAGTCGAGGTCACCCAGTTCCGACTTTCCAGGTCTATGTAGGTCCTGTTCATTAGGCATGGCCATGGTCTGAAATCATCTGGGATTGACTGATTTGTAGAAAGCTGTTCGTTCAAAGATATTTATGTAACAAATCGAACAATAAAACGAAAATGTTAACGAATACGTAAAAATCTACCGAGAAAGAATACTGAAATCAATAAATGTGTACGCTGATCTATGCTATTCGAAACGATAAAGAAGAAGGATCATCCAAGCAGAAAACAAAAACAAGCAAACATGAATAAGATAGAAAGATTAATGAAAAGCACAAGAGAAAAAAAAGCATTGCTACGGATACTTTTCTTTTGACACGAAACTCGCTTTCTCTCTCTCTCTCTCATTTGCAATTAATAGGAATGTTGATGGGCATTAAGCGTAGTTGTGTTCGAAAGAATCTTGTCCCTGAGTTAACTAAATGACAGAATAGAAGAGAACATATGCACGTCATTCATACATAATCGTTTCCATCTAGGACAAGGTCATTAATGGCTATCGGAGTTCTTCATCATCACTTTCCCATCGAGAGTGTTCATTCCATATGCATAAATAATTATGTAAAGCCGAACAAAAGAGACAAAAAATGATACTCTGTCACCGGACAATGTCGATATACATTTGTTAGATGTTCTTGCTTGTTGAAAGACTAAACATTCGAACTGACTGGCGGGACGCGTCGAAAGCCAGTTTTAGTCGATGTTATGGATGCACGGCGGTTAAAATACCAAATGATTGTTCCAACGACAAGAACACTTATGACTGTAACACCTAATAATGACAATGCAATGGATTTTAAGCGTTTGTTTCTGATTATTAATTGCTGGTGTTCGTCATTATCGGTTAACAATTGAGATTTATGGATCGCTGATTGAGAATTAATGTTGACATCATCATCATCATCGGTCGAGATTTCATTTGGATCGATCGGCTTATTTGCTTTGAATGATGATGCGTGTAAACCCTAAAAATAGAAGAAAGTAAAATTTGTCCTAAAGAGTCAAGAGCTCAGAGTGATCATCAGTCTTAACTGAAAGCTAACTATGTCAACTTTATATGAAATTATATGTGAGAGGAAACAGGGGAAAAGATGAAGCAAGAGAAAAAAACGGCAAAATGTCATACGAAGAAAAGAGGGTAAGTAAAAAACTATAAAAATATGAAAAAGATCACCAATGAGGTCCATTATAGGAGAATAATGGATTATTCTGAGGGAAATGTTTTCGACTTTTCTTCTTTCCCTTTCTCGTTCGCTTTCTCAACGCGGGATCAGATCGCGGTAATGCCGCCGCTGCTGCTGCCGGTAATGACTGAACTGGCTGTATAATAATCACCTGTGTTTCTGCATATGATGAGCCACTTGAATCATCGTTCGAATTCGAACCATGATATACCGGTGGATGACGAGGTATGTAAGACGGGAAACGGTCGGGATTTGAATTGAATGTGATTGGATTATCAGAAATACTGGCATCGATTGATGGGATGACTTCTCGACTGTTAGATGGTTCTTTTGAAGGAAAACGAAACTTTTTCACCACGTCGCATTCACTCAGTTGACAACGTTCTTGTTGAGTGTTCTCACATAGTTCTGTATATGATTGCTCCGGTTTTTTGTTGATCAAATTGAGAATGAAATCATAAACACAATCACAAAATTCGGCTTGTGGCGGAAGAATAATCATCGATGGATTTGCTTTCAATTGTCTTTGCAAATGACGAGCTAGAATACATTTTGACGATGGATACAGTTGATCGAGAATCACTTTTGAGAGATCGAAACGTGTCAAATAATCTAAATGATCAAATGAATGTTCAGAAAGATAACGAACATTTGATCCGAGAGTAAAAAACCGAGTACGCAAGACAGGTTTGAATGTATTATCTAGAAAAATATCAATAGAGATTCAACAAACATTCCTCTGCTTTTCTAACCTTTGATTGTTTCGGCATCGAGTTCGATTGTTTCGAGGTTTGGTAGGTATTGAAAACCATCAAATGACCGGTTATCGAAGAAAAACTTCGGTCGAATCAAATGTACACCGTGCAAATGATAATAAGAAGCAAAAGATGAAGCATTCAGTTTTCGTGGTTCATGTGCCTCGATAATCATCGAGCCGACCGGATAATTCGGGAATTCCTCACTCGAGACCATTTCGACCATTTTAGTAAATTTTCCTGAACGAATTTTCCCGTTGAAATATCTTCGTAGCGTGTTATTCACTCGCGGTGTACAACCTGCAGAAACATAGATAAAACACTGCAGATCACATCGGTCTTCTTACCTTCGACTGCTAAACTACCGATATTCGTTTGATTAAAGATTTCCTCGAATGAGTACGGTTCCAAGGATGAACTATGCAATGACATTTGATCGACAGTCAGTTGATTGAATGCCATTGGTGAAAATGAAATATGTCCACTCGATGTTAATTCCAACGAGAGACTCGTTGTGTACTCAGATTTCTCTCCAAAGAGTTGATAGAACGAATAGTCTTCGAAATGTAATTGAAGATAATCTTGAAACGTTAAAATGATCTTCAACATGCTTTGTCGTCTGCCCGAACTCGATGGTCGAGGAAACAGATACGATAACTGATTGATGAACATTGCACTAATATTGAAATCTCTTGCATGAAAAGTTAAATGAAACGAATCGAATGTTCGCGGATTTTGCAAAGTAAAATTTGTTATTTTGATTGAACCATTCAATGGTGTATGATGATTTGTACAAGCCAATTGTTCAGTTTGGTTATTTAACGATGAATGGCATTCGCATGACATATTTTCCAGTATATCACATGGCTTGGATGTTACCATTACGATCGAGATAATGAGAAGAAGAATATCATTGATTATGTAAGCCATGTTGTTGTTGTTGTTGTTGAGCAAATGACTAGAGGAGATCTAAAGAAAGGATCGCTCGATGAATGTATACATATCTGTTGATTGTCGAATTGTATGTATATATGTACGTGACGAAACGTTATTACTACTCGGTTACTTGTTATCGCAATCCTCACTTACGTATATGTATGTCCAAGGATAAAACTAACCTCACAATAGTGTGAGAGAGAACGGAGCTTTTTCAGTTGAGTATTTACATATTTCTACGCATTGTTTTTCTTTCTATGTTAAATAATCTGTTGTCTGTATGAGATCTTTTCTCTCTCTCTCTCTTGTACAATTATTCCGCGAAGATCGATGATGAAAATTACACTTCATTTAGTAATCGAATCTAAGGAGGTGAGGGCATCGTTGATGATGCGATGTGCTAGTGATAAAAAATTGAGATGAAATCTTTCTCTGCAGGGTATGAACAAACATTTAATATCTATAATTATTCTTGCCTTTCAATGTCAATGATTATCATCTCACGAACGATATTTATATTCTGTGTATCGTTATTAATCGATCGTCAACATACACTACTGACACAAACGCGAGGAGAATTGCATAATCGCGAGAAGAAGTCAAACAAGGGTGGGACACTTATCGTGTAAGCGAGAGACTTAGACCGATTGTTTAATTGAGCTTCACTGGCATTGTAAAAAGACGAAAGAGCCACGAACGCGTTGGAGAAATGGAAAATAACGTTAATGGAATGATAACGGACTGGTGTCAACAGTAGTATCTTCTCATTTTACATGCAAATGGAAGAAACAAATATGTATACTCGACCAACTGTTCTGTCTTCAACCTGTCGAAGGTCATTAGTGATAAAGCAAAGAAGTGATTTTTGTTATTTGCCTCAGTTAAAATAACAAAAAAAGAAGTTCTCGAAGAGAAAGCTTTACAAAAAAATCTGATAAACATCATCAGAGAGACGATTTATTCATCTCAACTAGAAGATATTTCTCCTTGACAGCGATATCTTCGTCTAAACGAACTTCTTCGACTGCCTAAATGATAATGATAATGCCAGTTTTTTCCTCGCTCTCTTTCTCGTCATTATCATTTGACCTCGAAAGAATGTCTCAGATGCATCATTTTCATTTATATTCTCTCATAAAGTCAAGTCTTCCACATTCTTACGTATGCAAGGTAACATTCAAGTCGTAAAAGGAGGCAAATACTTAATTTGCTTTTGTTTTAAATACAGTCGAAGTGCGAAAAAACCTTGAGAGATAAGAGCGCGAAGGAAGAACGCGATTCTTTAAATAACTTTTTCGAACGAGATAATCAATCATTGATTAGTAATAATCATCTTAATAAAAATTTATTAACGATCTTGTACAGATTAGTTCTTATCGATTAATTGAATTAACTCAAACGAACATGAGAGAAACTTGTTTAATAGAAATCGATCGACTTACAGCTTGAATAGTACTGTATTACAAACTGTAATTGATCCTGGTTTCTTCTTTGAATATACCGTACTAATTATGATAACAATACGTTCGTCGTTGTACTTACATCGATATGTGCTTGAAGTGTGTATAAGGACAAAACTGTTCTTTATATAGGGAATGAGAGAAGGAGAGAAGACAGAAAAGAAAACGTACATTATCGTTTTTATCTCATTCCCGATAAACCGCAAAGACAACGCACGGAACGGTAATGGAAAAATAAATCCATTAGATTGATATAAACAATTTGCTTGCAAGTCGTTTCTTTCCGTTTTAGATGACCTTTGAGATTTGGATCTGATCGAAAGGAAACAGGTTTTTATGTTTATTTAAAAAGACAAAATGTAAATCTACACACAAAAGGGAAAGAGAGAGACAGAGAACGGATGTTCAATGAAATTCATCCAGCTTTTTTTCTATCGAATGGATCGCGCCACACGGGCAAACCTAAAAACAAATTCATTAGCGTGTGAATAGACCTTAATTGATATTTACCAGCCGGTTGTACGTCTTCCGGATTGATTCCCGCGCGGTTATGTTTTTGAATACTACCTAAAAATCAAACACATGATACTATCGAGACAAGTTCTTCGGCTCTGGCTTACGATAGCGATCGATATTTAAATACGGGTAGATAAATACTAATCCTAATGCTCCAGCGATTGCAGCGACAGTACCAACGATCGCTACTCGTGTTGCCATACCGCCAGTTTGAGCGGCACTCCATTTGGATGAACTGAGCCGTAGATCAGGCCTGGGTAAACGTTTTTCTGGCTGTTGAGAATTCATAATACGATAGAGAAGGAACAATCTGAAACAGATTTTATTTTTTATCATTCCCATCAAAACCGAAATAAAGATGAAACATTTTTTCTAGTTGTTTCTCTTGTAAATATTGATGAAATTGTCCAAAATCACCTTTGCCACTATTATCAAGCAACGAATTCAATTCTTCGAATCCTTGAAAACGTAAATGTTCTTCATGATGATCGTCGAACAGTTCTTTCTCTTTCATTTGCAATCGCTTCCATGTTAATTTTCGTAACCGTGACCAATACTCATCCACATCACACTGTTGCCCTTCAACACATATGATACCCGGTTTACCCGGTAGAGAAAATCCATTCAAATGTAATTCATTCGCCCAATTGACAATATTTCGACGTTTTTCTGTGTTATAAATATGATGACTGTAAGTCCACAGCCGCGCATAAGACTTCTTCGTCGGGAGTTGTTCAGTTGTGTTTTTCGATGGAGTGAAGATCTGGTAATGATCTTGAATCCAAGAGAGAAATTCCATTACGTATGGTTCTTCGACGGAAGATTTCTCCTTGTGAAACTGTTTGACTAGTTCATGAAATTTTTCATACAATTCGCGCGAAAGATACGTTCGGAGATGAATATCAACAGGTAATTCAGGATAATGAATCGGATAAACAAATTGCAGTTCAATTGTCGTCTAAAGAATAAGAAGATCAGTGATTTTACAGTGAACAATAGCGAATTTTTTTACATTGATGTCGTTCAGTTGGAGTTTAAGAATGAAACTGAGATTTCTTTGAAGATTATCTTGTTTCCCATCAATGAATTGTTTGGCTTCATTGAATGCATCGATATCATCGAGATAGAATTCGTCTGTAGATGGGTAACAACAACGTAGTAGTTCGATTTCGTTCAATTGTTGTTCGATATATGAACGAATCAATGCCATTACACGACTTTTACTTTTATCAACAAGAAGGAAACGAAAAGAAAGGTTCGCGTTTTTCCATGATTTTTTTAATGTCACAACGAGAGAAAGAAAACAATACAAAAATCGTTGACGTTCTGCTTTTTTTTCTTGTTTTTAAACTAACTAGACAGATTAAAACAACAATACGTTGAGAAAAACAATTGTGGACATTTCAATGTTTCAGTTTATGATGACGTTGACGGTGTTTTATCACAATTGATCGATCATTTTATTAAAAAGCTAGAATGAAAAGCAACCATCAGACCAAATCTAAGAGTAAAGAACGACATACCTGTATGGATATCCTTGATATTTAGCTCGAAATACAGAAAGTAAGAAACTGAAGAAGAACACGACCATTAAAATGCCGAGAACAGCTGTCATGGCTGAAAGAAAGCATATCGTGAGCGTTCATCGAGCAAAAAAGGTATGTTGTGAACTGACCTTTACGTTTGCCAGTTTGACCGGTTAGTTTGGGTGCTTCGTTCAATAAGATCATACCGCCGCAAACTCCGAAATGTGAAAAGAAAAAGGAAAGAGAAGTTAAGGAGAATAAAAGTTTGCATTTGTCCTAAAAATAAATCAATCAGCAAGAAAAAGGATATAGAGTACGAAGACCTAAAGACAAATGAACAAATATTAATAAAAAAAAACGAGGTGAATTCTTATCGAACTTACGACATAAGTTTCGGCGATGAATTGATATCCTGAACTTCCACTAAATAAACCCTGGGAAAACAACATTTTCGTATTTATTCAAAACCTCGACTTACAATTTGGCCGGTTTGCGGATTACGGTGTAAGAATGGTGAACCTCGAATACTATTCCAGATTTGTCCCGAAATACAAATTAAAATAGCCAACTAAACAAGCGCGAATCAATCGAATGCGATGTCTGAGATTCAAAGTGAACTTACAATGACAAACATTCCCCAAGCGACTTGATTGTAGAGAAATTCGAGACTATTTCGTTTGATGTAGAGAAGACCACCGATCATTGTAACAAGTAATACGACTAACAAAAATCCCGAGTAGTTTGGCGGGCGAAAAATGTGAATCTAAAGTGAGATGATGTAGGATGAGTTTAGGAAGAAGAGTTTATGCGACTTACGTGAACATCGGCACGATCTTGAATCCATTTAGCGACTTGTTCGGCAGAGAATCCTGATCTACGAAAGCAAAACGAGCAAGAAGTAAGATCGAAAAGTTGCTGTTAAGATCAACTTACCGACTAATGTCCATGAAATCGTTCTTTTTTGGTTTCATTTTTGGTGGAAAATGAATAAAGACTGGTGCAGAGTTTAATTTCAACTAAAATACCAAAATAACTCTGATTCTCAGTGGTTTTTCCAAACGCGCAACAATATCACTATAGACTTTCGTACACATTTTTTTATCAAATCCGTTTAGAAAGGAACATTTCGAAGACAAAAAACGATACATACGTATTGAAATACTTCCTGTCCATCATCAAAATCGACCATACCAAAGAAGAGTCGATTTGTAAATGCACTTGAATATCGATAACTTTGTGCGACGATTTGAAATTCATCATGGGCTTGTCTAGAAACCAAACCGATAACGAAAATCGAAGAGAATTCTGTGAAAATAATCTTACTTGCACACACCGCATTGTCTTTGTGGTGAAAGTGCAGTCAACATGATGATCATCGAATAATTTCTCGGAGCAGTTTTTACAAAATGTTTGAAACGTTCATTATTTAAGCGAATAATCGGCTTCTTAAGCGACCAGTCCGTTAGTTGTTGAATTTTCTCAGAGAGAACGTCCTAATGCAACCAAATATACAAAAGAGATTTACAAAAATTGGTTCAAATACGAACTTCTTTGCTAAGGACATTAACAAATGTACAAATGCAAATAAAAAATAGCCAAGTGAAACACTTCATTGGAATGATATACAATCAATGGTGGAATCAGCTTTCGTTATTTAGCCTTTGACAAAATAACAAACCAACTAACAAGTGTCCGTTGCAGATTCTCATTGGTTTCCATGTACGGCCGAATGGGAATTCAATTTGAGAACTTTTCAAGAAAATTTATGAGATATAGTCGAAAAACTTTTTCGAAAATATGACAGAAGCAAAGTTGATTGTATAAGGTAATTTATTTTGAATAGAACTTCGTTTGATAGATGGCATTGATAGTCATATGGAAACATATTATTTTATTCGAAGAAAAGCAAAAGTACAAAAGAATTAGACAAGGAACATCAACCCAATTGTTATTCGCTACTTGTCTCATTAAAAGAAGTAATCTAATGAAAATTCAGTCATTATTTAAATTAGCGAAAATGACGGAACAACACAACTCGATGTTGTTCTATTTGTAGAAAATTTCGACATTGTTATAGTCTGAGAATGACCTTTATCAGCAGGTCTCTTCATGATTTTTGGTGACTCATGAGTAGTAACTGTAGACATATGAACGGCACGAAGGGGTTGAATCGTTGACGATGATTTTGGCCCGGAAGAAATTCCAGAATTCGGCTTTTGCGACTTGCTCGATGACAAACGACGATTTATAATTGTAGATAGAATCATCGGTGAAGAATTCAATTCTGAGGGATTTTCCGTTGAAAATCGTCGTGATACCGGGCAGCGCAGGATATTTCGAGTAGGCACATTATGTGTCGAAGTTGACCGAGGATTCCTCAATACAGACGTACGTTTTGGTGAAGCTTTTGTCATCTGCTGATTATTCAGTAGAACGGGTTGAACAGTCGATCTATCGATTCCATTCACGTAGGTGTGCGCTTCAGAATTCTCATCCAAAGAATCGGGTTCAGATAGAGTTATTGATAATCGCGATTCCGTACGGATTTGAACGTTTGGATTAATAAATGTTGATCCTGAGCAAATAGTGTCATCGACGATCTTTGATGATGATGATGGAGAGAACTGAAAAGAATGATATACTTCCACGATTTTCTTTTGTTTAGGTTAGTAACAACAACAAATTCTGTGCTCGTGTGATATTATCAGTGATAGAGACGAAACAAGGTTTGCTTTAGTGGTTATATTAATTTCTTTCTAGAGCTATCAGTCGTAAGTACAAAACATACAAAGCTATCAACTAGACGAACAAGAACGAAAGAAATATAAAACGAAACAATAAAAACAAAACGGATTGAAGTAACGTTACGTATCACAAGAGTTTTGGCTAAAGAAGATCAGTTTCATTCCCAACGAACCGTATTAGATTGAGTTGATGAAGGATTAGTATCTTCTTAAACTAAGAACACTATAAACGAAAAAAAAACTGAACAAAGCTGCTTTCCAACGGTCAATTTTTCGGAGAAATATTAATTAAAGTCGAACGCCAGAGTTGATGAAATATATTCGTGTACCAATGTGTTAACTACAAAAGCAGCAGAAGCAAAAAAAATGCGAGGTTACATGTTAGTAAAATCGATCATAGGCGAAAAGTTTCTTACCTCGGTTGCTGAATCATTTTCTTTATTTTCAATCGATTCTCGTTGATCATATTTAATTGGGTTCATTGAGTCATGACGAATTGGCGTTGTTACATAGCCTGATAATTGATTTTCGCATGCTGACACTGATGTAGGTGTTGGCAAGTTTGTTGATTCAGTCATCGAACAATCCATGTTCGTATCTTCGAGTTCGTTTTCTGACGCCGATGAAATCAAAACGCCACTCTAAATATTTCTCGATCGATGAACGAGTTCTCCGTCCGATTGATTAGACTTACGGTTTCTTCTTGAAGTTTAGTTGTAGTGCAAGGTTTAAGAACATTGAATGGTCGTTTGGTGAGAACAGTTTTCGGTGTTGGCGAACATCCGCGTTTTTTCGGCGTTGCATTCGGTAGTAAATTTTGAACTGGCTGTTCATCATAATCTACGTCCCGTGATGATGAAAATCGATCTCGTGCTATTCGATTGACTTTATAACGTTGTCGAGATGCGATTGGTGTTAACGGCACGTTCAGATGATCACGAAAGATATTCGTGTCCGATGAACATGATTCGTGAATGTTTCGCAACGAACGTGATGGCGTGTGAAGAGTTCGTTGTTTGGTTAACAATTGATTTCGACGACGCTGCTCAAGATTTTGCATATGCGATAGACGAAGCTTATCAATGCATTGTCCCAACGTCGATAGACAAGTTTCCAGAGGTAAATCACGTAAGCAGAAGTACGTTGTCAAGTCTTTTTCACCTTTTTTTACTTGATTTTCATCATCAAATAATTTCGTGAATTGAACTTGCAAATCATTCAATGTTGTCTTGATATGTTCAGGTAGGAAAACTAATTCTCTTTCGCATTGATTCAATGATGAGTTCAGTTGTTTGTATCGGTTGTATAGCAGACGAATATCTAAGTAAATTGGAACGTATTTCAATGCAGAAAGATCTTTCAGTTTCAATAAGATTTGATTCTCAAAGATATCCAACAATGTCGGATATTGTTCTTCCATAGTTTGACAGAGTAAATGCGCAATTGTTGTATTCTGTTTCAAAGTTCGTGTTGACAAAACGGACAGAAGTGAATCGAAATGAAGACCAGGAACAGTTTTACCAGTAATGCTGTTGTACAAGAGGCAGAGTAGATGAAGTATACCTGGTAGCTGTTCGTTCGTTAAGATCGTTTGGATGCTTTCCAGAAGATCATGAATATGTTTACCCATACGTTCGAGTTGTGTTGGCGCTTCTTCACGAAATTTCAAATAGATTAACTTGAATTCATAGGCTGGTACGCGGACGAGCTTAACAAAGAATTGTTCGATTAGAACTAAACCATGCGTTGAGCCTTTGTGCGCCAAAACCCGAGCTTTATCCTCTGGTCGTTTATCGAATTGTTTATTCAAAGCTGTTACAGCATCAAGCCTAAACATGAGAATACAAAAATCGATCGTGTTGTTTTCTTTTTCGCATTCTCACCATTCGGATTTCATACGTGTTTCATCAATGGCTTGAATAACATGATCGATACTGGCATCGTCGTCGTAGTCTTTTTTGACTAATTGAAGTAAGTGTCGCATGGGTACATCGTAGAGCATCTTCGATGTTGCATCAAGCAAAACAAATGCTAATGGTCCATCATCATTTATACCACCTGATAGTCCTCCTCCTCCTCCTCCTCCTCCTCCTAATGAACTTGTAGATACACTCGCTCGTCGAGAACGGGCAGTCATAGGCGATTTCGTGTCACCAAAATGCTGATCGAATACAGTTTGTTTGATACGAAGATTCGGTAAAGTGCGTCGCGTCCAAATATTATTGGTCGATATGAGCATAGATGGTATTGATCGTGCTTGAATTTCGGTAACATTCGCTGGATTCACAACAAGCTGAACTTCTTGCTGTGGAAGTAGTGTTTGACAATTGTTTGCCATCGTATTGATAAATACAGGTGGGGCAGGTGGCGGAGGAGGAGGCGGAAATCCAACGAAACCATCTGAAGGCGACTGGCTTAATGATTCTAAAGCACAAGATTGACATCAGCTAATAAAAAGAGAAGGAATCGTTCCAGGAAGTACTGACCATGTATGAAAACATCATCGGTTTCCGAACTGTATTGATTAATCGTCGTCATCGGTGGAGTCAACATTAGACTTCGCCGTCACTCTCTCACGCAACGCGAAAAAACAGTTTATTTATTGCTTGATCTAAAATCGAATGAAATTCATCAGTTGCAATCAAATCAAATCAAATCATTTCGTGTCGACTAGTGTGAATCGATGGAAAAAGTGAGGAAAAGCGATGATTCACCGAGTATTTATACACACATGAAAAGAATGAAGAGAGAAAAAGAGAAGTCGATCGATAACACAAAGACTATATTGTTTAAAAGAGAAAGAGTATTGCACACAGACACACACGTATTTATATATACAGACATAAACAGATGGACTAAACGTTTTAGTCAATCGTACTAAATGATAATCGTCCAGTCGATCAAGAACAAATAAACTTTTGTTCGAGTTTCACCTACTTAAAACAAAATTTCGTTCTTCCCTTTGAACTCACATTCTAATCACAATCAGTTTTAATTCTTCCAATCATCGAGACATTCTTCAACGTTCCGGCACCATCATCTACTCGACACAGTCAATAAGCAATACTGGACAAAACTCTTTCGATTGCATAATGCATAAATAGCAAAGAAGATTAAGTTTATAATAACTAATTATACAAAAAAAAAACCCGAAGGAATATGTCAATGTCGACTTACCCGTCATATATTCATTAGAGAGAAGAAAAAAAACTTATTCGATATCGTTCAAGAAGCAAATCAATGAACAGTCTTGTGGAAAAAGAACGATCTAGGTCTTTTCTCTTAATACAAATAATCAATGAAACATTGCCCTCAACATTCACTTCTTAATTGCATTGCACAATTTGATAATAATGACCATCATTGAAAGAAGAGCAGAAGAAAAAAAAACCGAACGACGTTTTCATTTTGATTTTCAACTAACGGTAAAAATCAAATTCACTGATGTATATAAAGGACATTTACTTTGAAATTTGTACACACATACTTACAACTAACATGAGACGATGAAATATCCTCTTTCGTAATCGACGAAACAATGAAAGACTTTATATACATATCATGGCCATTGACAAAAAAAAGAGTGTCCATCATAACAAGCGAAGAGAACATTCCATTAGGAGATATTTACTTAAGTTCAAATATGAAATAGCTTATGAAGTTTTTTTTTTCGTCGTAAGGACAACACGAAACAATAATATGATGTAATCAATGTGTAAGTAAAAGATAATGACCGTTACTTGAGAGGCAAAAGAGTTTGACTGTTTCATTTCTTTTCTGCTCTCTTGTCTTCAGTGTCATTGATGTTGATTTGATTGAATAGTTAAATGATAGAGCAAGGACAAATTATTCTCATATTACAAAATTCAAGAAGACAACGACCGTGAAAGTCAGACACAATGAATCTTTCTCGTTCAGATCACTTTGATTTTATTAGGAAACGATTATCGTATCCGTTCTCAATTACAATTGTGTAGTTCGATTCCATTATTCGATATTGATACGATCAATTAGTGTTCTTTTCTCATGTCACTAAGACATAGCCGGATACAAAAATAGAAGATCTCAATCAATGTCAACGAGGCTTACAGCTGTTTTTCTTCTTCTGCAAATTGTACCCGATTGGAAGCCTCGTCTGCCTAATGCTTTCAGATGTTATCATGACATTCGCTCTGATCTATACTTTCGTGTAGAACCAACCATTTCAAAGACGCTTCGGTTATTAATCGTAAATAGAAATTTTATCCCATTAAGAGTTTAACTATCTTCACATTCGATTCTTTTCCAACACAAAATACATCGTCCGAAGGAATGAGTAATCGAATCTTCTTGTTGTTGTGAAAAGACGAAGTATTGCAAATAAAACCCGTTGCATTTGGATCAATTTACAAATCGTCTCTCTTGCTGTTTTAAATAAAAATAAAAGTTTTCTTTCGCCTACATCTTTCTTTCGACTTGAAGAGGAAAAAGAACATGTAATGCTGTTTTTTTCTCTGCGAACAAGAATGTACTCTACCCCGCGATAAGGTGTCAAACAACTCCAAAAGGACTCTGTTCGAGATTCTATTTTTAAACAGAGACATATTCAAAATTACTTTTCTTGTTTTCTGTGTGACCGCCTAGAAAACAGTAATTAGACTCTCGAATCAAATTGGAATAGGCTATCATCCCTGGTTTCTTTCCTTCTTAATTGATGTACGCATGATTTACAAAATATAAAGTGGATCTTTACGATCGTGAGTTCCAGCCCTAGAGACCATGAAGAAGATGTTGTTCTTTCACATACAGGTGTAATCGTCATCATTCTTTTTCCGTTAAATATTTTGTACTTTATTGTTTGATGAGAAAAATTTCGCAGTAGGCGTGTAATGTTGTTTTTTTCTTTCTCTCTGTTACGTCGTTGCTTTTTTATCGCGCAAGGAAAGAATATTTTGCCGTTGTATTAAGCAAGCGACGGCGCGTCGTATCATACACAAGATGAATATGTACCATGTCAACGCGGTTCGATATTTTTACGATTAAGTATGTCGTAAAAAGAGGAGAGAAGTAATTCAACACACAATGAAATAAAACTCAAAGGACAAATTTTTGTTCCTTGCGTTTCCTCTTGTTGATGATGATTGGTAACATCTTGTTTTCGCCTTTTGTCGAGAATGTACTTTGGATACATATGCAAGAAAAGAATCTCAATAGTTTCATTCAATCATAAAAACTAAACCATTATCTCTCCCTCTCTCTCTCTTGTTAATGACCTAGATTGAATAACGAAATTGACAAAAAAACATGACGGACTGTGTGAATGTATTTATTTAAGCATCTCTCGCAATACATCAATGTTCCTGATGGCTTTTTCCTTTTTCGCTGCTATGTTTGTCTTTTATGTTGTCGCTCTAACGATTTTGTTTCTTTCTTTCTCTCGTTTCTATTTTTTTGCCTTTTCTATCTCTGCTTCTTAAACGCGGCAAACACGAGGCTTGCTCTTCTAAGGGTACGACTGCGTGTATTATATACACTTAAGCGCCGCATCACCCCACCCGACTAGGTAAATTTGCGTAAACGAAACGTTTTCAGTTAGTACGGATGAAATTAATGGACCACATAAACCTGCATGCTTCTCAAGTCATTTCGGTTGATTATTCGTCACATCAAACGAATAATAATTAGTACATTCTTCTGCGAAAATTTTTTTTTTCTCTCTTCGACGAGAAACCTCCAAATACGCCTATACATTTTCTCATTTCTTCACATTTTGCATCCTTTCTACCTGAAAACATCTCTCCCTCTTTTTTCTCTCATCGGAAAGGAAAAACGCGCAGGAGTACATTCGACGTACTTGCTATTCTCTTTTAGACAAGTTTTCGTTCTATTATGTATCAAACACGAAATGATTACCAATCGACATACGATGATAAATACGAATTCGACCCATTGGCGAAGAAAATCAGACCAGCCGACAATCACAAAGTTCACTTTCAAATATACGACTACAATAGTAAAATCGATTGTCCTTCCTTGAATTCGAGACAATCAGCAGATACATTTACCATGAATATCGATAGACTGGCTAAGAACGACATTGAGAAACTATCAATCCTTCCTCAATCACAGACTCAGGTACATTTTTTATCTAATCCAATAAAAAAACAATGTAATCTTTCGTTCTTTTTCGCAAACAGTCATCGTCATCAAGCGTTATTCCGACTCGCAAACGACGCTACCGAAATTCTCAAGATTTATCCGCGCTGAACTCTTCAGCTTGTTCGACCACGAACGCCGATGGCCAAGTGCGGACTAAGCCTGATCTTTCTTGCGTTGGTAAATATGTTTTATGCTTCTGCAGCTCAGTCGTGAAAAACTCTAATGGAATAAAAAAAAGGTCACGATAATAAGAACGAAAAAAATTGTCCTTAGAAGTGAAGAGTCTGTTTTTTTTTATCTCAACGCGCGTTTTTTCCTCTCATTAATCGTCGATTCGAAGAGAAACTATCGTCATTCATTTATCTATTTTTAGTCTGCTGCGCTGTTGCGCATGGATATAATTTTGATGCAATCTCATGTGAATCTTGCAAAGCATTCTTTCGACGCAATGCTTTGATTAACACGGTAAATGATTTCATAATGAATGAAGTCTGAATTGATGAATTTTGGAAATTATTCAGGACCGATTAAAGTGTCGTCGGGATCAAGATTGTGAAATAACACTCGAAACGCGACGTCGGTGCAAATCATGTCGATTGAAAAAATGCTTTTCTGTTGGTAAGGATACATTTTTCCCGTTTCGTTCTCCTTCAAAAACGATGAATATTCTATGGAATAGGCATGAGGAAAGAATGGATTTTAACCGAAGAAGAAAAAATGAGTAAGAAGCGCCGAATCGAAGAGAATCGCAAGCTTCGATTTCCGAACAGTGACGATCCAATCTCAATAAAAACCAATCTAGATCTTCAAACTGTTCTTTTTAACAAAGCTAGCAAAACATCGAGAAAAGTTCCTCGTACAGTTCAAAACAACGATATCATAGCTAACGTTGTCCTCGCCTATCATGATAGCATGAAATCGGATGTAATCAGCTACGCGTGGTCATATCCATTAGCACGAAAGATCACTGCGATCTGTCAAATAATCAATGCAAGAAGTACAACAGCTCTTCGTTTAATCAATTTCTACAAACGATTGCACGATTTCGATATCTTAATTGAAATAGATAAAGTCAATCTGATCAAAAATAACCTCTGGTGTATATTCTTCTTCCATGCTTCTCTCGGGTAGGTTGTTCGAAGTCAGAAAAAACATGTCCTATGGAAACCTGATCTTTTCGTCTTATAGATATGATCCGATTGCAGATGTATATCACGAAGAAGATACGAATAGAAAATCAATACATGGCGGCGATATTTGCGAAGCATATGGATTCGAAAACTATACTCGTCTAACGAAGATTGTGCGCGCTTTAAACTCGATTGCTCAAATTGACAAACGACTTATCCAAGTCGCATTAGTAATCTTTCTCTTTTCCACCAGTCTATCAACATCAGCGTATTCAGTTGAACTAATAATCGCTAACTGCCAAAAAATATTTCGTATTCAAAACGTTTATACCGAACAATTGTGGTCATTGACTGAGAAGATCTACGGATGTGTCCGAGCAGTTCGAATATTTTCGACATTGATCAGTCAATGTCTACTCATACAAAGACTTCTTCAGGATATTCAGCAAGGTCTCGATCCGCAACCTGATCCACTTCAAGTACCGGCAATTCTTCGAAGTGTAATGCAATCCGCATAACAAACATCTTTTATAAATATGATTGTTGAATATGTGAGATTAGCTACTTGACCGAGCTGATGATCATTTATTTTACAGAAAATTCCTCTGTTCAGTATTTTTCTCCCGCTTCGCCTTTTATTTTTATTTTTTGTTGCAAAAAAAAAGTCTGCACAAACATGTCGAAGTTGTATGCGAAAGACAAGTCACCAGATGAGTGAGAATTAAGATAAGACACAGTGATAAGTTGAATACGTACTTCAGCACATTGTTTTGTTATCTCGCAAAGCAAGACCCACTTCACCTTGAAATACTTTTCGTCTGGAGGACGATTTTCTTTTGAAGAAAAGTCAACAAATCTCATTTCAAAATAACTTCTACAGGTACTCGAAAATCTTCTTCTGGGAGTCACGTTTTTCGCCATTAAACGTGATAGACAGTAATTCAGTGAACCGACCTTTCAATACGACTCTGTTCCTCTATGATGAATCATAAAGATCTCATATTCGCTTTGTATATATTTGCACCCGCGAATGAGTTCGATCGATGTTTCCACATTTCAGATTCGACGGGCGAATGACATTGCCTATGTTTGCGAAATCGTTCTTTATGACATTGAAAACTACGCATATTTACTCGCACTTTTATTCGTACTAGACTCATTTTGTACTTCGACGACGAAGAAAAAACATTCGTTTGTCCTTTTGTGCCACAAATCCCGAACGAGAAGAACAACAGCGTCTCGCTGACAGAAAAACAACTCTTACACTTCTTTTTCGTCTGAATAACAATTGAGAACAGCTAATTATCACCCGAATCCCCTATATTCAGTCAACATCAGGCGTCAAACTAGAGAAAAGCGTCTGATATTTGTCTTACCGAAAGCATTAACACCTAATAACTCATTAAGAGTCTTTCAGAACACTAATACTTTTTAAACAGCGATAACCTAGATTAAAATTGTTCTGAGGTAAAAAAAGTAAATCTCAGCGTAACGATATTTACTGACTAAACCTTACACAATTATTTCAATAAACGTGTACCATTGCCTTTTTCACAGACGGAATACATTAATACTTGATATTTCCTGACCATTGTTTTTGACCTTGTCTATTTAATAATGCAGCTGCGATATAATGAGAAGGCATGAGAAATTCAGGAACTCAACTTGAAAAGTATCTGACATACTGCTGGCAGGATAGAGCGACTAATAACGCACTCGTTGCTTGTGATATTTTTGACTTGAAAGTACATTTGACATCTATCTTGAATGAGACTAAAATGGAGAACCGTGTGAAAGATCGCATATGGAATTCTGTATCGATGTACACGATTTCCATGGACACAATCGAACGCATAGTTTACTTCAATTTTATATTTAGCAGATATCTGTACAATCATAACTTGTTTTTCTCTTGTTTTCATATGAGAATATCAGGGACACAAATCTTGAATTACATTTTATTCATTAAATAGAATTTCGACGAATATAACACAAGAAAATCGAACTATTTTTATGGAGAGATTGTTGAGAGAATTTTCGACTAGATTCAAAGAAAATTTGATATTTATTGTTCTTGACTGAAACGTAACCGTTGTGCTGGTGATCCTTCATCATCATATTGCACATTACACCGAGTTGAAGCTGGAAGAATGTTTATATTAAGTTCTGCTAAACGTGCTTTATTCATCACAAAGAATTGTCGGAGTTGATCACCGTCAAATGTTGGAACAAGCGTTACCTAAACAAACAAGTAAAACTCATATCTCCTTCTGAGCAGAGAAGTTTTTCTTACAGGTATTTGCTCTTGTTTATCCCATTGTTGTTTGCCTTCAATAAGAGATTCTAATGTTAATCGACTGATTTCTACGGCATTTAATACGTAATAACGTGCGCGAATACGACGAAAGAATTCACTGTCAACATAATGTTCGTTACCATGATTGGGTATATATGCCACATCAACATAGAATATCGGACCGGATAGTTGGTTTTGTTTAGATTTGCGAGAATATGTTGCAGTTGAACTAGTTGAAGCAATCGTTTTTTTTGCTGCAACTTTCTTTGATTGATTTTCATCGTCAATGGGTAAATTTTGTGGATTGATTTCCTCAATCGATGGCATTGGTAGTTTTGTTGATCCTGACGTTGAATGATGAATGATTTCCACATTCTCGTTTTGTTCAAGAAATGGATTTCGCGTGTTCGGTGCACCATCAACGAAGCTTGTTGTCATGGGATCAGTCGCAATTAAATGTGTTACTGATTCATCCATAGGCGTTGCACTGTTACTTTCGACAAAGGTTTCATTGATATCATTAGTGAATGATAAGGATTCAGGACGATGTTGAGCTAAATTATCACCATCGACTGGTTTTGGCTCCTCGTTCTGCTGATCCTAGAAAATAAACGTAGGTACAAGCAATTTATTGAGTTTATAGCATTGGTTGCGTACTTCGGATTTTTGCTCAAGAGGATTATTTTGTGCTGTAGGCTCGGTGGAATTTGTCGCCTGTTTTTCTTTATTATTTACTTGAGTAGACCTTCCTGTTGTTGGTATAGTACTCTGAATGATGAAGAAAAAACGAATCAATTGCCTGCTAACGAAATCGAAACTAGCTTTACCTTTCTTCCTGTAGTTGTTGTTGTCGTCGGCGCCGATCGAGGTTTATCCAGTTTTCCTGCCACCGCCGTTGTTGTTGTTGTTGTTGTTGACTTCGGTTTAGTGGTAGCCGGTCGAGATGGATTTTTAGCTGGTTCCCCGTTTGGTACTGCAGATGTTGGCTTCGGTTTCTGTACTACATGTTTACTACTTGCACTTGTATTTGTTGATCCAGTTGGTTTAGCATTACTACTTATGCGAGTTATTTGAGATTCATGTAAGAATTCGAGATGACGACCTCTCGCCAATGCTTCGAAGACAAGTGTTTGCGGGCATACACCGGTGTACAAAATACGAACAAGTGTATCTTTGCTAGATTTCGATGTTGGCGTCCAAACAAGAAGAGTACATGATGAATACCAATGATGAAGGGGAATCAAAGCAGGTGATGGTTGTTGATCACGAATTGGCATCTATAGGTGACAATTAAGAAAGAACATGACGTTTGATCAAAATAATAAATAACTTTACTTTCTGTAGATTAGCCAAGGCTTTATCATCTTCTGCTGCTGATGATGTTGGATAGAGTACGTAGAGATCAAGTGATCCAAAGGCAATTTTTTTGTAAAGATTAATTGGTTCGATACTAGGTTTATTTGGTGCTGTGTGTTTAACTAAATCATACGTGTCGATATTCAATTGTTTGATGTCATTTAATACTTGATCGATATTATGCGAAATATTGACTAATAATTTACTGTTAGGAGAATTTTTCGATGAATTAACGGATTGAACCTTTGCACGTTGAACATGGTTGAGAAATATCGCGCCGAAATCTGGTTTACATATACGACCATCATGTAATGTTGTTAATGTTTTGCGATGAAGAATTGTTTGTAAACCGGGTAGAACGTCATAGTCAAAATGTGTTAATACACAGGCATCGACGTTCTGTAGACCGCGAAGTAAATTCCAGTAGGACGGCGTTCGACTAGAAGAGAATTTCATGTTCAGTTAACAATGAAATGAAAAATTTCGCGTTTTTTTAACCTAAATCCTCCGTTGACCAACACGACAAAGCCTCGAATGCCAAATAAAGATGCTTCTCCTTGTTGTCCATATAGAATATAAAGATTAGGTTCATCGAAAGCAACTAAAATTTATAAATAAATATCCGTTTGATATTTCCTTGAATACTCACTTGTTCCTGAACTATCACGTGGCCTTAGTTTTGAATAGATATCAAAATTAATCGTGTCTTTAGTTAACACTTGAACCAACCGTTCGTAAAATCGTTCTCCGAATATCTTTTCTTCATTATTTTCTCTCGATACATCATCAATTTGAACATTCTTTATATGTTTTTGTTTTAATAATCGCGTCCACGAAGAAGAAACATATGGTAAGACAATTTGCAGATCTTGAACCACAAATGTTGCATTCTCTTCGAATAAATTCTGCAAATGATCCGACGTAAACACCGAATCCGCTAAAAACAAACCACCATTTGAATCGAGTTGTTGACCTAGAAAATTCATTGCACTGTAGAAAACTGAACAACTGTTCAAAATGATTTTTACCAGAAAAGATGAGAGAAACATGAGAACAAGAATTGAAATAATCTTTGAGTACATTTATTACTGTATGAAAATTTGGTAAATAAAGAAATCCAGCAATTGAGCCACTCTCCGAATTCACTATTTGACGATATTGAGAATCTATTACAATTGACAACAAACATAGAAGGTTTGCAAAGCGATTGAAATGACATACCTCCTTGAAAATCATCATTAGAAATTAAATTGTTAAAAACATCTTCTATTTGACTAAGTTTAGTAGAATTGATTTGTTTTAAGGCCTTTTTCAGATAAACAACAACTTCATCGCGCTGCGGATTGGAAATAATATCTCCAAAGATGAACAAAAGACCAACAGCAGATTGTCTCTGTTCACTATCATTCTGTACTAATGTCGCCATTTGATTAATGAACGAGGAAAAATGGAAATGAGAAACTAAGAGTAACAGCTGCTAATAATTCTTATTACAATGGAAAGATTTCAATACAATAACTTGTCTCCGTTCGTCGTTTTTTGTTCTGTTGTTATTTCAGAAATAAATGAAGGTATTATGCTATGTTAGGAAGTCTAGTGAGTCACAGATACGAGGTTTTCTATTGGATGGAACGAAGTAAACCAATAGAGATTTTAGCGTGTTTTCTTATTTCCGGAAGCGAGTTTTTAAGTGAGGAAAAGATATATGAAGAGCTTCAGGGTAACGGGCACCTCAACATTCCATATTTGTTTCATCAAAAACTTGACATTATAATTTGTTTTTATTATCATCAACTATCTTTACATTGATTGACGAAAAATCAGATTCATGTCTTGATCAGATATGTGTCATACTTCAATCAACAAAATACGATGTCAGATGAATCTTTCATAACTGTCAACAATGCGATTCATGCTTTGAGTATTAAATTATTCACCTTGAAAGCAGTTAAGAAACGTTCGATAGAACAAAAAAGATTCTTGGCGCATATTAGTTACTATAGAAAGATTGTTAACCAAGATAAACTTTCGATTTTACAAAATAAATGAAGTGCTGTGGAGCAGGTAATAAACTTCACTTGAAAGAATGTGAATTTCTCAACGCTGTTGGTGAAAATCAAGAATTTTTGTAAGTTTCTATTAATCACATTTGTGTTCGATTTGTGCTTTTTCAGAGATATCGTTCAACAATGTAAAAATGACGACGGTCTTATCGATCCAGAAGTGATCATTAAAGAAATGGAGAATTCGCCACACGAAAACATCAAGCAAAATGCTGATGGTGTACGAAAAAAACTGAGAAATTTTCTTCCGAACGACAAAAATGAACAAAAACATGTTTTGGAAGAGACCCTCCTAATCAGTACACTCAAAGGTGGAATGCAAGATGCAATCGATAAAGCCAAATCACCGAGAAATAGTTTGAAAACGTAAAATATTTGAGAATAATCTTCACTTCCTGATAGTTTCGTTCGTTGTGTTAGTAATAAATCGTATATTTTCTCTTTTTTTTTCATGTTTAGCAATAAATGTCGAGACTGCGCTCATATACAAACAACACAGGTTCTTTTTTTTCTACAACATAAACAAACTACATAAAAAAAGAGCAGATTCGCGTATTCTTTCACAAACAGAACATCGCACATACGCAGATTTTTAAAACAAACAAAAGGAAATTCGAATCTCAAGGAAAATTTAAATCAATTTTTGCGTTGATGAACGATATTTGATAACATTTTGCTTACCGCCATTATCATCGTCATCGAGAAAATTATCTTCGTCGTCGATCATTTCAACAAATGTATCACCCGTTTCCATTTCATTATCATTTTCATACTCTACTCCGTTGTCATATTGATCTTTCACATCGTAGTTAGAGTTATGTAAATATTCCCTTTTCGTTATTGATTCGTTTACATATGACGAATCATCATACGAATTCCTTGACATCGTTCGACGAGCTTTCTGTAATTGACGAGCGCGAGGAGTTGGCTTATTCACAAGATAATCGTCAGCTGTTTCAAAGTCATCATAACCATCTAAANAGGAAGTATTTTGTTACCTGTATGAACACGTAAATGTCGTTTGAGTTTGAATGTATCAGGACTACAGTATGAACAATGTGGACACGAATATGGTTTTTCCTAGAAGAGAAATAATCAAGAGATGAAACAGACACATAGGAAACACTTACGCCTGTATGTGTTCGAATGTGACGTCGAAGTTTACTTAATTCAACAGTTGCATAGCCACATTCTTCACATTTGTGTGGTTTTTCGAGTGTATGCCTTTTGAAAGACAAAATAATCGATGAAATAAAATATCATAGAAGTCTATTTGCTTATATTTACTTATAGCGAACATGCCGAATCAGTTCACCGCTTGTCGTAAATTTATACTCACAGAATTTACACTAAAATTAAAACGCTGCATATATTGCATTAATAATTCATTTGGAAAGAATTTACTTGAAACGGTTTAATACCAAGATGAGTGTTGACATGATTTTGTAACTGTGCTGTCGTTTTAAATGTATTCGAACAATAAGCACCTACAAATGAAGCGATGTTTTATAAATCCGATAAATATTCTCTTGAACATAGTTTACATTTATGAGGTCGTTCCGTTGAGTGAGATTTCAAGTGACGTTGAAGAAGATATTTTTTACCCGTACAATAATTACTAGAATTCAATACGGATGAAAATATTCGTAAGGAAAATGAAATTATATACCAATAGGGACATAAATGTTTTTCATCACGACGAACTTTAGTTGGAGTTTTCGTTGAATCACGTGAAGAATTATTATTTCCAACAGAATTGACAATCGGAAGTTTTTTACGATTTGATGTTTCACTAAATTCATAAACTGATAGATTACCATCAGGACCTGATGGACTTAAAGTCACATCATTCGGTGTCGCAGTTGAAAAATCTTCGTTTTCTTCAGCCTGCCAATCTTCATCATCATCTTGTAATGGTTCGTGTTTGGCAGGTCGTCCACGACGTCTTTTCGCGATGGCATTATTTTGACTGGTGTGTCGCTGCTGCTCTTGTTTTATCCGCGCCACCGGCAGTTCGCCGATGTCGTCCTCATCATCGTCGCCCTGATCGTCTTCAAAAGTACGTTCATCATAATCAGGGTCGTCAGCAAATTTCACGCTTAAATTCGATCGAGAACGTGTTGAACGGCGTGTTCGACTTGTCATTTCGAAGATGTTCAAGGTTTTTTCTTGTTGTTTTGTTTATTATCAATGAATTCTATCGAGAAAATAAAGTAAAGAATGTGGAGCCACTAAACTATTGAATATAGGGGGCAGCGTGGGGGTAACGGCGTCACTGCTTGTCGAAACAATACAACAGAGGTCATTGCGCATCCATAGACAGCCAATCACTCAATACGCTCTAAATAAACACAATTTTCCAAAATGAATATTGACAAAATATAGATGGACTTAGTGATTTCATCTTAAAAGGATTTGTTCATATAATATGATATCAGAATATGAATAGTAGATGTCGCTAATCGCTGTGCGTATATATGCGGTACAAGTGAGAAGCAGTGTGTACCACGAATTTAAGTATCATGTTTGTTCAACGAAGAAAAGCAGCAGCGTCAAGTTTTATCGATGCTTCCAACATACGAAATATGACCTTAGGAGAATATGTGATTGTTTTTTATTAAATAAGACATACACAATGGATAGAACGAGCAAGAAAAGATGTGTTGATTAGATAATTGGAACGAGAATAGTCTTTAGGTTTATAGTGGAAATTGAAGTCAATTGTTTGAAGAAATCCAATTAATTCGATGATAATGTAGAGGATGGCTCAGTTACTGGGCTTATTTGCGAAGAAAGAATTGCATTGATATCGTCGTGTGATATTGGTCCTTGATATTGACATTTTAGATCTAATAAATCGAAATACGTTTAGAAAAGACGAGAAGCACAATAACGCATATCTTCTTACCTATATTCGGCAAACTCCAAACATGCGTTACGTTAATCGCATTTGAGTTTGATAGACCATATATGCTTTTTATAGTAATGCTTTCATAAGTAGAAGAACCTGACGGCAAAATCGTCTGTGCCAAAGATCCCGATGATGGTAACCATGATGATGCATCATTCCAGAGCTTATTACAGGCTTCCAATCGCCTTTTAATACAATTACTGAATACGCCAGAGTTGCCAGATGTCAATCTATTCGTTTGCGGTGGACATGAAGTTGAATAGTACAAATTAATTTCGCCAACTTCATAAAAGCCGCGGTTAGCTGTGCGTCGACGGCGTCTGCGATTCGAGTTACTATGCGAGCCGAATGCAACGAAGTTTGTTGCATGACAACCAACGAAATACTGTGCTCCTAGGTTTCGGTACTGCGCACCACACTGAAAATCAACAATGCTCAATTAAACTGAAGAGGAAGAGGAACGTTCGTTGCTCACCAAATTAGACAGCTGCGTACTATCAACTACTGTTGCATTGGTAAAATTCAATGACCCATCTACGCTTTGAACATCCAAAACTTTTGCTTTGATTTGATAATCTGAAATGCCAAGTAAAATCATTCGAGAAAGCTCGAAACTTACACGTTCGTATTTATACTTACGTTCACCATACCATTCTTGGCTATGATCCGGTGTGTAGAGAGAAATAAGGCTCAATACAATTGTACTTGCAATAAGCAATGAGATAATACCCAAACAGCAAATTCCTCCTAGAGCTATACCCGATGTTAGCCCCATAAGTCTCCCACGACGATCTTGGCGCATATTTAAGTGAAACTTAACAACGCGGAAATATGACTGTGTATAGTCACAGACTTCTTTATGATATATTTTTCTCAAACGTGTGATTTATTGAGATATAAAGCATATTCATCATGTCCGAAGGGCGTCACTGTTGATACGTGTGAAAAGAAAATAGTACCATTGTATTAGTCCCACAGCGTTTGACACATGATGACTTATTCTTTCATCCGTAATTTTAAAAAAATTCAAGACTTTCACTTTTAAAACATATGAACCTAAATTTTTGTAGCACAATTAGTCATTTAGAATTTAAATCTAAAGTACATTTGACTGTCTTTTATATTATCTCCAAGATCGTAATAAGTGCGAACAATGTAATTGTCTCTGTGTTGTTATCTCATCAACGTCCATTATGTACGCTTCGCTGCTTTCAGATGAGATAGTTGAATCGAATGTTTTGACTAAACAATAAACATGACAGTATCTACGATGAGTAATATTCAACAATTAGAAATGCAATGACCAATGAGTTCGATATCTATTGATCTTCTTTTCTTTTGATCATTCATATGGATAATTGAGAGAACTAATACTCATTCAGATAGAGATTAAGTAGGAATAATTATCAAATTATTTATTGACTTCCTTAATAGAATGAAAAATATATTTTTATGATCGACTTAAGTTTTTCTGGATAGAGATGTTTGAATATCTAATTTCAATTGTTTTATTTGTTTACGAATGGTTTCTATTTGTTCAATTGTCTTCTTCAACTTTTCCTGCTCGTCTTGTACGAATCGACTAAAAGATCACATGAAAAACTGTAAAAAAAAACAAAATTCAACACGGCAAAGAACTCACGAATAGGGCATTATCAATTCACGCATTTTACGCTCATTCGTATCTAATTCATGCGTAAAATGTTTGTTTAACTGTTCAGTTAGTTCTAATCGTGTCTTATCGATTCGATCCTTCATTTCTTGTTTTATAGTCAAACGACGCATAGGTATTAAATATAAGCCAAGTATGCCGATTAGACTTGCTCCCAGAAGGCCAGTCCAGTCAAATGAAGCTAATGTCGCTAGAGCGCCTACAATGAAATGATAGATGGACAGATAAGAATGATGATATGATTAAGAAATATTCAACCAAGTCCAACAGCTCCAACTTCAATAGCAGCAGTGCCCAACATAGTCGAACGAATCGATGCGGAAAGATCATCAGCTTGTGCACCGGTTGCCGTTTTTTGTTTGTATAGAATCTTAATAGATGAAACAATTTGTCATCTTCATCAACGAACGCATCTCCTATTCACATTTTGACATTGTGCTTGCAATTGATTGAGAATCTGTTGTCGCGATATGGAAAAATCTGCGTCAACACCGGATGTACCGTGACTACTTGTATGTTGCTGCTTTCGTGAATTAATCGAACTTGTATTCAGATGTTTATTCAGTTGATGAACCGTTCGATTTGATCTTTCCAAAAGCCAATCGCATAGATGACTGATACATTGATTGATATCTTGTTCGATGTTTTTATTAACACGATTATTAAACTGAATTTTTAGTTCGGATGAACTACTCGTACTGAATAACGTTGGAATCAAACGTGAAATTTGAATGTACTCGTAGAGAAATTCTTCCATGTTGTCAATCATTCGAAAAAAGATATTATCGATTTTGTTTAATTGAAATTTAAAATCATCGAACATCTGTCGACGATATTCATCAATATCATTGTACAAAACGAAAACAACCTAATTAAAAACCAACATAATAAACAGTCTTCAACTTACATTTACTTTTCTTACTTGTTCGTCTTCAATTAAAATTTGTTTTCTTTCGTGAACCATAGTTAAATATTTGTCAAATATTCTCTCAGCTACACCGAGTGGATTTTCAAGTTTTAATTGAAGTTTGGCTGTATCATTCAATTCCGTGCGTAGGTAACTTGTTAACTCATTCATTCCCGTTCGTTTCAATGCACTTATAGGAAAGATTGGCACCGTTGTATCATCGAGAACTTGACGAGCGTTTGTTTGAACGTAATTCACAATTTTCTCTTTATCCGCCGTTTGTTGAATCTGATCGATTTTGTTGAGAATAATCAAAACTTTCTTTCGCCACTCATGGATTCGAACAAGAAACAAACGCTAAGACGAATAATGGCTATTTCATTAAACAAGATTGATCAACTTACTTCGCTTTCCGAAAAAGGCCGATCCACACTTGTTACAAACAAAATATAGTCCGAACGGGGAATGAAATGTTCTAAAACAAAAAAGCTGACTTTGTCCATCAATTGCAATGAAAATCACCTGTAATTTGCTGATGTGTTTGAAGAATTGCATTCGTGCCGGGTGTATCAACGATATTCGTTTGCCGTAACCATTGATTCGGTAGATAGATCGATTTGACATGGTCAGATTCGATCACATCTTCACGTTTTGCTCCATATTTAAGTATATGAATAACATCCGTCGTTGGTAAAACACCAGTTGGACATACATCGTCTTTTTCATCGAGTAATGTGTTTATAAATTGTGATTTACCAGAATTAAATTCTCCGACTACGACAAGTAAAAATATCGAATCGATATTCGTTTGTGCCTCGTGAAGAAGTTTCTTATCCGCGACTGATAACAATGTCATATCGGTTTGAACGTTAATTAAAAGATTTTTAATACGTTTAGCAAGTTCTTGAGGTTTTCGATCCATTAGCGGAAGATTTTGAGGCTATGGGAATCGAAGAAAGAGATCGGATTTGAACAGGTAGATTCTTCTACTTACGACATTCGAATCAGACAAAAACCTTCGTTGATATGACAAAACTGTTCGTAAATGACAAGACGAATACGTTCGACATCGAATGATTTGCTGTCGACATAGAGATGATAAACACAAAGACATTTTCTTCTTCGATTATCCGAAAGAAAAATTGAACATAGATTTTTTTATGAAAGAGAAAGAAAACAAATTCTATCATTTTTATTTGCTTGTAATTCATTCCACATCATCTATCGAATTCGAGTAGAAAAAAAAAACAAAAGAACATGATATCAAAAGAAACTGCTGGCGATTCAGATGAAATTGTTTGCTTCCAACAACGGCCGGAAGACAAGAGAAGATCAAGAGTAGTGCTTGCACATTTTCTCAAATAGAAAATATCTGACAGAATGATAATACTACAGACTAAAAGAAAACAATAGAGTACATGAACGAATGAAATAAAGTCGTGAATAACAATAATAAGCGTAAGAATATTGATAATACAAAGTAGAGAACAGGTTTATTTACACACTACTTTCATGTAGAACGATCTGATTTGTATCGATTGTATCTATAGGAAATGGATTGGAAAACGTTGATGATGAGGAGGAGGAGGAAGATGAAGAAGATATCGTTCGTGAACGATCTTTTCGTGAAATGATAGGTGACGTTGTGCTTGATGATGTTGCTGTTGGCGAATCACATGCGGAAGATTTCAGCGAGACACTGCCTTCATCATCTTCATCAATATATGCAACGTGTGGAAGATGAAGACCATTAGCTGGTTTTTTCCAAATGGATGGCTTTTCTTTGGGTGAAGGATCCTGTTGAATTAAATGTGATTTTTTATTTAAATATACGTATGTGGCTTGGCGTTCTTCTGTGGATGGTGATGGCATAACACGATACGAATTTCGACCTGTAGTATGTTCAACGAGTGGACTGATGTGACCATTTGTTGTTATTACTGTCGACGAAGGATTCAAAGAAGATTTTTCCAAACTTGGGGATGAAAGACGTACAATTGGTAAAGGACGAATGATTGCTTGTGATGGAGATATTTGCATACGTGGTGACATTGATAATGTTGTCGGACGAAGAAATATCTGAGGAGAAATTAATGTTGGTAGATAAAGCTAGATTGAAGGAAATTGGTGAAATTGACATAGAGAATGAGATAATACTTACACGTGGATTACCATTTTGATGGAGGTAAGCATCTTTTGGACTGTTAATTATATTTTGGGGCGATGGAGCATATGGGGTTTTGGATTGAACCTGAGAATTCTCAATAAACGTTGGCGATCTAAATAGAAAAAAAGTGAATCGAATGTTAACCACATGTGGATTGTCTTTTCCGTTCGAATTTCACTTACTCTTGTCGAATTGTATTCAATGTTGGTTGAGGAATTGATTCATTTTGTGGTAAACTTGTTTCACTCACTGATGTATTACCTTTTAATAAATGTCGATGGCGTGCATAATATTTCGATGCTATGCTCGATTGATGTTTGGAGCCAAAAGCATGTTCGTTACTTAATGATGATATTTCCCCGTTTTGCTGTATGGGAATCTGATGAATAGTCGACGAATAATGTGAATGCGGTGGTGAGGGCGCAGGTATGTGTTCGGTAAACGAATCATCAGCATTCAAGTTTGGATTGAAAATCAATTTTTCTTCTTCATTGTCTTTCGATGACGGTGCCATAGGATTTCCTGGTGATAATTGAGGTGTCTGTGGCGGAGGTGGTGGTTCACTATACGATTGGTTCAGAAGACGCTTCTTCTTTCGATTCGAGCAACAATTATAATACTGACAATGCATGGTCAAATCTGAACGTGACAAAAGATAGAATGCAAGTGTGTAAAAGGCCAAAAGTAAAACAAATATTCCATAAAGATGGTTGTAGATTGAATGTTCGAAGCGTAGATGATACGATCGCAATGGGTGAATGTAAATCGATAAACTCGAGAGAAATATGAAGATGAGAAGAAACATTTGAAATAGAATTGATAACAATTGACTGCTGGGTTGATGTTGATGATCCATATCTGATGAACATAAACTATCCAAATGAGATTGACGACAATCGTTATCCGGAAAAGTTTGTTCAATGTTTGGATTGGTCGATGGAATGATAATTGGCAATGTTTCATTCGGTTTTGGCGAGGAACCGCCATCATCCATTTCGATATTAGTTTCCGGTTCAGCTTCGTTTTCATTTTCATTTTCATCTGGTAAATCACGTAAACGTATCGCTTCTTTTGTTAAGCGTTTGATATTTAAACGTGCAGCCAAAAGAAAGATTAACAGGAGAAAAATAAAGATCAGAATTGGAATGAATAAGGTCAAAAGCGATTCGAAATTATTCAAAAAACAACTAAAATAGTAACAAGTCACATATGTTTCATTCTTCAAATGCGATCGACTTACATTTTATTAGTTGTATATTGATCTCGTGATATCGCGACATTAATTCCACAGATGATGAATGAAATTCCATATGCTAATAGATAAAATTGAATAACTGGTTTCGATTTCAACTTCATGATTGGCAATCCATCGTCGTCATAATCAACAATCGTCACGGAAGATTTCGGATTGCCATCTGCATCATCTCCATGACCTTTACCCGACCAAATAACATAGAGTTTTTGCCAAATACAGCTAAAAAAATCGTTGATTTCAAGAGCAAACCAAAACAAAAGATGAATTTGACATACTATGTGAATAATGTTAACCAAATTATCGCTGTTAGACAAAGATAATGAAGAGCAATGGAAACGAATTGACAGAAAAATAGATATTGGCTTTGTCTTATACCGAAGGCGAATAAAGGAAATAAAATAGCTAAACTAAGCCAATAATTGATTAAACAATGGAAGAAACTTCTTGGCATTAGATAAACTCTGTAAAGAAAAGAAATCAATTGTTCATTTCGAAAGGAGAAGATAACATACTGATGACAACAAATGTAAAAAAATATACAAATACAAAAACAAGCCGAAGCAATTATTGATGAAACGTAGATTGCTAATTCCAAGTAATTTGTATTCAAAAATAATATTTTATTTTCGTCGAAATTGTTCGTATATGTGAGAATTAAAGGGTTTGTTTTCGTCAATAGACAATCTGTTGATATGGAATCGATACTCTGAAAAGATGACAACTAATTTTCATTGACAATTCTCAAATGTTCGTACTTGATGATTTATTTTACAAAGTGACGAATCCATTTGCCAAGAAGTTCCATTTGGATTCCATACTCCAATCAATCCACGATTAGATCCGCCATAAAACGTTAGTTCTACATTGGATTTACTTGTTGTTACTACAAGAAAAACAACTAGCATCAGTTTGGGAGAAAAATGACGTAATTCTTTCATTATTTCAATGTTCTACTTATAAAAGAAGAATAACAATTGATTAATTTGGCTTCACCATTCATTGAGCAATTCTCAAAGTTATTCTTCGATCTTACCTGGTTTCATATAAACAACAGGACTCTCATTATTCTTCGAATTCGGTGTGAACAACGTCGACTGCCGATAGAAGATGATCTTATACGTTGACGATTGATTTGTACTGTTGTTGATTCGAGATGGGAATTGAATTGTTGCTAATTTCGCTTCATGTCGTTTAAAATGTCGATTAACAATTCCACAAATGATTGTTAACAAAGGTCGATTTGGTATAAAACATACCGTTGGTGGTAATGGTGATTCTAACGTCATCGCTGTTAATTGTTTGCCAACATAAACCCATGAATGATTAGTAATATTCAATAGTTGTTCTAAGATTGATCTCAATCGATTCAATGCTGATTGATATTCCTTTATAATAGGAAAATGTTGTTTAACTTGTAGAATAAAATCCGTTAGACGATAGATTAACATGGAGATTTCTTCGATATTCTTCCTGGATGTCAAATACTTGCTTTGTTCCTCATCGATCAAATCGATTAGAAAAATAATATCATCGAATTGAAATTCATCGAGATTTATCTTTGATATGTAAGTAACCAGTTTCGATAGCAAATTTGTTTGATTATGCGATAAGATTCGATCAAATTCTCGTGAAATATTCGTTCGAAATCCACATTGAGACAAATCTAAATCAACCCATTGCCGATTCTTTGAACATGTATACGATGCTTGAGCGTCATATTCAAACCAAGCTGCCGACCCAAATGGACATTTGACTTGAATGGTTTGGCCAGTTAATGTTCGTGGCCAATAAAAGTATCCTTTTGATGTATCCATTTGTATGGATTGACAGAAATGATTCAATTGAGTGTTTAATACATGCAATGAGACGGAACGATTTTGATTTAAACTATGACATGTCCATAAACCTGAATGATTCGATTGTAGACGTGGAATGAAGATATCTGATGTGCCGGAGTAGAATTCATTGTTCAATGTCCAGAAAACTTTTGTATTCGACGAGCATTTCAACGTAAAAGAATCGTTTTCGTAAACGATTTGTGATTGTTCGGGTGTAATATGAAGAAAATTCTTTTTATTTGCACAGAAATCTTTTTCTTTACAGTTAATCGGACTCCGGAGATTGATTGTTTCGAACCATTTGATAATCCATTTCAATTGACATGTACAATTGATCGGATTGTTGGAAAGATCGAGATTAATATTCGAGATTTCATTGAATGTGTTGGGAATTGTTTTGAGAAAGTTATTTTGAACGTACAAAGAAGATAATTGTGGAAATTTGGAAAATAAATTCGACGGTAATGATTGAAGTTTATTGGAAGATAGATCGAGTGTTTGAAGATTATCCAGATTTGCCAAGGAATTAATCGATGAGAACGAATTTGATGAAAGATTCAAAACGATTGTCGACTTCGGAAAATGAACGTCAAGATTAAGAAAAAATTCATCGGTCAACTGCTGATTTGTACATGAGATTATGGTCAAATCTGACGAGCATTTACAAGAATTAGTCGATGGACATTGATCAGTTAATATATGTTGAGTAAGATAAAGTATTAATAACAGATATAAAGATAACATGATGTTAATAACAATGAAGATGGAAAGTGTTGACCGATGTTGAAGTCAGTGAACGAATGAACAACACTTGTTGCTTTTTTTTTCTTTCCTTCTTCTTAGTCTTGATCGATACACATTGAACAAAAAAATATATACATACGCACAATATACAGGCATGCATATTCATTCGATTCTTTCCTCTGTATATCGTTGTGCATGTTCGTATTGCTGTATGATTCAATGATTTTCGCTACTGGATATTTGAAATGAGAAAAGATTTATTTGAACTTGTTGGGCTGGAAGGAATTTGAACAATTCTCATGTATTCTACAGTGGTTTTAGTGAATTATTTCAACAATTTACAGAAATTGTGTATAGATGGAGCTAGTTACTCGCATTTCATGACATTCCTTACCTTGGGAAGATGGGAGTGTTGGTCTTTATCCGTTTGACACTCAATTCTAACATAGAAGACTATCGATTGAGAAATGTCAACAAAAGAGGGAAGTTTAGTTAGAATAGAAAGTCACATGGTGTCAATTTTAATATTCAAATACAAATGCACAACAAAACCCTTTTCAAGATGAAGTCAGGTTATCGATTAAATACAGAAATACCCATTAACTCAAAGAAAACTGCGAAAGAGAGAGTTTGTGAAAAGACGTTTCATTTGAAGGAATCATTTCACAACATAAGCGTTGTTTATACGGCAGGAAAAATTTTTTTTGATTGATAAAAGGGCATTTATTTGAGAATTACATTTGAGCACTATGAAAACTTGAACATTTCTCAAAAAATTCTCTTTATTTTCAAAGCTTTGATTGCTTCAATTAAATAGAGCAAACAGTCATTTAAAGTGTTTTTGATCGTGATGAAGTTCCATTCGTGCTCAAATGATTTATCCGATAAACTTGAAAGAGAAATAAACAAAGTTTAATGAAGAGTGATGATCACACGCCCATCTCTTCGTGTACTCATATACACGATGAAAAACATATAGTTATTGACATTTACTTTCGAAGTACTGTTTGAATGTATTGTCAGAGATAGTCTCTTATGATGTATTTTATGTCATGACCTTCTTGAAGAGCAGACTTTTGTTTTAAACATGCAGCAATTAACCGATTTGCTCACTATTTTTATATTTTTTTCTTATTTGAGATTGGAATATTCCGTTTACTTTTGAAATGAGACATGATTAAATTATTTATGATGAATTCAAAGGAGATCGTTCGTTGGATCTATGAGAAAGGAAGAAATTACAATCTCTTTGCTTTCGATGAAAATGATTATCATAATGACGGTGAGAACGACACAAAATGTCCAGCAATTGTTCTCAAACAACAAAAATATGCAATTTGGCTCTATGTTCTTCTTATTTTCAGTAAGTCATGAACATACAATTCTGTCTTCTGCTTTTCGATACTCTTTCCTGCAACAGAATGACTGCCCATTCGTCTTTTCAGTTTCTCTCTACGTTCTCTTCTATCTTACTTTGATGACACTAAACTCTCAAACAATCACTGTTTCTCCTATCACTCGAAATCGTTTCGAACAGCTTTATATGGATCGTGCGGAAACTCTTTTATGTTCGTGCGAACTTTATTGGGTCGGCTCTCAATGCAAACATAATGTTTTCAACTTACCTTCCGTACGATCAATATATGATAGATTAGCATTCATATCAAATCAATCTTGAAAAGAAATTCTCACTCTTGATACTTTGGCGTATTCAGTTCATACGATCGATAATCATAAGAATTTCGAGTAGGAAATTTTATTAGCCCAAAATGTAGCGTGAATCTTTATGGATATGTACTGCCATTTTTCTAGCAACTTTATAAATAGAGAACCGTAGCTGTTTCCAGAGAAAGCAGTGGGAATATTGTACGATAATATATTTCGCACGATCGAAAAAAACTTATCCGTTTTGTGTACCTTTGAATAGTTAGATTATATGAAATATTTGTGAGACGTATTAGGACAGAATCGCTACTTTTCCTATAAAATATGCTGCAAAAAAAAGAATATTACCGACCAATTGAGCACAGATCAGTGCTAGCTCTAAAAGATTTTCAAGTTAAAATCCTGGGTTTTATCACTAGTATTAACTTTAATAGTCTGAGTATGTCGTATGGACGCTATTTCCCACCTACGATCAAGATGATAAATTTATATAAATTACAGGCTACGCAGTATATAATCTATCAATTACAAACACAATATATGCCTGATACGAGTCTTTACTTAACAACAATTGATACAATAATGTGTGGTAGTCAGCATCCTACAACTCCAACAGCTTTCTTTCCCATTTTAAATACAATAAAAGTTTATGACCACGCTATGTGGACTAAGCCAGCTACAAATTCGACACTTGTTAATGGATTTCTTACAGAATGTACATATCTCGAAGCTCTTCTCGTGAGCACACTTGATTGTTTATATGATAGTCAATGCATTCAGACGTTGACCGGATATTTTCCAGCGCTGTCTCAAGTTTGTACAGCGAAATTCATCTTCATCATTNCTGTCATGTTCATACACGATCACAGATCAAAGAGATTTTTCATATGCATTCACGATGTTCATTAGTTTGTATGGTGGTCTCATCATTATTCTTCGTTTGATCGCACCATCCCTAATCAAACTCTTCTCAAAAATAGAAAAATGTGTCACTCACAGAAATGTTTACGTCAGTATGTATCTGAAAATAGCGAAAAGTGTGTCAATGATGAAAATGTCATGTCATGGATAAATTTGTAGGACTACAAAACATCCATCCACAAAAATTCATCAAATCAATCAAACAACTGAACTTGTTCAAGAATATTGACAAACGATCTGAAGATGACATCAAACAACAGAGAATGATGACACGTGTCTATCTATTTTTACTAGCAGGTAGGTTTGAGTTTTAAGAGAATGAGGTCGCCAACGTGTGACTATTGACCGACAAATACACTATAATTTTTATTTCATATCATACACAATATACAACTGTTGTATTTTACCTTATCATAGGATCATTCATGGTACTTCTCCTATTTACGTCTCTTGAAACTGAAATAATAACGACAACTGCACCAAATCCATCTGTGGCAACTTATACTAGCTTACAAAAGTCATATTCCAACACTCTTCGATGTCCTTGTTCAAATACGGCAATCCCTTATGAACAGTTCTTGACATTATCACCGACATTGCATCAAGTATGTTCCAGCGATTTCATTACAAATGGTTGGCTTACGATACTACAAAATACATATGACTACCATGCTGAAGATTGGCGAAATCGAGCTTATTCACAGTTTCAGTTGTTATCCAATATTTGTGGACTGGCGAAGGACACAGTTAATGTTGCTGTTCGTCGTTTTATTGTACAATCTTTAGTTGTTTCAAGTATTCTGTCTGAATCCGAATTCAACATACAACTGAATGCAACACTTGATCAATTTTTTCTGTCTACCATTCGTTCTTTTGGCTCTCTTATCAATATAACAACGCTTCTTACACAAGTTGATCAGCTCTACTTAGGCCTAAGAACAGCAAGTTGGAGTACTAACGTGGACCAATTCATGTCGTATAATACTATAACAAGTAATGTAACTGGTAATCAATCACTAAAGGTATGCTTTCACTCTTTATCATGTTAACTACACACTAGCATAGTCATTTTGTTAATACTCCTTCGCAAAAACAAAAAGAGTACACCTTCAAATACAAAATATTAGTCATAAATAATTTTGCCCTTCTTATCTAGGCTATTTTCAATTCACATGGAACTCTCAATGTGAATTTGTCATCAGTCAATTGTATATGTGCTACAAATCCTTCCTGTCAAACTCCCGTTGCCATTTATCAAATGGATAGTATTTGGAGTACTCGTATTGCTACATACATCGTTTATGTTGTGCCTGGATCTGTTGGAAGTTGTTCAACATTCAGTTCACTCATGTTTTCACAGTTCCTGTGTTTATATGCAAACACTGATTGTTTTTCTATTGTAATGAACTACGTGAAAAGCTCTTATTATCAAAATGTGTTGAATCCAACATGGTTCGATCCACGTCCTCTCATTTATGATCCAGCAGAGAGTCGTTTTCCTCCAAATACAACAATTTCATCCATAGTACAACAGATCATGGTCGAAAAGTGGAATCCATCATATTCATACAATCGTTTCTATCAATTATGTGCACCCAGCCATTGTACTTATTCGAATAGGGTGCGTGTTCGATCCATCATCGAAGTAATTACAACTTTTGTATCAATGATTGGTGGTCTTACCTTTGCATTGGGTGCCATCACACCGGTGCTGATTGGATTTATGGATGGTTTCTTACGAACTTGCGTTGGAAGACGTCAACAAGGATTAGGTAGGATATTGCTGTTGATTTCATTTGACAAACTGGAAGGTGAGTAACACTGAATTCTGTGTACTCAGGACTAGCAACGAGCAGCAATTGATTAACCTCATAGTGATCGTAACTATTCTCGGTACATACAGTTGTCTTTTTATTCACAGTTCGTCGGAACAACTTCAACCAGTTAAAGGTGGCTGCTAGAAATTTCCTCGCAGTAGGCTATAACTCTGTACTCAATCTTAACATATTCTCAGCACGAGATCTTGGAAATAACATTGATCGAGCAACCACTAAATACCTTGGCAAATGGGCAACACGTATTTATATTGTCTTATTCATCATTGGATTGTCGATTCTGACTTTGTATACCATACTCATACCTCAAACTATTACAAAATCCTTCAACAAACCATCATTCACATCTTACAATCAACTCAAACAACAATACGGAGATCAACTCAAGTGTTCATGTTCGGTCATTGCATNATATTACTATCCATCCTTTGTTACCACCGGTGATTTCAATGGTGACAATCGAGCGGATGTTGCAGTTTCTTATAGCGGTGGAAATAGTATTGGGGTTCTTTTTGGTTATGGAAATGGTACAATGAGCTCTGTCGCCAAATTTCCCACAGGAAATCGAACATACTATACTCGAATCACTGCAGCTGATTTCAACAATGATGGAATTTCAGACATTGTCGTTAATCCCACTTCAAGATCAGTTGTTTTTGTCTTAGTGGGATATGGTAATGGGAACTTTTATACTTAACTGGTGTTCTCCACTGGACTGAGTGGTAGTTATGCTTGGGTTGTTCCTGCAGATTTCAATAACGATGGATGTCAGGATATTCTTGCTTCGGATGACACAGCTGGTGCTGTGTTCGTTTTGCTGAACATCTGTGCATGCCGAACAAATCGAACAATCTCGACAAACATGTCTGGCAGTTATTAAGTTCTAACAAGCTGTTTCCGTAAAACTCTCATATTAAAGACATTGAGAAAACAATTTTTTACTCGAAAGAAAAATCTATTTTTGATGACTCATGTATTTCTGCCAGCTGTTTGATGTATTGTCAATTTCATATCTAAATGTCACAATTCACTTTGATTGCCTTCGTTTTTATATTTGTTGGTGCTAATGTTGGTGTTTCCATGCATGTAATCCTTCATTATATCCTTTAATATACTTCTGTCATTGCTCGAAAATTTCTTCTGATTCGTCCGTATTATCTGTCAAATAGACTTGAGGTTTAGATTCACTCTTTCCATCTCCAAGATAAACATCTTCCTCACTCGTAAAACATAGTTAAGCCGTCAGATAGTTGTAAATTTCTAAACTGATCTTTCGACCAGTTGAATATTGACTTTTTTGACTCAAAAAGAAAATTAAATATATATTTCAGGCGCAATTCATTCCTACAATAGTAGTTTTCGATTTTTGTCTGTTCGATTATTTATATCGTCCTTAAAATGGGTGCTGGTGGTATGTATCCAACCTACCCTTATTCAAATTATCCCATGGGACATCCACGCCCATACTATAACTATAATGTATATCCATCATCAGGCAGTATTCCACATCCAGGCTATTTGCCGAATATTAGGATGAACTATGGACGAGGTTTTCCACGTCCATATGCTCCTATGAACTACACTTCTACAGTAGCAAGATTTCCGCCAGGCACATTTCATCAACATTTTGGTAACGGTGGTTTTATTAATCAACCTTATGGTGCTTTCGGTGGTATACAATCAGCTCCTCCATCAGCAACGATGGATGGTAACATTCATATGCATCACTCGCGTGAATATCGACCACATTTTGATGAACAATAAGTAAATTCATACAATTGGTCATAGTTTTCTTTCGAGATAATAATATTTAATCAAGAAATAGGAAGTAAAATAAAATAATAAGAGTAATCAAAAATACAAATCATGGTGTGGGCAAAGAGCAAATACAATTTTGTTTTTGATTTGTCTGAATGAATAAAAGATGCTACGAAATATTGTCTACCGAAAAGAATTCGATGATACAATTATCGTTTCTTATTATTAGCACCTGATTGTGGTCTATCAACACCATAACCTAGAGAGTAAAATAACAAAATGTTAACATGATCAAATACGTTAATTGAATGCATATCGTACCTTGTCCTGGATATGGTGATGCATTAGCCATAGGATAAGGAGGAGCGGCTAAAAAGTTACAGAAAAGTTTGTACATCGATGAATAGCAACAGTCCTACCCGGATTAAAGAATGGATTGTATGGATTATATCCAGTAGGCATGGGAAAGAATTGGGGCATGTAAGCACCTGGATAGGGCAATGCTGCACCACCTAGACAACAGAATCAGTTGAAAAAATTGTTTTCTTTTGAGTTTCATTCATACTAGGTACGGTTGGTGGTGGTTGACCGCCAGGTACAGGAGCTGAAGGTTGTTGTCCATATGGATAGGGTGGAGCATTGCTAGGTGGATAACCTGGATTTGCTAGAAATAGAGAAATATACATAAAATAAAAGGAGCGTTTGCGTAGTTTACATACTCATTTGTGGTATAGGTGGTGGTGGTTGTTGTGTTGTTGTTGCAGCAGCAGGATTTCCTCCGACAATTCCTCGTTGGATATCTTTCATTAAATCATCTTTTTCAGTTTTGCGTGCAAAGACAAAATCAGATACTTTGTTTTGAAATTTGAGTAATAACGGTGTCAAATCGTTATAAAACTAGAAAAATAACACCGTCATCAATTGAAAACATAATAGAATTCAACAAACTTTGCTTCCTTCTTTCAGATTACTCAATAACTCTTGAAAAGCATCATATGCTCGAGCTAAATTTTTCATCATTTCTTCACGCAGTTCCGATGATGAGTTTCCTTGTTTTTCACTTTGAAATTGTTGATGTGCACGTCGAATATTCTCAACTAATTGTTCTTGTCTCGAAACAGTTTCATTCACTTGCTGACGTAACGGCGCATAGATTGATTCGATTTCTTGTACAACAACGGTGTTTTCATCCATATGACTTCCTTGTTGGAATGCTGCAATCAAACGCGCGCGAACACCATCTGAATCAGTGTTTTTCAATTCTGATTCGATCACCTCACGTTCCGCTTTAACACCAGCCACTGTATCCATCAAACGATGTAACTCTTTTACCACATATGTGTCACGTAAAGCACCAGCAGCAGATGCCGACGGAAGCTCATTGGCAATTTCGTGCTAAGAATATCGACAGTTCAGGCAAATTAGTATTCAGGAATGTCGGGTAGAGATAACTTACAGTTTGTTTGCTGAGTAAAACGATAGAATCACGATTCATTCGATATTTTTCTTGAACGATTTTATCAGCATTGATCGCATTCTGAATAATATCCATGTATTTTTTCGCTTCAGTACGTAGCGGAGCTGTTAATGTTGATGAACCTGTGCGAGTCCAACGTTCCTTAAATTGCGTACGTAATTCGGCATCACCGCGTTCTTCATCGTCCAGCATGCGATTTGTCTAAAACAAAAATGAAAATATAGCTGAATATGTTCAAGCGAAAACCATTGAACATACTTCATCCAAGATTTCTTTATTACGGCTCAATGCTGTCGGTAATTCATTGGCCATGCGTTCTAATGTGCTAATACCACCTTGTTGTTTGATTGCGTTAGCTTTTTCGATGAGTGATGGTGGAATTTGACGACCACCGCTGTCTTCAATTGCAGCTGGTAAATTAAGAGAAGCTAAAAACCTATAATAGATAATGAGAAAGTAATCAATTCGTTGTTCGATATGTTTTAATTACGCATTAAGCACGTTGGTTGCTTCCCGTAAACGATTGATTTCGATATTCATAATTTCGGCACGTTTCGAGCTGAATACCGCAAGAGCGTTGTTCAAAGCAATTGGAACCAGTGAAGCAAATAAATCTAAGTATCGCTTTACGTGTAAGATATCTGGCAAAGTCATCTTATCTTACCTCGAAAATCACTGGTTAGCGGAAATGTAACGGGTAAAGGTTTCGCAATTGGTTGTGCTAAGATTGTTTCGAGTGTTTTCGAATCTGGCAATCGTTCGTGATAAACGAAATCGTTGTCTTTACTTGCTGCAGCTGCCGCTTTGGATATTTCATCTTGATTTGCACGAATCACCGGCGTGAGGGCAGCCATTGTAGATTTACTGACAGCTTGATCAGCAAGTTCTTTGGCACGCTTGAAAAGAAAGTATTCTTTGCTTTTGTTGAGATGATTATCGTGAAATTTTTCTTACATTGAGCCGAACAACAGCTAGACCGTATTTTCGATCAACTTGAGCTTGTTTACCAGCATGATATTCGGTTTTGGATTGAAATATTAAATGTTTAACCCACATTACACTGATGAAATTCTACAAACATCAAGGAAGTGAGGAATTTTCTTTTCATGTTTCGAAATCACTCACATCTGGAACGATTTTTTTCGCACTTTCTGTTTTCGCCGATGTATAAGCTTCCTTGTAACAATCTGAGGCATGTGCTGCAACTTTGGCTGCAATGTCATCTAAAATCAACAGAACATTTCCCTTCAACATCAACTCTTCTTCTTCCTTCTCATACCTTTCAAAGTAGCTGATTTCAAATAGACAAGTTCAGCTGCTTGTGCTAACATTAACCATGAAATACTGGCCAAAACAGCTGGTTCAAAATCCACGGATAGGTCCGATAAGCAATTAGCATTGACATAATCTTTCAGAAATGAAAATATGCCTGATGCTAATTGAAAATATTTCAATGCTGCTTTCATTTGCTCATCTGTTGAAAGATTTTGTGCAATGGCTAATTCACTGTACGCATGGCCAATATTGAAAAGAACACAAGCTTTTTCATAGGCTAATTTCCATGAACCGTTCGTTTTTTGTTTTCCACCGAATAGACCACCTCCGGCAACAAATGCATCTTGCCATTTGAAATAGATTCGAATTTGACTTTCCGTTATAGGTAGTTTGTATTCAATGGCATGTAACTGATCATAATATCTACAGAAGAGAAGATTAAGTTCAATTTGCAAACAAAAAATGATTAGTTACCGGAGTAATTTCGATATATCATCTTTATAATTACTGCGAAGTAGTGCTTCGGAACGCAATGAATTCAATCCATCAATTGAGGCGGAATAATCTTCTTTATCACCAAAATTTGCTTTGATGAAGTTCTTGATTGGTGTCGATAGTGGAACATCAGATGCCTTTTTCGCTGGTATAGATAGAAAATGATGAGGATTTGACATGGGAAACTTCTTCGTTTAGATTTCTATCGTAGGAATTCGGCGTGTTGTAGATTAATAAATCGAAAAAATGATTCACAAGAACATTACACTATTCAAACAGTCAACAGTGAGTCATTAAATATTCCGAACCAATGAAAATATATCAAACGCTGGTTACCATCAACTATTCGTATGTATTTGTCGATAAAAGAGGTAAATAAATAAATAATGTCGTATGACTAATCGAATCATATCTCGAAAGCTTAGTTATAAACAAAAGATAAGAAAATAATGCGTGAAAATGAACTTCAGTCGGTGTTTGATAAGATGATTACTCATTTTTTGGAGAAGTTCAACTATTATGATAAAAAAAAGAGATTACTAATTGGACAGTAGCAAAGATCTATAAATAAACTCTTTAGAGAGTAAAAAGAAATACCTTCGTACGATATCACGCATTTTTATGACTTTCTTGTCGTATTATCTATAGAAATTCAGTAAATATTGATGCTAATTGAGCATGATTTATTAAAAAAAACATTGTTTGAATAGATTTTGTAACCGTGTTCTTGTTTTAAGAGAAAATATCCCCATCTGTTCGATATTCATGACATTTAATTACCTAAGACGCCATACGTGTTCGAGACTAAGGTCAGGTATCGTTGCCATCGTGGTGGCAATGGCATTCGATTTTATCCTTGAAGATGTGTTTGTTTTATATTGAAAATTATAAGTATGTTTGTTAAAAACAGAGGCAATAATAAAAAAATAGCCAAGAATGAAGACAAAGAAAAAAACAGTGAAATCTAAAGAATTGTATCTGGTCGATAACTCGATGAGCTGGTTGTGCACGTTGTTAATTCACTAGAAGTTTCCGTCAAGGAATCAGTTACATAGATATTCGATCGCTCTGTCGTAGATTGAGACACCATTGGTTGATATTTCGGTTTAGTTTGATTCGCTCGATCTTCTTTTGAAAATGATTGATGTTGTAGAAAAGGTCTTTTTATCGTCAAAGAATTGGAACCCGTTTTTAGTCGAGGTCGATTTTTATTCCAGATTACATAATATATCATAAATGATACTCCAGCAAGAAGAAGACCAATACAAATGCCGAGTATTAACATCCAAATGTTACCTATGATTGTCTCTTTATGTACATAAGATTTACTTGATGCATCATCGTTAGAACCTGCGTGTTCACTTGTTCTGTTCGACACAAGTGCAGCTATTGCCGATGGGACAGTTATTGATTGATTGATATGCAGTTCAATTTCATCGTCATCATCAACATGTGGTGGCCGAAGATTAGGCACCTGAATAATACTTAGACGAAGTGGTAAGATTGTTCGTTGTGACGAAGGAAATATTAGTGACATATTCAAACACGATACAGGATGTGTCAACATACAAATATGTAAAAGTGGCCGGAGAACATCCGTGTATAGAAGAATATTTTGATGCGTAACGATATCATCGTAACCTAATGTGGAACGTGGTCCTTGTTTTTCGGCTAGAATTTCACGGCGATCATAATTTGTATATTCATTTAGATGAATAGCAAGAATCTTTTCTTCTAAACTCAAATACATGATTTTCGTGGAAAAATCAATTGTTGCAATGCAAGGATATGGACGATTATCGTACGAGGAGGGAATTTTGAATAAGAATACACATTCATTAACACTTAATGAACAACGTATGATAGTACACCAACCATATGAATCACCGATAATATAACCATCTGCTGTAACTTGATCGATAATCATATCACTAATACGTAAATTAGGACTTAACTCGCGTAAACGTTTCATAAATGGTGCTGAACCACGTGTGCGCGGTTTTTGTAGAAGATCAATAATTTGAATATCGGAATGACCGTAGACATAGAGAATCGATGAAACATGATGAATACTCAGAAATAAGGGCATCTCACTCCGAATTGAATTCATAACGGAATGATTGGAAAAGTTCGATATCCACCATCCGTCGGAATACTGTAATCGGTAAACAGTACGTTCGTGTGGTGACGTTAGATAAATATGACCATGCTCATCACCAGCTACATCATGAAAACGAGGAACATCTTCTTGTGTAAGTAATAAATGAAATGAATCATCACCACCGAATATAGTTGGCCACCAGACATAAATTCCTGATAATGATGTAAGGACAACGACAGATGTTATTCCTTCGTTCGGAGAAGATCTCTCTTCATCGACTGATTCGTCATGATTCTCGCGTGAAGCGTCATAACGATCACGAACTGATGTAATTGTTTGCCGAAATCTTTCGGCCTGCGATGAGATTCGTTGACGAGCATTTAGTGAAGAACCATTTTTGAACCCCAAAGATCTATTTCCAAGAATAGACGCGGATACTAATTGATTATGAAGACAGATAAGTAGGAAAATGATGGCTGAATAAGAAAAATAATCGCTCATCGAAACGAAAATTTTGATGAATACCAATCATCAGCTGAAAAAGAGAAGAAAGAAGAACTTCGGATAGATTAAAAAAGTATATTTAGTTTCTTTTTTGCTTCGAGCCATGACGAGATTTGATCTACTCTATACATCGCTCTTATTATATAAGCTTTACAAAATTTTTAAACTCTACATTAGAATTCTTCTATTTGAACAAAAATTTGAGTCAACAGTTACATTTTTAAAGAAAAGGAAGGAAATGATGGACAACAAATTAGTTACCTTGATCGAATGTCAGAGTGATTGATGAACATATACATTTCGAAACGATTAGATGTGATGCGTAAAAAGAAATCAAAGAAGCCATTTACACGAGAAAGACAGCGCGCGCGAAAAATATATAGGGGAGATGCCCTATCATAGACATACGTTGGTGTCGTTTCTACATTTAGTTACATTTTAACCATATATTAGAAAGAATATCGTAAATCGATTGTACTACGTGTGTAGACATGATCAATTTGTCTTCGAGTGGCATCGTATCATAAGCATGACATATGTTCCTACTTTTCTTCTTGAAAATGTCATTCGACTTTATTATCAACGTTAACTAAGGTTAGTCACTAAGTCTAGAAAATGATAGCTGCTGTTCTGTATCACTGTCATTCTAACATCTTATCTCGCTTATGTATAGAAAGGAAATGGCAAAAGGATTTTTCGATTATTCTAGACGCCAGATGATAGTAATATATCTTTGTTGATAAAAACTGGCGTATGTTGCTTTATAGAATTAGCTTGACTGGCAAAAAAGCATACGAAAAAGAAACACAAATGATGATCAGAAGATTCGTTTCTCCAATGAAAGCAATCGGTTTACCTATTTGTCGTTATCAATAACCTTTCGTCGACGAATTGTTCCGGTTGATTTATCGAGAGAAATACGAATATAAGCGTCTCGATTGCGTTTTTACAAGTGATCAGTCGTCAAGAACTTCTTTCGATTTTTCTCCTTCTTTTAGTGTCTAACCACCATCCCGTCAATTTCTCTTTCTCGGTTTTTTTTTTCGTTTGACATTACAGTCTGCATGGCGTAGCGCGCACACATACATATGAAAAGAAAAAAAGAAAGAGAAGGACAACATCGTACGCATGTAGTAAAAAAACTGCCGTTGCGGTTTCTTTCGTTTTGTTGCTTGTTTTCTTCTTTTCTTCTAGCATACGGTGTCGTTGTCGTCTTTTATTGATATCTTACAACTAACACAGATTTCTCTATTTTGCCTTATTCTCTTTATTATGATATCCTTGATAATTTCTTCTTTCATCTCTCTACTGTCATACCAGGCGAAATAAATAACAAAAGACGAGAAACGAAAGATCGTTTGCGTAAACGAAGGGAAACTACGATGGCAAAATGGAAATCAATTCAAGGTCAAAAACCGTTGCAACAATCAAACTGTCTGTAAAATAGTTTTGAAAGAGAAGAAAAAACTCTTCATTGATGATAAGGACAATAAGCAACATATGTTTTGAATTAATGATTAAACTATTCGTTGAAATTAATAGTTCATTATCGACTTACCTCAATCGAGACGTGATAAGTCCGACAAATGATTCTTATCTATTAGAGAACAGTTCAATGCGTGTAAGCAACAAGAAGAATATCGAGATACAGTCTCGAACAAAACTAATATCTTTTACACGACGCAATAAACGTGAACTAAATATTGAAAAGAAACCGTATTCTATTACATCATTTCTATCATATACATGAATAGATAAGTGCTATGTTAATTTAACAATCGATTGTGCCTAATTATTCATTATACACTATACTTCGACATGTAACACCGATATTTTCTTCTTACCTTGAAACGAACTATTCTTTACAGTCAATTTTAGTTGTATGTGTTTCAATTGAAAGGATCTATGAAATGAAACACATGCGGTGACGACCTGGATCGTATATTAATCTTACAAATGAATTCGTTGGATGTTTTCCAGCAATAAGATGAAAGTATTTGCTTAATAATAGTGATGAAAAGAAAAAAGAAATTGTTGTATAAATGATGTTTGAAATAAAACGCGTTTTCGAGGCGACCCAAGGCAAATACAAATGTTAGAATATACGTCAAAACAATGATTCTATTCCGATTATTTTACAATTAGTCTCGTATTGATAAGAATATCTATCTGATCGAAATACGTTCTTTTTCTTCTGCTCGTCATATTTGTTATCAGTATTTAACTATCATGGGACATTAGGCATTATCCAACAGTCCAAGTACAATATCTACTGAGAAGATACTGTTGGTCTATTCGTCAAAACACTCCTAGATCAAATGTTTCTTCTGGAATTATCGAAAATATGACATTGGTCTAACTTTTGCTGCTTAATTGAATGGCGAGAGTATTTTCTTTGCAAAATATGTATATTTTTCTCTTTCTGAATAATTCCGATAAATACATTCGAAAAACAGTTGATTATATCTTTCTTCTTTCTCTGTTAGCATAGACGACAAACGCCAACCAATGAAATAATTCGTTTCGAACAGTTGAATATTTGACTTGAGTCATAATTATTTTATTTTTAGACGCTTCTCCGGGGTTATTTCGGCAACCCTGTGGGGGAAAAAATGACTCTATCAGTTATGCAAGACTTTCCCTTGCTTCCTAAATTTAACAAATGAGATAATCACATGACCTAAACATCTGTAATTGATCTTCTTCAATTACATCGATGATAATCATAAACTGTAAGATATTATTCATTCGTATTGATAATAAGACGAATCTCTAGTCGATTTCTTGAAGGAGATATAACGTCATGATGACTTGTCGGACTCTTATTCATGAAAATTCTTGCATAGAAGTGTCAACATACATTTCGCGACTTCGTAGATTATCAGAAACAACAAAGTTTATTTGACTTTCACTTCTGCATGACTAACGAAACCTACGAACGAAAGATAATTAAATAGGTGAAGACATGAAGCATTTGATTTTGTAATAATGGATAAATTCTTTGAATTTACATATTTGCGTTTGTTTATTCATCAACAACGAAAGATTTTCGTGCATAGTAATGCACAAATCCAAGGTATTATTGCAATTTGAGTGCGATATTTTCTTTTAGCAATAATTTAACGTTTCAGGGTCAACTCTCAACAATAGCTTGCGCTTAGTTAATGTTATGATATTCGATATCGTTTGCAATGATTATAGAACAGCGCAGTTCGTGACGAAAGAAGAGAATTCGAGGTAAAGGAAAAAGGGGTCGATGAAAATAGATCTTCCAAAAGAAATTATCGAATCAGCTTGCATTTTCATGCGTCATGAAGGCAGATCATGACTCAAATTGTCTATATTCTCCATAAAAAATAACAGATTGCTCAACACCGTAAGAGAACAGTGATTCATGATACTTCCATAGTTGACGCCGATCTCCAGTGACTGTATTTACCCTTCGATTGCTTAACTGTATCTTAAACAGACTAGATTCTCTCTCTCTCTCGTAGTAAAAGAGAAAATGAGAGAAAGAGAGAAAGAGCAGAAGCCTGCAAAATGAAATATTACGATTGCCCCTGTATTAAAAAAGAGAGAAGAAAAGGACATCTTTGTATATAAAGGGAAAAATATTTGTAGTTGCATTCATCACAATTCGGAAGAAAGTTACTGAGAAATTATCATGAATTGCATCACATCAGTCCTCTAAATCGTCGTGTGTCAACGTAATAACACCAGCGAACATATCACTCGACGATTGTGCTTAAAAAATACGATTGATTCATAGTTAAGAAGTAGGTTTCTTACCTGTGACCCGTCAGTTCAATGTCTTCTTCCGGGTCTATCTTTCAGTGCAGTGTATCCGTTCACAAAGTGAAACAACACCAGAAAAACTCTTGTCAAATCCTTGGCATGGCAAAGGATTCTGTGAACCTGGTCAATATGAATCAGCTCTTCATCGTTGTGAAGATGGTTTAAAATCATGTGAATTAGGTATCGAAATGTACACAGATCTCGTTGGTATATTAACTAACTGTTCAAATGCTTTGCATCAATGGTCAACAAAGTATCAAAAACGCATCGGCCATTCGAACGAAATCGGCACAACGAAGAAGACGTGGCTTGAAACTACTAGAGCTGTTGAAAAGTTAGCTGAAAGAAATGGTGATATCTGTAAAAACATTCAAAAAGATGTGATCGACAAATTGAGTTCGTATAAGAATGAAAACTACGGTAAATCTTTCATTCATGCGAAAAAGATCAAAGAATTCGGAAAAGAATTCAAAAAAGCCCAAAAGCCGCACTTGGAATTATTAGAACGAATCGATCAAGCTAGAGATGCATATCATGAGAGCAAGCGTAAACTGGAACGTGCAAAACATGCGGCACATGTGGTGGAGAGTGATGTTGGTTCGTCGGACGAAAGCAAAGAGAAAGTCAAGAGAAGTGTGGAGATTACTCAAAAACAAACGGACAATTGCAGAGAGAAATACAAGAGTGTTCTTAAAGAAATGGATGAACACAAGCCAAAACATCAAGAGAGAATGTTCCGAATTCTTGCCGAAACAGATGATTTCGAACGAAAACGATTACAGCATTTCAAAACTATGTTCACTGCTTTGAAAACAGGAAGTTCAATCGAACAAGATGAACGACATGCAACGATGGCTGCCGAATTTACGGATTCGATCAAGAAACATGACATCGAGGCTGATATTGACTTTTTCAACCAGCACTACGGCAGCAAAACGACAAGCAAGTGGCCTGTTTTCGAAGAAGGCAACTAGCTCATCAAAAGAAAAAGGCGCTGAAACAAATTTCAACAAAAAAAACGAGGAACAGATTAGAAATTTTTTCTTTGATTTCCTCGGTATACATCAGGCCTTGTTGAAATTCAATTTCGTGTGTTTCATGTATACTCTTCAGAATACTCATATTTTTTGTATCCTTTCTATGTGTCATTTTAATTCAGAGAGAAAAACAAACTTTTCTGTTATGTTTCCCTGTACAATCTTCGACTGCAATAAATTTTATGATAAAAGAACTTTTTAGGGCTTTATTCTGCAACGATATTTACTCTTGACTTTCGAGTCGCCTCGAGAAACGGTTTTTATTATACGTAATTTATTCGCTATTTTACAAGGAAGCAGACTTTTATTGACATAAAATCTATTGAAGTTGGGACTTTTTTCGTTTTATGTGTAATGGAATGTTGGAAAAAAAGAACTCATTGACTTGATAAGAATAGATTTTTCCAGCAAACGTATGCATTGACTCGAGGCACGTAGTGACATCAAATGAATCATCATAATGATATTATACATATCCATATGTTCGTTCGCTTTCTTCACACGGATCTTCTTGTGTAGGTACCTGTCTACAATTCAATCTTGCGCAATCAATCTGACGCAAAATTTAATTCTTGCAACAGAAATAAATCAAATAATCGTGCTGATTGAACTCTTCGTGAACGTATCAATGTTAACAGATGGTCGTTCAGTTATTTCTTTTGTTACTTAGCAATTTGCATGACAATTGTGTCAACATTTCGCATCAGATGTTTCAAAACAAATATTCAAAGTATCTTTGTCTATATTCATTTTCAATTCTAGGCAACAAGTTATCATTACACAATTCAATTAATCTCGATCGTCACGCGTATTTAGAATAGTAGGTCGAACAATATCATACATAACTTCTAAGGACGAGACGTACTCAATGCACTCTGATGGATATCCGGAAATATATTGCTTGTTTGCTAGATGAGTATCGAGATCGAAAGGTTCTTTTTGTTTAACATTCGAATATCTCATGTAGGTCTAATTGATTTTTTTTCACTTCCGCTCTTGAAGTGTCAGATATCGGCAACAACATGGCGTAATTTTTTCTCATTAATTTTGTTATCATACAAGATCAGCATGAGTTCCGTTTTCGCGTCATCAACGTCTCATTCAAGAAATATAAGGAAAAAACAATAATAGTAAATCAAATCTACCAATGTCTCCTGTATATATGTGTATATATTAAATGTGAAGAAAAAAATAGGTAAATAATGACGGGGTTATGGGCAAGCAAACACACATACACTGACAGAGTAGAACTGTTCCTGACCAGAAGAGAAGAGAAGAGAAAAAAAGAAAGAGAGCGAGAGAGAGAGAGATCAAAAGAATTTTGTTGAAAATCTGTGAATTTATCATGTCTAAAATGCGTATTTATTCGCAAGATCTATTATAAAAGCATTTATTCTTCATCACCAGCCGGTGCAGCTGCGGCTGCTGCTGAAGCACCACCACCAGGTTGTCGACTGAATTTCGTTTCTAATTGTTTACGATTTCGTTCATTAGGATGAAGTTTATCTTGATAACAGCCTAAGCAACAGCAGTATCATCGAATTCGAACATATATTTCAATCAGCGACTTACTTTTGCAAAAGACATCTTGTGCAAAATCCTTGTATGAAGCCAAAGTTAAAAGTCCGTTACCTAGACGAATTGAAGAAATAAATCAAATCGTTAGGAAAGGGAAATCCAACTTACATGTTTTACATTTGAAACAACCCTTATGCCATGAAGCACTGCATGCCATGAGTTTTTCAGCTGGATAGACGGTCTTTTGACAACGTGGACAAATTTCACCACCACCTCCCCAGTTTGGCATTTTTTCAAATAATTGATTCGAGTCGACCGAAAGAAAAGCTCGAGAATAAAATCTAAAATAAAGAATATCAAGGACACACTTGTCTATTTTCCGATCAATGAACCGAGGCCTAATTGATTTGTACTCGAATCAATGCAACACAAAAACAAATAAGATATTTCGCTCGTCTCGATGTTAAGCATCTTTGATAATAATTGAGAGAAACTTGTTCTCGACCGTTAGCTTCTGCGCACATTAACGTCATTTGTACAAGTAGAAAAAGAAGAAAATGCAAAAGCAACAAGATTATTTCCTATTGCTTTTGCTTGTACATATGCAAGGTTCGAGATCTGCAGAAGAGAAGACGATGAAGAGAGAAAGAGCAAGGGAAGAAGAAGAAGAAGAAAAAAGAAAGAAAAATGGAGATGCCTTCTTCTAGTCAGCCTTCGTGATATGACTGTTATTCGTCGTTGTCGTCTAGCATATTCTATTCATCTTAGGAGAATCTTGCTATTTCTCTCTTGTTCTTCTTTTCAGTTAATGGATAAACAAAAATGTTGCTGTTAGGGTGTGTGATCATCCATCTTTTTCGCTTTATATCCCATCAATAGTGCGAAGAATGGGGTGGAGTACACACCAAGCGATCGATATGCTGTCAATTGATGACGCGATCTCTATTTTTTCCTAGGTTTGATCTGTATTGCGTCAACAGAAATAGAGCTGATGATATATCTCGACTGTCCCAATAACCTAATGAGTTGTTTTCAAGCAATCATTTGATAGTTACTACCATGGTGTGTTTGTTTTATAGTGAATTGAAGAAATCATCGGAGGACCGGCAATCATTGCGTTATTATCGTTTCATTTCACAAGACAAGACGAAACGAGCAAGCGTTTCTCTCTCTTGTTCTACTATACATGCGTTAATTTTCGGGAAAAAAATCACCTACAGAGATGACGCGCTAGATGATACAAATCAGGACAAAATCTTTCTACTTAAACTAAAATGATTGATTTCAACCATCAAGATGCGTAGGAAACATTAGGATGGAGAGAGAGAGAGAAAGGCTTTCTCTTGGTATTATCAACAACAACAACAAGAAGAACAAATGCGAACATTCGCCTACGTATTAACACTTAGCATATTGACAAAGGTTTTCTTATACGTTAGTCTTCTCTGATGAGAATATCCATCTCCGAGACTCTCGAATCAACTTTTCCTCTTCTCTAGCTATCAATCAAAACCAGGAAAGAAACTTCTGTGTATATGCTGTCGATGTTTTGAAAGAATCCTAGACGCGGATGTGTGATGGATTAGACAATACCGAAACATAATCTCTTGTCGGCAATTATTCTCGTCTGTCTACACATTCAAAAATCGTCCCATTCATCTTTCAGTCAAGCAAAGAGTTTTTCTCGATTTCATCTCATCTGCAGACTTTTGTTTTCATTCAATTTCTCTAGTATCATATCCGTTAACATATGTAATAAGCAAAATGTTGTTTGTATATATGCTCTTTTGCAAAAGTCCATGCCGTCAATACTTGATGAATATAGTATTTAGAGGAAAACAATATAATTTACGATGTAATTAAGCTACCAGAGTTAGCGATTGAAAGACTTTTGAAGAGGCGAAATCAAGCGAATATTTCTGCGTATTTGCATCATCGAAGAGTATGTAAGTCAACGTCAAACATTACAAATCAAATGTCAAGAAAAGAAGAGCACTTAGTACAACACAGACGATAATGGGCATTATGTATAGTAAATAATAGATACAATAGATGGATTAGACAAATGATTACGTGCATTTTTGCTTCGGAATATTAATAGAAAATATCAAAATGTGTCGAGTATGACCTATAGCACTGAATACAGATAATGCTGTCTTAGTAAGAATATTTATTCAGTTTATTTGGTTAATATGTAAAGCAAGATGTGTGCGTCACCGACTGATAATCATGTGAATGATTTCGAAATTTGATTCTTGATGTTTTTTGTTATTGCTTGATCTGTTGAAATGAAAAATGAAAAATATGTATTGCTTTAACGATACGAGATATTGTTCTCCGATTACTTTTCCTGATTGATTGATTGAGTGTGTCAAACGTGTTATTTTCGTTGCCTAGATATTTATAAATACTGATGTTTTATTATTGATGTCTTCGATACGGTAAAAGAACAATTTAGTTGTTGAATATTCGAGTTGAAAGTAAGCGAGTCAGTCAGCACATACATTTGATTTCTATTTTCTTCTTTTCTTTTCTTGGTCAAAACGATTCCGAAGTGTTCGATCATTTTTCTTTTTTCTATCAATAGCTTTTTTTTAATGCCCTTTAATCATTGAAAAAAGTGCGACGTGAATAAAGTGGAAACCGTTGAAGGGAGAGAAAGAAAAAAAAAAGTTGACGATTGGTGGCGTTTTCTCTCTTATGTCTCTTTAGCAAGTGAATTAATTTTCATTCCGTTGTTGTTACAACAAAAACCATAGACAAAACTAGTAATATGATGAAGGCGAACGAGTGAAATTTGATGCTGTGCAATTGAAAGGAAAACAAGTGAGAAACAAGCTCGTATAAATACACAGATACGCCATAAACATATCAATAATATCCACAACATGGTCCATTACGGTAGACATATTATCGTTCCCGGTACTGATTTATGTGAAATCTGTGATCGTGGGATCTTGTATGAACGCAAACGAGGCAAAAAAATAGGAAAGAAATTTCTATATACCAATCAAGATGGAAGATTTACTTATCGTCCTAACAATGTGGAGAAACGGCCACCACAACAAACGACACCGCGACAACGTCGAAAATCTTATCATGCTGAAACATTGACAGCCCGATCACGTCCACCAGCTCAAGATGAATCTCCAAAACGAGTTGTCCGACGAGCGTATACACCACCCCATGACATTCCACTTTCTTCCCGTGCCCCTCCAGGAGCAACACTTTACCATGTAGACGATCCTGTCATTCAGAGCAGACGACCATTCGAGGAAGTAACACCGCGGCAACCTCAAAAAACGTATACAGAACCAGTCACTGCTCGTTCTCGGCCCGTTGTACACGAAGAACCTCCTAAACGAATTGTTCAACGACCACGTACACCAGTGGAAACTATTCAACTTTCATCTCGTGCTCCTCCCGGACCCACACTTTATTATATGGACGATCCGACAATTCACAATACACGGCCCTATGCATTAACAACACCACGCGAGCGTCGAAATTCTTTTCATACTGAACCAACAACAGCCCGATCTCGTCCGGTGGTCCAAGAAGAACCTCCGAAACGTACTGCTCGGCGAGCATACACACCACCTAATGATATTCCACTTTCATCTCGTGCTCCTCCAGGACCAACACTTTACCACGTGGATGAACCGAGCCCAACATCATATCGAAATGGAATTATCAACGAAGAACCACGTCAACGTAATAACGGTCAAGTCCTGCAAGCGCCGCCAACAAAACGACAAACAAATTCTGATCCCGACAGCTTCGGCCGTCCCTATATAATCGATTCCTATGATCCACTAAGAAAACCCAATATGTATTATCTTGATCAACCTCAACGTGCTAGCCGCTATACACCAATGCCTACGACACCGTCTCCGCCGAGAGTTGTCTATCAAGCAGATACTCCGAGAAAACAACGTCAACTTGAGCCAGTACCAACGAGATCTCATGAAGAACCTGACGTCACAGTCGTTCGACGAGTTTATAAAAAACTACCAGCAGGTAAGCAAGTACCAACCGAAGAGGAATATATTCCAAATGGTAATCGACCAGTACGAAAGGTTGAAGCATTTTACTTAACACCAGGACAATCTAATTCTACATTGCAATCAACGTACAGACCAATGAACACTCCTCTTCCTAACAGAAATCCATCGATTTATTATATTCAGCCTACTAATGCATATTAATAAAGAAAGAAAACTCATTTACACCCTTATTTTTTTCCAAAGTGCATTTATGTTCGTATCGTTTGTAAATAGACGAAAAAATGTTTTCATTTCATATACTTCTAGGCTGATTAAGTTGATTTTTTTTCACTCTGCAAACGAAACTGTTTGTAGGCTTCGTTTTATTATCGTAAGAAATCGTATGTCTCTTATCACACGTTCGCAAATACGAAAGTACTGTCAGTGTTCCTCATCATCAATGAAATTGATTCGTATTAATTAGATAGGTCATACAAAGAGCACAGTACTCGGTAACCGATGAGTTTTTTTTGTCAACGAACAGGAGTGTGATCATATCTAAACAAAAATCATTGTCATAGAAAAAAAAATCCGATACTGATCAAGTAACAGATCATAAAAATGTGATTAAGACGTCGTTGTTATATTCTTCTTGACACTTTTCATTATTTGAACAGTCGAACCGTAAGAGTCAACCGATAACGCGAGAAAAGAAAAGCATTGTTCTCTTTCTCTCGAAGTTGAAGACAGTATCGTTCGAATCAATTAACATCTACAGACACTCTACTTTAGTGATTTTTGCACATTATTTCCAATTGACTTCGCTCAAACAGATAGAAAATGTATATATTATCAATTAATTTCGTCGGAGGTATATGAATGATTATTACGGCACTGTTATTTGATGTGAATTAGTTTGTATTGTTTTATTCTTTGACAAGACGTTCAATTAGAACGAAAGGATGCTAAACGCGTTCACTCATTAACGATCTTTTGTCTAAAAAGAAGGAATATTCTAAGTATAACACGATTACATCATTCTTTAGCAAAATTCCTCCAACAAGTGTCCATCACTAATCCAGTCCGCCACGATTGTCGTTTAAGATAAAGAAACTATAGAAATGCATCATTAAAATCTTCTTATCGTGCTTCGACAATGGTTGTATAATGTAAGCGGATATGATTAGAGTGTTTGATAGTTGAGATCTTTGTACATTTGATAGAATCATGAAAGTTAAATGTTAAACATACTCGTTTGATTATGATTGACAATTGCACTAACTAGTTTGCATAGATTGGACAACAATTTTCATATGAAAAGACTTTATTTCAGCAAAATTTCGTCTAGACGAGAGAGTATTATTAAAAAAAAAGAATTGTGTACATTGTTGACACAAATTTAAATCAATTTAGAAAAATTTTTCTTTTCTATTCTTAACAAATGAAAATATTATGACATTCATGCTATTCTTTCATATGGATATAACTTTGCGTGTGATAATGTTTGAAAAGAATTTCATTTTCTTTCTATTTACATAAAATATGTAAATTTTCGCTCGTTTTTTTTTTTAATATTTATGATGACAGCTTTCATTCGCTAATATAACTACTGTTCATCACTCGAAAGTAAAATAGGAAAAAAGAACTGATGACCAAATTTACATACCCAATGTACTTCTCAAATTCATGTTCAGGTTTTACTTCGAGCGTTTCTTCTGTGGTCACACACATGTCACGTTTTCATTGTATAGATCGTTACATAATCAATATACATGTATAAATATAGAAACGACGAAAAACTTAATATCACGGTCAATTATTAGCTCAGTGAGCGATAACGACAAAGGGAGGAATATTACATCTTTTTTTTTTTATTATTGAATTTTAATAGTTATGCTCACTCACATATATTTATCTAAATTTAGCACCGTACTGCAAAGAGAAAAAGAAGCACCATCATATAGAGAGCAAAAAAAATGTTAAGTAAATGAAGGTGATTTAAGTTTATGAACTTCTATTGTCTATGTATATGTTATTATTTGAAATAGAGTACTTCGCGACGCATTTGTAACATAATTATTAGAATGATTAAACTAGGTACGAGTAAAAATACAGCTGATATTATGCCAATACGTTGTTTATTTGCATACATTGCATCTTCGAGTGCGGTAACACAATTCGTTCCTGTACAATTATAGGTTGAACGAATAGGTGGCCACACAGATGCTGACGTTTGAGCAACATCATTTACGAGAGTAGGACGAAGACGATCATAGTAAGCAAAACCTGAAGCACATGCGCCGGATAGAATAGACATGTAAAGTGAAATTAGAACAAGAGAAATAATCAAATAACGCCAACGACGTTGAATGATGCCAAGTATACCAAATATGATTGGTATTGCTACTATACCACTGCCGATTATGAGAAGAATATGAGCTAGACGAGAAAGAAATTCAGAATAGAAGTACACTTTTTTCCTATACTCAAGGTTGAACACATACGAGCATAAATGGAAAAATAAGCTTGTCTATTGAAAGCAGAATTGAGGTTAATAATCGTGTTGTACAATGGCGGTTGAAGAAGAAATCCTATGCCGAGGCCGATGCCGAGTAAACTTTGAAGAATTAATAATATAAAAAGAATGAGCGCGACCAACTGGATCGAATCTAACGGTCCACACGGAAAATTCATTATAATACGTGAAAGACCGCTGCTTATTAAGACATTATGCCATCACGGATCTGAAAATATACTAAAACATTTTTACGATTTGACAATTAAGCAAATATGCGTTCATTCATTTGTTGCATGACAAAAGATACGACTAAGCTCGTTGACACGAATTATTCTGTCTGTGTACACATGTCAGATATTTGAAACTGTGAGTAGAAAAGGAGCGAGAGAGAAACTATATGAAGCTAATTGGATAATAAATCCTGTTGACAATGTCCAACTGACTTCTATAAGCAGACAGTTCTACTTTCTTCTTCGTCTATTACTTCTCACTAACAATTCAAACATACAAATGCCATCGATGGCTCTTAACATTCGAAACTGAATGACGAGTAGAAAGAGAAAGAAGTAAATAGTAAGAAACGAAGAAAAAAAGGACGCTGATGGTGAAACAGTGATTTGAATGTGTTGTATATTATAAAGCGTTAGGACAGAGGAGAAGGGAAAAAAAAAGAAGAAAGAAAAAAGAAAATTCATCTCTCATATGTTGCCTTTCTCTCTCTCTCTCTCTTCTTCGCTAAATTGATGATCAAACTTTCAAGATCAACGTAACATTTACAACAAGAGGAAAGTTTACAATGCAATCAAATTCACTATCAATTAGTCAAATGATGATACAATACAAGAAAAAGAAACGATGTGTTCATAGCTCTTCAATGTCTCATGAAATATTCAAGGTTATAAATTTGATACATTTTCAAATTTATAACCTTCCGTTCGAGGTTATTACGTATGCAAATATTATTGAAATGCTGTACGACAAAACTTCAACTGATTGTTACTTACAATTAAATAGACAAATTGAAAACGAGAATTTTTTACATGTGACTGACACATTGTCAACATGGGTGTTGAATATTTCATCATAATATTTGCATATACTTGCAATTTCATTTGCTTATTGAACATCTACACAATTATTTAGCTTCACTAACAATTACACCTTAGGCTTAATCATGCTTATTTAAACGTACTCAGCCGAACTCGTGTTGTAACAAGCATAAAATCAAGTTTATACAACATGATTTTCATAAAGTTTCGTTGTTCTCGACCAAAGAACTTTTATTTAGATTACTTTTGAGAAATCCAGATAAACTGACATATATCAGTGAATAAATGTTCTACTTATTTGTAAATAAACCAGTACCTTTCTTGCCCACGTCAGTATCACGAGTCGTGAAAAATATGAAGATGATAACAGCAAAAAACAACACTGTTTGCTTATCAAGTTGTTATAAATCGTGTATATCTTTCATAATAGTTTAATATTTACCTTGAAGAAGATCAAGACTCTTGGCTGACTGTAAACATAAACATGGTGAGATATTTTATTTTCTCATTTCGAATTCTAAAATTCTTGTTCGATGAATACTAGGCTAGTGTCAAAGTGGACATACCCCTTACTATCCCACGATCAAAGCAAGATCTATCTGATAATGTAGTTCGTATTGGACTATGCTTTCTTGGTTGGCTAGTGTTGTACTTTTTCATGGGTATACTTTCGAAAATATTGATACCTCAAGTTAGGTAAACGCAATCATTAGTATTTTTTTCTTCTTCTTTTAATTTGCATCTTATCTACTTAACTGCAGAACACTCAAACCGAAGGAACAAATGTTTTGGCAATTGGCATGGGTACGTGCGGTGTGTGGCACGTTAGTGGCATGGGGTAGAAATTTGTTTGTTTGTTTGTTTTTATCTTAGTAAAATCTTGATTTCTTTCGTGTTTAGCTGCTTATTTGACTTTCGTTGACGATCGTCTTGATCGTGATCATGTGCTGGCAACTACCGATGCATCATGGACATTCATTTGTGTTCTAACAGGTTTCTTTATATTCGAAGAAGCGACATTGATTTATTTCGATGTAAGATATCACACATTTTCCAAGGAATTGCATATGCATCATTTATTTGCATTCAATGGTTTCTTTTTCGCTGCTTGGTATAATTCTGGTCATTATTATGCAGCAAAAGCGTTCATACTCGAAGCTAGCACGATATCTTCATGTATCTGTTGGTGCTTGTTGAAGTTCAAACTTGAAAAGACCAAAGTATGGAAAATCAATCAAATGATCCTAATTCACATATTTCATTTACGTTCCGTTTATGAAATGTGGTGGTGGTATGACATTTATCGAGATTGGGCAAATATCAAAGAAAATCTTGCCATCGCGTATACAGTTAATATGATGTTAGGTTTAGCAATCGTTAGTTTCTGGTTAACACCATATTGGACATATAAGAAGACAGTACAATACTTCTATCCATCTGATTTCAATATGGACAAGAAAGCAAAGAAATCCGATGAAATTGATAAAACATCATAGAGAATTCATAGGCACTTTTTGTTTTGGGAAAAGTATCATTTGTCATGAAAATATCTTTTCATTGAGAATAAAAATGGTTTAATAAAATGAAATAAATTGTTTGCTCTGTGATTTACTTTGCTTAGTTGATTGTTCTAGAAAATCGTATAGAAAATGAATAACAATTTCGTTCAATAATCATCTGTTGCATTCGTTCATATCCATGGTATATGATGAATGATATCTGGATTTTGACTGTAATCTTTCCACAAGTCTTCAACAGATTTCCCTGTTAACTCTTTCCATGTTGTATTCTGTTTGTATGTTACATCTCGTAAACCTTGATCCAATTTATCAATAACACTTGAATTATATTTATAATCAAGCCAAATAAGAAATCGTGCAGTTACTTTATAACCGTCGTTATAATTTTGTGTATGACGATATTCAATCATTGGCCAATCAGCATTGAGATTGTCACTACCATATGTATATCGGACATAATCAGCCAAACCTTCGCCTAACCATTCCACATCAGCAAGATTTTGTGTAGTATATTGTTGAACTAAATGAGCTAATTCGTGAAGAAATATATCGTAATAACGAGAATAGAACTGAGGATTACGAAGTCGATGTGCACTGATGATCATCTTGGAATTAACTGCTCTTCCCCAGAATGGATAATGACGATCTCCGTCGATATATATAGAAATCGAATGTGGAGCACTGGGATTAAATCGATTGACTAATCGAGGATAGATATTAAAATATAGTTCAGATAATCGATATTGAACTGCAGAATTCATTGTAAAATTTGTTCTTTGTATTGTTAGATTATAACCGTTCGATGAGTAGAATTTCATATAGATAAATCTTGTTTTATTTAAATAAGGAAATTCATCACAATGTATTATTGAAAATATCAGGAAAAAGATTCCAAGTATATTGATCTTCATAATGTTCGATTTCAGTTGAACCAAACGAATGTACTTAACACACGCGTCACTTGACCTCGCAATAGCCGACCTATATATGTATATAAGAATAGAAAAAGTAGATTTGATGATTGTTGAGTATTGTATGTGAGTAGATATATTTAAATTACTCACTCCAATCCTAAACCAATCAATTGCTATGAAATCGAAACAGATATTCGTTAGATGGTTGACACATACAACTATGGCGTCTTCATAAATAGAAGAATATATATATCAAGATAATTCAGCATCCTCAAAAAATATTTTTCATCACTCAATGTTTCTGTATCAATCACTTCTACTCATTTTGTAAAATTTAATACACGTACTTTCTCTAACAACAAGGCCAAATCATCATTAGGCCATGTTGTTTCAATTGGCGTTCATCTACTCCAATACCGACTACTAAGAGTTTTATGCTTGAAAAGTGTTTTGGTGAAGTTCTTCTCATCGGTATGTGTTTTCGTAAGGAAATCATCGATACAAAGTAAGACAGTTTTACTGTTGTCATTACGTGTCCCTTTCGTAAAAAAAGATGATTCCACAATTATGCTATAATGTAAAACTTTTCGAAGACATATACTTTTTACAATAAACTCTTCAGTGTAATAAAATGAAATGTATTGTTTTCTGTATCCTTTGCTCGATTCCATGTGTGTATGGATACACATAGATTTGTTCATAATTAATGTAACCAAGTGATGATAGCATAGATGGAAAGAAATGTTTGTGATTAACTTAATAACCAAACCATCATTTTCTTCAGTACAAATGAAAATTTGATCTCATATCTGAAAATATCTTTGTAATCTCTTTTCAATTATTCGATATTTATTATGTTTTCAACATTAATGTGAAGCTAGCATAACGAAACAAAGATTTAGCTAAAAAAGTGAAGGTATGAGAATATTCTTGGTTATGCCCATCATAAATGATTAATGAATTCATTCACAGCATCAATAGACTTCTTTTTTTCCTCTCAGACTCAACGCTGGTCACTGATTGGTATGCTGAATTTACTGCATTCAGTTTCAGTGCACCACACATTCCATCATGATCATCAAAAAGTCATTTTGTTCACATCGGTTGACAAGTTACAATACACTGTGATGTTCGTATTGCCATTGACACTTCGACAATGTATGCCGTAGTTGATTGTAGTTTTTCAGGCAGTCGTGTTAGTCATTTGCTGTTGATATATAAGCTGTCAGTGTTGCTTCCATAATAACTGCAGTATGTAGTTAAAGTACACTCGTTCTTCTCGTTCAAGAAGTACTAGATCAATATAATTATGTTCACTGTTAACAACATGGTTTGAGAACATTAAAACACATTTTATTAACTACAATTCATTCGTAAAACTAGGCGAATTATGCGGGCATAGATAATATCTATGCACTTAGTATGTGCTCAAAGTTTCATCTCAGTTCTTTAACGTCATATTTTGAATATTTCAATATTTGCTTCTTACTCATTTCCTTGTAAAACACTAATTGATTCTCTTTGTTCATGTTCAAAACTAGTTGGCAGTTTACGCGTAGGAATTACTCAACCTAGCTTTGCTTCGTCAGGTTATCTGTGTTCAGGACAAAATTGGAAATGTTCAAGTAAGAAGTTTGTTGTTTGTCATCAAAAGTAACACTAACTCATCGAAAAAGTTTTAATGTTTCTTAAAATTTCAATTCATCCAGTTATATTTGGTACATTTTCGTGTCTTTTACTAGTTTGAAGAAAGATTCTAGCCTTTCATGCAATTTCAGCTGTGTACAGTCAAAAAATAGAGCTCCGATTTTGTCTCAATATATATCTATACATTTGACAAGTATTGAAAATATAGTCTTGTATCAGCGAGTTGAATAGACATATGAAAAATAGATATATCTCGTTTGAAATGAAACGATATGAGTCTACTCTTAAGATATATTAGTAGCTTGAAAACAGCATCTTGAGGGTGAGGGTGTCCAAAGATTACTCGACACAGTTCGACATGCTACTAATCATATGAAAGTGAAAACACGGACGAAGCAAGTTCGCTATAGTAAAAGCCAGTAGTAACAAAATTTGACTCGGTAATGTTTGAAAAAAAAAGTACTAAAAACTTTTCTTAATACTTGCAAGGTTTTTCAAAATTTGGAAGATAAATTGTAGAGCTGACGTGTAGAAGGAAAAACAATTTGTGACAATTGGCGAGATGTGGGACATCCAACTATCTACAAATGGCAACGCCTCGGAAGGAAAAATAACGTTTTCGTTATTCAAACGCTTTTCATCAAATCTAGTAAAAAGTAATCAGCGAGATGAATTTGAATCACCTGACTTTAGATTGTCTTGTTTAACTATCAAGAAGGTCGAAGAACTCGCGCATCTTTTGGCTTTTTTTTGTGAATCATTTTTTATTTAAATCGTTACTCGACATTTCATCTACGAGGTATTAAGGTATACTATTCGAATTTGATGAATAATCATTGAACGATGAGGAATGAAGTCACCTCATTTACTCGCTTCGAAAGAGATTCGAGAATAGTGAACATAGTGATTGATGTAGTAGAAATGTTTGGGCGATGGGAGAGAGGTCGACGAACGAACTCATGCAAAAATGGTCTCATAAAATCATCACAGGATTAGTATTGATGAGACCATGACATTTCTAAATCATCAAAAAATATGGTAATTCTTGATACTTCAAAGGTTATTCATATCTTACATGACAGAATCTTCAAACGAGATATTGTCATGTTTATTAATGTACGCATGGTTTTTGAAAATCATACTTTCAACACGAATATTTGCATTAATCATTTCTCTGGTATAAACATTCAGATTGAGATTGAAACTCTATGTTTCTATCTTTTATAATTACAAAGAAGAAAACTGAAAGATTAAGCATTTGGATTGTTTGCATAGTCGCTCCAAAGTTGGTCAACTGATTTACCAGTGAATTGATTCCATGAATTACCTGAATAAGTATTACTTCGCATTGCCGAATCGAGTTGAACAACAATGTTTGGATAAAACTTTTCACACCAAGCTAAAAACCGTGCAGTGACACGATATGCATTCGTATAGTGATGATTGACTTCAAAAGGTGGTAACCACCAATTAGCTGCTGGATTATTTCGTCCATATTTCCATCGAGCGTAATCCGCAATACCTTCGATTAACCAACCTGGATCGCCACGTGGATAACGTTGAACAACATGCATTGATTCATGCGTTACGACATCAGTATCTTGTGGATTATTGCGGAGCCATGTTGCACTGATAACAATCGCTCCACCCGAAGCATATGCAACACCATTGTATCCTGGATCAATTGTGATTTGTACATCGCGAGTACAAGAATTACGATTGAATCGATCACACATTTGTGGCCTAGAAGTTTTCAAAATTTTAAATTGCATTGAGATAAGTTAAAAGACAATTTACATCGTCGCAAAATATGTGTCAATACATCGTTGTCGTGTGCTTTGATCGAAATTAGGATCGTTGTTTACTATTGTTAGTTTGTAGTTGCCTGATGTGTATACAACGACATCGGCAGATAGACAAGCAATACTCGCAGCTAAAATAAGTGATATAACGATGGGTGAAGGCATTGTGTACTCGATAAACCTAGATTCTTACACTGCCATCGACTTCATTTATATAGTCTTTCGGAAAGAAAAACAAAAGGACAGATAGGCAATTGTAAAGGATTTAATAGCAGCTGTTTAGTTTCATAGATTATTAATAGATAAATCGTTTTTATCAACGCACTTTAAACTGAGTGCTCCAGAATAGTTGAATATTTTAAGTGGCTTGGCCGCCTGTGCCGCCCATGTAATTTCTGTCGTGACCTAGTTCGTCTGACGCAGGTAATTTCAGGAGAAAACGAAGAATGGTTCTTCGTTAAGTTTGTGAAGCCGATGGATATTCAATCAGTTGTATCTCCATGTGATTTTATTAGAAAAATCTATTCTTCATGTAAAACAACGAAAGACAAAGGCTAGCTCCAAGCACTGTTACATTTAACTTTTGACGTGTAACGCTGAGAAAATCTCTGGATACACCTATTGGATTCTATGTGGAAGGTTGTGCATCTTCGTTATCAGGAATTATTTCTGGAGAATTGAGACCAAAGTTTTCATCTAATTTGAAATATTCTCGAAATTTTTGTTGTTCTAATTGTCGCATAAGACAATTCAATGCGTATATCTAGACGAAATATCCAAATAGGACATCGAAGAAAACGTGATGAGATGTAGCACGAACTTGTCTTCTTTGATATTCAGATTGTAGTTTCTGTTCAGGATCAGGTGGATTCGAATGTAGAGTTGGTAAACGCCTTTTCGATACGACATTTGTCGATTGTCGTTCGATTCTAAATGACGATGATTTAGTTAAAGTGTCTTTGATATTTTTACGAGATTTTAGGAGTTGCATCGATTCTACGAAAAAGAAATATTCATCAACTAGCGGAGTGAAAATATATGTACATATCCGGTACCAGATGCAAACGGAGAAATATGCGACTTCGAAGGTAAAGATGGTAATTTCGATCGGGAAGTGTTTTCTAGGTTGGAAGTCTCATGATTATGAGAATCGTTACCTTGACTATGCTCGAATATTCGACCATCAGTCGTAATTTGATATTGACGCGAAATAGCAGTTTTTGTTGTAATTGGTACTCTCGATGTTTGCCCATCATTAGCCATTACTTTATCGGTTTTCTGAAATATAAGTCCACTATTTCATAGATCTACAGTTCATTAGCATGGTAGATTGCAAAAAAAGGTTAGAACTTCAAATGATTACTTCTACTTTTTCAATAATATTCACATTGCATCAAGTATCTTTGGTATTTTTAGATAGTACTTAACATGCCAGTAATAAAATCGGATATTCCGAGACTTATTGTTATAATAAAGTATTAAAAGAATTGCAATGTAGTTCAACCATGTTTTCATGGTGTTCAAAAGACTTGCTATTATTTCGGATTAGATACACAAAGTATTTCGAAGTATCAAATGTAACCATTCTCATGTTCTTTTATGAGTGGTTACTATCACTACACTACGAACGACATGAAAATGTATTTTAGATCAATTTAAATCTTCTTAAGAGTTAATATCGTTCTTAGATTGACTTTTCTTATCGATGCATTTCGTGTACGAAGAATCAAATCATTAATGCAGATGAACGTCATCAATTGACGATGCTCGTATTTGATTGGTTAACTTCTACTCTACCGTACATTGATAGATAAAAATCTATTCAAATCAACGACGTAAACACAGTTGCCGTTGCAAATAGAAGTATTTTATTCGATCTTATTTATTTCGACGTAAGTTATTCATTTGTCTTGCTTTTCATTGATAACAATTTCAATATTTAGCTTTTCAAGATGGATCAGATTCAACAATTCACCGAACCATGCAAACAATTCATGAAAGATTCCATCCGTTTAGTAAAAAAATGCACTAAACCTGATCGTAAAGGTATATCCCTGTCAGATTCTGATTTTCTTTCTCACTAATCGTTTCTCTTCTTACATAGAATTTCAAAAAATCGCGATGGCAACAGCAATCGGCTTTGCTATCATGGGTTTTATTGGTTTTTTCGTTAAACTCATCCATATCCCAATCAACAACATCATCGTTGGTTCATAGAATAACAACTGATTGCACACCTTTTCTTTTTCTTTTGTTGTTTATTGTCATACAAGTTTTATGCGTTAAAAGTTTATATGTAATGAAAAAAGAACATATTTAAGTCAAGTAGAACCAACTTTATACAACTAGTTTTAATACGTTCAACATAATCAGATTCCGTGTTTGAGAAAATAAGGAAAACAAACTTGAAATAACTGATGATTGGTGTCTCAAATGTAACAAGTCGAGAAAAGAATTAATGTCTCTCACTCAAATTGATTATTTATAACTCGAAAAACTTGCCAGATGTCAGTAGTACTATGAACCAATCAATTCTCTTTTCTATTTATTACTAGTCGAATCGAACGTAAGATACTAGATTTTTATTTATTCATAAACATAACCGACTTCATATTTCTAAACCTCTTTCTTCTCATCTTTCAACATGACAACAATGATAGATACATTTTCATCTGACGCGAATTTTTCTTCCCTATCATCAACATCCGATCACATATTTTCATATTATCGTGAAAAAGATGATACAACTTATTCTTCACAATATCCAACATCACAAACAACTACGGAGAGTAAACTCAACAATGATCATAATAATAGCGAACAAATTTCCACGCCGATCTTCATTGGCGAACCATTTTCAGCATTGATCAATTCTCTCATTCCATCACCTCAATTATTACTAAACGATACCGACGATCAAATAATCTATGACGAATATGGTTTTCGTATTGACATTAACGAAAACGAACAACACTATGAAATAGTACCAATTAAAGAAAACGAACAGATGAAATTAAAATGGTTGACCCATCTTGATTCGAAATATCATATCGATGTTGTTCATTTACCAATTCAAGAACAAGAATTTGTACATAAAATCGATCCAAAACAGTTTCGAGAAGATCCGAAGGTTTCATTACTTATACAACAATCATCTGGTATTCCACTATCCCTACGTGCACATATCTGGATGTGTCTAGGTGGATCGTTACGGAAAAAATATCAAGCGAAAATGTCTTATAGTGATATGTTAAAGCAATGCAATAACGATGCTCAATTGTATTCGAAACAGATTGAAAAAGATCTCCTCAGAACACTACCAACGAATGCATGTTTCATGTCAATGAACGCATCAGGAATTTCAAGACTGAGACGAATTTTACGAGCAGTGGCTTGGTTATTCCCAGGTAGAAATTCATTCTTTTCCATCGTCTATCTAAATGACTCGATTTTTAGATGTTGGTTACTGTCAAGTGAGTACATTCTCTCTATTTATATATCGTGAATTCATAGGTGACGAAGTTCCTAATCCCAATAGCGTTGAAAGTAGTACCGATTTGATAAACAACTTGAAGTTCAGTTTGTTTTGTTCGGAGTACTTTACTGCGTATACATAAATCATATGATTTGTAACATTAAGGCTAATATTTGTAGGGTATGGGTGTTATTTGTGCGACATTGTTGTTATTATTTGAAGAGGAAGATGCATTTTGGATGATGTGTACCATTGTCGAAGATCTTCTTCCCGGTCAGTATTATTCCGCATCATTATATGGCGCTCAAGTTGACATTCGTGTATTTCGTTATTTAATTGAGCAACACTTACCGAATATTCATGAACATTTGAATAAACATGATATCGATTTAACTTTAAGCTGTTTTCAATGGTTTTTAACACTTTATGCCAATGTATTTCATGTGAAATTTATCTATCGGTTATGGGATTATTTTTTTCTCTATGGTTCAATAATTTTATTTCAAATCGGTTTAATGATGTTAAAACAGTACGAAAAAGTTCTTCTTGATTTCAACAATAGTACACAAATATTCAATTTTCTATGCGAATTACCTCAACTATTCGAATACGAATACGGCAATAATGAAGAAATCTTTCTTCAATTATCCAATGTCTTCAATTTAACATCGATCACAATTGATTCTCATCGAAAGAAATATTTAGCCCAATTAATGTCTCAAGAAGGGTACACAATTAACCCGAAAATCACTTTATCCAATCTTCCGAAAGACATTCTCCAAAGACGTCATAATCCAAAATTGAAATCATCACTGTCAGCAAATAATACTCAAGCTTTAATCGAACGTAATATAACACAAACCGAAATGCTTGTTAATCTACGCGAAGCCATACTGAATATTGCCAAGCATTTTAAAGACAACGATCCTGATGGATATGCTGAACAAGACATTAGCCTCGATGTTGACTATTCGATTGAATCTCATGTTAAAGATCATGAACATTACGCAAATATCTCATTACAGAAATCGAAACGAGCGAAAGCATTGATCGATTTCGATAGTCAAGATTCGAATGAATTAAGTTTCAAACGGAACGACATCTTAAAGATTTTATCAATGACTGACGAACATTGTTGGATTGGCGAATTGAATGGCAAACATGGCTGGTTTCCAGCGAAATTTGTGCAATTGGTAGACGAACGATCAAAATTGTATTCGCTAGCCGGTGATGATAGCGTCAACGATATGATCTCCGATCTCGTTCGAGGAAAACTAGCCACCTGTTTAAAAGCAATATTTGAACATGGACTGAGGAAAACCCCGACTGTCCTTGGTAAGTTAAATGTATCATCAGTCTGCGAAAAAATATGTTCGAATTTTCAGGTGGTGTATGTCATCCATGGTTATTCATCGAAGAGGCAGCTTTACATGCCATTAACAAGGATTTCGATAGTGTTTACGCTCGTCTTATACTTTGTAAAACTTATCGATTAGATGAAGATGGTCGAATTCTAACTCCGGAAGAATTATTATGTCGTTGTATACGTTCAATAAATTACACACATAATCTTGCACATGCACAACTCGATGTGAAACTTCGTTCGTTTATATGTGTCGGTCTAAATGAACAAGTTTTACATCTATGGTTAGAGACATTATGTTCATGTACAGACGTAATTAATAAATGGTATTTTCCGTGGTCGTTCCTACGATCACCATGTTGGGTGAGTGAAATATTTGAATTTTGATGATGAAAAAGTTCGTTGAATGTTTTAGGTGCAAATTAAATGCGATCTGCGAGTTTTACAACAGTTTTCGTTTACGTTACAACAAGATTTGGAACTTCCATTAGCCTATCGACAACTCGATGTTATATCTAGCGTTCGCGATATGCTTATGAAACATCATCTGTTCAGTTGGGATCTCTAAGAATCTATTGGATACCTCATGTGAATACATACCGATTGTGCAATAGAATTCATTCGATTATTTTTTTGTTTTTATTTATGAAAAAAAAAATTTAGAGAGAGAGTCACTATTGTCATGTCTTTTTTTCAATGTTGTGAAAAGTTACTCAACGAAAAAAGAACATATATTTATTTTTTGTCTGCGCATTTTCAGTCATTTACAGAAAAGGAAAAGAAATCTATTTTATTTTAACTCCTCTATAGATATATTAACATGGCAAGCACTGCTGTGGAAGAACATTTATGTGTAACACCAAATTGTGGAGACAAGGCCAAACTTCGATGTCCAAATTGTGTCAAATTAGGTAAAAATTCATAAATGTCATTTCAATTAGTGCAGCTGTTTCTCTATAGGTCTTATTGATGGTTCGTATTTTTGCTCACAAGATTGTTTTAAAGGATACTGGCAAGAACACAAGAAACTTCATACATCTGCAAGTATGTTTTATTCGATCGTAGAATGATTCCTAGTGAAACTTTCGTTGTGTTTAGAAAGTTCCACTTCATCTAGTGAAAATCCAGAGAACTATAATCCATGGCCAGGCTTTCATTTTACTGGAAAATTGAGACCTTATCCAATCGTAAGATTGATTCTGTCCGAAAAGATTTCTTCTTAGCGATTGTTTTAGACTCCACGGCGTCTCGTTCCACCACATATTGAACGACCTGATTACGCGGATGACCCAAATGGTCGATCGAAATCTGAAGAAGGTGAAAAATCAGCAAGTAGCACGATTGTTGTACTAACCGACGAACAACAAGATATATTACGTGATACATGTCGAGTTCGTAGGCCGGATTACTATCTTAGGAAAACTATCTGTGTATATTTAGATCGGCCGAATTGTCTTAGACGAAGCTGCACGATCACTTCGAGTCGGAATGACAACAGAGGAGATAGATCGCATTGTTCATGAAGTAAACTTTCAGTTTTTCCTGTAAAAATATTTGAAATCTTCGTTTATTTAGTGTTGTGTTGAGAATGAGTGCTATCCGTCGCCATTGAATTATTACAAGTTTCCAAAATCATGTTGCACGTTTGTTGAAAATCTTTCTCTTCTCTACCTGAATGTAATCCAATTGTGTCTCTAGGAGTGTTAATGAAATTATTTGCCATGGAATACCTGATTTACGTCCGCTACAGGATGGTGATATAGTTAACAGTAAGTTTGAAATAAGAAATAATCTTACCAATGTCATCTTTACCAAACGTTTCTAGTTGATATAAGTGTGTATAAACGTGGTTTTCATAGTGATCTCAACGAAACATTTTTTGTTGGCAACGTCGACCAAAAATCTCGAGATCTCGTTCGTACAACCTACGAATGTTTAGAAAAGGCTATGGAAATGAGTAAGTCTCTTGAAAGTGGTGCCGAAACTCGAAGAAAATTTTCTTGGTGTATAGTTCGTCCAGGTACAAAATATCGCGATGTTGGAAATGTAATTCAAAAGCATGCGACAGCTAACGGTTGTTCGGTCGTTCGTTCATACTGTGGACACGGCATTCATAAGTAAACTTCTTCCTATCAATCTACACATCTACTCGTTGATATTTAGACTCTTTCACTGTGCTCCAAATATTCCTCATTACGCCAGTAAGCATTTCGAACACTCTACACTCTAGTCATTTCTGACTTTCTCGATATTAGAAAACAAAGCGATTGGTATAATGAAACCGGGCCATTCATTCACAATCGAACCTATGATTAACGCTGGTAAGATGAGTTACGAAACGGAACTTTCTTGCAATCGTATTTTGATAGGATCATGGCGTGATATTCTTTGGAACGACAATTGGACATCAGCTACCGAAGACGGTCAACGCTCAGCTCAATTTGAACACACATTTCTTGTCACTGACACAGGCTGTGATATCCTAACCGCACGCTCATCTGGTCAACCTTGGTTTATGGATGGAAATAACATCAGCTAGAAGAAGTTTTTGGATAGAAGAATATTGGCAACGAAAATCAAGTACATTTGTTTTTCTTCTTCTACGTTTAAAACTTAAATGTTTTTTTTTTGAACAAAGTTCAAGGCATTGTCTGCACTTAGAATCCGATTCATTTGAGTAAAAAATCAAGAGATCCTCTCGACTGAATGTCCTTCATATCGAATTAAGTGCACACTTAGGAAAACATTACTAAACTTTATCTGAAATTGTTGATCTCAACAATCTATTCGCTTGTTTATACTCATTAGTTTACCTTCAGGCAGTCATTAGACTGTCTGAAGAGTGTAATGAGTGGATAACGTTGGCAGTGTTGATTATTTTTTTATATAATTCAATTGTGCTAGTTGGAAGCACTTTAAATATGTCATTGTGTACTTCCTTCCGTTCGTTCTTTAAACTATTTCTATTATTTACTTGAGTTGCAAAATCGTACGCGTATACTCAAGCACGATCGTATGTCGATTCACCGAGATTTCAGCGACTGTTAGTAGATATTTTTTCTCTCCTTCTCCGCTGCAACTTGTTCTTATCTATTTCGTTCGAATTTGCACATCTTTTTTTCTCGAATTATCGTTGAAATGATCAATCCTAAATACCCATTAGCATGATTGATTATGCGTCGTTTTTTCTCTTCTTATCATCGTTCTGATTAACTCGGAGATTATTGTCCTTGATGAGTTTTTCGAAAATTCGCAAATTTTTTTGTTGTTTTGCTGTCTATTTGAAATATTTCTGTGAGCCACAACGCGAGAGTTGCCGTTCTCCCATCTTCCACCGGGATTTGGCAAAGAGAAAAAGAAATAAGAAAGAAAAACGACAGCATATAAAGATATATACACACGCACACAAAATAAGAGAAGCAAACAAGAAGTAAGACTAGTGAAGAAGATCGTGAATAGAAAAAACACGACAGAAAAGAAGAAAAAAAGAAGGAGAATTGAGCATGTTCACAAAAAAATAATAATAAAGAGATTGTGCATACACCTTTTGTCTCTATCTATGTAACAGTTCTAAAACGCACTGTAAAAACACTTGTGCTAAGGAAGGTGTGCAGTTGATATGAATATCAGACTCATTATAATCGATGTTCTTTGATGGCTACAGGATGTGTATTAACAGCCATCATATAACTGTAGCGATTCGCATTTGCTAAAGCAATATTGGCTGATTGCGAACTTTTTTTATAACTAACAGATGTTTGTTGTTGAGGAGAATTAAGGCCCAAGAACGCTTCGATAGGTCCAATAAAACTATGATGTTGTTGATGATCATGAAGATTAGTTTTCAAAGATGAATGATCAATTTGTAGTTGTTGAAAATGTCGACGTAGACGATCCGCATATGCTTCATATCGTTGTAACTAGAAAACAGAATATCAAAGAAGTGAACAAAGACGGATTTTGTTTAGTGAATTACTTCGTATTGAAGATAATCGATTTTATCTTTATTTTCAATCATATCACATGCTTTTATTTGTTTAATATCACCATTAATTGTATTATTTGCATACGATTGAATTCTCAAATCATTTAATTGTTTACTTAATTCGTTGATTTGATGTACAATAAAATCATATTGTTCAAACTAGACAAACTCAAAACAGTTACCATACGAATAACAAAATATCCAGATTACTTACGATCGAATAACGTGTTTGGACGCTTGGCAAAAGCGGACGTTGAAAACGCAATGAGACTGAATCAATAGCTGCTGGTAACGGTGGAGAGGAAAACGATGCGGCAACTAAATTTATCGTATCGATCCATTGATTCATGAGATCACGATCACTTGTTTGAAAAAGATATTCTCCCCAATCGGACGTTTTCAAACGAAAAACATGCTGTCGTTTACGATAATCCACCGCTTCTTGAGCGAATGCATGATGTAAACGTATAGCATTTGTATCACCAATCAAGATCGCTGTAGGTTGTTGATCATTTTTATGCAAATAGAGAACCATATCACGTAAACTGGCGTAATATGCTTTCCATCCACGACGTAGAAATCGAGCTACGATGAAGAAAATAAATTAGATCTACTTCGATTGAATTCCATTACTTACTTCGTTTTCCATCGGACTCGACACAACATTTGCGCATAAGATAACCCTAAAGAGAAGAATGTGTTCGTTGATATTCACAAGTCGTTGATGTTTACCTGCATGTATTCAATACTTTTACTGGTATCGGGAATCTAATAAATCGAGTCAACGAGTCGTTTTCTGATTACAAAGAAAAAAAGTCATAAACTCACTTCTAAAAATGGATTAACAATATTGCTGTAACCATGTAATGTTCCATGACCACCTAGGCGAACGTCATTATAATCGTCGGAAGCAAGAGTTCTAGACATAAAAAAAGAAATAAACCATTCTTTTCTATCATTTCTTCTATCACGCCATGGGATTTTCCTCACAAAATTGACTTTCAATTTCCCCGACATCTGCTTCATTGATTACTTTAGTCAGTTTTACATCGAATCCTTAGCAACAAGAAGAAAAATCTCTCACTCTCCACTTCTAATATTCAAACTACAACATATCATCAACAGACATTCTAACTATGTGTCATTTGTATTCATAGACACTAAAATGTATACAAATCACTAGTCGATATCTGTATCGTTCTTTTTTTCCTACTGCATACATACCAATAAGTGTCTAATGTGTCGACAGACAAATACACAAGGAAGATAAAAAAAAAGCGATCTCGCTGTTTGAATGTAAACAATCGTAAAAACGCAGTTAGCTGCAGTTTTTTTTTCTTTCTCTCTCTCTCTCTTTCTCATTCCGCAAACACAAATATTCTTGAGCACCGTATCTTCATTTTTTTTTCTCTTTCGCATCGTCCTATGAATTATGTTATGCATTAATGACGAATATGTGTCCAAGCGAGAAGTAGTTCAATGAGAGAATTAGAAGAAGCAAAGGGGAAAAAACCGATAACGAAGATTTTGTTCAATGAAAATGACAAAGTATATTTTACGCGTGAATGACGATGAGCGTGACGCACGCGAACGCATGTGCTTCCTACAAACCCGTTTCCGGTGTACACGAAATAATTATTATATTGAACTATCTCTCTTCAAGGTCAAACATCACTCTTTTTGACAATAAAATCGCTGACTAATGAACATGTATCTATCTTTGTAATCAATCATTTGTCCTCTCTTCTGTTTNTTGCCAGTAGTTGTGAAAGAGAACGCGGCGAAAATCGGCTCCCCAACTACTCCTATACTTTACTCGCTAATGTTCAATTCAGGCGCAATGAAAAAAACTCCATTGCTTGTTTGCTTGCTCAGTCGCTTCGCTCGCCGCAAAACTATTTTCATGCACACATGGTGATGATGCGTTCGCTTCCAAAGGAGAGGAAAGGAAACGAGAGAAAACAGTCTAGCCGGAAGACTCAAGAACAGGAGAAAAAGAATCAGTAGTTGCTTGATAGAAGCAGATTTTGACAAAAAACTAAGAACGAAGACGAAGAATAGGAATAAAGATGATGATGATAATGATGATGATGGGGGGGAGAGGGAAGAGAGAAGACAAATTCCCGACAAAAAAAGGAATATGACGCAATAAAAATTCTGCTTAGCTTTCCTGTCTTTCTTATTTATATGCACGCAAGCATGTTATTCTAATCAAATTAAGAATAGAGCAAAAAAGCAATAGAAAAAAAAAGGATTCTTTCATGCAAACAGACATTGCATGTTCGGTGGACAAGCTTAACGAAGGTAACGTATGATTTGAGAAAAAGATTTTAGATGAGAAAACATCAGTTGTTTTTTCCTTTAATCAACATGACTTTGTCCATTACCTTTTACATAAATGTCGCATCACGTCGGTTGATTTGAATCCATCTAATGAATAAAGACGTTTTGCTAATCGTCTTGCTGAAGGCAAGTCAACTGATTTATTAACTGTTTCCGCAGTAACTGGAACTAAAAATAAAAGGAAAAACATGACATACAAAATGTCAAATCTCAATGATTCTATCTTACTATTGAATTCGAATTCATCGTCAATATCTTTTAATCGCGCATCAATTTCATCTTTCGTTTTTTGATCAAGTCCGCCGGATATGGGTGATTGAGGTTGTACGGATATTCTCGTAATTGGCGGTCGAATTATTGTACTTTCGCCATTGACTTCCTCATGACCATTGACAGTAGCGAGATTGTCGTAATCAGTGTTACCGTTGGCGATTGGAGTAGGTAAATCAATTAATGATGACGATGACGATGCTAACTCATCCGATACTTTTCGACCGCATGTATCGAGATTGTTTTCACACGAACGACTTTTTGTTGAACTATTGTATCCATTTGTCATTGAATGATTATTGATTGTTGACCGAATGTGTGAGTGACCGTTGGTTAAGATCTTATTGTCAGTCGAATGTTCGTTGTTGTGTGATGATGGCGAATGCCAAGTCGTACCAGTTAGAGTAGTTGATGAATAACCACTATTGTCTATTCAAAGCAAAAAATAGGAAAAATAACGAGTAGATCAGAAAAATTCTATTTCTCTGACATTTATTCGGTCTATAGATATTACATCAAGAGAGAACTGTTTATCTGTGGATAAGCTCTAGTCATTTCTATTATGCATAGAAGATTAAATTCTCTAATCTATACTTAAGGAAAGATATGTTAGGTGGACTATAAACGTACATCTAGCTAATGGGAAAAACAATGTCTTCGTTTGAAGACTTTTCGTCTACGTTTGACGTTTAATCAGATACGATCGCCTGTTCATGCTAACACTTCCGAAAACATTAATGAACCTAAAGATAAACTGACAACGTTTTTCTTTTTCTTTTCCCTTTATTTATCATGAAACTATATCTATGAATGACTGATGAACATTACATTACCTGAGTATGTGTTCTGTATGCAATGCATCATGTTTTCCTTTTTGGCAACTTGTTTTTCAAATAAATACAACAGATATTCTATTAAAATAATCTTATTATGATCACTGACGACTCCCAAGTGTTCACGTTTCTATCTAACGTTGTCAATATAATATAAAATGGTTCTCAAAGATAGAAAATAGAAATGAATAATAAATTGCAAAGAGATATATATTTAAATACCCGGAAAGTAAGTACAACTATCCTTTGCCAATGCAACCAACAATGCCCGGTGACAAAAAGGTACCCACGGTTATTTCTCTTTCGTTCTCTACTCTCTCTTTCTCTTTTTCGCCTCCTAACTTCTCAAGACTTTTACCCTATTACATGATGTTGAAGGAACGTAGATACAAGAATCCCCCGAGCGTACAAGTATGTACGTTGCTTGTCCAGAACAAAAGGAAAAGAACAAAATCGATTATATTCATCAATTTTCTCATACATTTAGAAGAACAAATAGTAACATCAAAAGTGGGTGTTAATAGTGAAATCGAACACTTTTGTAATCGTACGCCCGAAGATATACATTTGTAACGAGAAGAAAGAAAGAAAGAAAGAAAGAGAAGGTAAAGTTTTGTAACTAATAGTTTTATCTTTTTTCCTTCGAACAATCCTAATCATTGTGTAAGACATGTATCAATCGCTTCACATACCAGTCGAATCTCTTAATCTCATCATGTAAAAAAAAACGACGCATCCGATGAATAAAAAAAACATTATCAACATTCTAATTAAGAGTAGCGTTATTTTTTTTTTCGTGTGAAATTAATCTACAAAGTATGTTAGTCATTGCATGCACACCTACCTAAAGTCACTAAAAGGAAATTCATCAAGGCAAAGAAGCATATAATTAAAAATATTCAATTGATAATTACATACCTGACTTTAATCGTATGCGAATTCGATTACCGGATAGTTTGAGATTTTTTTCAACTAAAACAGCATATTTCGATTTCATTCGGAAGGAAACTGTCTTTTCTTACACTCAGCAACTGTTTGTCCGGCTGTACTCACGCCATTTAATTCGACGACAACATCACCGGGTACAATCTAAACGTTCCTTCCAATGCGTATCAACTGAACGGGAAAATGTATCTACCAACCTTAGCAAGTGATCTCCAGATATGTGCAGGAAGACATGTCGCTTTATTATCAATTGACCGAACGGTAATAATCGATCGCGAATGTCTTCCATTGACATGATTATCATTATTTTGTGAATCATGCTCATTTGTTGTTTCTTCGGTAATGATTTTCCTTGGTTCATCGTCACTGTCGTCCATCCATTCAATACCAAAACCATTATCAAACAATTCGTGACGATATCTAAATAATCGAACGAAAATTGATGTAGATAAAGACAAGCTTGAAGGAATGTAAACTTACAGATCGACTACTTTAACAATTGGCATTAAAGCCATTTGATCGATCTAGAAATTGAATAGGAAATGAAAGAGTAGCAATAAGTTTGACAGTGATCGGTGAGTCATGATCAAACAAGTAATGCGCGCGGAAAAAAAAGGCAAGAAAAGAAAATTTTCTTTGTTTCCTTAATAAACCAATGAAACAGTTCGATGTGTCTATCAAAGATCTGTTTGTTTTTATTTCACCTGATAATCGATTCAGGAATTTACATCTACAAATAAAATTCGATTCCATTTTCAAACGAATTCACAACACGAACATTTTCGTAGAGCGCGACATCTAAACACTCACTAGACGAATTTTCCTTATGGATCGAAATGAATAGGAAAAGAAAACCGTTTAATGTACTTAGAACGTCGTTGAAGTTTCGGATTACTACACGCTAAAAAAGGAAAAACATTAATTTATAATTTTAAAAAAAGAAACTCATTTTCTCGGATAAATTTTTATCTACTTACGTCAACGAAGATCAACTAAAATTACATTCATTTGTAGGAGATGAGTTACGAGCGATATCTACATAAGCAATATTTAGTTGCGAAGGTGAATAGTTCGTTAACTATTTGCAACTCATTAGAAAGGAGCAGCTTTTCTCTCCTACGCTACACCTGCTTAAGCTTCTTAAGTTTTTCTTTTCCAATTCATTCAACTCATTTGCTACATAAATACAATGGCACAAAATTCCAATTCCCAAAAACATCCTCACTTAGTAAGTTTAGACAAGAGGGACTGGTCATAAACGAATCATTTCTTTTAAGAAATCAATTCGTTTAATTGAATTGAGCGATCATATTCTGCGTTTGCATCGTCGTGAAAATGCGCAACTTGACTTACGTTTGCAACAGCTAGATCGACGCGAGCGAGTTATTCTCGCAAATTATGATCGAGAGATCTGCTATCGACGTTTGCAATTAGCTCAGATTTACAAATCATTAGATGAACCTTCTCCTGCCGCCAGCCCATCGCATCGAGGAGGAACACCGATATCATTCTATTCGATTAAAATGCGTCGCCATCAATCAGCGCCACCGGATAGGCAAAGAGAGAAAATGGAAAATAATGAACATGGAAGGCCAACGACAACGGCAGATTCCTTCCGAGCAAATAAACGAGCGATGAGCGTATTCCGAGAAATAACAGTCAAACAGGAATTGCCATCGTTAAATGATATGCTCGTTTTTGCGGATATCGACAAGAAATCTTCGAAAAACCCATGGATCCCTCGATCGAAAACAATGTTTAACTTAAAAGAAGATTACTGAATAAAAGTTTCTCGCATCTCGAATCAGGAAACACTGAGCACGATACGCAATCAAACTAATAATGATGATGTGTTGAATAATCATGGTCAATATCGTAATCTTACGACACTTTTCTCTTCTAACTATCATCGAGCACTGATTGAGTTTGCCGAGAGAGAATTCGTAATATTCAAATGGAAACCTATCAATAAGTTTCATTTATTTTTCAGTTAAGTTATTCATTGCGTATAGAGACGCTAATATACATACAGCACAACAACACACCACACGAATAAAACCATGAATATCCAAAATAATGAGAACAAAAGACTGAAATACAACAGGAAAAGTACAACAGAAAACGAAAACAAACCAAAATGAAAGTTTATCATTGTAATTTATAGAGATATATACATGCGTACACACCAAACGACAAGAATGGTTATTATTATCTACAGAAAAGAACTACTCTATTTCTACCTAACCAAAACATATCAAATGAAACAAATAATCATGAAACCAGTAATTCTCGACTTGAATTCAATGAATTTGTTCGACTTTTGTTTGTGTTAAGAGTAGAATTTGTTGTTGTTGTTGCATTCGCTGTGTCCGATGCTGAATCCAACGAATGAGTTGAACTCGATCGAGTTGGAGATTTCGATAAGTTTGACGTTCCTTCGAAGATCGTATTTATCAAATCATTTTTTTCCACTAATGGTGACGTATCTGTACTTCTTGGTAAAGTTTTGACACGTTTATTAGTCGTCGAATTCGATTCATTATTACAACTACTATTTAATAGTTGAGGTGATTGACAAGATTCATTTGTTGGCGATGAACGCTTCAATGTGATGCTGTTCGGACGCAGTAGTTTCGATGGTAACGATGAATGTGTTGGTTGAGGTGATTCAACGGATAGATTAGCAATTCCCGACGATGGCGAGAGTAGCGATTGAGGTTGTCGTGTATTGACCAAATCGAAATTAAAACCCTTCGGGCGTGATAAAGCTTTGGGTCGATCATTATTATGTTCGCGTTTGAGAGAACTGCTACCTTCAACCTGTAGAAAACGTCGACAATCGTTTAATGTCAATTCGACTGGAGTACATTTGACCATTGTAATTGCCGAATTTGGCCGTGTTGGCGATGGTAGACTACGTTCGTATTCATATAATTGACCGAGAAAATTGAAATTCGGAGATATATGTGATCGACGTGCTTTAATGTAGCGATAAGCATCATCAGCAGCAAGATTCAAATGACGCATAATATATGCGACAGCAAGAGCAGGAGATCGACTGATGCCAGCTATACAAAAGACCAGAGTAGAAAAAGTATTCAAAGAAGAACAACTCACTAACCTAAACAATGAATAAACACACGACCATTGTTCAATCGAGCTTTTTCTATTGAAAATAAAAACAATATTTCTTTTTAAAGAGAATCAATTAATTACCAATAAATGAATAGGCTTGATCAAAATACGATGATAGCTGAGCAGTGAGACAATCATTGACAGGTATTCGAAGAAAATGCTCATCATCGTTTTCCTCCAGGAATGGCGCCCGTTGTCCCGTAATACTCACATTAATCACGTGAGTTATATGGTTATCCTATTTGCAACGAAATACCATACGAAAGGTTACCTTATTTCATGAAATTTACCTGCATAACTTTCGTTGATAGTGCATCTTCTTGCGAACCTAAGTAAAGGAATGGTAAGATTTGCGACGGCCCAACATTGGGCGGGGTTGATGTCGCCAAACATTGTTCACTTGATGATCGTTGTGGCATATAACTGTTATTGAGAAACATCACTATTCTGTCGAATATACGATCGTTATGTTCGAAAACGAAATTAACCAAATGGTTTAATCATGCAAAAGAACATTCGAAAATATTTATTCATTCATTCCAGGTGTCTAGAATACTCGAACAGACGCAAAATATAACTTGTTACTTGTTTTTTAATCAATGATTCATTGATTCATCAATCTGAATAAGCTGTACTACGTGCTTTCTGTCCAGAAGGAAAACATACATACACAGATGTTTCCTGATGAGTCATACGATGCTTTTCTTCTTATACTTTATTTTGTGTTGTTATTCTTTCGACGTAATTGATCTTATTTGAACCAATGATGTATTTCTATCGTCTGAAAATGCGTAGTTTAATGATACAAGCCGAATTCTATCGACTTTACAGGATATGTTTTTCTAAAAATACATCAGAAGATAGATGTAGCTGTGGTAACATAGAAACAGCCAATCAGAAAAGGATCCATGTTTAACCATTTTGTATTCAATTGGGCTTGCGAGTGATTTGATACGAAAAATAAGGATGAGTCGTATCTCTCGAAGGCAAGATTCTCATTGACGTCATCGTTCAATCCTTGCTATTAGCGACTTGTGTCGCATCCGGTCGGAATATTTTGAATGATACATCGTTGTCTGATGTCAACTACGACATTTGATAATAACGATATTACAACTGACTAAATGATTATCTGTAAAGTCTACATAGTTCTGAACTCTAATTACCGATACTATTTATGTATCTATCACATGTGGAATAATACTTGAAAACAAAGTTCTACTTCCGTTTTTTTACTATTATGTTTATATAATCTTCAGCATAACTTTTTTCAAGTATGTGATAATGTTTGTCGGCCTACTGATTAGAATAGTATGCATTGTAACCGATTCAAATTTTCGATAAATTCTGAAATCATTAGTGGAGAAATTTCGAAAAAGTACATTCACATTGTGAAAACAAGAATGAATATGACTGTATAGTAAGCACTGTCGTCATTTTATGAAAGAAGTTCTTTTTCTCAGCAAGATGATAGAATATTATCTCGAAATTTCCTCTTTCGTGGCGTTAATCAAGTTATCTAACGTGTTTTTGTTTACAAGGATAGCCCTTTTCATGTTTACTAATAAATCTCGCTGCTAAGTTCATGTACAAACAGCATAAGTTTTTTTTTCTACAACATAAACAAACTACAGAAAGGAAGAAAGAAGAATCGCGTATTCTTTCACAAACAGAACATCGCACATACACATATTTGAACAAAAAATAAACGAAACTCGAACGTTTTGAAAAGCTTAAATCAATTTTTGCGTTGATGAACGATATTTGATAACATTTTGTTTAACATCGTTCTCATCGTCATCGAGAAAATTATCTTCATCATCGATCATTTCAACAAATGTATCACCTGTTTCCATTTCGTTTTTATAATCGATATCATTATCATATTGATCTTTCATATCGTAATTAGAGTTGTACAAATACTCTCTTTTCGTTATTGATCCATCAAGATATGATGAATCATCATACGAATTCTTCGACATTGTTCGACGAGCTTTTTGTAATTGACGAGCGCGAGGAGTTGGCTTATTCATAAGATAATCATCAGCTGTTTCAAAGTCATCATAACCANAGAAATAATCAAGAGATGAAACAGACACATAGGAAACACTTACGCCTGTATGTGTTCGAATGTGACGTCGAAGTTTACTTAATTCAACAGTTGCATAGCCACATTCTTCACACTTATGAGGCTTTTCAAGTGTATGCCTAGAGAAGAGAAGATACTCGTTTCGATTTTAGATGACACATTACAATCAATGAATAGTTACTTGTAACGAACATGACGAATCAATTCACCACTGGTTGTGAATTTGTATTCACAAAATTTACACTGAAGGAAAAGCAGTGTTTCTTTCAAATGACCGTTCTATGAGAAGAAGCTTACTTGGAATGGTTTAATACCAAGATGAGTGTTGACATGGTTTTGCAATTGTGCTGTTGTTTTGAATGTATTTGAACAATAAGCACCTAGAATTTAAAATCACAAATGAACCAATACACAGACTTCCTCTTGGAATAATTTACATTTGTGTGGTCGCTCCGTTGAATGCGATTTCAAATGACGTTGGAGAAGATATTTTTTGCCTGTGCAGTAATTGCTAGAATTTGTAGTTAATATATACATATATATAGAATAATTGATAATAAAATTTACCAATAAGGACACAAGTGTTTTTCATCCCGACGGACTTTGATTGGGGTTTTTGTTGAATCACGTCCAGAACTCTTGTTCCCAACAGACTTAACGGTTGGAAGTCGTCTTGACACTGAATCTACTGCAAATAGAAAAGACGAATTCATAAATCGAATACGTAAAATCGTTCTAGTATCTGGTAGCGTACATGTCAACTAAGCTGATGCAGGAAAATTACATAGACAAATAACAAAAAACGATCAGGCGTGCTCTTTTACATGGAAGTTCGATTAGATTACTCTTTAAATGTATGCGACGATACAACTAAATTTAATTTTAAACTGTGAAAAGATCTGCGTGACTATCTATACACTTCTTGAACACGTATAAGCCTGTATCTTGAAATATCTCCAAAGTTACTAATATTTCAACAATCGTAGAAGATATTCCGAATAGTTAGATCAAATGAAGTGTGGTTTCTATCGTGAACAGCAAAATGAACACACGGAAAGCACGAAATATGTAAACATGTTCGCTTACGAATAGTTTCTCCTGACAGAAAGTTGAATAACTTCAAAGAAAAATAGAATTCAAATCAAATAAAGAAAAATTGAAATAGAATGAAAAGGAAAATAATGCAAGTAAAATAAAACACAAAACATACCAGGCATAAATGTGTTTGGTCGACAAATTAACTAAAACAATTAGTATAGGGGGCAGCGTGCTTGCCGTCGAAACAATACAACAGAGGTCATTGTGTGTCTTTAAATGACCAATCAGTTGGAACATTTTAAATAAAATCAAATTTTTAATTCAAAATATTATTTTGATATATTTGAGTAGCATTATTTCAGTTTCAAACAAGTTATTCAAACCACTACAGTAAATATATACAACGTAGATGTCGCTAACAACTGCTAACAATGTTTGACAAGTGGCCGTTTTATTTCTAAGAAGTACAAAGCATGTAGAGATGAGGGTGAGTCTACAGTCATTTGGATTTTGAAAAAAAGATAACCGTTGCTTTTACCTAGGAACAAGAGAATGAAAGAGTCCAGGGAAACAATATCTTTCATTCAGTAAAATCTTGAGAGCGTTAGCAATTTTTCAAGTAACAGTAATAACGACTGTGAGATACACGGAATATTGAATATTTCAACTTCTAAGATTCCTCTAAGTTTACTACTGTTTAGAATTTATTTTCACTTATGACCAGATTATAATCTGTTCAGTCCTGAGGATTCACATCCATCTACGTTTACTTCTCCGCCCAAGTTGTATTATCACACTTAAAATACCGAAACTATTGAAGAAAGATATGTGAATGAAAGACAGTTGTAAGAAATGAGAAATGGCGCATGAATAGAATGTGAGAGGATCTGAGAAACCGCCGGCACTATTGACGAACTACCGGTGGTGCGGATAAAATGAGCGACAGCAACACACCAGCCAAAATAATGCCGCCGTGAAAAGATGTCACAAACGGTCTTTAAGATGTAAACTATTACATGGTAAAGATCAATAAGAAGATAAGTTTTCAACGATAATATCGAGTGACGTGACTTTAAATCCATCAAGTCGTGACGGTAATTGTGATGTAATAGTACATTCTGGTATATCAGAATATTCACATTAATGTCATGTATGTATTTTCCCTATTCCTTTTGAACTTTTCCTTATACACACACATACGTACATACGTGCGTTTACCAATATATATCGATGTGTTTTACATCTGTTCTGTCCTTCTTGTCTTTCTTTTCAATAAAGATACTCTTTCGGAAGAACGTACTCTATTGATATCACGAGGCGTATGAGTAATTCATCTGTTTACTCTTATATACGGACTGTAATAGTACTGAGACAGGTAATATGGTCATGTGACCTGCGCGTTAACGAACTCTGTACTAATCTTTCTATGACCTCTTCTGTTAGGAGTAAATTTAAGCATAGGGTTAGAATGCAGCCCAGGACAATGCCGACACTCGTCCACTGGCATCCATATTCTTATAGGTGTACATAGATGAGTTACTGACCTTTTTTTACGTCAGCATTTCCAAGTCGGTATCAATGCGATGCCACAAACATACAAGTGTATTCTATTTTTTTTTTTATTTTAGTGGTCTACCAGATCAAAAACTTAAGTCTTTAAATAAGACCCACATATATAACTAATTACTATTTTTAGTATAGGAATTTTCACTCTATAATAATTCGTTCGTTCTGATGGCAAAACTTTACATAATTGAAACTGAAAATATCATCAGTGATGATGTCAGGGACTACTGTTTCAGTTCTTTTCTAGAAGAAACAGTTATACAGTGATGTAAGGATAGCCCTGAGCTGCATAACATCTATTCATATATCTAAGTAAGACCGAGGGGCTCGAATCTGACACCAGCCTTGAATAACGAAGAACAGACGTTTAAAGGACTTGCGTAAATTTCGGCTGTTGGTACGTTCATGGCTGCATTGCAAACGAAACGTTTACAAAATATGTATTGAAGTAGTCGTCTTCCAGCTAGTTATCAAGTTCTATTCGAGTCATCACTGTCAACTATATTTGACATTTCTTAGCATGTTTAGACTCAGTAAAAAAGTTCGATTTTCTTTTCTATCGATGTCTCTGAAGTTTATAGAAGCATTTTGCAGCAGCCAAAACCTATTTTTACAACTATGTTAGATACAGATTGTTACACATAATAGAAGTTTTGAGTCTGACACCGAATAGGTGTGAAATAATGTTTCATAGGTTAACGATAAAAAATCAAGTTGACACTAGTTTTTTTTTCAAAAAAGGGCCAGCAAGAGAATACATTGACCCACGAATCAAGAGGTGACAGCTATGAACCAAACCATGAAAAAGATTCAGATAGTCTAAATAAGTTAAGACACATATTGTAATGTTACTATGTTAACGTTATCATAACAAAATAGTTTATTGACATATCATTTGTGAACTTCACTAATTACAAATAAAAAATAGTATCAGAAAGATCTCGTTAGTTTTCTTCGTCTTCGTCATCAGTGATGTCAGCCATATTATCTTCGGATCGTTGAAACCCTATAAGTGATTGTTGGCTGAGTACAGTGTAGGTTGTGTCTCCAGCGTTTGTCGTGATCTTAAAAACATTCAAGGTAAATAGTGTAGTAGAAGTCTGCCGAAAAGTAGTTTACTCTTTGTTTCGGATTGGTAGCTGTGAAATCATCAAATTCTTCGTCGAACTGATTTACCGTTGCTTCCATTGGTGGTGAAACTGGTGCCGGACGTTTTTTACCAGTCCGATTCATTCCAGCTGTATTGATCGTATATTGTCGATAAGAGACTAGATCATCTTCATCCATTGTTGATACATCACTAAAGGAACCCATGTTTCAAAACTCATTTAGATCTAATTCATCAATATACTTTGCACTTGTGTGTGATGTTGAAAATGTTGGGTCTGTTTCACCTTCTCGATTTGCAATCGTCGCAAATACAAATATACCGTCGAAATAAAATTCTTCGGCATCGAAACAAAATATAATCGGCCTATAAAAAATACAGTTAATTCTATTCTGTCAGTAGTTATCAACTTACCGTCCACGAGCATCAAAAAGTATTGTTATAGGTAAATTAACGAGATCAGCTAAACCTAACAGAAACTGAAACAAGCAACATATTTAATCTTTAATAACTCGGATTTTCTACTTTAAATTCTCGTAGACAAAATGTAATATCCGAATTATATTGGATATCATAACTAATAAATTCTCTTGGTTCGCAAACGACTTGGAAGTTCATACTATATACAACACTATCGTCTAAACATAGAAATAATTAGAAATTCTCATACTTTCAAATACACAAACCATCATGAACGATTTCATCGCATTTTTTAATGAGAAACTGATCCTTTGTTGCACGAATCGTGATTTCATCCCATTTCGCTGGGAAATGTGCAGTTAGTTCTTGCAAAGTTTTACTCATAATCGAAACACTATTCTTATACGATTGTTTATCAAAACGTGCTTGGAGCTTTTCACAATCGATGTAAAAACACGAATGTACCTTGACAATATCTACGAATGAAACAAGTCGAAATCTTATTTGAATGGGTTCGCTGTTCTTACTATATCGACAATGAAGTACAAATGATAAGTTCGATTTCTGATCATCGAAAATCAGTTCGAGTCGTGTTAATTTACTGGACAAGACAGCATGTACTGCAGACATACACCGCTGAATAAGAAGATCTGTTGAAAATCTAGTAGAATAACCGATCGAATATTTACTTTTGCTGAAATTCGACATTTGATTTTCTCTTTTTGTAAATCATCATGTGGCCATTCTTCGAAAAACTCTCGATTGAAAGTAATGCATGAATACGATGAACGGGATTGATTAGCTGTTCGAAAACTTAACTAAAATAACAGAGAAAAACGCATAAAATCTATGCGAAATCGAGTTATTATGTTTACACCGTTCGTTTTTGTGCTCAATTCAATATAAATTTCTTCTCCGAGTTTGGTTAAGACTTGCAATGTCTTTCCGAAATCTACATTGTATGGAGACAAACATTGATTTCATCTCTGAATTTATCGATTCTCTTACGTCGGACATGTTCGGTTGGAATAACAAAATGAAATTTCTTTTCTGTCATTATCTTAAAAGAAAAAAAACAACTATCACTTTCTTTGTTGTTCAATTTTATTTTACAGATAATAATCATGAGAAAAGAAACTAGCATAAGACGAGCGAGAGAGATGATAATATGTTCTTTTAAGCAAGTGCTGAAGATTCTTGACGACGCTTGGCGATATAAATTCGATTATTGGCACATGCGATACAATACACATATTGATCATCTGAAACTGAAATTGACAAAACAAAAAACGAAAATTTGTCATATGATTTTGAAAGCCGATGTAAATTTACTTGTAAATCGTTTGAATGCTAACTGTTTGGTTGGATGAACACTAACTTTAGCAGCACAAAGAACGATTTTATAAAGTTGATTGGCCACTTGTTCATTGTTTTGTAGATCACCATGACTGTGCTCGACAGAACCGTCCGCATTCATTATCAGATATCCGACACAGTCAGGAACATTATCAAAGACTTTATTTATTGATGTGCTCATCTGAAATAAGAAAAAGAGGCGTTTAGAATCCTAATCAAGTGTCATCCAGTCGCGTATATGAGGATCAGAGTGACTCTGATTGCATTTTAACCATTGCTGTCCGTATTCAGGATTCATCAAACCAAGTAAACCACCTGTATGTAAAACTAAAATATTTTTTCCATCAGTTATCATTCGTTGATTGCGTAGCTCTTCAGCTAAACCCCATAAACATTTGCCCGTATAGACAGGATCGAAGAGAATTCCTGTTTCACTAATAACCTGTCGAAGAAAGATGATCTGCTCGTCTGTCATACGACCGTAACCTAAGCCAACATGAGAATCACAGATATCAACAAGTTGATTGTTGTCAACAAGTTCTGTTAGATGATTCAGTTCTAATTGATGTAAAATCGTTTTAAAATGCGTTTTAAAATAAGTTTTGTTGTCGGAAACAGCGAATGCATGAATTCGTAAACGATTACCAGTGAAATAATTGGCAAGAGCAAGTCCTTCCATTGTACCACCGCTACTCATCGGCAGAACCAGATGACCAAGATTAAATTTATCAATTATTGGAAGTATTTCTTTAACAAAGCAATCGATATAACCGAATATACCTGTAGTATCCGATCTAAATACAATAACTCATATTGAATTTATAAGTTCAACGAAGGAAATTAACCCTCCAATTGGTATTGAATAACATTTATCTTGTCCGCCTAATTGTTCTTCCAATAATTTCACTCGTGGTTCAATATCGCGCTGAATATTTGCTTTTTTCGGTATAAGATAAAGTTTCGCACCTAAGAGATAATTCAACAGGACATTGCCTTGAAGAATTTGCTCATCGTCCTTAGTTCGATCTGTACGGAGTAGAATATGCGTTTGTTTACGATATTTAGATGCGAGCACAGCGACTGCTTTACAGTGATTACTGTGTAACGATCCGGCAGTGATTATATGTTTACAATTAGGTCGTGAAAGTATGTCCGCAAAGAGAAATTCTAGTTTTCGAAGTTTATTTCCACTTGCGTACGAATCTAGTTGATCGTCACGTTTGATAAATATATTTCCCGACGGAAATAGTTTTGAACGGAAAGGTTCCACAGGCGTTTCGTGTTCGATTAAAAGCAAACGATGCTTGGGAAGAAATTTCGAATTGATAAGTTGGGTACCGAGTGAAAATGTGTAAGATTTGAGTAAAGATACTGGTGGAGAAAACCGATGAGACATTGACAAACAGAAAACAAATCTGAAAGACGTAATTCATCAGAAATTATTGTTCTTAGAAATAGTAATCATCTAGTTTAACTTGATATTCATCAAAACAAACTATCGTTGTCGAATTTTACTCAAATGCAAAGTCAATTGTTCGACTAATTGTTCGCGTGGAATAACAAACTAAACGTAAGCAAATAAACAACATGTGAAAGCGTGTAAAAAGTTCGTTCGAACCTCTTCTCGGGTATTGACATGACGAATTTTCACTGTGCCATTGTTTAATTCAGTATTTCCAATAATAATACACAATCCAATGTGATACTTCTCACAATATTGTAGTTGATCAAGTAACTTTGGATTTTGTCTATAGGCCATTTCAGTCTAAAGCATCGAATGAAAATTTCACGATTTCACCAATGATAATCAAACCTGAAAACCATTCTCCCATAGAAAATTGCATACTTTCATACGTTCTTCTAGGAGATGCTTTTCTGCCGATGCAACATACACTTCTGTCGAAAGGATTTTCAATTGATCCTTCGATTCCTACGTGTCAAAGTAAAGGTATCGATCAAAATCATTCATCTTCGCATAGTTTTACCAATGATTGATGTTCTTTAATCGCGAATATCCTTTCCACGCCAATACTAATTCCTACACATGGTACTCGTCTTTGTTTCGGATCAATTTTTTGTACAAGTTCATCATATCTTCCTCCTCCAGCAATGCTTCCCATAGCGATTTGATCGTCATCAAGTTGCGGATTGTATTGATATTCTGTGAGAATAGCTTCGAATATCACACCGGTATAATAATCTAATCCACGAGCTAATTTTAAATCAAATACAACCTGCAAATAAAGATCTATTTCATTCAGACGATGAAAAAAATCAATGAATTTACTTTATCTGTTACATTGAACAACTTTAAGTATCGAAAGAGTAATTCAAGATCATGTAGAGCTTCAACAGCGAGTTTCTCAGATATCAATTGTGAATCTTTTCGAAGTCGATCAATTAGTTCGACATTGCCTTTTCTCATCAACAAAAAATGCAAGTTATTCAGTTGATGAAACATTGTTACTAACCATGCAGTTGCACATAACTCCAAATTTTATCAGCTATTTCAGGAGATAAACCTCGTTCATTAATCATTTCGTTCCGAGCAACTTCCCATGGAATCTATGACAACCACCAATTTGAATAAACATAATTTTTCACCTTAATTACCTTGTCGAGTTTGTCAATAGTCGAACTAAGTGAACGAAAAATTTTCGCCGGCACACCACAAACCGTAAATATAGCATCGAGTAGCTTCCTATGATTGATCTAAAACCAAATCGACATAATCTCCTTCTTAGTGGAATCTTCATCGTTGTAAACTCACAGAAACTCTGTATTGTCCTAATGCGAGTTTGTCAAGAATTTCAATCAGTATCTTCACACATTCCGCGTCTGGTATCATCGGATCATAAGCACCAGCAATATCGAAGTCACATTGATAGAATTCTCGGTAGCGACCACGGGTCATTTTTGGGCTATCAAGACGATAAACTTTACCGATATGATAACGTTTCATTGCAGAGATTTTGTTTTGCGATATATAACGCGCAAAGGGAACAGTTAGATCGTAACGTAATGCTAATAAATCTTCATTTTCATGTTCTTTTAACTCATAGATCAATTTCGAGTCTTCACCATACTTTTCTCGTAGTAATGTCTAGAGAAGAACACTTGCAAATATCGAAAAAGAAACAAATCGTAAATGAATTCTATACAGTCAATTCCATAACAGGTGTATCGATGGTTGTCGCGCCATGTTGCTTAAAAGAATCGATAATATTGCGAAAAACATCTTCACGAATTTTCATCTGTTGTGGATGATAATCTCGCGTACCCTAAATCATATATTAACAATCCACTCTCAGCTCGAAATCGAAACTTACTCGAGGTACTTTGAGTATAGTTTTCGCATCCTCGTCAACGTCTTTGTTTACCGATTTTTCTTTTTTCGAGCTTAGTAATTTCGATACTGTATCATTAAGCTAAGCAAAACACGTTATTATCGATAATTTTCCATTGATTATCGCTCACCTGCCGTGATCTCGCATGGTAAAAAACTTTCCGAGTGTATGCATAAGTATTTAAAACAACTCTGATTGTATTCGATCCTATCATTTGAAATTTTTCTTTTCCGAATAATCTTTGAGAGCAAAGCACAAGGAATCATCTCGTTTTTTTTCTTCTTCTTACATATTTGGAATGAGGTCCAGATGTTTTATCAATGGTTAGAACTAACCAATGAAATGTACGCTTGAAACGACGCGTGTACAACGACGGTGCGTGCGAGAACGAACGAAAAAAAACGCGCATTGCTATGTAATGAAAACGAAAAAGAAAACGATATCAATATTGAGTTATGCTTGATTGAGTTATCAAACCGTTTTTCGAAACATTTCTATTGAATTACTTTCATTTCTAGATCTTCGTGTCATCGTCTTTAGTTAGCCGTACCAAACCTGACGTGTCCTTGTCTTACTGTTTGCTGTATTTTATATATATTCAACCAATCTATGCTAACGTTTATTTCATGACAATACTGCAAATCTTCAGTTTCCATGATGACCTCTCAATCACAAGACACACATGATTTTTCATCATTGATAACTAGATCGAATTCAAGTTTATCGAATGAAACTGACTCGGAATCGAAATCATTCTCGATTCCATATATCGACACGTCATCAATAGACGATTTCGATAGTAAACACGATACAGGCAATTCATTAACTAGGCAAATATCTTTATCTGAAACCGACCTGCTTGCATCGATACACCGAACTAAGCAAAATTTCGATCCTCACTCTGAACATGATATACCTGACGATATACTTTTTCTCGAATGGGATAAAGAACGGAATTTATATCAAGATTATATCAATTCATTACGAAAAGAAATTCGTGTCCTTCTGCAAGAACGTGCAGAGTATCAAACACAGAAACGTTCTGATGATCAAACGAAAATTGACTTACTGCAGAAATCATTAGAAGAGAAAAATCTCGTTATCGGACAATTCCAAACGGACTCGGAACTTCTCAAAGAAAGAAATACAAACTTCATTCGAAAAATCACCAGTTTAGAATCGGATACGAAATCAAATCTGAATCTGATCGATGAATTAAAACAGAAAATCACTGATCTAACGATCGATTTGCAAAATCACATTCTAATCAAACGTCGATTGGACATCTCGATCAATAATTTGGAATCAGATTGTAAAATCATCGATACCGAACGAATTAAATTAACCAATGAAATGAAAGAAAATCAACATAATAAACAAGAATTAGAAAAATTATTACAAAAAGCCAATGTACAAATTGCAGAATTAGGTAAATTTTGTCGATTGACTGAAATCTTACATACTTCACCGGATAATCACAATAAAATATGTAAATTGCACGTTTTCAATTGCTTATCAACGACTATTAGCATTCGAGTAGAAATTCAGAAGGAATATTTTAAAACTGTCAACAGACAATTTCATCGTCATCAATTTCGATCGAGACATTGATAAGAAGAAAATATTGTCATTGTTTTCACGGAAAATATTAATTAGAATTTTCAAGTTCGTTAGAGAAATCATATTTGATAAAAGCAGTTCGAGTGAAAAATATGAATGACCTTGAGAGTAATTTCATCCTTTTGATTCACTAGGTTCAACCATCGAAATGCTTCGCTCAGAAAATGTTCAAGTTCGTTCGCAGTTGTCATCCGTTCAACGTCGAACAGTTCAGGAGAAACAACAAATTATGGATTATTTACGGCAGATTGAAGCGGATCTGATTGAAAAAGAGCAAATCAAACAACGCGAAGCATTGTTACGTCAAGATTACGAGCAATTGCAAGTAGCGCATAAACAAGATCGACATGAAATTGAACAACTGAAAAATTCAATCAATCAAGATCAACAAACGATCGAAGATTTAAAACAACAATGTTCAGTATTATTACATGAAAAAAATCAATTAGATATGTATCGAACCGAAATCAAACCATCGATTGCGCATTCACATGAATCAATTGATCAATTGATACCAATCATGGACAACCAACATCAAATTGAACAGGTAGAGATCTAACGAAAGTCTATCTATTGTAAATGATCTGTTTCTTACTTTGTAGACGTCAATACTGAATGAGAAATATAAAAAACTGCAAGAAGATTTTGACAATTTAAACGAACGATACCAAGATAAACAAGCATGGACGCAATATCAACAAAATCAATTGTTGGCTTTATGTGATCGATTGCAATTCACCAATGGTGATAGAAATACTCCGTTTGATGAACTTCTACTACAGATTGAAAATCGTTTTGCTAATCTCAAACATGAATGTGATACGTTAGCTAACCATGTGATTCTATTACAAGGTAAATTGTTTTCTTTTGTGTTGATAAGCAGTAGGAAAAGTCTTTTGTTTAACAGCAAATGCTAGTACTGATAAGGAAGGATCTGACCGCTCAAACGAAGATGAACTTCGAAAGAATCTCGCAGTTTTAACTAATCAATGTGCTCAGTTGGAAGAAGCTAATCGTGCATGGCAACAGTTTCAGCGAAGTCAATTGGAAAGTTTTCGATTGAAACTTCAACACCGATTTCCTTTGGAAGATAAAATCTCTTTCGATGAAATAGCAGAGATCATCGTAGATCAGGTTGATTCAATAAATCGGCAAGATGTCTCGCCGTTAGCCGAAGACATCTCTTTGCGAAATGTCAAATTAGTTCAATCAGCACCGTCAACCACTGACGATCCTGAGGAAGAACTTCGACTTCTTCGAGACAATATATCCACACTTACAGCTCAATGCGCCCAACTTGATGAGGCCAATCGTGCGTGGCCAATCTATCATCAAACACAACTTCAAAATTTTCAAAATGAACTTCAACAAATCTTACCGCTATCAGAAAATGTGCCTTTTGATCAACTTCCTCCATTCATTCGTCAGCAGATTGACCAAGAAAAACAACACCTTCAACAACTCTACGACGATCTTCAACTAGGTAACATCTTCCCAATCCCCTCCAAAATACATCTCCTCATCATTTCCACTTTCAGAGTCAGCAACCAATCTACAAACAATCAAACAATCCTACACGAATACTGTTAATGAACTCACTCAAGAACTATCCGTTCTCAAAGAACAACTTGATAAACGATCACCACACGATCTTCATCAGTTAGATGAAGCGAGAGTTGCATCAAACGAGGTATGTCGAGTATTCTGCTTGTCGTGAATGACATATGTACACATTGAGTTGATGTAGAATGGAGATCGGATCAGTGTTGGCAACGACTGGGAAGATGTTGGCATTGACTTGACATTATTGCAAACTCCGTTGGACATTGTGCGAAATGAACTGGGAAATTATTTGTCTGATGACACGAATGGATCGTTCGAAGAAGTTGTGAGAGGAATTGGTGAGAGGATTCGAAACGAGAGAGAGAAGATGAATGAACGATATGATGCATTGGAGAAACTCAACCAGGATCTTCACTCAGGTAAATTGTTTCCTAATTATACTCACAAACAGCATCCAATTTTGCCTTTTAAAGAGTCAGAAATGAACCTGGAATCGATTCGACAATCGTACTTGAATACTGTCGACGAGTTAAATCAAGAATTAATGGCAATGAAAGAAAGATGTGAACAACTCGACGCGGAAAAACAATCTTTGAATGAAAAACTTTCCGATGATCAATTATTCGAAAAGGTATGTAAGGTCATACGCATTGTTTCCTAAGGCTATTTTCATTGTCTTCCAGTCTCATCTCGAAGCCCATTCATTTCGCGAACAACTGCGAAATCTTCTGTCACTTTCCAACGAAATTCCATCAGACGAAATTATCTCGTCTCTCGATCAATTGATACAGGAAAATCTCTCGTTGAAACAAAACGAAGATTCTCTTCGTAGAGATCTTGAAAACGTCAATGAACAGTTAATTAATATCTATAATCAATGCGAACAATTACAAGAAAATAACAAACAATTACTATTAGAAAAACAAACATTGAATCAGAATATTTCAATCGATGGTTTGTTAATTGAATGTCAACAATTGTCTTCTCTCATTATTCATTATTTTAGACGATCAATTGAAAGCAGACTATACCGCACTGCAAAATCAATGTACACAGTTAGATGCTGCTAATCGTGCCTGGCAATTGTTTTACGATAACCAAATGGATTTACTAAGAAATAAATTTCAAGATTCTTTTAATTTTGATCAGAATGAAAACTTTGAGCAGATTATTGAAATTATCGTAGAAAAATTAGATCAAGAGAGACAAAAGAAAGATTCCGTTCAATCAGGTAATCACCAGAACTTAAATGCTTGCTTGTCTCATCTCAATCTGCTTTTGTTGGAACTCTAGACTCACAAATCAATGCAATAATTGACTCACTCAGGACTTCCCAAGACACTGAACAGATGGACCATCTTCAACAAGAAATTCAATCTTTAGAGGAACAGCTAAAGGATAGCCAATCATCATTGGATATGTTAACTACAAATCTACAATTGATTACGGAAGAGAACACACTTCTTAAACAACAGAATAGTGAAATCAAACAAAAAAATAGTTTACTGATTGATGATAATAACGAATTGAACAATCGATTGAATGAATTACAATCACGAAACAGTAAGTTCATTCTCTTATGCTGATTTTACGCATAAAGTACCGATATTTAGTTATGCAAATCTCATCAACGGACCAATCATCGACAGAAGACGTTAGTTGAAAATCATTTCGATTTCGGCAATATAATTTTGTAAACATTTCAGGTATCGAGACATCTAGTAGAATCTGTTCATTCATCAAATGATGACCGAGAGACAGAAGAAATTGAGCAGTTGAAATTAGATGTCACTCGTTTGACTTTGCAATGCGCTCAGCTGGACGAAGCTAATCGTGCTTGGCAACAATTCCACCAAAATCAATTAGAATTACTTCGAGATAGGTTCCAAGGTTGGTTTCAAATAGATCCAAACTCGAGTTTCGAACAGATAATTCAACAAATCTTCACACATCTTAATCAATCACGACTTCACCAGCAGTCGACGCTGCAAAACGAGAATCTATCAGGTACCGAATGTAGACGTAACAATTATCCATCTATCTGTCTTATTCTAGACTCGTACGCGTTAATCGATTCGTTACAAAAGCAATTGTCCAATTATCAGAACAACGAATCGATATTGGTACAAAATCTTGAACAACTCAATCAAAGATTGCTGGATGTGTATAAGCAATGTGAAGAATTTCGCGAACTCAATTCACAATTAATTCTATCAAAACAACAAGCTGACAAGGAATTAGAAGAACGGGAAAAACAAATCTATGAATTACAACAATCAACAAATCAGAAACTTCATTTATCTTCCGAGGTATCTCATTTTGAAATCACAACGAATACCTATTCATCTATTTTTACCATTCAAGAATCTCATCGAACATAACGTAAATCAAAATGAAGAGGATATTCTTCAGCACAGTACCGATCATACTGCACCTACGACTGAACACTCAGAACCTCGCGAAACGAATTCTTTACAGTTGAATGAGATAGTTTCACTCGATCAACTTCCTCCATTCATTCGTCAGCAGATTGACCAAGAAAAACAACACCTTCAACAACTCTACGACGATCTTCAACTAGGTAACATCTTCCCAATCCCCTCCAAAATACATCTCCTCATCATTTCCACTTTCAGAGTCAGCAACCAATCTACAAACAATCAAACAATCCTACACGAATACTGTTAATGAACTCACTCAAGAACTATCCGTTCTCAAAGAACAACTTGATAAACGATCACCACACGATCTTCATCAGTTAGATGAAGCGAGAGTTGCATCAAACGAGGTATGTCGAGTATTCTGCTTGTCGTGAATGACATGTGTACACATTGAGTTGATGTAGAATGGAGATCGGATCAGTGTTGGCAACGACTGGGAAGATGTTGGCATTGACTTGACATCATTGCAAACTCCGTTGGACATTGTGCGAAATGATCTGGGAGATTATTTGTCTGATGACACGAATGGATCGTTCGAAGAAGTTGTGAGAGGAATTGGTGAGAGGATTCGAAACGAGAGAGAGAAGATGAATGAACGATATGATGCATTGGAGAAACTCAATCTTGATATGCGATTAGGTAAGTTTGTATTTTGTCTTCATCGATAAAGGTAAATATGGTTTTGTCTTTAGCAGCTGACACTAATATGGAATCAGTTCGTCAATCGTGTCTAAGTATAATTAAAGATTTGAATGAAGAATTATTGAATGTGAAAGCGCAATGTACAGAATTAGATATACAAAATAAGCAACTTCTCATTGAAATTAGCAATTTAAATGGACAATTGAATGATCGATCACTCGTACTTGGCCATCATTCTTCATCAGATCCTAATTTTCTTCAACTACAAAGTCCAATTAAAACGAATGGACAGGTTTGCTTTGATTGCATCTTTATCTATTAACACCTCGTTATTTTCAGTTCTCACAACACCCACCATCCATCCCTGACGAAGACAAACTGGAAATCGTACCGGTAACTATCGACAACCATCCTTCAATGATAGATAAAGACATTCAGACAGAATCACTTCATCAGTTATGGCCAACTGTAAGTGACCTATTGCTTGTCAAAGTATTTTGAAAGTCAATGATTCTATGTATTTCTATTAGTTTGACGAAGAGAACCTCTCAAGCAATAACGACGAAGATGAAGAACGACTGAATGACTATATGATTGAACTCGCATCTCGATCACCAACTGAACTCGCTGATCTTCTTAACAAAGAATGTCAACAGATCTTGGATAAACAAAAATTTAACTCATCATCCTTCTCGGATCTCGATCTTAACCAACTCTCTTTGATCGCCCTTCATTCTTTGCACAATCAGCATTTAATCGATGATGCAAAATCACTGTACAATGAAACTGTTGTTCGAGCGTTAAAACAAGAATATGAATTACTCAATAATGAGAAGAATGATTTGATTGAGCAGTTGACAAAAACTGAACAAGAATATTTTCAAGCAAAAGATACAATCAAAGAATTAACTGAGAAATACGAGATTCAGAAAAGTCAACTAGAAGCAAGTCTATCAGATCTGGAACAAGAAAACCGACGCTTGAAAAATGAATTAAATCAACATCCGGAACAAATCGAAAACGATCAATATGAATTATTGCAAAAAGAATTTGACCAACTAAAACAGGAAAATAATGATTTAGTCAACGAAAATGAACTATTAAAAGATTACAATGCTCAAATGTTTCAAGAAAAATTACAAGAAAAGAGAGATAATGGTAAGGCAATTTCTTTGAATAGAAAGATTAAATATAAACGAATCTTCCTTCTTAAAATGATAGATCTGGTTGAAATTACCTCATCTCGAGATGCTGATATTCAAAGTCATCTTAAAGAAACTACTCTACAATCGGATTGGAACGATCAAACATCACTTGAAGAAGAAATTGAACGATTGAAAACAACGATCGACGAAGTTCAACTCGAAAATGATAATCTGAAAGATTTGAATTCACAATTATACAGTAAGTTGATCGCTGTTTCCATTCTTTCTATGACGTTATCTTCTAGATTCGGTAAACATTCGTTCGAACTCAACCTTGACGGACATCGCCATTCAATGCTCACCTCTACTGGTAGATAACAGTGACGTAACATCAGCAGAAAGCAACGATTGGAACGACCAGAGCTCACGAATCGAAGAATCGACTCTCTCCTCCATCACCGAAACAAATTCAAACAGAGAAACTGTTGATAACGAGACCCAAACGGATGGCGATCAACAGCAAGATAAACTTGTGCAAGTTAACAGTAAACTAAAGCGTGCTCTTCAAACAATGAAGGATAAAATCAATCGATTTACTGTTGAGCAATCCGAACTGTTCCCCAATCCGACTGAGGATACGTTGATGCGACTTGATCAACTCATTGCCACTTTAGAACAGTTCAAACATGATAAATTCAGAAATAATGAGTATGAAACTACTCTACATTGATGAATTGATAAACGTTGATTTTGTTTTTTTAAGGGAAATTCAAGATTTGAAAGCTCAATTAACTGAACGTAACGAAGAATTGAAGCAAAACCTTTCCAATACTTCAGCAATCGGCGAATATCAAAATCAAATTGCAGAACTTACTCAACAACGAGAACAACTACAGCAGCAATTTGAAGAATTATCTCGATCAACCAACACTATGGATAATGAAAGCCAAACAGATGAACAACAAAAAGATAAACTTGTTCAAGTTAATACCAAATTGAAACGAGCATTGCAGAATATTAAAGATAGAATCCAACGAGTTATCAATGAAAAACCTGAATTATTTCCTGATCCCGGCGAAGACACAATGGAGCGATTGGATCAATTAATTGCAATTATTGAAAATCAAGCTGTACAGATTCAAGTCTTACAATCCGAATGCGATCAAACGCGACAAGAAGTGGTAGAACTTCAAAATACACATCGAGAACAGCGAGTTGAGAAATCTTCAGAAGAACTTTCCATCGAAGATTATCGAAAGCAAGTTGAACAACTTCAACAAGCTTTGGATCGGTATAAGACTTTAGATCAAGAACTAGATACACAAGCAAAGAAATAGTACGTAGTCTCTTTGATCATTTCGACTTCTATTGTATGGATCGGTTTCATCTAGTGAACATAATATTGACCTGTTACAACGAGAAATTGTGCAACAAAATGAGCAGTTGAATCGATATAAGTAGGATACTTGAATGTTCATATACGCTATACCATTACCATTACTGTTATAGGGGAGAACACACAGGAGTTGTGACGGCAACAGAAGTGGTTACTACAATATGTGCGGAAACAGCCCAGGCTGAAACCCAAACTGATGATCGTCAACATGACAAACTTGTTCAAGTCAACAACAAATTGAAAAGAGCATTACAAGGATTGAAAGATAAAATTCATCGATTTGTATTAGATCGTCCAGATCTTTTCGATGGTATCGGAGAAGAAACAAGTGAGCGGCTTGATAATCTGATTTTCTCTGTTGAAAATCAAGCCACACAAATTGATAAATTACAAGATCATGTGAATGAATTAGAAAGGTAAGAAGTAAATCTTTTCTATTACATATTTGTTCACTGCTTTGTGATTTTTTTAGCTCTTTGGAAGCACTGCGAAACGAGCAAAGAACGGTTACGTCTTCTGACGACGCATCGACCACTGATGATTACCGAAAACAAGTTAATCAGCTCCAGCAAGCTCTTTCGGAAAAAGATCAAGAGCGAAGTTTATTGCGTGAACATCTCAATGAAGTTGAAATCGAATTACGAAAAGCATTAGATGATAACGCACTGGTAGTAGACAAATATGAATTGCTGAAGCAAGAACGAGACGTACTTGTCGAAGAAAGGTACCGATCTTTTTATAGTAAACTTTCAATATAAATCTCTTTATTGCAGTCAACACGAGATTACACAGTTACAAGAAGAGTTGAATAACTTGAAGCAAGTACCTGACTGCCAACATGAAGAAACACAAACAGACGACGAGTGAGCTAATTTATCGCAAATCATACTTGCTTTTTCTAATTGTATTTTCCATCTAGTATTCAAACATTGCGTGATCTGATTGGACAACAATCTCAAGAAATTATAGATCTGAAACAAACAAATTCTCTTCTCTCTTCTGAAATCTCATCGCACGCTCAAAATGCATCTTTGACACAAACTGTCGACAGTGAAGTTCAAACGGATGATCGTCAACAAGAAAAACTAGCTCAGATCAATACTAAATTGAAACGTGCATTGCAAGGACTCAAGGATAAGATTCAACGAATAGCTGCCGAACGATCTGAACTGTTTGAAGGTGTTGGCGGAGAAACAGGCGAACGTCTTGACCATCTAATTGCAACCCTAGACAATCAATATACCAAAATTGATGTACTACAAACTGAGAATGATCAACTTCAAGAACAATTGCGAAAGACCGTGAGCGATGTAGAAACGTATGTAGTAATTTACTGCAAATTGCCGTTCACAAAAGTAATATTCTTTAGTTCGTCAAAACTTACTACCCAAGAACCAGTTGTCTCTGTTGCTTCATCATTAGACGAACATAATTCGGACGAATCCATTACACTTCCTACTTCGTCCGCCAACGATCACTATCTTAATCAGATTGACCAACTTCAACAAGCTCTCGCAGAAAAAGATCAACAGAAAATCTTATTACAACAACGACTCGACGAACTCGAACAAGAACTTCGAAAAGCGCTGGATGATCATGCCTCGCTGACAAACACATACGAAGCATTTGTTGAACAACAAGCACTCGACTCAGAAGAAAGGTACACAGATACTGAGTGATAGAAGTATGCTCTATGTATGATTGTTTAGACAACAAGAACTGGATGCGTTAAGAAGAAAACTAGGCGAACGAGATGAAGAGTAAGTGAAAGAGTTACGAGGATGTAGTTTTGTATAACCACCGTATTGTGTGTGTAGCACCAAAATGATAAAAGATCTGAAAGAGAGAAATATGATACTGTCATCTGAACTCGAATCTCAAGTTAATTGTCAACCATCGATAGAAACTGTCGAATGTGAAACTCAAACAGAAGACCGTCAACATGAAAAACTGACTCAAATGAACACTAAACTAAAACGTGCACTTCAAGGATTGAAAGATAAGATTCACCGTTTGGTTTCGGAGAGACCGGATCTTTTCGCTGGTATTAGCGAAGAAACTAACGAACGGCTGGATCATTTGATTTCAACGGTTGAAAATCAAGCTATACAATTAGACTCACTTCGAACTGAGTACAATCAAATGGATGAAAAATATCAAGATCAAATGAAGCAACTCGAAAAGTAAATACAGAGAAATTATTTTCTTTGCATGGCGATAGTAAAATTTCTCTCTAAATATAATAGCGAGCTGCAAGCACGTATGACCGAGCTTGACGATGAACGTCGACTAAAAATGGACGAAATATCTACGGTGGTTCCAGTCACTTCATCACCTCCTGCTGATGATAAGTAAGAATGAGTGTGGCAACATGTAGGAAAATATTTTTATGTGAATGTGTTCTCTTAGGGCTTCCCTTCTCGAGGAGTATCAGAATCAAATTGAACAACTTCAACGAAATCTCTCCGAAAAAGACGAAGAACGAGATTTACTACGTGAATATATGAATGAAATCGAAACTGAATTTCGCCAAGCATTGGATAAACACGCCGCTTTAGAACAGGAACGGGATGCACTTTTAACACAACAATCTCGTTTATCAGCAGAAAGGTAGGGCCTTCAAGGGAGCTCAATTCTTTACATTTATTATACCATATGTAGTGAACATACCATTCGACAATTGCAAGAAGAATTAATTGAATTAAAACAATTACCTGTCACAGAAAATCTCGAAATACAAACCAATGAAACGTAAGTTGTGGAATCTATTGATTATTCACATATGATATGATTGTTATTGCTTCAGAATGAAATCATGGAATGAACTGGTGAAGGAAAATTCTGATCAAATAGCGAAGTTATATGATGAAAACACAAAACTTTCATCGCAAGTGGAGATGATCGAACAACAAAAGTAAGAATTAAGTATCGATAAAATAGGTGTACTATTATTTTCCAATACTTAGGAAAGAAATCGAGGAACACAGCCAGAATTACGAGAAGCAGCTAGATGAACTCATAGAAGAGCGTCGAAGACTTCAAGAAGAAATCGAAAGGATGAAATCATTAGTGAAAGAAATGAAAGATACTGAAGTTCAAACTGATGATGGTCAACAGGAAAAACTGACTCAAATGAATACTAAACTAAAACGGGCGCTCCAAGGATTAAAAGATAAGATTTATCGTTTGGTTTCGGAGAAACCGGATCTTTTCGATGGAATCGGCGAAGATACCAGCGAACGTCTTGATCACTTAATTGCAACTATAGAAAATCAAGCAGCAAAGATCAATCTATTGCAAACTGAACATGCTGAAACTGAAGTTCAATTACGAAATAACATGAGAGATCTTCAAAGGTAAGACTTAATGAATATACATTGCTTTTATAAAAATAATGACGTTGGTTAAACTTTTAGTTCGCTGGAAGCATCTCAAAAAGAGTTAGAATATGAACGCCACGTTAAGATCCAGCCATTATCTTCATCTGCACCAGCATTTGATGAACATAATTCAGACGAATCCACTACACTTCCTACTTCGTCCACCAACGATCACTATCTTAATCAGATTGACCAACTTCAACAAGCTCTCGCAGAAAAAGATCAACAGAAAATCTTATTACAACAACGACTCGACGAACTCGAACAAGAACTTCGAAAAGCGCTGGATGATCATGCCTCGCTGACAAACACATACGAAGCATTTGTTGAACAACAAGCACTCGACTCAGAAGAAAGGTACACAGATACTGAGTGATAGAAGTATGCTCTATGTATGATTGTTTAGACAACAAGAACTGGATGCGTTAAGAAGAAAACTAGGCGAACGAGATGAAGAGTAAGTGAAAGAGTTACGAGGATGTAGTTTTGTATAACCACCGTATTGTGTGTGTAGCATCAAAATGATAGAAGATCTGAAAGAGAGAAATATGGTACTGTCATCTGAACTCGAATCTCAAATGCAAATAGTGAATGAAAGGTAATGTCTGATCACTTGGTTTGGACAAAGTCAATTGTTTTCTTGCTACTATGTAGAAAACAAATTGAAGATCAGCTGATTGAAGAACGTGCAAGACTTTTGCAGGAAATTCAAAAGAGAAGTTCTCAACCTACCGAGACTATCGAAAGCGAGAGTCAAACGGATGACTCTCAAACAGACAAAACAAGTCAGACGAATACGAAACTCAAACGTGCATTACAAGGGCTCAAAGAGAAGCTTCATCAGCTTGCATTGCAAAAACCGGAATTTTTCGATGGCATTGGCGACGAAACAGACGTACGCTTCAACCATGTGATTTCAACTGTTGGAAACCAAGCTGCGGAGATTGAAATCTTACACACTAAACAGAGAGAACTTGAAGAACAACTCGGTTCAACTAAATCCGATGCTACTAGGTTAGTTAGTTAGCTTGATTAATGTTGATCATAACAATTGTTGATCTTTATGAAATTCTAGTTCGGCAAATATTGAAGAGTATCGAAATGAATTCGATCAACTTCGAGTGAACTTGGCAGAGAAAGAGGAAGAACGCGTAGCCCTTGCTAAGCGTCTGACTGAGATCGAAAATGAGTTGAAACAAATAACTGAAGATAACGAATCACTCAAGAATTCCTACGAAGAACAAATTCAATCCTTTTTGGAAGAACGAAGCACATTGTTCGAAAATCAAGCGCAACGTTTCGCTCAGTGGTATGCCTTCCTCTCTATTTCGTGCCTAGCATTTCTCATATAATCTATTCCAGTGAACATGAAATCATTGAATTAAAATCTGAAAACGAACGTCTTCAAGAAGAATTAACCAAATATCAGCACACTTCTGATTGTCAAGATGCAGAAACTCAAACATCAGAAAAGTAAAGAGCAATAATTCATTCGATTCGCGATCTCACGTGTCTTTCGTTCAGTATTCAAGAACTGCATGATCTAATTCAACAACAAGCCGAAGAACTGAAATCTCTGGAAGAAAAATGTCAGCTTCTCTCCTCCCAGATCGACTCCAATGTCTCAGTACAAACTGAATTACAAAATCATCGGTAATTATTCATAGTCAATGTTCTGTAATCAACTCACACTTTCTCGTTTCCAGATATGCACTCGAACAGCAATTAAATGATTATAAGGCTCAAACAGAAACTCTATCAGAAGAGATTGAAAGAATGAAATTGCCATCTATTCAAACAGTTGACAATGAAAGTCAAACAGTTGACGAGCAATCCGAAAAATTAACCAAAGGCCACAAGAAACTAAAACGGACATATGATGGATTCCAAGAGAAAATCCAAGAGCTCGTCTCAAAACGACCAGATCTGTTCGAAGGCATTAGTGAAGAAACTAATGAACGTCTCAACCAACTAATCTCCACTGTTGAAAATCAAACAAAACAAATCACTGATTTACAAAACGAACGTGATCATCTTATCTCGTCATCACTCAGGTAGAATCAAATCAATCAGACATTCTTAATCTCATTTTTCTTTTACTAGTCCATCTATAATCGAGGATTATCAAATGAAATATGATCAACTTCAGCAAACGTTCATTGAAAATGAGGCTGAACGTATATCGCTTCAGGAGCATTTAGATGAATTGAGAGAAACATTGAGTAAATATGAATCATCGATTGAACAAACACTTCAATCAAACCAAAGGTATATAACCACCCAAAAGACGATCGATATATTGTTTTTTAATCTATTTCTATATATGCACATTTAGTGAATGTCAACATATTCAAGTTCAAACCGATGACGAGTAAGTTATTCAATTGAATCAGCGTGATTAACTCTATTTGTATCTAGTAATGAAATGAGTCCGTCACCAGCAAATCCAACTGCTTTCGAGATTAAACATAGGATGTACGATGGTCGAGTTTTGTTACATTTTGAAATCAATTCTTTTGATCTTGTAGGCATACGATTGATAGTGAAATTCAAACAGATGATTATCAATATGAAAAGATGAAAGCAGCCTTGGCGAAGTTTGAAGAAAAAATTCACGGTATTGTCGAAGAACGACGCGATTTGTTTGATGGAATTAGTGACGAAACAGATGACCGATTGGATCATTTAATTTCGACATTAGAAAATCAAGCGACACAAATTAGTACAGCAGAAATCGAACGAAACGAAATCGAAGAGCAATTACGAAACGAAATTAAACAACTTGAAAAGTATGACGAGAACGAGAGAATTCTTTTGTGATTGTAATCATATTCACTGTTTTATTCAGTTCTATAAGTGCTTGTCAGCATGAATTGGAGAGTGAACGACGAATCCGAGTGGAACAGTTGACAACTGCACCACCCGTGGAAGAAATAGGGTCAGGATACATGAAAATAACAAATTATTTTCGAAGATTTTTCGATGTTTTTAGTTCATCTGTTATTGAAGAATATGAGAAACAGATTAATGAATTGCACAGCACTCTTTCCGAGAACGATAAAGATCGACTTGTTCTACAAGATCGTTTGAATCAAGTTGAAACTGAACTTCAAAAATTATCCGACGATCACACATCTCTCGAGCAAGAACGTGATATCCTCGCTCAGCAAAGGTATTCATTTTGTCTGAAATGTTCTCAATTTAACCTTGAGAACCGTTTAGTCAACAAGAAATTGCTCAATTAAGGGGAGAAATAAGTGAACTGAAACAAGTACCTGAGTATCAACATGTAGATGTACAAACCGATGAAGAGTAAGTGCAAATAAGTCTAATAATAATCGTATCATGTCTGTGAATATAGTATGAAGTCACTAGACCAAATGATTGAACAACTAAAAGATCTCGACGAACGAAATGCTTTTCTTATAACAACACTCGAAAATCAAAAGTGAATCTTTTTCTGAAAAATCACTTTCATTGCGTTATCAAATTCCTATTTCAGAAACATTGTCGAAGAACATCCGAAACTTGTCGAGGAATTAGAGAAATATATGTCGAAAATAATCGTAACACATGATAGTGAAATACAAACTGATGATGATCAACATCAGCAGTTATTTGAAGACAATCTGAGGTTAAAATCGACGATCGAAACCATCGAAAACAAGATTGATCAATATGTCAATACACGAAGTGATGTTTTCGGAGATGATCTAAATGCTCGTCTTGAAAGTATCATATCTCTCGCTAACAAACAACCTGCACTAAATCATGAAAGCGTTGGTTTATCAGAGTAAACAAACCATTTACTTCATTTCGTTATCTAATCATCATTGTTTTTCACTTCTCTCTTTAGTTCTTCCTTCAATGATCGATCAAATGAAAGCGATGACTGGTTCGATGCGTCACCAGTGGTTAAAACTTCATCTGCGAACGATATTGAAGCTGTCAAGAACAAGATTCTCCAAATGATTGAAAATCATCTGACATTATTCTCTGCTTCGAATGAAAATCTCTGCGAAGATCTTCGTCAAATCTTTTCTGTCATTACAGACCTTCAAGCAAGAGTCAAAGAATTACAGAGGTAAACATAAGAGATAGGAATGTTGAATAATACACATCAAATGATAAGATAAGCACAAGAACTCACACGCATATTCTGAATTTTTACTTTCTTATAATGAAAGAAAAAACTTTGCGTGGTAGAACGTTCTCTTAGTAAAGGTGATCGAAAATATTAGTCAATTAAGTACCATTCGAAACACCTTGTTTGTATTTCGTTACACATGAGTGTAAATACCTTGATAATGTCTTTGAATAGACCATGACAGACAGCTTCAAAGGTGAAATTGATGAAATGAAAAACTTTCTAATTAGATTCTTTCATTTGAACTTGATTGTTCGAGGAGGAAAACACGTCTTTTCTTTTCATCTAGTGCATTTGACACCTATCGGAATGAAACTGAAAACAAAGGCTTGACAGAAATGCATCGCTCATATTCCTATCAATCAAATGATGCCGATACTCAAACATTAGGGTAACGAATTTTCGTGCGATGATCTCCGATTGGATTAGATTTGATTCGTTTGATTTGCTAGTTTGTCTATTATCGAAGAACATCAGAAGCAAATCGAAAAACTTCAAGAGAACGAGTCCGGCTACCAGCGAGAAATACAACGTTTAATCGAAGAACGCGATCAAGCCCGAGACTTGTTACATCAATACAAAAAACGTAAAAATCGTCGAACGAATTTCGAGCAATCATCGTCGGAAAATTCGAATCGACAACGAGATTCTCACGAGCAAATTCTTGCATATCAATCACAAATAAGTAATCTTGAACATGAACGTCTATCTTTAATTCAACAAATCGAACAATTAACATCTCAACCTTCGAAAACCGATATTGAAAATCAAACACTTGCCAAAAAAGATTTGTAATTTGTCTTTGTTTATTTTCTTCATTGATTCCTACACTTTTTTTTTCTCTTTTCTCTGTCAAGGCTATCGACAGCTTCAGCAGATCAAAGTATTTCAAGGCATATATTCGAGCAAGAAATGTTAGCTTGGTCGAATGAAAGTGAAGAATTAAGACGTCTCGTGAAACAAATTCAAATTGAAAATAAGAAACTGAAAGGTATCATTCTCAAATTTGAAAATATGGTACTCGATTATGTTCATGAAAATGAACGATTAAAACAAGAGAATCAGAATTTATCTCTACATGCCATACATCATCCAACAAGTGAAACAGATCATTCCGAACGAGACATTTGTTATTTAACATTGAAATGGTTAACTTATGAAGTGGCACAACGAACAGCGAAGCCAAATGCTGAACAATTATTTGTATTAACAACCGACGAGTCCGATCGACATGTAAATGAAAATGAACAACGGATCAGACATTTGACAAGTCAAAATGAACGATTGAAAAATCAATTGGAATCGTATACAATTCAATTCAAACATCTTCAACATGATACGACGATGAAAACGCAAGAAATATCCAATTTAAAAGATGATATCGAAAGGTAGAAAGATTTCTACCAAAGAATGAAAAAATAGTTGTTTTGTGTTCAGATTGCGAACCAATGAAATACAGTATCGCTTGGAAGCTGATCGTCTCAAGACTGAACTTCAAGATGATCAAATCAAAATCCAACAACTTGAACATGATCTATCCGATTGGAAATTTAAACAATCGAATCAGAATACCGAGTCAATCGAAGTAGATCTTTCATTCTCGTGATGAAAGCATTTGTCTGTTTTTCTTTGTAGAATCTTCGTGAATTACTTGATTTGAAAGAACGTGAATTGAATGCTTTGAAAGACAAGTTGGATTATACAAAACAAACTCATCAAATTGAATTGCAAGAAGCCATGAAAGCCAAACAGGTAGGCGACGTCGACACTTTCAATCACCCGGCTTCTTCCTCATTCTACTAATCTACAATCAATATCACATGGCATGCTTGCTGAATGTTGCTGCACACATGCTGCTTGTCTGTTGTTTTTTCTGTGACCGATTTCACAATGAGCTATTTCTCCGTTGATGTGTATAGTTTTATTTTTTCTTTTCCGAGTTTTTATTTTATCATTGAATGCAACGAAAAATCTAGTATTTTATTTAGTTTCTTTCATCGGTGATATGCTTCTCTATACTCCTGTGTCTATTTTTTTTTAAAACTTCATTGCTGCTCGTAAATAGATGAAACACACACCTCAATAGTCTAATAAACCTAGTGTAGACATGGTGATGGATTCTTCCGTTTGATTGATTGAGTTTTTTTTTAATTTATTTTCAGTTTTCACTTGATAATGTCAAACACTATGAACAAGCAGAGGTGCGCTACAAAGAAAAACGACGAGAACTGGACGCGAGATTGGCAAGATTCTGTACGATTACAAGACCATTGTTGGATAATTCATCATTGTTTTTGCAGGTAAGTTCGTCGTTGTTCAAAACTCCGCTTAGTTTTCTTGTTGAATATAGAATCCCATTATCAATATTGATGAACTACGCAAATTGATTCGTGAAGCGGACACAGAAGAACGAGTTTCGACGTAAGTTACCTTCGCTACGGTTATGAAAAGTGAACATTTTCTTTTAGTTCTCTTAATCCAATTCGAGATTGTTTGAGTTTGTTGGAAGCGCAAATGCGAGATCTTCATCATGGTATCATTGAGAATCATGCTCGTCGTTCTAAACGATGGAAATACAAACTAGGATTCGAATGTCTTTCGTGTGAAAGTCGATGGTAGGAACAGTTTAATAATGATTCCAGTTCAATGAACCATTGCGATTTGATTTAGGGAAGTCACTCATGATATTCGTGATTTGCAAGAAGCTTGTTTAGATCCGAGCCGTTTCCTTGAATCATCCATTGTTGAACCGATGGCAGGATGCTCATGTCCAATAATGATTGATTTTGTTGAAAGTGATGTTCGTCTCTGTGTTGATGACATTGTAGACGATGTGATAGCAAGAACAACAGTGAAATAAACAGTTTGTTCTTTGTATATCTATGTTTAATTTGTTTGTTTTTTGCTTTTTCCGTGTGTTTCTGTATGGTTTCTTTTTGCTTGTTTTTCTCTCTCTTGCTTATTCAAAGTCCGTTGTTGGTTGTTAGAGGTTTTCTCTCTATTTATTTATTTTGTTGGTTAAAATAAAAACGCAGACACTCAAGATAGTCCATATGTTGATTAAAGATGAATACATTATCCGGCACATAATACCACTGAAATATTTCCATCCCGTTCATACACGATCCAATCGTATAATAAGATAGATATTTATACTCACATTGTCAGGAATATCTTTATGACCGTTGTACAAATAGATATTTGTAACGTAAATACTGTCCATTAAGTCGTACGTCTCTCGAGGGGAGGGTGTGGATGTGAATGTAATATTTTACTCAAGCAAAATTCCACGCCTACTCAACTATATTTCCACTAGTACTCTCGTACTAGTCACTCGTCACCTTTACCTTCAACTCCAACACTTAGTATCTTGATCCTTATCCAACGTTGACCTTCGTCACTACTCACACCGTCACTTTTAACACATTCATCCTCACCTCCAAGTTTCGTATTACTCTACTTTTACCTGAGGAAGCATGAAGCACACTTGAAAACCTTTCCGGTAATCGGTAACATCTTTAAATGATAACCAAAATGCAGGGAAAAGTTTGCAATGAATAATTTGTATAAAGAATTTATCAAAAGTGAAAGTATGAATTGTAAATATATATATATATATACATATGATAAGGAAAAAAGGCTCTGACACTTTTTTCTTTTATGAGGCCCCGAGGGTTAATATATCCAAGGGTAGTCTCAAATATAGAAGTTGAATAGTTGAAACGTCTTTTCGACTTCTACGTGTACGGATAGCTCTCATTCAAATCCATCAAGCTTTCGGCTCTCGCTTCAAGACTGATCATCGCGGAAATCATTGCGCATCAAATCGACAGCATAACATTTTCATCATAGATCCATTGCTACTAATTCACGGTGAGTCTAACTCACAAGGTACAGTAAAAGTGAAATAAGAAATTGCAATTCAAGTGACAGCCCAAATAACAAACACATACAATTGTCCTGTGATTGAATAGTATATTCAAGTCAGTCGTAACTTGTAGCTTTTTATTCGTGGAGAAAGTGAGTAAGAAAATAGTGGACAGCCGTTATGATAGGATATCATTATTTTTTCTTTCGCAGAAACATAGAAACTATGGCTGAACTACTGCGCAAATTCCTCCAATTGTCGATAAAACTAGTTGAAATATTGGATACACTGAGAGTAATATCTCTGAAACTGATGGCGATGCAAAAAAAGCGAGGGGAAGCGCAATAGGGAAAGTAGCATCAGCAATAGCGGCCGTAGCAGTAGTTGTGGAACCAGTAACAAAAATCTCGGCAGCCATAGGCGCGGTGACACTGATAGTAATGGCATTGGTAGCAATTAATGCAGCTGTAGAGTCATTATACGAGACTCAAGAGGAGAAGGAATTAACTAGAGAACTGAGTGAACTCGAGACTGCACAGTGGGAGCTGGAACAAAAATCACCTGAACTGATGGAATTATGTGGCCTTTAAACAGTAATGGTCAATCTATATTCTAATCTAGAAGTGTACTTTTCTATCAATAAACATAACAATCTAAACTCGCACAGAATGCAAATAAATCTGCTAATCTCTGTAAAAAAAAGCTTTCAGCGCACTTCCTTGTAGGATTAAAAGTATGAAACACGATAAATCTGTTTATACGATTGTAACGAAAATCTCTGGCCCATAATTCATATGTTATTTCGTTACTCTTAAAATTTGAATTATTTGTAATCATTTTCATCTATAAATGGATGAGAAGTGTAAGAGGATGGTGGTGACTGCGAGTAGCCTTCATATCTAGATAAGGTATCTTCACTCACACCCTTAAAGGTATATATGCTCTCCAGCACGATGGTGTGTTGTGTCATCTGCACCCTCACATCGTGTGTGGATTCTTTATTGAACATAACCTATACTGAGATTAACTCACATAATACAACAAAGAGAGGACAGGGTCAATGTCCGCCGAGTAGATCGTCAACATGAATTGTAGATATACATTAATCGTTATAATGTCATCGAAAAAAATGAAAGACCATCGTATTCTTCACATCTTCTTTATTGATAACAACGGCAAATTGTGGTATAAAACACTATCAATTTTAGATACCAATATCATTGTCACAAAATGATGTATTGCAAGTATTCATAACTATTTGTTTATTTGAAAATGCTTGTAAATTGTGGCATGTATGTAACAAAACAAACTGATTTTATACAGCGATTCAAAGTATGCTGTAATCATCAAGGCAATACATATTTGTAGGACAATCTGGTAAATAAAGAGGCTTTACAGCTTCATGTTTATCGCAACAAAAATCTCAAAACAATATCAGACAGTTTGTATAAACAGAATCTGGCCAACGTACACCATCCTCTGTATTCATTCGATCGCTATTTAGGAGATAAAATATCTTGAAAGTGCCAGAAGATGATGATATCATATGAACCGGTGAAGAAACAAAGCGCATGATATGTTTCGATACATAGAAATTTGTTTTATAAACTATTTCTTATGATGAAACTATCATAAAAGTATTCAAGACAGATCTGGAAATGGGAAACAAGGAATTAACTTAAGTTCATCTCTATTCAATCTCAATTCACCAAAACGATTGGAATTATCTCATAGTTGTAAAACTAATTCGAGAAGAAATTTCCCTTGTTATTGTCAAACGCATTACTAATGCAAAATATTAGTACGTTATACCATCTATCATGCAATGATATTTCTTTATTCTCCTATTTCTGCCCTCTGTACTCAGTTGATTGTTTACTTGTGCATCTATATATGGATACATTATCTGTGTCGTCTATGGATTGCGTATTTGTCGATGATATCCTTCTCCGATTTATACTTGAAATAACTTTATTATCGCACATAGCTTTTATTTCAGACTTTTAACTCACTCTATGTGCAAAAAAACGGCCAAGGAGCATCTGACTTGCTATTAAAAACAAATGTACTGATAGATTTCAGATTATGAAAAGAATCTGCTGATTATTGTTCAATATGTTTGCTTACCGTGAAGAAATCGATGGTTTACGATCAATCGCCGTCATTCCAGTCATATTGTATCATGCTGGCTTTACGAAATTTTTCGCAGGTGGATATATTGGCGTCGATATCTTTTTTGTTATCAGTGGTTACTTAATTACTTCAGTTATCGAACATGAATGTGAACAAGAACGCTTTTCAATAATCAATTTTTACGAACGTCGATGTCGACGTATTCTTCCTGCATTGTTTTTCATCATTTGTCTCTCTAGTTTAGGTGCTTACTATCTAATGTTACCCGAAGAATTAAAAGAATATGGTGAAACAGTCATTTCAATCTTGTGTCTTAGTTCAAACGTTTTCTTCTGGTATAAGAATGACGGATATTTTAGTGAAATCAACGAATTGAATCCATTAGTACATACATGGAGTTTAGCTGTTGAAGAACAGTTTTATTTCATATTTCCGATCTTGTGCTATTTATTACGCAAGAGAAAACGTTGTTTGATCATCGTTTTGATCATTTGTGCTGGAATAAGTTTCTTTCTCTGTCAATGGGGTGGAAATTTACCTCTAATATTCAACCATCAATTTTATATGTTTTCCCAACCTCATTATGCTTCGTTTTATTTACCAACAGGACGCATATGGGAACTGTTATTCGGTGCTTTCATCGCATTTTTTCTCCGAACGCATGATCTCACTGAGTACGTTGATTTTTTTCATATTGTCATAAATAACTATACTTTACATCAATTAGGAAAACCTATCGTATTGTCAATGAATTCTTTTCAATCATTGGTCTCGCATTAATCATTGTTTCAGTGATATTTCTGAACAGTCATCGTATTCCTTCGTTCCCGAATTGTTACACATTACTTCCGACAGTTGGAGCATCGTTAATTATTCTTTTCGGACAGAAAAATACATTAGTTGGATATCTATTAAGCACTCGTCTATTGCGTTTCATAGGTTTAATATCTTATAGCATTTATCTTTGGCATCAACCATTACTTGCATTTCTTCGTTTACAATCCAACCGAACACCGGAAATTTTCATCATTACCATAGTTATCATTACTGTGTTTCTACTAAGTATATTTACTTATTTTTGCGTCGAACAACCATTCCGAAATAAAACACGTTTCACTCGAAAACAAATCTTTTCCATGGCAGGAGTGGGCTCGATATTAATTCTTATTTTGGCACTAGGTTTGATTCAAACTGCGAATAGTCGAACAGCGATTGCTGGTAACGATGGAGATACTTATCTCTCTGACTTACGAAAATATGGAAATTGGCAATATGTTGTCAGAGATTTCAATCAATTAGCAAAAAGAAAAACATTTTCTAATGAAAGTAACACAAAACTAGTACTGATTGGTGATAGTTTCGCTCAAGACTTCTACAACATAATTGTCGAAGGCAAATATTTGTCATCGTACGATATTCGTGTTTACTATATCTATTCTCGTTGTCAAATCTATCTTGGTTCACAAAATCGAAAACAATTTATCGACGTTCAACACCATCAAACATGTGCCAATGATAATGATATCAAATTAGCTTTGCCATTAATTCGACAAGCGAATGTAATTCTTTTAGTTAACAATTGGTACGAATGGAGTGCGCGAAGGCTGCCGATGACGATCAGATTATTGAATTTAACTAAACAACAAGAAATCTTCATCGTCGGACCAAAACATTTCGGAAAAGTAAATCCAAAATTATATATTAACAAGACAATGGAATATCGAATCAAACAATTTCAACATCCCAAAGCTGAAACTATCAAAGTTAATGATTTATTGGAGAGAACGATTGATCCATCAATGTATGTGAATGTATTACGAATGATTTGTAATGGTTATAATCATACATGTCCGTTGTTTACACGAGAGGGCAAGTTAATCTCACACGATGGAGCACATTTGACAAAATATGGAGTAATCTATGTCGGAAATATTATCTTTCAAAATAAGCCATTGAATCGATTATAAATTCGCATATGTTCGGTATCCAACTGTTAATTTTCTTATAGACAACAATAATTTATATTTTCATCCGTAATGGCAAATCGAAATGTTAACAATCAAAGAAATAAAAAAGAAAGAAAGAATGAATGTTGAGAAGCACCGTAGACAAATGGCAAAACAAGACGAGATTAGACTTTATTCGAAGAGATTTGATGTGATGAACCATTGGTTTTAATAAATGTTTGTTTCGTTGTTTCTTTATTTGTCAGACTACCTTGCGAATGATAGTTGATGATGGTCGAATTGTTATTCGGATAGAATTTCAATGTGGGAGAAGTTTGGTGAGCGTCCGTCGTTTCGCCATTTGTTACTTTCGATGATTTGCTGACACTAGAACCGAGGCGTGAATGTAGAGTAGAATTCTTCAAAAATAAACCAATTGTTTTCACTGTTACTGATGGTGCTGAAAAGAAAAACAGAGTCGTTTTGAAGAAAGGTTTCTCTGACTAATTGGGCGGGTGCACTTGACGACAGATAAAACAAACAAACAATAACAATGGCAATAATGAAAGTACAATGACAATCATATAGACATGATGACTCAAACGAATACCTGATGATCTCTCTGATCTTCAATCGTGTCATCGAGACTGCGACGGAAAAACAGTGATGAACGAAATACTGGATGTGAAGGAGTTTAAATGGCATGATATAAGAGTGGTACTTTGACTTACATGCATTGTATCGTACAGGAGATTGTTCTTGAGATTTTCTTGTTTGTTCAACGTGAGAAATTCGACTGGGAGCTTTTGACGTGCGAGAATTGTATGGATCATGAGGTAGATGAAAGCCGTTTTGATTTGCATGATCCAATGTAGAATTTGGTAAACTTCGTGGTTTAATAATTGGTTGTGGTTGAGGTTGCAGTGGTGCAGGTGGTTGAGCGACGTTATTGTTTTCTCGTTGAGAACTTATCGAAGATTTGAGTGGAGTAAGGCAAGTAGAAGTAACCGTTCTTCGTGGACTAAGTTGGTCATCTGTTGACTCATTATGTCCGTTGATAGCTGATTGTTTGCGCGAAAGAACATCGTGGTAGGATTTTCTTGCAGTTAATCGTGGTTGAGGTACGAGTTCATTTAACGCTTCTTGAGTTAGAGCACCATTACTGCCTCGAACAATAAGATTTTCGTCAGAAGCATAGTTGGCTTTTTCTCGGGCAAGTTTATTTGTAAATACGGACGACGACTGTCGACTTGATTCACGACGACTCGGTAACAACGGTTCATGACGAGCTAGTTTGTCCAAAACAACAGCATCCGATGAACCATCACTTGCACTTGTACCTCTAGCAGTTGTAGGTATACTTGCTACAGAGTTATTGTAAGTTCGATCAGGCCATCCGAGTCCTTCTTGCAATCGACGTTCAATTAATGTATAAAATGCGCGAGAAGCAGCAGGTTTCCGGTGTAAAACGGCATCTTCGATCTCTTGTTCGGAATAGTTGTGTCTGTTCGAAATCAAATATATGGTGTTCGACTATGTAGAGTTGTTTGTCTCACTTACTTTAGTGCAAGATATCTAATAATATGTCGATTGATTTCTGTACCTTCAGAATTAGGTTTGAATGGGACTAATTCAATCGGTCCCAATTGAGATGTTAAAAATGGATGACGGAGAATTTCTTGCATAGATATCCGTTTTGTTGGCGATGGTTCTAGTAATCTCGATAATAAATCTTGACAATCTAACCAAATCGACAAGATACAAACAAAGCTGACAATGTAGCTAAGATCAATTACCTCGAGAAAAGGTATTTGGTATTTCACATCCTTTCAAAATACAAGCGTGTAATTTCGCAAGATTTCGACTGCGTTGTTCAACTTTGAATGGAAGTTTACCAACAAGCATTGCATACATATTTACGCCAATACTCCATATATCAACTGACGGACCATATTCTTGGTGTGCGAAGATTTCTGGTGCGGCATAACTAATGAAAAAACAACCATTGTAATTCTTATGGTCTCTTAATAATACGCTCAAGTACTGCCCTTCAACATGATCTGAAATTCGCAGACATACTCAATTGAAATATTTCCACTAGATCTCTTCTGAATGCAACGGAAGTTACATTTTCTCATTTTCGTTACCAGGGATGTACAAGGTGACATTCTGCATTAAGGACATGTGAGAAAATCGTTGACATTGAAAATTTTTTAATGTGAAATCCGGAACAAAATGCTTGAGCGATTTCTCCGCGTTAGTGGAAATTATTCCTGATTCATCAAACTTCAATGATCAAAAATAAGTTCAACAACATCTTTCTTTTAACTCTAATCTATCTCTAGATTCTAAAATAAACTTACGCTGGTGAACCACATTGTGTCGTGAGAAAACCTTTTTCATCTAGACAATTGCTTAAACCGAAATCTATCACAAACAAATGATCCGAATGTAAATTCAATGTTCATCTCTTACCAATAATAACAATATCATCATTTTCATCAAGCATGAAATTTTGTAACTTTAGGTCACGATGAACAACATTAGCACGATGCATATGATCGACTGCAGAGACTATTTGTCGAATGTATTTTCTCGTTTCGTTCTCATCCAATTGTCTCCTAACAAACATATTTCAATGTTTTCTATCAAATTTCACGAATCGTTTTACTTCTTTGTCAAATATTTGACGAATTCTGTACCATGAACCAAATCCAAGACGATATAATAAGAATTTTCCGTTTCCATCACTTCGTGTAACTGAACAATATTCGGATGAGACATTCGTTGCATCATCGCTGCTTCCCGCCGTAGATTTGCTCGAAGATAATTCCGTTTGAAAACTTCACGTTTATTGATAACTTTCACTGCGACCTGAATGAGTTTGTTGATGAAAATCATCGATTGATTCAAACAGAACATACTTTCATATCTGTCACTAGATGAACACCTAATCGTACTTTCGCAAAACTACCTTCACCGATCGTTTTCAGTATGATATAATTTCCAACTTTTTTCCGTTTTTCATCGTTTGGCATCTCGTGTATTCCAATTGCTGATGTTTTCTCTGGTGTAGTCGAATTCTTCATATCCTGAACCATGATTTCTTTCGATAAGTTGACAAATGCCTAAAATATCAATACAGACATCAATTTCATTCATTTTCTACTTGAAAGAGTAAGTCTGAAGAACAACTATGAGATTCTAAATAGTTTCATACTACTAATGAGCGTTACCAGTCGGCAACAGTTGGATTCCTAGCTTTTATATGATATCCACCTTTCTCATTAAAAAGAAATCGTCGAGTATTTATTCTTAATTATTGCTGATAGTCGTTTTCTTTTCTCAAGAGTTTTTCATTATTCATATGCGATTTCTTTTACTTGAATTCCTCGAAAATACTCTTAGTAGGATTCAAACTGACACTCATTTACAATAAATCGAAGTTAATGAAGACATTGTCAGATTTTATTAAAGATTTTTTTCCTTAGATGACTGACAGCTGTGTTTGAAAAAGAGACATGGAGTCGAAGAAAGAAATCGAACAAAAATAAAATGCTACCAGCGCACACTGGACGTTTTTTCTTTTTTCATATGTAAAAATATCGCTGACAGCAAAACATGTCGATAGTCACTGTTCTAATCAAATTTTGATTTGCACCTTCTCTTTTGTCTCATTCAATCGTTCATGGTCAGTTGAACTATTATTAACATCAAAACAATGAATTAGACAAATGAGAAAAGAACAAATCGAGTATTGAGATTGAAAAACGTACTTTATTTTAATTAAAATCAAACGGATAGAGTGCTGTGATTAAGACATCTGTGAAGAAAAATTGAGTTATCAAAAACTAAACTGCGCATTCGCACGTAAACACTCACAATGTTTTGCTTTCTCAAGGTACGAACGTTTGTTTATTTGTCTCTTGTCTTCTATCTTGTTTTAAGCTCAAATAAGAAGAAATTCTTTCTTCCATTCTTTTCTCGAAACATTTCTCTTCTCTTCCATTTACTTTACTCGTTATTCGAACACAAGATGCAATTTAGAAATAACAACGAATCTATTGATTTGAAGAACATTATTAATTACCTCCTACCAAATTCCAATAATGTTTTTGTCAAAACGAAGAAAAAACAAAAAGCTTGTAACTAACACAATAACATTTGTCGATGGTTTCTTCTTCTTTTTGCAACGAAATGAACAAACAAACGTGCATGCGCAACATTACCTCGTATACTCTAAGCACTACTCAAGGAATAATCTCCTTCGCATCAGCTACTATATAAATAACATAATCACTTTTTCTTCGTCGTATTGACACGATAGATAATTGATCATTGTGTGAATAGACTAAATCAATAGACTGATTAATGTTCGAGAGAGGGAGAAAAAAAGAAACTTGATGATTTTAATGATTGTTATTTGACGAAGAGGACAAATATGTGAAAGATTCTTCCGATCAAAGTAAACGACACACTTTTCTTTCATAATACTGTCTCAGCTCATCTGCATACTATAAAAATATGACATTTTTCACGTCTGTTCCGATGACAATCGAACTTCTCCTTTGAGAACGTAGAATTGTCTATTTCGATATCCAAAAACTTCTGATTGCATGTTTCTTACTTCATTTTATTATCTATTTTGAACGCATCTGTTCTTCAGTCAACATAATCAACGTCAATCTGTAATCATGCAAAGATGTTCTGAAGTTCATATCATCGAGTATAATAGCTGTCCAAGTGAATTAACAACAAAACTGATTTTATTATTCAAATGAGATACAATGGCGATGTTTATTAGCTTTATTCTTTCATGAAAATCGAACTTCATTTCAAACATTTTATCGTAACTATTCAAGAAGATGACGAAGTTTTCAAACTATGTATATGTTTACTAAAGAATAGAAAAATGGTCGCACTTTCCACGTGGAATGGTGAAATATGATTTCTAACATTCTACTTACCTATCTCAAGCATCCAACAACAGCAACAGACGACTATTTTTCTTCTTAATCTGTGCGAAAACAAACAAACTTTCATCGACTTTTTTGTTTTGGTACATCATCTGTACTGCAAACTGTTCACTCTACGTTAAAACGAATCAAATAGTGAAAGCTTTTGTCGTTGAAACAAAGTCCCGTGTATAAAAATGAACGAAGTTAATGTTTATTTTTGTCTATCAAATTGGTACTTGAAATGATCTTAGTAATCTTTATGCACATCGTTTGTAGAAGTGAAATTCAAGTAACATCATTAGCTAGTTTTTCACATCATGTAGGAGGAATTTATGACGATAGAAATTTCACAAATGTATTCATGAAAATATCAATATTTCTCAAGATGATCAACGATGTATCTATCATCGATTTTTTATGAAACTATATCTGTTGATTGAGCTGATTAAATGAGATAATACACGTTTTTGATATTACAAATCGACATAAGAAGTATTAACTACAAGAGATTTCGATAACATTCGAATAAGATCTTTTGCCGATCGACGTCGCCAGGTTAATGGTGAAAAATTGAGGATAAGATGTTTTATGTATATTTTCTGCTATTATGTATGAAATCTATTCGACTAATCCAAATTCAATTTCATACGTGTTCGTGTACTTTAAGTCTGAACAAAGTCTAAATTAGTTTGATACTTTTCGTTTTTTTTTGAAAGGCACAACTTTGACACTTGAGGATGATTCTAAAGTCGAAGTCTTGATGGCTGGCACACCAACTAATGGCAGCAATAAAGTGGGTAAGATTTCATTACTTGATTCGTTTTCATTCGATGTACTTTATTTCTATCTGTTTAGTTTTTTAAACGGATATGGTTGACTATACTGAACCACTGACTTTCTCTTTGTGAACAAATTCTCGTCCATATATTTTCACACATTACTAATCGTGGTTTATTGTTGTTATTTGAAAGTTGTTTAAGTGTGCCCAATGAGAAAGCTGTTTATAATCTTCGTATACTTTGATAGGTCGAATCAGATAGAATTATTGTTCTTCAGTTGTAAACAAATACTTGTTCTACTGGTTCATGATACGACGATAGTTTTCAATACAGAGCAGTAATCTTAATAAAATCTTGAAAAGTCTTTTAGTACAGTAGACGCAAAGTATATTTGCGCTTACCAAGTACGACGCATAAATCGATAAGATAAAATAAAAGAAGGTTTTTGGAGGATATTGAAACATAATACGACAAAAAGCATAGATAAATGTCGAATATGTAGTAGTACACTATCCGTTTTACCAGACATAGATATAATTCTCAACGATCAATCCTGAAGTTATTTTAAATTACATGGCTATGTATTATTACTTAACTCAGACATGAATCTCACATATTATGTACTATACAACATTGCCAACGAAGGTCAATGTTACCGGTAGAAATCTAATTTCCAAATGTTATGTAAAATACCGTATGATGCAAGGTAATCAAGGTGTAGTAAGGTCGTATTTATTCGAGCAATAAATGTGATTTTTTTTTCTCCTCTTCTTTTTTGTTTTTCGTTGTTCGATTACAGTTGCCAACATATGTTACTGATGCGTATCAAGAAAGAAAAAGAATCTGTTTCGTGTGCTTTTGTATTTAGTCAAGCACATGCATGCAGACAATCTGATGATATTGAATGCTAACGACCAGTACGAACATCATAATGATATCATAGTTCGTTACATTTATCGCTTTTGGCAAATGGTAACTGACATATGTCATGATATAATCGAACAAATTTATTCAACGTTTTATTACTCATATAATCGACAAACAAAAATCACCAAAAGCTTCTATATTGGAATAGTCATTTCTTGTATAATAATTCTATTTTTTATTGTCATTTTTATGGTCTTATTTTTGCTTGATGAACAATCATTTAATTTGGAAGATACTTTTGTCGGAAATCAAGTCGAGACGTTGATTCCAAGTGATACTGGTCAATCAATTCGTCGCATATATATCGATATTGGCTGTTTTAATGGCGAAACAATCGAATATTTTCTTTATTTTACTCCGAATAGTGACGCGTATGAAATTTACACATTCGAGCCTGATCCAGACAATTATCTTCTTTGTAAAAAACGATTATCTCAACCGAAATTTGCCAAATATAAAATAAATATTATTCGAAAAGTCGCCTGGATACGTAATGAGAAAGTTTTGTATCGAACTGAACGTGGTCGACAAAGTCGCATCAGTCTAAACGCTACCGGTATGTCGAATTCAACACGAAAAGTCTCATGATTTAATGTTTTTCTATTCAGATGATTTGGATGAGTCAGTTTCATTACAGGCAATAGATTTTTCTGCATGGCTTGCCCGTTTAGTCGAACGCAAAAAAGTCTACATTCATATTAAAATGAGTATGCCCGGAGCTGAAGTACCTGTTCTAGACAAAATGATTCGCGACAATACATTAGGATTAGCAAACAAATACGAAGTCGAATGGACTGATCGAGAAAATCCGTTGACTCGTGGAACACGGATCTATGTTCAATTAATGTTTGATTCTTATGGTTTCGATTGTCTTTATTATACACGTTTGAAAAATATGCAAAAGGTTTACCAAGCCAAAGGATCTGCACAAGATATCGAGAAATATTATGACTGGAATAAAATTAGTGAGTCCGACGCATTCGCTCACTACATCGAACGACCGGATGAACCTATCCGACAAGATATTTAAAGCGGATTGATTAGAGAATCGTATTTTTTGTTATTTGGGCATAGAGAAAATAATAAAATGAAAAACAAAACAATTTATTTATTGGAATTCAAGTCAGAAGAAATATCGAATACACAAAATAAAACACAGTTATGCTTTCAAGCTTCAAACAGTCAATGTCGCTGACACTGTCTTCCCCGCAAATGTATAAAAAAGTTTCGAGAAAAACTTCCAACCGTGTGCACCACCAGGAATGTATGAAATGATGTACCTAAAGGCAAACGTTATGATCCTAAAACAATCGACTTATTAAAGAATAAATTACCAAATGAGAGCACCGATTTGGAATAGAGCAAAAGTAACTGTAAGGAAATAACTTTGAATCTTCAATAGAAAAATTAGATAAGAAATAGAGTAGAAAATAGTTTTACCCAGATGGAAAAATAGATTGTTCCAATTAGAGTGACTACATAGCTAATAGTAAATGGTAAACGTTCGATATTAATCAAATGTTTCAGATGGTTCATCGGACCCCATAGCATTGTAAAACTAAAGTATTTCAGATGATAACCGGTATGCTTGCTCGAAACATCTCTACCTCGATAGGAAAAATACGCTACCAAACGAAAACAGTGTTGCAAATTTTCGTGCTTTGATCATTATCACAGGAATATAGAGTGTCGCTATTGTCATACATAGTACACCTATTGCTAAACAGGTGATAAATCCCAGAATACGCTGTTTTCTTGTCTAAACAATAAATCAACGAATCAATCAAATTCATCGAAATTTATTCTTACCAAAGATGGTAAAATCGGATCATTATCTCCTTTTTGTAATAATCCTTGTATATCATCTGTACTCGATGGTATTCCATCGTAGAAATTCTTACTGAAAAACTTTTGTAAATGCTCGAGATTCGTTTGCAATAAACTACGTGATGATGCACGTTGTGTTCCATCTTTATCGTTCGTTTCAATGATCTCATCCGTCTTCGTTTGGTCAACATTCTTTTGCCAACGAGAATATTTAATACCCATCTGTAGAAAACAAAATTCAATGGAAATGCTTAGGTAGATTTCACCTCTCACTTCATAGTACGTCGCTTGAGGTATTCGGAAATTGAGAAACATTCGTTTTCAATTCTAGAGAACAATGGTTATCTGAAAGATTTGTTGTCTTTTCATCAAGGTTTGTTTAACATTAAAAGTTTTTATTGAAAATATGGGTGTTGAGAAAACAGATAAGGAAATTCGTCGACAAATACAAACAATATGAACTGTAGAAATATACACAACAACTGCATTCCACACATCGAGGAAAAAAAACTATACGCATACATACAAAGCAAAATCTCGTTCGTGAAAATTCCCAATGAAAGAAAATAAGGAATGCAAATGACTTCACATTTGACAGACTTGCTGTTTTCTTTTTACTGTGACTTCAAATCTTGTCAAATGAGATTTTTCATTGGTAGACTAGAAGAAAAAATTGAGACTAGATTGATTATGACTGTTTCATTTTGAAGACTTCTACTACACAAAATAGAGATTTAGAAGCGTTTACATCGAAGCACACTGTTCAGAAAAAATTATTGACAACATTCAAACAAAGAATCACCGAAGAAAAGAAAAACGATATTGTACAAAAACAAGTGAAGATCTATCAGTGAAAGATGAGAGGACTGATTATCATCAGTCAGATGACAACGATAATTGCGAGATTGGAGGTTCAACTTGATAATTAACACTCGATTCAAGCATCTAAAGAAATTCATTACGAAATGTTTAGTTTTTAAACACAAGACAAGTGTCTTACCTTATCAATTTCAGCTAAAAGTGTAAACTTTTGTGTTTCATGTGATTTGACAAGATTATCTTTCTCGCGTTCATGTTTCATGATTTGTCTCTTACGTTCTTCTAAGAATTTTTTTGTATTATTGGATTTTAACTCTCGAACACGACGCTCTAGATCGGCTTTAGTTCGAATGTTTTTCTCCGATCCAAGACGTTTACTATCTTCGATATTTTGCCGTACTTGACTCAATTCCAAATCTTTCTTCTCACTGAAAAAGTCAATACGGAATAATGTGAGGACAAAATCTCTCTTTCATCTTACCGTATGTGTCGATCAGTGATATCTTTGATTTGACTCCTTTGTGTTTCGTCAAGTAGAAGACGTAAGACTTCACATTGCTCTTTGATATGTTGTCGTCGCAGTGAATTCATTTCAGCTAATTGCCGTTGAATGAGTAATGACCATTCAACATTCTGTTCATTGATAAGATCCATTAGCTAAAAAAGAACGAGATTATACTTTCAACGTTCAAACAGATGATCATTCTACTTTTGATTCATTCTTAACAGTTCCACCATTACTAAAATATAACGAAAGTTAGAAGGTTTAGAAGGCAGTTTAGTACGAAATTTACGTTAAGTCTTTTCTTTGATTGGCATTTTGTATCATGGGTGATCGTGCACCTTTTTCCGATTCATTCTTTGCTTTATTCAACACTTTGGATTGCTGTTCACTGAGCACACTTTGTTCTTTCGTATGTTTCTTTTTCATGACTACTGTTTCTTTTTCCTGTTTATGTTGTAACTTAACAAAATTCTTTTGTTCACGTAAGTAATCCAATGTTATCGGAACGATTGTTTCGATTGATGTTTTGGATTTTGTCGATAACGATGAAGCAACACTGGCGCTATCGTTCGTCGTTATGGTCGTTATCGAACTACAACTAGCACCGGACATGGTTGGTGTTAATCGATTATCTAATGTTGGACTTGGTGCTGATGCTGTATCCGTTAGCATACGATTTCGTCGTATAGATGACGTACTTGCTGTTAAATTCACATCTGTGGAAATAATTGATGAACTAATCGATTCCTCGGATTTCTTCGATAGTAATGGCTTGTTCAATTGATCGACAAATTCAGTTAGACCATCGGGAACGTAAGATTTCAGTATGATTTCACAAAATATCGTTGGCAAGGATAGTGGGAAGTTTCCTTCAGTTCGTAGTGATATATGTCGATAACCAGCTTGTAAACCATCTAACGGTAAAACACGTTGTCCAATTAGTTTGCCCGTCTCTTCATAAACAGCAATACGCAAAATAGCTAAGTCAGGAAGAACAATCTAATAGAAAGAAAACCGATTTTCACTCAAAAAACCCAAGCAATGTTTTTGTTTACTTTTCGAAATTCGAAAACACTTTCATCATATCTCGGATTGAGCCCATTCGCCGGTATGGTTTTCGTACGATATTCTTTCCTTATCGTATCAGCTGGCAAACCATACATATCAACTTCAACGTAAGTACCAATTTTTTTATCAGATAAAAATTGACCAGATATAACACGAACACTGCAAAATGCTGCGATAACGCCGTCAACAGGACTTTCAGCATACGGATCAAATGTACGATCAGGTCGTCGCATAAAATCTGGTTTCAACAAATAACTAAAACAAACGGTTTTTCGGTATATCGATATGTATCGCCATCTTTCTGCACAAAATCCATAAACAATCTCGTATTCATTGTTTAGAAACGTTTCTTCTTCACTTTCTAATCGAATAAATATGTCAATTGTGTAATAAAATGGATCAATCAAATTTCTCTCATGAAATTTTCGAGCACTCTCGTAACTTAGTCCAAATTTCATTTCCCATGCAAATCAAAACTATTCAGCTAGATTAGAATCATTCGGCTTTTTCCTCTTTATTGCACTCCAGTCAAGCATTGATCGAAGCGACGAAGAAGAAAAGCCCACATCATAGAGAATCACTATCTAGATGAGATATCATCATGCGATTTCCTTCGAATGAATGATGTTCGCAGCATTCAGATCTCTTGCCATTCCATTTGCCAGATAAAAACAAAGCTGAGATAAGAAAAGCAACATATCATTTGCTGAATATTCGTATCAAAACAATTGCTATTCTTAATCAAACAACACACACTCAAGAGTAGAATGGATGCTATTAAAAACTTTTCATTATGTTCTATATTTATATAAACATAGAAAAACTGATGACATGCAATTATGAAGAAAAGTTAAGCACACTTGATCGAGTTAACACGCAAGATATTCGTGCAATTAACCTTGATATATTATCATTAATCTAATGATTCGAGAGCTATATCTGGTGAAGTCTTCTTAATTTTAATGAAATATGCTCCATGCATGATAATCAATGATTTCCCTAATGTTGATGATGAAATAGTTTTCAATTAAGTAAATGTTATATTCAAATATTTAATGCTTTTTCTTCTTCGTGTTTAACAACAAACAATTTCCTGTCGAATAAATAGAAAACACTCATTGGAATTAATCTATTTCATTTCTTTGCTTTCGTATTAAGAATTCTTCTATTCTTTGACGTCAGTTCTTACACAATATTAGAAGAAAGGGGAAAGAAATGCAATCAACAAGAGATTCTCGGAATGCTGCTAGTTGAGTGTGTTTTTTTTTGTCTCTTGACAATGAAATGAGACAGATAGATTAGTTGTTGCCGCCGTTTTTCTTTTCCTTATTAATATGCTAACATAGAAAGAGTAAATAGAAGCAAGAAAATGTCGAAGATGTCCTTCGAAATAAGGAAAGATCTTATACTATAAATATTCAATATGTAATCTCCCAGAGAAACATGATGAATGCATTCCGATTGACTTACCCACAATTTCCATTGTATTCAAATTTGCCTAGATTCAATTGCATGGGAAGATCAGGTGTTTGAAAATTCAGCGACACCATTTGACATCCAGCATTCCAGAAGATCTGCGGCATGTAGTTTGACGAATCTACACGGCCACCTTTCGGATAAATGCGCGACAATTGTCGTTTGTTGTAATTGACAAATTCAATCGGATTTTGTCTCAAGTGTTGAAGGGCAACATTTTCCGAGAATGACGACATATGATAGTGAATATTTCGTTCTTCCGCTTTAGCGAAACCAGGAAATTTAATAGGTTGAGTATAATTAACACGTGAGGATAAAAGTGGATGAATATTTGTTGTGGCACCTTTGTATTGATAGCCGTTCATTAACGCTTCTTCTTCTTCACGCGATAAAACGGATGAGCTTTTCAATTTAAAACCTAATTGACTAAATAAAGTACGACGATTAGCATCGTCATTGATGTCGACGTTTAATTCGGGATGAGCTTCGTCGTCATCGTCGCGTAGTTTCATGTTATCAACAAATGCGGCTGGACTATCTTCGCCTTCGACATTCGCTGCTGAGTCGAGATCGTTATCATTATTGACTTCAGTGTCAAAACCTTTGAGAAATAGATCGAGTTGTTCTAAAACAAATGAAAAACATAAATAAATATCGAGTAAACAGGAAACAACAGACTTTTTTCGATTTCGAGCTTTAGCCGTTTGTTTTTCAAAAGAATCTTTCGTTTCATTGCATTCGGCGATGGTAAAGGCACACCGGGTTCCAACTGAGAACAACAAACACAATGAAAATGCATTTAAAAAAAGTAAAAAAGAACTTACCGGATGTGAATCTAATGGTTTAGTTAATAGATAATCTCCCAGTATTTCTTCGCAATACTTTGCTAGCTTGTATTGTTGTGCTTTCGAGCAATGATTTTCGAATGAAAGTATAACTGGATAATCACTTGTAACAAACGCTGTGTCTCGTATCGCATAGATCACCTCTTTAAAGTTTATATCCGAGCACATCGCTTTTCCATGTGTAATGATTGGTTCTGTATCATTCTTTCCATCCCAACAATCCAACTCAATACACCGACAGCCAGCTAGTAGAACCTGTCGGTACATTTCAACAGATGATCGACCACCAAACTGTCGTCCTTGTAGATAAGTATTATGCGAAGAGTTGATCAAATAATGGCACAATGGTTGATCCATATCGTGATAAACTTCCAAGCGGTCGAGAAAGACCGGCGCATTTTCATCGGACATTAAATATCGCGTTAGACCATCGCAAGACAGATGTCCACGATCACGATAATTCGCACGTAACTCATATCGATCGATGATTCTTAATGCACTATTAGTATCGTAAAACGGAAATAGAATTTCATTCAAACGAGGATCACGTTGAGTTTCATTAAGCCAATCAACAAACTGTTTTGTTGTAATATAATCTTTTCCACCGGATAATTGATCGAATAATGCAGCTATGTCCGTGCGTGGGCAAATTTTATGATAAAGATCCGAAAATTTTTCGAAAGTAAAGTCTACAGGATCGATTTCATCATTCTAGAAATTGATGTTATCAGGATTTTGAAGAGTAAAAAAAGTTTGATTTACTTTTCCACTTGGTAAACCGAGTTCCTTTAAAATTTCGAAAATACGCTTTTCTGTTCGACCCGAGGCGAATGTTTTACTAATGCTAAACGAGAACGCAATGACAAACAATCGGTACTACAAATGGATTTACCTCCGAACAGGAATTTTCTTGTTTACATTCAACATAAACGATAATTTCATCCAACTAGAAACAAACATGAGCGTGAAATTTTGCATACAAACGATCAATTACTGTTTTCGTAGAATAGTCGTCGGGCATATATTATTAGCTTTATGATTATGCGTGATTTTCCTTAGACCTTCAATCCATGCCTGAAAACAACTTCCGATTCTAAATACTTTCCATACGCATCAAAAGTCATACTTTTGCGGTCGCCGGATCGGCACCTGTGATATTCGTGTGGCTGATTTGCACGAAATCAATACCACTGCAGATTGTCACTGTTCGCTCATCAATGTTTCCACGTCCGTAGACCAATGAATTTGCCATGAGATCAGCTCCAATTTTGGGATCTGATGGAGCTGAAACTTTCGAATGAGGACAGGCACACCAAGACAATGGAGAACTTACCTTTGCCTGGTCGTATATCACTAACTTGGGAGAGCTCAATAACTTGTCCATCTCGTCCTTCGCTTTGCCAATAAATAAAAAATCCGTAGCTATCAACACGAAACAAACAATTCTGCTCTAGAGAGCCATTTTCTTCATCCCAACGATCGAAATAATCGCCTTTCAGGAGACGAGTCGGTACTTCAATTTGCCAATCGAAGTTATACGCTTTCGACATTAATTAGAAAGTCTTTCAATACATGTACAGATCATCGATTAGTTGTCAGTGATAATAACGGATAAATGCCATCAATCATTCTCATTAACAAATCTGAAAACAAATCAAAGCAGACTCTTAAAAGATAAACAAAAGAAAAACTAATCGTCCGATGATTCACATTATTAATATTCAATATAGACAAACTATCAACGAGCTCGAAGATAGACTTCTTCCCGTCTCGTACTGTTGTTGACGCTTTTTGACGTATTTCTCCAGTTGGTTGCTTCTACCACCATAATTGTTTGTTGTTCGGTCGACGAAGAACTGCTCTATAGTGTCATCTATCATTTGAGGAAGAAGAACATGAACGTCTGTCTACATAAAAGGAAGAGAGAAAGAAAAGAAAAATACTCGAAAAAACAGAAGCCATTGGAAAATAAAAGATTGGGAAGAATTACAAATGCCACAAACGTTTTCTTCTACATCGGATACTTCTTTATCGTACGAATTACTATGAAAAGGTTTCATTATATTTAAAATAATGTTCATTATGATCTATCGGAAAGGTGAAGAGGAGTTTTATTTGTTCCTGGCTTCATTGATAAAAGCAACAGAAGGTGTACTCATTGAGAGTTACGACCTCCTGTCATCGATTGTCGTAAAGATTGCTCAGATCTATTTCTTTATTTTCATTTGCTCACTTTCTTATTCTTTCTTTTTGCCCATTCATTCTGTCCCACATGTGTTGAACGCTAGATGTTTGTCGTTCATTAAGAAAATTATGATTGATCAATGTTCGTGACTTGTCAGACACAGAAAAAAATGTCATGAACGGAATCATTTTCTTCGATTTCTTGTTCAAAATCATTTCTCTTCCTTCATACTCCAATACATGGAAACCGTATGCAGAGAATCTAATACTGTCGACGAGTTTTCTATTTGACTTTCGTGAGAGAAGACTGTGTCGTCGAAGAATAGATTTAGCACGTTCTTGAATGTTGCGTCATGAGTTTGAGCGAAAGATGATCGAATTGATTTTATCTTTGTAAAATAATCAAAGAGATTTATTATGAAAAAGTAAAATGAAATTTATTCTTCTATTTTATTGATTTAGAACTAAATATTTCAAGACTACAAAACTAATACAAACATAACGATTCATTTGAAGGAAAAAAATCAATGAAATCGTTCTCAAAACTGGAGCATTCCCACGAGAGTAGCGAGAATAAATGGCAGAACACAGTAACAATAATTGCGACTGCCACTGTTGTAAACCAGTTTGACACTTTGCCGTGCGTCTTTGTCAAACTGTACTTGGATTTCGATTGGTTCATGACTGGCACTGGTTTGTACTGTATGATCCAGAGGATTTTCTGCTGTGGATACGTGAAGAATGGTCTGATGTGTTTCAGCCTCGGTTGCATCATACTTATAATGATCGTCATCTATTGACCAGTGAGTCTCTGTGACAGGTTGTGCTTGACAGATATAAATAACGAGAACAAAAGCAAGCCAAGAAATGCAATGCATGATTAAATTGAATATGAAAGGAAACAGACTGGTTGAATGAATGAATGAAATTCAGTTCGTTTACTTCTCTTAAAATAGGGACAATAGACGACAGAAAAAATGGCAGGAGAGAGAGAGAGAGCGAAAGACTTGAGCAGATCAACAAAAATGACCTCTACTATTGTTTTCTTTTCTCTTTTCCTAGATATAGAACCATAGCAACAAATTATACGTACATTTATAAATGAAGGAGAGAACGTGTCTATGTATATCTGACAGTTTATTAACCTGCAACTTAAGATTAGTTGATGGAACTATTGTGAATGAAAGAATAATAATTATGTGGAGAGTATGGAGAGTAAACGTAAGAAGCTGTAACAATTACTTGCCAGTGTAATCGTTGAATAAGATGGGCAAATAAATGTGATGGTTAAATAAATATTCGTACGAAATTCTTGTCAACTGAAAAAAAAGACTTTGTCATTATGTAATTCTTTTCAATATGAAGTGTTTAATGCGCTCTTCCCTTTCATGAAATAATTCAAATGAATCTATCGTCGAAATTTTCTGCTCAGACAACGAGAGTAACACAAACGAATCGATGACATATCAAACGACGATGAATTTCAACAAAAACCTAATACATTTACTGATCATGTTCGTCTATGTAGATTCATGATATTGTAGGTCATGTGATAAGACAAACAACACCCACACTCAGATCACAGCTTTGTTCTTTACGAGGCTTTTTCTCTACTTATTTATTTTATTAGTTGAAAGAATGCATGAAGACACTTAAAATGAGATGCGAGATGGTTAGATGAAAGAGAAATGGTGGGTTAGTGATGAACGGTGCTATCTAGAAATGAAAGTCATAAGATAAAATGAAATGATGGAATGATTTTCTTCTCGACGACTCCGATTTGCGTTTATGTGTTGAAGTTCCATCAATTCTTTTTCAGGTCATACCATTCTGAATTTGGTGCTTGCTTACCTGATCCTGGATAGAAGAGGTGCGCCGCAGGTTCATCGCTCTTATCAAGTCTATTATGCCAGTCTTTGTTGGTAGTCAGAGATAATCCAGCGCAATTTTCGTCTGAGTTGCACAACTTGACGGCATCAGACCATCTCAGAATGCAATATCCATCAAGTAATGTTATCGAGTTACATCTGTAGGAAGTATCGGAAGATCCAACATTTCTATCCAAATCATATGTGATCTAGTTGCACGATGAACTAAAGCACAAGGAAACGTCAGCAGATCTCTTCTTCTCACAAATGTAACATACGTCTCTTGGACTGCTGCATGCTCTTCCATGAGAAGTTTTCGCAAAAGTTTTTGCGAGAATCGTGAGTAGAGTATTGCTGGTATGAACACAGCAACGATTAGAGTCACTTGGATAATTTTCATTATTATTGTTCGTTACGATACATTTAACAGAGGGCATAACGAGGGTGATGTAGAAAAATGATTGTACTCACTTTAGCAACAATATGTCGATAATCGTTGTACAAATACCACTTTGCGATATTTTTCGTAAGATCTACGGTTTGTTTATATATTCCTCGGAACTCAAACGGAGCGTGACGGTGGACAGTAATCCTTTTATTTTTTGTCGTGTTGTTTATTCACTTTCAGTCATCGATTAATTTTATTCTCATATGGAGGATAATAAAGATCTACAGTCATAGGACGTAAATAATAAATGCCTGGATGATTTGGCGAAAGAATACAGTCACCCAATATGTACTTGTTGGGAAAAATGTCAACTATTCGCAGTGATTGAATAGATCAATTCAACGACATATCATACAGATATTTAGAGAAAGCAATGAAGAGAGAAATCAGAATTAATAACGCTAAACATCATCGTATGCTATCAAATATTTGCTGGTTCAAACACGATCAGTTGGGGGGTTTGGTCACCGGGAAACCATTCCTCAAATTGCTGGATAGCTTGATGTTCGCTCTACTGACTCTCGCATTATATTTTCGACGAATTATCGCTCGAGGTCGGGTTGAAGTCTTGCCGAGAGTCTAGATTCCAGTTTGGACATGTCAAGGGTTGTGTACTGACTGGTAGCAGCTGAAAACGTCTTTTTAAAAATGTTTCTGAGAAAAGGTCCCTGAGATCATGTTATGAAAAAATGTCCTTTTAGAAGACGATGAGCAAAACTCACGGTGAGACTATGCTCAAGTTGGACTCATTGTCACGGATGGAAATTTTATCTGATTGGCAGCATAGAAAGAAAGAGTACGTGAAAGATCTCAGTGTCATTGACGGTTTAGGTGATGTACATAAAAATGAAGAGGACATTCGTAAAAATGATGGTAAAGACGAAGATATATCATCAATCAATATTGAATCAATGATTTCCATTTATACATATGAACTGTATCTGTTCTTGAATCTGATCACGATCACAATGCATTCAACTATGATATAACAATTTTTCGTTCTCTATCCTTTATACCATTCTTGTCCGATCCTCTCTATAGAGTGGTAACTTTACTGGTATTTTCTTACCATAATGTCATCCAGCTTCCTACCGATTTTTCTTTAGACGTTACGACAAACGTAAAGGATATTTTTTCTATAAGGAACTTTGTTCGAAGGAGACGTATTTACGAAGCACGTTTTTCAATAATCGAGAATACCCATCCACTTCATGAGCGTCTGTTGTATGTATGTTAGGGTGATCTACTTCAAATATTTAATATTCTTGATGCATCGAATTTGTTGAAGTAGTAAAAACCATTTATGTACCTTATTCTGGCACTTATTTGCAATAGTAAGATAGAGTTCTACATCACTTCACGATCTATCTAGCGCAGCTGGATCTTCTATTCTTTTACAACCTTTGTCATATCAACACTGGACTATACCTCATCCACGGAAGGTTAGTTTGAGAGGGATCGATAACTCATAATGGAAGTCAGAACGCATTTTATAAAAGTCAAAGTGATTATAACTGAACCTCAAGCGTATAACCGTAGTGATAATCTTTACCTGTGGTGGTAACTTGTAACGCGGCTACAACGCTTACCCAACATTAAAAGAAACAACGCACCTGATAGGTGCTCGAATTGTACCCATCCTGTGGGTACGTTCGAACTGTATAAATTGTACTGGATTCTTGCGAAACCTGTTGAATTCTACTCGATTCTTTGCGTCATGTTATATTTTTACGAATGCTATGCAATCTATTGCTAGGAGTACTGGGTATTCAATCTGATTCGCTTTTGTTACTTTGACTAATGTCGAAGTGGCATCAATTATATTTCATAATCTTCCTCAGAATTTGTACTAGTAATAAACAAAAAGATAGACATATTCTCGTTAACAGAATCGAGAAAATAGGCGATGATAACCATGAAACGAGGTTAAAACCTCGCTTACAGATTAAAATTACGGTCAAACAATAGAAACAAACTAAAACTTAAGCCACAAATTGAATTAATCATAACTCAGAAGTTATAGCTCCAGTTATCATCTCACCAGTTTTAACTCTCAGTATGTCATAATCCATCGGAAACGGAACCTCCACTAAATGGCGACAATGTATTGCGAGTTTCATGTTTCCCGAAATGTTCTCTTAAGAAAACGAAAATAACATAATCGAATTAATGACATATAAACAATGATGAATTTCAACAAAAAACTAACGCATTTGCTGATCAACAGATCATATTCGCTCTCACACATCATTTCACCACTTGATTTTGTTGACAACATTGTTTGTCTATGTATGTTCGTGATACGGATAGGTAATGTGATAAGGCACACAACACGATCACTCAGATCACTGCTTTGTTCTCTAAGAGACTTTCTCCCTACTTATTTATTCTATTCGTTAAAATAAAGTACGAATACACTTGAGATAATACGTGAGATGGTTAGATGAAAGAGAAATTATGGATTAGTGATGAAATGTTCTACCGACAAATGAAAGTTCTAGAATAAGATAAAATGATGGAAAATGTTGCTTTTCCGACGACTCTGATTTGCGTTTATGTGTTGAAATGCCAGCAATTTTTTTTCAGAGCATACCACTCTTTATTGGTTGAAGCCTGGCCTGATCCTGCTGTGTAGAGATGCACTGCAGGTTCGTTATCTTTGTCGTATGCATTATGCCAGTTTCTATTAGTAGTCAAAGATAATCCATCACATTTTGGATCTGAGCTGCATAACTTGACGGCATCAGACCATTTAAGAATACAATATCCACCGACTAATGTTACCGAGTCACATTTATAGGCAATATTATTATAATCAACGCTTTTGTCCAAATCATATGTGATCCAGTTGCACGATGAACTAAAGCATAAAGAGACAACAACATATTTGTTATTTTCATGAATCTGTCGTACGTTGCTTGTGCTATTGCACGCTCTTCCATGAGAAGTTCTCGCAAAAGTTCTTGCGAGAATCGTGAGCAGAGTATTGCTGGTATGAACACAGCAACGATTAGAGTCACTTGGATAATTTTCATTATTACTGTTCGCTACGATACACTTAAAACAAGGCATAATACATGTCATATAGAGAAATGATTGTATTCACCTTAGCAACAATATGTCGATAATTGTTGTACAAATACCAGTTTACTATATTCATCGTACGATCTACAGTTTACTTATATGTTATTCGGAACTCCAATGGAGCGTGGCGCTAAACAGTAATCCTTTTATTTTTTCTAGTGTTGTTTATTCACTTTCTGTCATCGATCAATTTTGTCGTCATATGCAGAACAAGAACGATTTATAGTCATAGGCTGTACTCGATAAATGCCCGAATAACCTGGCAAAAAAAAATGCACTCATTCGATATTTATTGACTAATAAAAATATTAATCATTCATATAGTCAGTGATTGGATGTATTCAATAGAATATATATCATACAGATATTTAGAGAAAACAATGAAGAGAGAAATCAGAATTAATAACACTGAACATTATCGTATGCTCTCAAATATCTACTGGTTCAGATATAATCACGTGAATGTTTAGTTATCGGAAGAACATTTGTTCATTATACAGACAAGCTGATGCATCACCTACAAGTGCAAAGGATATTCTCTCTCTATTCATAAAACGGCTTCATGAACAGAATTATCGTTCTGATAATGGTGGCATGAAAGCACTTATACTATGTTGTGCTTTGTTATAAAAATTTGATCGTCGATTTTGGTAGATTATTTAAAAACATAAAAAGAGGATATTAATTAAAACAATTACAAAGGGTCGAGATTGAGATTTTTATCAATCGAACGCATTTTTTTCTCGTATTGACATGTCATTAGAAGAATCACTTCATGCATTAGATCTATTTTTAACATAGCGAAAGAAAAAAAACAAAAATCTGATTGTCGTTTCGGTATGTTTGATCAAACAAGAGTATTCTTATGGTCGGCCAGAAAAAGAATGTAAGATGGACATTTTCTTTCTGATAGTATTTGTTTCATCGACAATCGCTGTAGATCTACGTATGATTTATACTGTGAGTGGTGAAAATATCTGATTTGTTGGAAAGATACAGTAACAAAGATAGGTTTTTGTTGACCATCCTTCAAAAACGAGACTAGCAGATGAGATAATGAAGGACCACACTGAGTGTCATCATGATGATCAAAGCACGATTGTATTAAAACTATGTTTACTTTTCTTGATCGGCTACTAGATAAGATTCAAGAATGATCTGATGATAGGAAACACAGAGCCAGTTCTTATTGCTTTCTATACAAGAGAAAAAGCCCTTGTTGATGAATGAGGTAACAATTCACAGCAATCATTTTTGGAATTTGAAAGAGTGGTTTAGCCGCTCCCTTATCAGTGTATTTTAACCCCATCACAGTAGACTAACACATAATTATTGATGCCACCGGAGTCAGAGAAACATAACGAATGCCATCGTTCTGCTTCCTCTGTCGATCAAGTTTAGATATCTGGCAATACGACTTGTCGGATACTTTTGATAAATATTATATCTGATTCATTTTGAACGCAAGATTATCGATACAAGTAGATTGATGTGATTTCGTTTCTTTTTTTTTCTTCTTCAATATTAGAATAACAAATACGCAGATCAATGAAACAACAAAGTGAAACATGCATTGTAGCTGAACTAATTAGAATAATAGAAAAATGCAATAAGAAAAGGAGAGACTACTCATAAGCTATCATCAATTCAAGCTTATGATTTGGCAAAAAACAATTCAGTTCATTTTCTTCATTTAGCTGATGACGGTAAATGAATGTCCCTAGAAAAGAAATTTAAACAAAATTAGTTAAGAAATTCGACTAAGGAAGCTTTTTAATTTACCATCCAATGAGCAACAAGCAAAGCAGCAAGGAAACTCAAAAATTGGGCAATGCTCATAAGAGTAAATGAGTATCCAGTGGCACTGGCAGCACCAATGGCGGCATAGAGTGATCCGGCAATGAGGATACCGCTTGAAAAGAGTAATACGACTGAAACAATACCACAGAGACGGGCCAAATTATTGCTTGCATCGGACTTATTTCGGGTGAAACCGGTAAAAACAGCTAAAATTGTTGCAACTACTAAAGCGATTAAAGCCTGAAACATTGAATAGAAAGGCAAAGATACCCTCAATCTGAAATCCCTACTGTAATAGCCATGCCAGCTGCTCGTCCACCATCTGTTCGTAAACATTCAACACCAGTGCATTGTTGCCACAGACCTAATGGATAAACCGAATTACTTTGCTATATAACAAGTACATTGGACTTAGTTTTCATTTACCATTATGTTTAATACCAGATGAAAACCAATAGGTAGTTGATACTCCGATGATTGCTAACACGACAGCAGCAACTGTAACAGCTGCACCAATAAATGGGAAAACTCGAAGAGCAGTCATAATTTTATCTGTTGTTGTATTGGATGGGAATGAAAATGAATCTAAAATATAAGATAACCGACGCTTAAGGATGATATGTGAAAATGATTCCATCAATGTTCTTCTCTTCACGTATATATATACATTAAGATAGGAAGAGAATGAAAGAGAAGAAGAGGAAAAGAAAAGAAATGAATCGTACCATTTAGATCAACTTATTATTCAAAATGTGTAATGGAACGGTCCATACCCGTATACCAAATGCATACATGAGAAAAGAAAAGAAATATTCATTGTCTTCCCCTCTCGGACTACATCAAAATACAAAATAAAACCATATGTGAATACAGAGAAAGATATCAAAATGTACATGATCGAACAGAATGCAATCGGTATTTATCTCTGTACATTCTCTCTCGAATGTATCCTACATATCTGTACATTCTTCTTCGCTTTCTATGTTAACATTTCTATCTCGTACGTGACAAGATAAGAAATGAATCGCAAAGGACGTCAATCAGTTCATTTCTAAGAAATAGTTCAAATGTACTTAAGAAAACATATTAGAAATGTATACAAATCAGATCAGAACACGGGAAGTAATACAAATAAACAATCATGATATACTATTGGATGAATGATTACGGATTCATTCCATCAACCTTCTGATTGACAGTTCAGATATCTTTTAAGAATATCGTCCCTGGATCGAATGGTTTCGTGGTATGCACGCAATGAAAAGTCCAGTTTCGAATAGTTCATTGAAAACTAAACAACACGATTCACATACACATGTTGGTAATATGAGAAACAAAACACTACGAAACTTATCTTCTTAATGTATAGTACGAATTGAATTGCAATTTACTATGAAAGATAAGACTTTCTCTGCACTCTATGTATAGCATCGATATTTTCTAATTGTTTTCATCACCCATCATCATCCGATTTCAATGCGTCATCGTTTTGTACGCCTTTTGGCATGTTGTTGAAGGAAGTTCTGTTTCCATGTATGGAAATATCGAAAATATTGAGACTCATGATTATGTTTGCAGTTGGATTAGAATTTATTTAATCCATTGAAAGAAATAACAAAACAAACAAAAACAAAAACAAAACAATTTATTCTTCGTCTTCATCTTCATCATCACCATCATCATTATCAGACTCCTCGTTCATATCGTCATCCTGATTTTCTGGAGATGTTTTCTTCTTCTTGTCTTGTTTTCGTTTAACGTTTTCTTCTTGTTCACGTTTTCGTTGTTCTTTCAAACGTTTCTTTTCTATCGTACGTTGCCGTAATTCCGCTACTTCTTCCGATGTTTTCGATATGTGCGTATGGTAAAGCACTTCACCGTCACAGAGTCCATCTTCGATTTTAACTAACTCAAGTGTCATTCGCGGACCGATTTCAGTTAAACGGATCGCACTTTGATTGGATTTCAAATTACCACGACTACGTAGCTGTTGAGAAAGAATTACTTCGTTTTCATCATTGCCCATGCTTTCATCTTCACTTTCCGATGCATTTCCTTCCCTAACAGAAATATACGTACGATAAAACCGTGAGAAAAGTCGACTGATTCAAATATACCTGTACATAAAATCACTAATATCATTAAATTTTGATAGATCAGGTACTTTGCCTTGTAATAATTTCTTTGCCGCTCGACTAATACCACTTGGTGCAATTTTGATATTACTAAAAATGCATAGAACGACTTTATACCAGCGTGAATAGCAATCAAACATACTAATGTCGAAATTCGACTAGTCCATTGACAGGATCCAATGAAAGTAAAACGCATCGTTTGATTGTACTTAGATCAACCTAAGGCAAACAGAGGTCTTCGGAAAGAAAGTAGGAAAAGCGCGTACGTTTGTAACATTAATTGATGGAAACATGTTCTGAAACATTGTTGCGATTAGTTTGATATGGATCGCATCATCTTGAAAACCATTCATGACAAGTAAAGGTGCGTGTTCGAATTGTTTTGGAAATGTTTGAGGACGTTTTAATGCCGAGACAATATCTCGACTATGTGTAAAACGGCGAATACGAAAGTTCAATGTTGGACCACGTGGTACACGTATCAAACGCATATAAGTCGATAATTGAGTTTTGGAAAATGTCATCAAATGTGTCACATGGAAATGATTCGAAATGGCAATGAAGTCTTTCAATGCATTCTTTCGACTAACCTGAAAGAAAATTGAATGTGATAACTGAAATTGTCTCAAAGACAACTTCTACTTTTAAGTTTGGCGCAGTGAATGGTTCCATGACACGACGCATATCTCGAATGAGTTCTTTGACGTTATTTCCAACTATATGAAAGAAAACGGTTGAGTCATATCTTCGCAAGATGAGTTGGACTTACCGGAGACACCTCGTTTGAAAACGAGAACATGTGGCGCTCGTCTAACTTCATCCGTTTCGAAATTCGGCGGTAATTTTCGACGTGCATTTCGCGCAGCTCGACCCTTAAAAGAAAGTGTTTGTTCAAATCGATCGAATATCTCTTCGAAAAAAAAGAAAACTTACTCGTTGTTTTCGACCCATTCTTTGTCCTTCTGAGACAATGTATCTAAATAAGAATGACTTTGTTTAGCAATGTATACAAGCCGATGTTTTCCTTTTTTTTTTTAATTTCTTTTGTTGAAGAAAAAAAACACTCTCGCACGCACGTATACTTTTCTAAAAAAAAGAAAGAAAGTTGGACAAAGCATCGGTTCGATGCGAAATGTTTAGTTTATGTTGGTGGCGAATTGATGTCAAAGAGAAAAAGAAATGAAACAGAGCATGAAAAAATGAAAACACGGAAAGTTAAATATCGCGGCTGGTCTGAAGAGAAGATGAAGAAAAAACGAAATGAAATTTCTTGCTTTTGTTTTTGTATCAACAACAACACACAAATACAGACACTTAAAAAATACATCACACACCGGAGTTTTACAAAGAAAGAAGAATGATACCTCTCAATCAACCTCGATGTTAGCCGAGAGTTGATTCGGAGTATCATTTAAGTCCATGGCTTCACTTGTTGACACATCATTGTTTGCTGTTGGCGATGTTATTGCTGTTGTTTGTTGAAGAAGAGACTGAGCTTGTTCTAAAGTGAATTGCGCACTACGTGTACGTTGAAATGATCGCGTATCAGTATCTTCATTGGACACATTCTGTGCGGGTGACCATTGCCATGATGTTTGCATTTGCTGTTTCAACCAATTGATCGCGAATTCCCATTGATCAGCAGTCGAAGAAAAATATTCTTTGCATGCATTACTTCTACAAAGCAAAGAGCGGTATATGGAGGAATGCAAATCGGTTCAATTTCAAATACCTGTTCGATAAATTAATAAGAAACTTTACTGCTTGATAAGCTCGACGTTGTTCGTTTTCGATGCTTATTTGAATGAGTGAATACAAACCATTGAATATCTGAAAGTTGTCCCCATTACTCTGTGCGTTGACACCTGCGAATGCTAATTGAATTCGTTTGCTTTGCAGAGAATCTTCGATTAACTAAAAAAAGTATCTCGTCAGGAAAGTTTCTGTTCAAATCGTGTTTAACTTACTAAAATATGACTCAGAAAGTTAAATAACGATTTCATATCATTCGTATGCGCTTGGGCGATCGATTGTAAGATAATTCGAATCAGTTGTTCGGAAAAGAATTCATTATTGAATGCTAAACTCTCCATTAAATGTATTGTACGCACTAATTGTGACGGCGAGACTTCTTGGAACGCATAGCAGATCTCTTTCAAATATCGCGCTGCCCATTTGCCTTGAAAGTATGTTTTCATATGATTTTTCAATTGTAATTGCTTTTCATCGAACGTATCAGCAGTTAAATTACAAGCTAGAACTAATGTGGCAATGATTTCGTGTATTATTCCGAATTCTTTCGCTTGACCGGAATTCCAACGTCGTGCATCGATATTGTCTCCTAGCAGAAAAGTCATCAGACGTGAAAATGTGTTCAACTGTAACAGGTAATCGATGGCATCTTGATTGATTCTGATGTACGAATGAATCAGTTGGAAGAATGCTTGTGAATGCTTAACCTGTTCAACAACTGACTTATCGAAGAGAGATATCAATTGTTCAATGAATTGTTTCATTAGAGACGATAATTGATAGCCAACATTGATGATCAACGTTTCCTGATTATCGTTGAGATTAGTCGCTTGAATTTGCGCATTTTTTTCTATTAAATGTAGATATGTTGCTTGTAAAACTTGTTCACAGATTTGTTCGAATGTATAACGGATATCTTCGATCGGACAATCGAGTAGATATAATTTCAATCCATTTTCTTTTCGTTCATGTAACAATTGATAGAAAATTTCACATGACGTTGGATTTTTGTTAAACAGACGTGCTAGCAATTGTACCCATTGTTGAAGTGAGTCTTTACGTAGACGACGGTGCGTTCGGAGATGAGTATTAAAAAGAAAATTCAATGCTAATTTGGTGCATAAGTCATATGATGTTTCGTCACTGTCATCCTCGATCATTTCCATGTCGAGTGGAAGATTAATATCAGCGAAACATATATTACATATTTTGTAAATGAATTGAAAATAATCTTCGCAGTATGTGTCGCGATTCTTGAGAAACTCAAGATTTTCATCTTTAACGCAGGCAAGAACACGCGATGGAATGAGAGGTTTTTCAATTTTGAACAAATCCGTATTTTCACTTCGAACGACCAAATCAGCCAATTGAGATAATGAATCGCGTTGATTAGGACGATGAACGCGAACAGCTGATCCTGGTATGTGACGCGATGAACGAGCACCACTCGGTGATGAAGGTACAGGAGCAGGTGGCGGAAGTAGTTTCGATGGTTCAATACATTGATAGATAAGCATATAAGCATTCCAAAATCGTGTGCGTTCTTCTGTTGAATTATTGTTATCTTTTTGTACGCGAAACGTTCCGCCGAAACATTCTTCTTCGAGCATTTGCTCCGTTAATTGAATTTCCTCAACGGAGGTATCGTTAAAACGGTACCATTGATTCGTATTATTCGAATGACGACGGCGAACATCTTTTATAAATGAGTAATAATGACCTGCATTGGCTTGGCCCGAATGAATAACAATACCGATTAATTCATAATTGATTGTTGGCATGCCATTCGATAGATTACCAGTCGTACGTGGTAAAGATTTATTCTCATCTAAATAATCATAGTTAAGCAAATGTAAAGATTGTGCCTGAGAGTTGAAATACATATTTTATAACCTCATCAATAGATTGAAAAGTTTCAATTTTCCTTACCTGTGTTCAATACTGATGAATTAATTAAGTTTTCGTTATTGGTTGTATCTTCGTGTTCTACAAAACTTTCCCGTTTGTTGACGCCATCTAATGTGTACGGTTCCATGTTGAGTACTAATGGAAATTTGAAGTAATCATCGAATTTCAATGCACGATTGTTTTCCCAATCGAATCCGAAACGTTTCATTTGGATGCATAACAGAGGTGGTAACTTTTTAATACATAATCGTTTGATTGTCGTTCGCTTCTCTTGACATTTGGCGCAAAAGTACTAAATGAGACCAAATCGTATCGTAGGAAAATCATCTCAGTTTAACTTACAGCATTATTTCCATCTAAGACTTCACCTTTGACAAATTGGTTCAAAGATTCATTCAGTGAATCGACTTTAACAGCGACGTTTAATGCCATAAATCGTTCTTCACCTTCATAACGATGTCGACAACCATTGGTACATATCATTTGATTACAAAAAATGCCTTCAAAGTTTTTTCGAAAGACTTCTTCTTGTTTCATGCTTTTCAAATATTCATCGATTTGATCCGTCATCGCTGTAAAGAAATCGAATGCATCTTGTTGTTCACGGATATTGATTTCCTGTCCCCACAATCGAAATACTTTCCATAAAGCTTCTGGTGAATAGTATTGCATTTTGCTTTCCATCAAATGTCCGAAAACTTGTTGAAGTTGATGAAACAAACCCGAATCACCATTCTTATGCGAGTCATTACCGTTCTCCAGGTCATCTTGAACACTTAGAATATGTTCAGAGATTTGTGGTAACATGTACAACTGTTGAAGAATAGAATTCATATAGCATGTTGCACCACCTAAGAATAAAAGAAAGTCGAAGTGCACAGTAAATTGTTTGATAAGATCATACCATTGTAAAGGCCGACCAGACCACAAGAAGCACGAGGATTCACTTGTGGCATGAACTTGAAAGAAAAATAGACGATATTGATCCTTTGTGAACATTAATTATGCAAGTGACTTTACCTCCCATTCCGTTTGCTTTTCAAGTATAGCTCGATGATGAAGTTTAATCAAATCCTCCACAACAGTTTTCAAATTCGACCGACAATTGCGTACTAATTCAACGAGAACATCATATGCTGCTAACCGACTTTCACTTGTCGAACATTTCGGCTCGGGCACAGCGTCATCCACGGAATCGTTTTCAGTATTCGTTGCTGCTATCGTTAACGACATACTTTTCGAAGCTGGAAATAGAAATTGTTCAATCAGCAAAGGAATAAAATCACGGCCAAATTCGATTTTATTTATATTATCACATGTCAATAATGTCCGGATAAATCTTAAATGACCCATGAATAGAATATTATCGATTCCACGTAACTCATTCGATGTGGATGAGACGGTGTAGGTTGATAACCAATTAAATTCATTGGTTAAAATTTGTTTAGCATCAATTTTTAGTAGTTTCTGCATTTCTTTCGATAAATTCTCGGTTAGTTGACAACGTATATCGAAATATTCAACCGATTGGGCTAATAGTTTTTGATTTGACCCTCGAGCACCTGCACTCGATGTCGCCCACAGTGGTAATCGTGCTTTCAAGATGATTTGATGAATGACAGCACGAATATCACAGGCGGATGTTTGAATTTTACACAAACGAATGATATTACGTAATGCGCACTGACGTACTTCACGCGAACTGGTGCTGATTAAGATTTCCAGAAGAAAATCGGCGAAAAACGGTTGAACAAGAAAGGTGGCTAAAAGAAAACTCTGTGTGCACTGGAATACAAGCAAATGATCGCTTACCGATAAATTCCGGACGTTTCTCGAAGCAAAACATAATGATTTCGATGATTTTCTCGGCTATCTCACTATCCAAAGGTAAAATTGAATCTTTCTTCACACAGATTCCAAACTGAACGGTTTGTTGAACATTATTATTCACAGATGAATCACTTGACGAGGAATTTTTACTATTATTTCTCGAGAAGACATTCGCATTGATTTGCTGTAACAAAACATGACGATCTAATTTCACTTGCTCTTTGATCGTTAAACTCTGCTCTTGCAAACGAATATTTCCAGCTGCTGCTGCCCAACACAAGAATATCAATTGTTTAACTTGTCCAACGAATTCTTCGAATTGTAGATGTTCGACAGTTGCTTGAAAGTCAAAGTCAATTGTGTCCATTACATTATCATTAGCTGAAACAGCAACGGGCGATGTCGGCCGAGACAAGTGAACTTCTTCAGTTTGATTTGCATTAGTTCCGCATAATAATAATTGAATTAACTGCAGAATCAGTATGGTCATTTCTTCGCACAGAGAATATTGATAATCATCGTGAATAAAATGATTTAACGATTGAAGTAATTTGAAGAGAAATTCCACTCCGGATTGTTCGATAAAATCCTGTCGAAATAGTTTCGAACTTTGTTTAGTTCCGATGTTACTCGCGAGAGGCGAGATTTTACTTGATAGGATTTCGAGATTGTAGAGAATTTTGATTAGACTACTATCATCGAAATTAAAAACATGTTCGATCGCTTGTTTCGGATTAATTTGTTGGTTATTCACATTTTCATTCGATTGTCGACGTTCGTTAATGCACGCATTGGCGGCGCGAGTTGAAATTAGATCAAGTAAATCAACAATACGGATGTCCGATAGCATTAAACGAAGAAGATTTCGTATACGATTGTGAATATTCTTTTTATTCAAATAAGACAGTTTGTAGAGAATGTCATAGACTTTCAGATTCTCGCTAATCATATTTGAAGGCGTTAAGTGGTCACTATCAAGATTCTGTGCTGCATGCGTCAAGTAGAGACGAACTGGTTCGGAATTATTTACTTTGATGAGTTGATTTGATGAACTGCCGAGAAATTTGATGTATACTGTTGTACCCGGTGAGATGTGAACTTGATATAGATATTTATTATTCAGCCAGGAGCCAAGAACGGTGTTATTTGTTGACGAAGATGTCGTCGATGATGGTGAAGTTGACGAAGAACTCGATGGTAATGCAATGGCATTATTTATCGAACTTAAATGATCGTATGTTGATGGTAATGGTCGAGTATTTTGTATGGAGATATGAATATCACTTGCAGAAACTTTATAATGGGTAGAAAGACGACTACGTAACATTTCTAATGTATCGTTTGAATGAACAACTGCAATGTCATACGGACAATTGTTTTTTCCCAATTCGCCGAGAACAATTTTGATTTGATATTCTAAACCGTGAAATGATGCTATGTGTGCAGTCGGAGAACGTTCACGTTCAACAGCATGAATGTATTCCTCTGTGATCATAAGCAATCGTTCGATTTTTTGCAACCAGAGATTATGATCGATTTTCACATTGGATTCAGTTTGAGGATTGCTTGGATGATCTATGACAACAAGCTGTTCACCGTAAGTTCGTAACGATTTGTAATATTCTTCGAGTTTTGGCGTTAAACAATCGGACGGTGGGACAGCGGAACGAAGCAGCGAGCTTAAACGAGTATAAACTTCTTTTAAGAAACATTCATGTAGTGATTGAGCAGCCGGACGACGTGTGCGATTCGGTTGTTTCGAATAATATAAATCCAGAAGAAAGCGTGTTGCTTCATTAGCAAGATTATCATCCCCAACGCATAAAATAATATTCCACAATTCATCGACGCATTTATACTCAAGAATTTCATTGTCGGAAGACGTTGAAGTACTCGAACTGTAATTATAATTTCTCGATTGACTCCATCGTTCCAAATTGCATCGTTCGAAATATAATTTAAAGCAGGCGTAACCTTTTTGCGTCAGATGGATTGGATCGAGTTTCGACACACGTTTTTCAAATAATGCTAATTGAGAATCACGATTGAGATCTTCGGAACAGGTTATAAACCAATTTAAACCAAGCTCATGATCAAACGAACTAACATGCTCATTGCTGATCAACGTATCCCAGAGTTCCTCACTGCGTTTTAGTATTAAATAAAGATTGCCTTTTTTCAATAAAAATGATAGCAAATCTAAGTGAGTTTTAATCGATTCTTCATGTGTAAAACGACCATCAACTAACGTATCAATCGTAACATTTCCATGCGTTTTATTCCAAACATCTAATTGACATGTTGATAAGCTTTGAATTAATGCTGAGATTAAATCATGTTTATTAACTAATAGCGAAATCAGATCTTGTTCCGAACGTTTGAAGGTATTTGTTGAATCATGACGTAGTAATTCGTAGAGATGTTTGATAGCCGGTACGAGCCAACCTTGCTTACGTTGAAGATCGGTCATACATTTCAGACAGTAGTCACGTTTCAATGCATCGTAAGGTGATCGACCTTCGCTAAATACTCGTAAATGACAATGAAGGAGATGTTCCAGCATGGATCGACTAAGACGATCTTCATGTGCCATATCCCAAAGGACTTCTAGAACACGAGCAGCGGAATCTTTTTGACATTCACGACCAATAGAACCAAGTAAGTCGATAAGTTTTTCTTGAATAAGAATCGTTTCCGTTTTCCACGACTAAAATCAAACCAATCGCACATAAAAGACAACAAATTCTTTCTTCGAATTACGTTATAGATAAGATCAATCAGATGATTGAGCTGTTCAAGATTGAATTTTGCTGCAGCAGAAGCGATCAATGTAAACAGATGATCTACTGCTACTAACGAACGACCATGCTTAAATAAAACTATGCTTTAGAAATGTCGAAATGCAATTCCTTGTCATACTTGCATTTGCCATATAGTTTCAATATCTTCCTTCAAAATTCTTGGTGCAATAAAATCCATTAGAGTTCGTACTTTTTCCACATATTGATTTTGATCAATGTTTCCTTAAGAAAACTATCAACTAATCTCACCTTAATCACATTTGGTGTTTACCTTCTAATGCTTTGGAAAGTATTGAGTATTCTATGATCCATTCGCTAACAGTATCTCGTGAGATTGATGCTTTTGATATACTTTGAATGTTTGATGTGCAGCACTCGATAATTTTAGCCAACTAAAGTCGAATGAGAGATATTTGTATTTTCTGTTAGAAGATTTTCACGTACTTCTTTTAATGAATTCATTTTCGCGTTGAAATTTGATAATGCCACCATTTTTAGTAGTAATTTCAGGTGTAATTCCTCGACTTGTCCAAGACGACTACTCCAGACGACAGAACAGATTTTTCTTAAAGTTGAAAGTAACTCAAACGTCGAATTGGTTGACTAAAATCATCCAAACACATGTCAAAACGAAACGACTTCGCTCTTTCATTTACTTTCGCTTTGAAATCTTCATCTTTCAAGTTCTTCACATAATCTAATGCTTGTTCAACATGATCACTAAATAATTGTCGATATTTATCCACAACTATATAATCCATGCAGTTAACAAAAGGTGAAAGTAAAGCGTTGTACTCCTAGAAACAAAACGCTCTTTAGAATTTTATCGAGAACAAGTCACATTGTCTTTTACTAATGCAGTCAACGGTTGATCAGCTTTGAATTGTTTTTTCAAATTTTGTATTCCGTCTTTTGAGACGAAACGATTTATTATTTGACATAGCCAACCATAAGGTTCATTTCGATTATAAACGGAAAAGGTCGATGATGGCGGTGAACTGGCCAAGAGACGTTCACTTGGCTGTTTATCATATAATAAACGATCGTAAGGTTTACTCTTGTGTTTTCGTTGAAAAACAGAATCATGATCGAAAAGTATAGCTAAAGTTTCAAGTAATTGAACAGGGACGGGAGTGTAGGAGAGACGAGCAGCGATTAAATCAACTAATAGTTCCACCATATCGAAAACACCTAATTGAACTTCAACACCCCAGTTATTCACATGATGTGAACATTGTAACTGAAAAAGAGACATTTTTCTCATTTAAATAGAACTATCAATATGAAATTACCTTGCGAAAAGCATCTGGAATAAGAATCTCCATGAATTTCTTGCAATGTTCGTCTTGATCCGCTGTGCCTAAGACAAAAACGATTAAAGAAGAGGTTTGTTGTAATGAGAATTCTCACCAGCCAGAGCGAGTTTAGTGGCGGATAATAAACAGCGACCAAGAACTTCATCACCTAAAAATTAAAAGAACGAAATTTATCTTTGAAAATGTGTCGAATTTATTGGAGTTACGTTTATAAGGAATTGACCAATTATCTCCGTAAACTTTGGTTTCCAAATCAAGAAAAGCATTCGTAGTGAATGAATTTGGATTCGTCATTGATAAATCATCTGACGAGATACTTGAATTATTATTAGATGAAACCTTAAAATACAATACATGAACATCAAAGTAACATTTCTTCATTGATGTTCGTACCATATGTTGTTGTTGCTGTTGTTGTTGATCAACTTGTTCTTTTGTAAGTGGACCGATGAATGCGGGAATCGACGGCGGAGGTGGTGATTCATTGGGAATAATCACATCGTCATTTGTATAGGTTGGGTTAGTGAGGTAAGTGATAGCTTCACTGATATCATTATTCGCTTTCGTTAGTGCCGAACGATTTAGTTCCCGATTGGTAAAACCCATCGCAATTAATGATTCCATATTTTCTTCCATGTTTAATAGCTCACTAGATGTCGACGAGGAAACAATCGAGCATGAAATGTTATCAAGAGATGATGAGGATGCTGTTGATGAATTGCTTAAATAAGACTGATTGTTCGTAAATGAAACATTGAAGAAGAGAAACTGTTTACCTTGCAACACAATTTTTAGTTTCTTTTTGTGTACAACTACGTTTCGACGAATTATTATTAACAGGTTCGGTTAAAGAAGAATTTGCCGTGTGAGCATTGCGTTTCATCACGGCAGTGAGTTAACAATGGATGAGTCATACGTAGAAAATCCATCTAGAACATATGAGAATGTTTCGTGCGTAATGAAAGGATACTTCAAATGGGATTATTTACCAAAAAACAAATAACGTCCGCATCATCCAACAGTCGATATACATAAATATGCACGTGACACTAGCAAAGAAGACACTTGTTTATCGTTCGTTCTGTGTTCTTTTTTTCCTCTTGCAAATTTTCGTAATGAAACAGGTCTGAAGTTGAATAGAGGGATCACGAAGAATCACTTCAAGCAAATAAGTAGATCTAAACCAAGAATATATATCTTAAAGAATAGTTTTATAATCATTAATGCATTTTATATCAAATATGTTGATATATTCCAATTGCATAGCACACGAACCAATCAAATGTAATTCTCGTGAATCAATCGAAATAAACTATGGAATGGATCTTAGTAATTTCCTATTGGTCATGTCCCCACGAGATTGTTGATTTAAAGCCTAGATCGATTTGTTTAAGAAGTCCACAAAATGCACGTCCTTATGTATATATTTTACATATCCTCTCTGCGGTTGACACACAAGAGGATGGTAAAGCTGTTTTATTTCTCTTTCGGTTTTTTTTACTTCTTCTTCATACATTCGAAACCTTTCGGCGACATTAAAAAAAAGTGAAGACAAAGACCTCATAATACACTTCTTTGAATGATAATCATGTTGAAAAGAAAAGGAGAAAATATGAAAGTTAATTTTTTAACGATTGTTACTGCTGTTGCTTTTTCACTCCATAGAAGAGATCGATCTTGTCTGGAAATATTGGATATATGTCTTTCCTTTCTTGTAGGTATGTCGAGTGTGTAATTCGATAGTTTATTGTCTGCATACGATATACACGCACAAACTTATGCAATTCTACTAGTCGAAACGCTGATAGTTGCCTATGAATTTGTATGTATATGTGCTCGTCGATCAAAGTTAGTGACATGCAACTAATCAAATTGGATGCATCTTGTTCTCTTTTTTCCCTCTCGTCAACTATCATTATCAGTATGTCATTAACTTGCGTCCGCTCATTTCAAGTTTTCTTTTTTTTTCGCATTCTCCCATTCAAACGACTTGTTTGTAAGTGACCACTTGAATTAGTTAGAGCTCGCAGTCGACAGTTGAAGGACTCTTTCTCTTTTTATGGCATCTTCTTCAGTGAACATATCTCCGGTCGGTATCGAAGCGATTAAATGATGGACAAGGGAGTAGAATTCAATTTCGATGCCATGGAAATCGCCTGAAACTTTGTATAAATAAAGGCGAGATATCCTCTTGAATTGAATCAGTATCTCTTGAAAGAAAGGTCATACTTGAGTGTTTCATTCTATGCGTATAATAGCGTCAAAGTCAAATTTAACATTGACTCGTTAAGTTAGCTGAGAATTTATTAGCTTCATCAATTTACATTCTTATATTTTTCTTTTTACTCAGCAGTAGAATTCTGTTCAGCATCGTCTTCTTATTATTATTCTTTTATTAGACGTGCTTTGACCGTTCGGCATTAGCATCGGTGAGTTGACTTGTTTCATTATCCAGATTCATCTATCAACACTATGTGTACGATTTTTTCATCTTGTTCTTTTGTTTCTTAAGCCTTATTTCTCCTTGTGCGTGTGTGTTTCGATGCATTGAGGAATGGAAGCAAACGCACATACATGCAGAGACAATATAAAAAAAAACCGAGACATAGAATAAAGAACGTCATTCATTCATTCATTTATTCATTCATTCATTCATTGCTTGTTCTCTTCTCTCTTTCTCGCGTAAGAATGATGATGGTCATCTTTTTTTGCTAGTAGAAAAAGGAAAAATCGAAGAGAAAAGAAGCGTTCATGGCATCTGCATTTTATGCCAGTATATATGCACGCTCGTTTGCATTCTACAATAGTCTTTTCGAGAAAAGAAAGGAAGAAAAGTAGTCGTATCATAACACGAAGAAAATACAATGCGATTATCTTAGCGTGCATAGACAAATTGTAAAGAGATATTCTCAAATCACCATCTGTATTGTATTTATACATTCTTTCGTCGTCGCTTCTGTTTATACGATAAGTGCGAGAAAAGAAAAAATTTTCAACAGATAAATTACTATCTTAATGTGCTTATGGTAAATATGCCTCGTCCGACATTTATAGGTATAGGCGAATAAGTGATTTTTTTCTTGCGTGAAAAGACTTAGACTTCTATTTTCCGTCTCTTGAGAATATAATCATCTAATAATATTTGCTATCGACTATCTCATTCATGGGTGCTTCTATCATTTTTTGGCAGCTTTTCACATACGCATACATGCACATAATCGTGTTATCGTATCACTCATCATTCTTGCAAATTCTTACTCTGTCTGTCTCTCTCTCTGTCTCCCTTCGTCGACTTCTCTTTGTCTGTTTGCAGCTTGATCATATACATGTCATTGACACTCACTATTGTGCAATCTAAACGGTCAACGGTTCTCGCCCATCGTCCTCATCCTGTTTCTTCTACTATTCCTGCAAACAACTCTTTCTCTATTTCTACACATATATATACAGAACTAGCCCAAACGAACAGTAAAATATATACTATCGAGTATGTATGAAAATGACGAGCGCACGCGCGCGATTCGTAATCGACGGCACCAATTACTAATAGTTGAACGCGAGCGAGCCGTTAAGTGTCGTATGCAACCTAACGGGTCTTTTCTTTCTTTTTCCTTTTGCATATATGATCAAGATACAAACCAATAAGAGCGATGATCACAGACCACATAAAATAACGATTTCATTCTTTTTCTTCTCTTCTTTTATTCTCTGATTCCAAGGTTGATACTCGACGATTTACTTTGGATAATTAGTTTCATTTCATCTTTTCTCCTTTTACTCCTTCTAATAATAGAACATTATTACCTATTACTACCTGTTTCGGTATTTCGAGGTCGATGAGAATAACAGAACATCTCGTTTTTCTCGTCTTTCTCTCTCTCTCTATTTTACTATCTCTCCCATAATCAATCTTTTCTATGAAAAACACACTCTTTAACTATCGATTCTATCCATTTTCTGAGCAAATACACATCCATCATCTCTATTTACATTTCCGTTCGAGGCATCAAATTGAATTCTCCTTTCTTGTAGATGAACTATGTATAATGATCTGATGTCAGTGAATATTTTGACTTTCCTTGTCGTTTTATCCCTATCGACGATAAACTTCAGCGTTGGTCAACAGACGACGACTATCTATGTCAAGCGTGGTGGACGAGCTGAATTATGTGACAATCGTACAACATCCATTTACGCTTATGAATATCGCAGTTTGGATGGGAAGAAAAACTCAATTCTCGAACCTCCCAAACATCAACGCTATTCCAATCCATATGGTACAAGTGTTTTACGCATCGACGATGTTGTTGACAGTGATAGTGGACTATATAAATGTCCACAAGATGATACTGAATGGCAAAAGCTTCAAATATATGGTAAGATAAACTACATTAATACGAGAAAAAAACGATATCTTCTTATCAATGATGTAATTTCATTGTCCTTTCATTTATACTTGAAAATATCTTGATTTGACATATAAGTTGCATCATACATCGATAGCATATCATCGATTGTAATTCTTTTTTTTTAATTTTGTTTCCCATTCAAGAAAAATATCTTATTATACACCCAATTTGTTCTCAATCGAGCAAATTCTGGTATCTGATAGTCAGTTCATTGAAGATAAGCAATCAGATTGATTTGTTAGTGAACATAAAACATGTCAATTAATCAGATTCAAATACGTTTCGAGTGGTGGAAAATACTTAAGTCATTTCCCTTTGATCTACTCTTAGTGCCCGTCCAACATGTTCATTTAACAAATTTACATACATCATCGCGCATATACAACAACGATTTTTGCGGAGTCGACAATACGAATTGTTTAATGATGATCGAAGGTGAACCGTTAGACATCGTCTGTGCGGCGGATGGTTCTCCACGTCCGGCACTGTCGATTACACTGAATAAAAACGGTACAACACCAACAATCATGGCTTTAGCAAGCAATACGCCAACGCCGACTATGATCAACGATCAATTCAAACCGACTGTTTATGAAGCTCATCGAATTATTGGCTTGACATCAGCGGACAATGGCAGAAATGTCACTTGCCATGTTGATATGAAACAAATGGATCCTAATCTTATCCTCTCCTCAACTAAACAGCTCTATATTGAATGTATGTAATTTTAATGAGAAATCTCTTATGATTTATTCATAATCTTCTCTCATTAACAATGACTATTTGCACTTCTGTTTGTTTTTTCTTCAGTTCGACCAGTCGTCGTTGAAAAATTCAAGAAAATTTATTGCGGCATCAATCAAACGCGTACGATCAATTGTACTGTTTTACGAGCTAATCCATCTTATATACGTTATTCAATCAATGGCTTATCACCATCAGTCGTGCGCCGCACATATGGTGATCAAAATGATTTATTTTATACATTTGATATAACGCCAACTTCAATCGAGCATTTTCACTCATTCAATGTAACTGCGAATAATAGTATTGGCTTCGATACATGCACTTACGAACTTATTCATGGAGGTAAATATGAACAAAGAAGGAAAGAAAGAGAGAGAGAGAGTCAATCTGTTTATCAGTGAGAGAAGAGGAATACTAATTGAGTTCGTAAAGGTTGATTTCGTAATCTGTAATCAATACATGTTCAGAAGGCAAGAAGACAAAGAAGAATTGCTCATTTCGAATTTGTTCACTCTCCGATGCCATTTTCGATTCTCTATTTGAATATAAATGGTTAGCAAATATTGATTTTCAATGATCTTCCTGACTAACTCAACAGGAATACTTGACATTGATCATACATTTCGTACAAAAATATATGCAAATTTGTGCACATTTTAAGTGCGAAGATGTTTTGAAGGCGTCTACCTATATAAGCAACGCGCAAAATGTCATTGAAAAATATCAATTATTCTTTTCTTTCCTTTTGACTAAATTTACAGACATTATTGTTCGATGTCATCGAAGATTAATGACGAGGAAAACCGGAAAACATGTTTGTTGAATATGCCGAGTAAATCACTACTCGAAGCTATTGAAAAATCTCTTCTTAACCGTGTAATTTATACGAAGGTTTTCATGTTTATCAAAATAAAAGTCCTAGTCGTCCTTCGATCAACAAACTAGCTTTACCTATTATTAGAACATTCGCTAGTCATTAGTTATGCTGTCAACGAGTCATTATCATTACTAAAAACATCAATAATCGATAAATGTATAAGAAGAAAACGATCCTGATGAACATCTTTTGTTTTCTTTTCTAGGCATACCCGATGCAATTACAAATTGTTCGATTGACACGTCATCGAACGTAACGATAACGATTAATTGTGTGAAGAGTTACGCTCAAGGTGATAACGATGGTTATGCTTGTACATTGTTCAAATATAATGATAAGTCGAGTCATAAGATGTTCGAAGAAATCGCTCGAACGAAATCGTGCATATTTGCATTGGAGAATTTTCACGAGCCTGTGGAATTTCGAGTAGCAGCATTTAATCGTTATGGATCATTACCGGTTAATACACATGGATATGTTATCCGATTGAATCAACCGACAAGTAAATTGAAATCGAATATCGAATAGAAAAATTTGAAAGTTTTCTTCTAGTAATCAAAGAAACGCCATTCTTTAGTCGAAGATATGTGGTGATTATGTGCAGCATATTCGGTGCAGTGCTTTTATTATTCTTCCTCTGTTGTCTTTGCGGCACATGTGGTCATAGTCGATCAAAATTCTCAAGTAAAAATGACATGTATCAAAAGCAAAGTAAGTGATCATCGAAGATTTAATTGAGAAAGATATTTCCATAGAAGATTAGCATTGATGAGAATGAACTCATACGTGTATTCTTATAGAATATTCAGATTCGCCGGTCGAGAGTGAAACATTAAGGCAAACGACTGGTAAGATATCATGTAGTATAAAAACAGTAGCTGATACCCCTGTGACCATATTAATTAACACATTACAATAGCTTTCCGGATGATAAATGTAGAGCAAAGATCTAATTTGACTTGTTTTTCTTTCCTTTAGACGATACTCTCATTCATCTCGTATCAAATGGAAACGAAAAACGTTCTCAACAGGTTAGTTACATCCGAGTTAGTTCAATAGAAGAACATATGCCTAAATTCTAGAATGGAACTGTTTATGATGTTCCATCACATCTTAGTAATGGTAAATATTCACATCCGATATCGTCGACGCCGTCGTCGTCTGCTTATCACCAACAAAAACATCAAGAAGCCGGTAATATCAATTATATCGACCGAGATTCGGTTACCAGTAGCCTAAATTCGATTCCAACGCGAACACGTACCGTGAATAATAAATTCTATGGAAATCCAATCATTGACTATCCTTATGGAGCGTTGTCACCAACAACGATGGTTGTACCAACCGCAAAACGAAACCCTGAACATGATGACGATGTCGATGGCGGCGGTGGAGGAGATGAGTCACCTGTTTATTCAACTACCACCGATATCATGTCTGAAAGTGGCTCCTTTCTTGTCCCATCATCATCTAAACGCAATGGGCCACCACCACCTAAACCACGCTATTCAACATTGTCTTCTCTTCGTTCACCTATTGAAAATCTTGATAAAACCCCCTTACCACTACCAAAACCACGTTCACGATCAAATTCTCGCACACGTTTAAATAACCCGTCAGCTGATAATTCCTCCTGGTTATACGATGAGCGTCCCGTCTCGTCGTCTGATTCCGGTATAGGTCAAGCCGATGTTGTTTTCCTACCAAATGGTGAAACGATACGTACCGGTCTTGTCAGATCAAGACAAGATGCCGTACAAAAACTTTATACTACACCGTCAAATGTCCAACAACAAGAAAGATACCAAACAATAACATCACCGATTGTTCGCGGAACTGAATGTTAGAACTGTTTCATCTTCTAGTATTTCGTTGTGTATATATATATACAGAGTTTGTTTGTTTATTCGTTGGCCTTTCTTCATACAAATCTCTTTATATGTATTTGTTTATCGGTATTCTAATGTCACAACTGAAGACAGTATTTTATGAGAAAGTGAGATAGAACAAGGAAAGAAAACAAGTTTAGACACAAAAAAAAACAAAGATGATAAACTTGTGATTTTTTTGCATTCGTTTGTTATCATATACAGTTTATTGTCTTTTTTAATACATGCGTATCAGTGCAAGTGCGTGTGTGAGCGTGAGATTTTCATTTGTTTGTTTTCTATTTCCTATTGTTGATTTAGTTTTTGTTGATTCTCATGATATGATGATCTCTCCAGATTCCTCTTCTTTTTTCTTTCTTTTTTTTCTCTTTGTACTTGTATAAAAAAACGCAGAAGATAAAAACTCAACAATTTAATGAAATAACTGAATGCTGCAGAGATGAACAAATGGATGGTGAACAGACTTCTGCGATAGGAAGCAGACGATCGAAATGTTTTTCAACATGAAAGATGTCGTTGATAATCGTTACCACTGAATTTATTTGAGTGTCGAATTACAGATCATCGTAGTGTTTTTCCTATGATCCTACTGTACAAGTATCCGAAATATATCTTTCAAATGTCAAGTTTCAATCATTTGAAGCAATTGAAGATTTTTTATTCATTGAATTGCGAATGACAGAATGGCGAATGTCAGCCAATAGGAAAACGTCCACGCATACATGCATTCTTTCATTGTACCTTTAACAGTAGTATAGTCTTGCTTAACTTGCTTACAGTATGACGTGCACTGGTGTTTGCTGTCAATTGCAATTTTGCTAGAACTCCACTTCGAATATTCTGCTTGTTCTAGAAATTTTAGAGAAAAATCATGCTTGCGGGTCCTTCTCCATCGTTCAATGCCGGTCCACCAACGCAGCCGATGCAACAACAAACACATCCACCATCTCAGATGTATCCGAATCAGTTTCAACAACCTACTCTGCCACCTAACTTTCAAGGAAACCAACATCAACCGCCTGCTCTACCACCTAATTTTCAAGGAAATCAACAGGCACCACCTGTTGGACCGCCAACATATCCTAATATGCAGCAACAACAATACCAACAACAGCCAACACTACCGCCACCATCGGCAGTAGGAAACCAACCACAGTTTCCACCACAGTCTCATTATCCTCCTGATAATCAACAGTTACCACCAACACACTTTCCATCACAACCCCCTGCGCCAGGAAATCAACCACAATATCCACCTCAACCGCCAATGATGTCTAATGGAATAAGTATGTATTTTGCACGAAATTGTCTGTTTCAAAGCAAGACCTAATCATCACGCTCTTATTTAGATCAACATTCCATGCCACAGACTTATCCTAATCAAGGACCACCCTTACCACCACCGTCATCAGTAGCAGCAACATCTAATTCACTCAGACCGGCACCTATTACGCCGAATCAATTCGGCCCACCACCAACAATGGGTGTACCCCAATTTCCTTCTCAGCCTTCGTTTCCTAATCAACCACCTTCAAATTTGGCCGGTATGCCCCAATATCCTGGCACTCAACCTCCTTTCAGTGGTCCACCACCCACTTTTCCATCGGCTAACCAACCACCACCACCAACAGGTTATCCTCAGCAACAACTACCGCCTCAATACGGTAGCCAATCACATCTGTCTGGTCCATCAACAATACCTGGTAGTCAATTGAATGGACCAGGAACATATCCTGGTCAAATGCCTCCTGCTGCACCTATACAACAACAACAACCGTACCAACCACAACGTATTGATCCCGATATGGTACCGAATGTCGTACGTATCGAAAATCGTGTCCACGATGAAAATATCATGATCTGTTTAGGTTCAAGTTTTAGAACAAAGTCAAGAGAAAATTCAACAACCGTTCATTACTAACGCTCCAGGTTTATTACCACCATTGGTAGCAACAGATTTTGTTTGTCAAGATCAAGGTAGCTGCAATCCACGTTTTATTCGTTCAACAACATACACTATACCAAATGCTCACGATATGATTAAACAATCCCATATACCTATTGCTCTTGCCATTAGTCCGTTAGCAACTTTAAGACCAGATGAAGTAGTTTGAATTTTGATATCGTATTTGAAAGATAACAAAGATTTTCTTCTAGCTTGGACCACCAGTAACTAATTTTGGTGAAATAGGTCCTGTACGATGTCATCGTTGTAAAGCATATATGTGTTCATTCATGCAATTTATCGATGGCGGAAAACGATTTCTCTGTTGTTTTTGCGAAGCAGCAACAGATGGTTAGTTTTCGAATGAAAGCTCGTCATCCTATTCAAACAATCGTTCGATCTCTCTTTTTAGTACCAACTGAATATTTTAATCATCTTGATCATAGTGGACGTCGTATGGATTGGTATCAACGACCAGAATTATGCCTTGGTACCTATGAAATCGTCGCAACAAAGCAGTATTGTAAAGTATGTTGTTCATTTCTATAAGATTTTCGCTGTAGATACAGTAAAAATAACCTGGTATGTTCCTAGGATGAGAAATGGCCTGAACCACCAGCATTTATATTCATGATTGATGTATCTTACAACAGTGTTCGTAGTGGTCTTGTGGAATATATTTGCCATATACTAAAAACAGACCTCCTTGAGTATTTACCAAAGTTTGTTGATGAATTCTGCGCGACTGGGATATCATTTCTAATCTTCGATATTTTTCGTAGAGATCAAGGTGCTGAAACATCTAATGTTCGTGTTGGTTTTGCTACATTCGATAAACAAATTCATTTTTACAATATTAAAGTAAGTCTTTCACTAATGTCTTCAATACAACGACAAACATACGAATTGCTTATTGATGATTATCTTTCTTCTAGGGGGCAAGTAGATTCTAAGTTTTGTCTTTGTTGTGTGTTGTTTACTAACATTGCCTTATGCCTTTCTAATCTATTTCACTGTCTTCTAACCTTTGCATGACGCATGTGTTAAATCGTTGAGGTTATGAATATCTTAATTTTCGTGTTTTATTAGAATACACTTGGTCAACCACAAATGATGATCGTCTCAGATCTCGAAGATATCTTCGTGCCATTACTCGATGGTTTTCTATGTTTACCACAAGATTCACGAGGAGTGATCAATAGGTAAGAAAAGAAAATGTAGGAAAAATCGTTCATTTATGCCGATTGTAGTCTGCTCGAACAAATTCCACAAACATTTGCCAATACACAAGAAACAGAAACAATTCTTGCACCTGTTATACAAGCTGGTATTCAAGCTTTGAAGGTAAATGATGCCGTTTGCCTTAAAATGTAATGTTCTTACAAACAATTGTGTTTCAGGGAGCAAATTGTACGGGTAAAATATATGTTTTTTCGACAACATTACCAATTGCGGTTGCACCTGGAAAATTGTCGAATCGAGATGATAAAAAACTTCTTGGAACTGACAAAGAAAAAGTATGGAAATGAATTCGATGGTTTAAAAAGATGTTTTTACTCAAATGTGTAGACATTACTTGCACCGATAAATAATGTTTATACTAAACTTGGCGAAGAATGTGCACAGAATGGTTGTGCAGTAGATTTATTTGTTTTTCCGAATAATTACCTTGATTTGGCAACAATCGGTGAAGTTTGTCGTGTATCAGGTGGACAGATTTACAAATTTAATTACTTTTCTGTAAGTTTATCAATGAAATTCAACTCTTGTAGAGATGAGTATGGATTTGATTTAGATTGAAAATGATGGTGAACGATTACATGATGAACTTAAACGTAATTTTCAACGAACAACTGTTTTCGATGCGTTAATGCGTGTGCGAACAAGCGCAGGTATGCTTTCAAATGTTTCTCTTCTTTTCCGAGAGACTTAAAATGTTGTGTATGATCTAGGAATTCGACCAATTGATTTTCTCGGTAATTTCTACATGACCAATGCAACAGAGATGATTTTTGGCACAATGGATTCGGATAAATCAGTTTCAGTAGAATTGAAACATGATGATAAACTTCCAGTTGAAAGCAACACTTATATTCAAGTATATTCCCTTCAATTTAACTTCCGATCTTCTCACTAGTATTCTATAGGCTGCTCTACTCTATACCAGTATATCCGGACAACGTCGTTTACGTATTTTAACATTAGCATTAACAGTTACATCGGCATACACATCACTTTATCCAGCTTGTGATCTTGACACAATTATGAACTATATAACGAAAGTTGGTAAGTAGAAAGAAAACGACGTGTTTACCAGACAATGCGTTTGATTTTGTCTCTAGCTATACGTTCAGTGACAATGTCTACTCCTAAGAGTATTCGTGATAACATCATTACACAAGCTGCTAATATGTTAGCATGTTACCGAAAGAATTGTGCACAAGCGACAACCGCTGGACAGTTAATTTTGCCAGAAACATTGAAATTATTACCAGTTTATGTCACTGCATTGATCAAATGCGATGCACTAACTGGAAGTACGTATTTGACGTCCACTACCTCTAGATAAACAACTAAATTTTGTCCGAATTGCTTAGCTCAAACAGTAACAACTGATGATCGAAGCTTATTAATGCAACGCATCATGTCAATGGATATCAAAGGAACATTTGCTTATCTTTATCCAAGAATATACGCCTTGGTTAGTATAATTTTGTAGAAAGATATACATATGAATGACTCGCTGTGTTTAGCATGACTTGGACGAAAATAATCTTCCACCACCAATGATTCGATGTTTATACGAACGTTTGTCCGAATCCGGAGCCTACGTTATCGGTAAGACTAACAAAAATATCACCAGTTTGGATATGACTTCTCCTATTTAATAGAAAATGGTCTAGTTATGTATATCTGGCTCGGCAGTCAAGTCAATCCAACTTTTGTGCAATCAGTATTCGGTGTTCAGACAGGTCACATTCAACCAGAAAAAGTAAATTTTGTCAAAACAAATCTAATCTATTCATTCGAATCTTTTACCTCTTAGTGCCGTATTGTCGATCTTGACAATCCAATATCTCGAAATGTTCGAACATTGTTGAATATGATTCGTAATGAACGAAATGCCCACATGAAAGTAAGTGATTATTTCACTATTGCATTTGCTAATGTCCTTGTTTGTTTAGTTATTTGTTATTCAACAACGTGACTCAATTGAACCGTTCTTTAAGAATTATCTTGTTGAAGACAAAGGTTTTACAGGTGGTGCGTCATATGTTGATTTTCTTTACCATTTACATCGTGAAATTCGAAATATTCTTCAATAAAAAAACAAGCAAACCGTTAATATGTCTGTGTGTGATTTGTTTCATTATTTATTTTTATCATTTCTATTGTGCGAGTAGTCAAAGAAAGTGTTTCATCTCTGGCAGAATAGCGAGTGTTTTTTCTTCTTCTTATTCTCATTGTTATTTTCTTTTCTTTTCTTTTCACTTAGCTCGTTTAACTAAAACCATATTTATTTCTCTCAATAAAAAAAAACGGATGATGTTTGGTTTTTCTTTTCGTGTGTGTGTCTATGCATGTGTAGATTCTGCTTTTAGATCATGCCACGTGGACAAAATGCAGCACCGACTGTGGACCAAATTAGCAAGGATCGAATTACCCTAGTAAGTGGATCGATTCTTGCCTTGATTTATTCGGAAATTCTTGTTTAGCTCTCGGAACAATATTGGGCTTCGTATGCTTTGCAACGACGTGCATATGATCGATTAGTCGTCGATGAAATCTACATCAAAGAATTGTTAGGCACAAAGTAAGAGAGAAATGAGAAAGTATTTCGATAGATGTGCTTGTTGTAGTTTTAATCTTCGTCGAACTATACTGTTGGAATTCAGTCAATATTTGGAAAATTTCCTTTGGCCTAATCTTAATCCAGATCAAGTACATATGACTTTCGATTGATTGAATATATCGAAATTCGGGCATTTAGTGTTCGCCGTATCATGTCATGTCGGTATGTGTGATGGTGAATGAAAAATTTCGAGAACGTGTACAACCATGGGATGTAGGTATCGAAAGGTAACTTTACTGAGTACAAGCGTGGATTTGTTTAGGCAATTGTTGCGAATCCGGACAATTTCGGTCGATTTTTATCGCGTGTAATGCGTTTGTTGTTGGAAAGTGATGATCTGTCAATCAAAGAACAAACAATTTTGATTATTTTCCTCGATCATTGCTTCAATAGTCTAGTAAGTCAGACGAACTGTTTGACTCGCATATCTATTTCGTACGATCGCTTCAGGAATTGGATGTGATCCGATCTCAAATTCAAAAGATTGTCGGATTGACTATCTGGAGTAATCTATCGACTGTAAGTACCAATCTCCATTTGATGAACTTGTATAACAATAGATGTTTTAGGAACGACGGGAATATGAATTTGATAAAACACCGAAATTCCGTAAACTTTGGAAACTGATTTGTAAAAAAGACGAAAAATTAGAAAATGAAGAACTCCAGACTACTCTATTCGAACGAACATTTCTTCGAAAACTAGCCGACAAGTTCCTTCACCTGATCGAAAATATTCAACCTGCAAATGACAACGGACATTATCCAATCGAAACAGTCATTTACACTGAACGCTTTATCGAACTATTCATTGATATCATTTGCCAATTACCAACTCGGCGATTCTTTAATGTTGTTCTCGATGATATGAGCTTTATTGTTCGATGTTTTCTTTCTGCTTATACGAAATCCTATGCGAATACTAACGAAAACATGGAAACGGATAGTATTCGACCCATGCCGACGAAAAAAATTGTAACAGAAAACGGCGAAGAAGAACAACCGACGACGAAAACGGTGAATCTCTTCCATAAAATGTTGTCTAATTTCGAATTCTATTCGAATTTCGAAATCAATGACACAACGGGTGAAACGTTAACGCAAAGTGAATTAATGGAAAAGCATTATGAGAAACTCTTGCAATTACAAAAGGCAATATTTAAACATTTTCGAGAGGAAATGTCGACATTTGCTTTGCAAAACATTCGGTCAATCGACAAACGCGAAGTGTTAACTGAAGAATTCGAAAAGTTAACCGACGAACAATTGAAATCGATTGGAGCATCATTACAACCACCTGTACTTATCGACGATCGACAGCGATTGTTGCAAGTCTTGATTTTAGAGCATGAAAGAGTTCAAAGTCATTTAGAAGTAAATAGCACTTTTGTTTTGAAGATTTCATCATCATTTTATGTCACTTTAGCTTATTAATACATTGCCATTGTATCCAACTGAAGAAACAATCTGGGATGAAGATATTGTTCCAACAGAATTCTACAACGGGGAATCATGTTTAGCTCTGCCGAAATTGAATCTACAATTTCTAACTTTACATGATTATTTATTGCGAAACTTTCATCTCTTTCGTTTGGAATCAACTTACGAAATTCGACAAGATATCGAAGATTCCGTTAGTCGAATGAAACCATGGCAAAACGATGCAACCATTACCAGCGATAAACCTGATCAATCGCAACAGCAATGTCTCTTCGGTGGCTGGTCACGCATGGCTCAACCAATCACAAATTTTACTATAGTCGAAGTCGGTAAAGCTAATATTGGTGAATCTCATCCTAGTCGAGTTCGAGCCGATGTGACACTCGTACTGAGCACACGAAACGATATTAAACGTGAATGGGAAAAATTACGAAAGCATGATATTTGCTTTCTAATTACGTGCAAACCGTTGACGAAAGCCGGAACGGCATACGATTATCGACAATCGTTCATCCCTCAAGTTGGCCTGACGTACGTTCGTGGTTGTGAAATCGAAGGAATGCTAAATGCAGAAGGACGACTTATTGAAGAAGGTAGGCCGCGAAATGAGAAAAAGACTGTTTTTTTAATTTCGATGTTCAGGTGTTGATGAAAAACCAACAATGACTGGCGATACGCGTACATGGCGTGTTTGGCTTGATCCAAATCAATATCAAACGGATATTCAGGCTACGTTGAATGGCTCCGAAGATGTTTATGAAACATTCAATGTCTTCATGCGACGAAAACCAAAAGAAAACAATTTCAAAGCTGTTCTCGAAACCATCCGAGATCTAATGAATACCAATGCTGTTGTACCTGACTGGTTACAAGATTTAATCTTAGGCTATGGCGATCCAGCATCGGCACATTATTCTAATATGAAAAACAAGATTCCGACACTTGATTGGAATGATACATTTATCGATGTCAAACATCTTCGAGCCAGCTTTCCAGATTATAAAATTCGAGCAACTGAAGACGATCGTTCCAAACATGTCCCACCATTTAGGTAATGTCATTACAAAGATATCTATCCTAGTACCCAGACGATTTCGCTTTCGTTTAGATTAACATTCTGTGACCTACGCACAAAAGGTGAACATGCCGGTGAGAAATTAATCATCTTGGAGCCTTATCGTATTCCTAATCGTGGTCCATATCCGTTTAACAAACCTCGTCAAAATACCGTTCGTTTTACTCCAACGCAAATCGAAGGTATCAAATCCGGTATGCAACCAGGTCTTACTCTAATTGTTGGTCCACCCGGTACGGGTAAGACTGATGTTGCTGTACAGATCATTTCGAATATTTATCATAATTATCCTGATCAACGTACACTAATCGTGACACATTCGAATCAAGCATTGAATCAATTGTTTGAAAAAATCATGGCGCTGGATGTCGATGAACGACATTTACTACGTCTTGGTCATGGTGAAGAAGAATTAGAAACTGACAAAGATTTCAGTCGTTATGGACGAGTGAATTACATCTTGAAAAAGCGTTTAGAATTACTTGAACAAGTTGAACGTTTACAAAAAAGTTTGAATGTGACGGGTGATTTATCTTATACATGCGAAACAGCTGCGCACTTCTATTTGTACAACGTTCTGTCACGCTGGGAAGAATATCTTAGTAAAATCAATCAATCGAATAACAATCTAGATGTGCTGATCAACGCATTTCCATTCAAGGAATTCTTCTTCGATTTAGATCATGATTTATTCCAAAGTTCGCAATCATTTGAAGTCAATCTAGACATTGCTCAAGGATGCTTTCGATACATTAAACAAATCTTTACTCAATTAGAAGAATTTCGTTCATTTGAACTCATGCGTAACGGTTCCGATCGTGCGAAGTATTTATTAGTACGAGAAGCGAAAATTATCGCTATGACATGTACGCACGCTGCATTAAAACGACACGATCTCGTTCAATGTGGCTTTAAAGTAATTCGAACTTTGCTTTCGAATGAAAATTATTTCTTTTTGTTTAGTATGACAACATTCTCATGGAAGAAGCAGCACAAATACTTGAAATTGAAACGTTTATTCCGTTGTTGCTGCAAACATCGGATCAACAAGGACGTAATCGTCTGAAACGTTGTATTATGATTGGTGATCATCATCAATTGCCACCTGTGATTAAAAACATGGCTTTTCAAAAATATTCCAATATGGAACAAGCGTTGTTCACACGTTTAGTTCGCCTTGGAGTACCAACTATTGACCTGGACGCTCAAGGTCGTGCACGGGCATCACTTTGTTCATTGTACAATTGGAGATACAAAAACTTAGGAAATTTGGAGCATGTTTTACAACAAAAGGAATTTCGAACAACGAATGCCGGTTTTGTCTACGATTATCAATTGATCAATGTTGAAAACTTCAATGATGTTGGAGAATCTGAACCTATTCCATATTTCTATCAGGTAATTCTTTGATCATTTTGAAGTTAACAAGTAAAAACGATTGATTTATCCGTTTAGAATTTAGCTGAAGCTGAATACATCGTTGCTGTGTACATGTACATGCGGTTACTAGGTTATCCGGCTGAAAAAATATCAATTCTAACAACCTACAATGGGCAAAAATTTCTCATTCGTGACGTTCTTAATAAACGTTGTGCAAAAAATCCTTTACTCGGATTTCCGATGAAAGTAAGAATAATGTTCCACTTGTTCGAGAAGATATTTCTGACTAATATCTTTCCACTAGGTCACAACAGTTGATAAATATCAAGGTCAACAGAATGATTACATTCTTCTTTCACTTGTACGAACAAAAGCTATTGGTCATTTACGGTAAAATTGTCCATTTCATAGGTTATGTGAAAAACAATCTTCTATTTTGTTTAGAGATGTTCGTCGATTGGTTGTTGCTATGTCTCGAGCACGTCTTGGCTTATACATCTTTGGTCGAGTGAATCTATTCGAAAGGTAAGTTCCTCGTACATCCGTCTTTCACAAAGTTCACCGGGAATTTTTATGTAGCTGTTTTGAATTAACACCAGCTTTCAATATCTTAACGAAACGTCCGACAAAATTGTTCTTACTGCCGAACGAAACGTATCCAAGTGTACGGGAGGTATGTTAATGAAAAGAAACAGTTTAATGAACTTTTGGACAATGTTGGATTGTTTAGGAAAAACGTGATCAGTCGATTGTACACCAAGCAACTGTGATGGAAAACATGCCACAAATGGCGGATTTTGTTTACAAATTATATAATCAAAAATTAGTCGCATATCAAGAAAAGAAACGCGTAAGACTCATCGATCCTCTCACTTTCTGATTCTATCAATTCGATTCATTTTAGCAAGAAGAATTATCTCGTTACGATCCTGAACGTGATCTTCCGTACGATCCATTACAACCATCAATTCGCGCACCAAACGAACGTGTAGCCAATGAAAAGACCGCAGATAACATTTCGTTAGAACAATTCACTCCTGAGAAGAATTCCAAAACGGAGTACATTCCTTCCCGGCAACATCAAGTATCAGGCACATCGTTTCGACACGATCCAAATATCGCAAGTTCGACAATTGAAAATCTCGATGACGATGATGATGAGGATGTTTATGACCCAAGCAAGCCAACACTTTTTCAAAAATTACAATCCTCGTCAACGACTACAACTGAGCAACAAGGACAAGCAGCACCAACAAATAGCTCTGCGACAACCACTGTACCTAAAGGAAACGAAGGTAACTCTTCTGTAAGGAACTAAAGTATTATTTTAAACATTCGCTTTGTGTTTAGAACCAACTGATGCATCGGAAGATGATTTGAATAAGGTAACGTGTGAAGCTTTTGTCGATAGAAAGATAGAATTTGCTCTCTGTTTTTTTTTTCAGGCAGCAATTTTTCGAAGCGTCCTCCATCAAGATAACGAAATGGATACCATTCCAGCATTAAATGATGAGAATTAGTCAACATATTTCTTTTTCTTGAACAAGTTTTATTGTTCAGTTGTGTATTCAAATAAAAACAAACCAAGAGTTTCTTTTCGTCCTACAGAATTATTGTTGCACGAAAATCAATATGAATTGTTGTACTTTCTTTATCACGAGGATTGGCTTTGAGTATCAAAAGAAAATTATCCGACAGAATTGGTTCATATTCAAACCCACCAATGATATTGTAATTTTCAACACGGTTCGTGAATAAACTGCCAATAGGTCCTTGAAAGCTTTGCGCTGTTTCGGTGTCTTTGAATTCGATTTGAAATTGATGACTTGTTTTTCCTGTTCGAACGAATTTCGTTTGAACTATATCACCGTTTTTCTCTTCATCCAATTTGGCAACAAACGCCGGATCACCGTAACACACAAATGTATCACGATCATAAGACAAACCATAGATTTTGTCGAGAACTTCATCGTCGATATTGTCGTTATCGAAATGAAACTGCTTTTCTAATTGTTCAACCACAGTCGTATATCCAGGGTAAACACTCAGATCATATTTAAATTGTAATAAACGAGGATTGATCGATTTTAAATCATATGTCATTCGTGCTTGTTGGAGAAAGTAAGCATCAGCTAAACTTAATCGTCCGGGAACACTTTTCCATACGTCGAGCGTTCCCCAACCTGCACGACCATACCAAGTTTCGACTGTATAGCCACACATCTGTCTAACACCTAATCGTCCGAGAAATGTCGTAACCATGCATTGAGGTCCTTTACAATGGCCGATAAGACAATTTGCAATTGGTAGATAGACCTTAGGATTCGAAGATGATTCAATAACTGATGCAACAGGTTCAGCATTTTCATCAAGTGGAACGAGACCATCCTCTTCAACTTTGAGTTTGCCAGCAGACCAGGGCATTTCAACGTAATCTTCCGTGCCATGACCACTTGTTATTAATAGATCAGGTTTCATTTCATTAAGTTTTTCTGTAAAGATTTCAGCTGGTGCTCTGGGATATTCTTTTCCTTCGTCCTTTTCCTCGCCACTACCATCATCTAAAGGACAGTTTTTCCCAAACCAACTGCCTTTTTCTCCATCGGAGAATGTAAAACACGATTCAAATAAATTCTGATCAATATTCGTAAAATTAATCGCTCGTTGAATAACAAATGGTTGAGCAACGGTTTCGTTATCAATCGATTTTATCGCATGTTCAGCATCCATACCAGTAATAATCGCCCACATTGCATCAATATAAGGATCATTATCGAGTGTACGCATTACACGATGGCATTCAGCAACAAACGATCTTCCGCATTCTTGAGGTTGACAAACGAACGCAACATAGCGTGGCATCGCAGCTTTTAAACCCGAATGAACCATTTGTAAATTATTATCGGAATAGACTAGCACAGTTGCTTGAGGATGACGATCGGATAAAAAACTCACCACAGTACTCCATTCACTATCATTTAACGTATCGGTTGAAACAACGATTGCATAGGATTTCGAATAACGTGTATCTGGTGCATCAAGAGTTAAATTTCGTGTGGAATCATCTTTATGACGAGACATTTTCGCGAGTATTGACTTCATGTTGTCGTAGTTTGACTATATATACCGTCTTTTCAGGTGCCGCCTGGTTTTTATTTCGTGCTCGAAAGAGCAACATAATAGAACTATCAAACTGTCATTAAATTGATGACGAGCTGTTACCCACTCAGCACTATAATATGATTCATTTCATCGATGTCCAAAGGAAAAATTGATTGAAAATTATTCACACAAATATACAAATGACTACAAAACGGGAAAGTTGATTAAAGGTATGAAAATAAGCGATTTGTACATGAATAGTGCATCGACACATTACTTCAAAAACAGAACGTAAATGTCGAGAATACAATCGCACTATGCCTTTTTCACCGTAATCTTTATTTGCGGTAGGGATAGAAAATTGCGTCGTTCGATCCTCGTTCTCTAGAGAAGAACTTTACAAATAATCGATATAAAGGTTTTATTGTTTTTAAGATCATATGTATATGCTGCGAAAAATAAAAAGTAGTGTTTGTTTATAAGAATTGCGAACAGAATGCATCGATAGCATCCGAACACTGTTTTGCTTGATGACGATTGGCACCGGCATTGTCACGAATCCACAGTTCGAAGTAATCCTTGTTTTTTAGTAAAGTCAAATAGATTCCTAATAGTTCATACGCCTAGAAGTAAACAATTTCATTTCCAATTGTACTCGCTGAAGGTTTACATACTTTCTTGATTCCATTTTCTTCTAAATTCTTTGCTAGCTTTGGTCCTAAACCAGGTACTTCACATATATCTTTATCTTTCAAAGGTTCACCGGTGAAATCTCGAAATTTTTGTGATGTCGACGATGACATTGTTAGGAAAATTCAATCTAGAATTTGATCAAAAATATGTTTCATGTTTACTTTATTCCAAAATAAAAAGATAAGACCAAATTATGAAATATCGATACAAGTTTCTCAAATAAACGCTTCAGCCCAGTCGGAAAGTGCTTGTGCAGCTGTTTTAGCCTGATGACTATTCGCACCACATTGGGTTTGAATCCAGTCTTGAAACTGTTCAACGTCTTTGTTTAATAATAAGTATTTGCCGAATAGAGTATATGCCTAAAAGAAATGACGTCAATGAGAATCATTGTACGTTTCAGTGAAAACAGACTTTTTCATAACCAGCTTCGGCTAATTTTGTTCCGAGAACATCGCCGATACCAGGAACATCTCGAATTCCCTTCTCACCGATGGGTTCAGCCATAAATTCACGAAATTTTTTTGTTGTAGAACTCATTGTTATTCGTAGTGTGATGAAAGACAGACTGATGGTTTTATTTTCCTTACCTAAGAAGCGGATGATTCATCTACTTTAATTCTGATTGGTTCACTTGTACAAAACGAACAATTGGTTGATATTGATGAAACTCATATCGAAATAAGATGATACAGCGTGAAATTGATGAAGCATATCATCACTTAATATTTGTCATAAATTTTTTTTTATAAATATGCTTGATCCTTCGGATTCTCCCGCAACGAGTCAGCCGACATCGAATCTTCTGTTTGAAAATGTGAATAAAATTTTAACGACCTTCGTACCTGCAAACCATCATCACGACAGTAATCAAGTAAGACTAAGAATGAAGTCAATATAATATTAGATTGATTATAATTGCCTTTGGGTATAGATACATAAAGCTATTGGAGTGAAATCACATGGAACGATTACTTGTAAGATTGAGAGATTATACTTTCATGCATAAACTCAAGTTTATTATCTTTTAACAGTTGCTGATAACAAATCAAATCGAGCGGAATTTATTCGTGTTCCACCGGATGCTTCTGTCATGCATGTTAAAGAATTGCTCATTAAACAGTGGTGTGGGAAGGTAGGTTTTCTTATTTGAAAATGTAAATTTGGATTTTTGCGTTCTTTAGAGACCATCATTGGTCATATCGATAACGGGCGGTGCAAAAGATTATCATATGAAACCGAAACTACTGAGAGCATTTCGACGTGGTCTTTCGAAAGTAGCTCGAACAACAGGTATGGACTGTCACTTTCGTGAAATTACGATTTCAGTTGACCAGTTTGCTCCTATTCTAAGGTGCTTGGATTATAACCGGAGGAATGAATACGGGAATCATGAAGCTTGTCGGCGAAATTGTTCAGATCAATCCGGATCGGTTTCGTCCGATCCATTTGATTGTAAGTACGAAATTCACCACTTTATCGGAAGAATCTTTTCAACAACAAAAAACGAATATTAGGGCATTGCTACATGGGGTTGTGTATCAGGTTTTCAACAATTAGATGTGCATGGAGCAAATGTTCATTATAGCAAATCGCGTGGCGAACAGAAAGGCGAAGCGCCACTCGAACCTAACCATACTGAATTTATCTTCGTTGATGATGGAAGCGAACGAAAATATGGGCGTGAAATTACTTTTCGTGCTCGACTTGAGCAAGCGATATCAGGTGGCTTTTTTGCAACACGGCCTGCATCTAGCCCGAGCAATCCATACGCAAGTTTAACAAAAACAACATCTTTACGTCCAGAACACTCTGGTACGTTCTCACTTGTTTAAACAAATCTTTAGCATGTTCTCGAAAATACAGATCCAGTACCCGTTGTTCTTCTCGTTGTCGAAGGCGGTCCAAATACTGTTCGGACAGGTAGGAATATCGTATATCAAACAGTACACGATGAATAACTACGCAAACTTGATTTTAGTCCATGAAGCCGTTGTTCAAAATAATATTCCAGCGGTATTTTTCGAAGGAACTGGTCGTTGTTGTGATTTATTTGCCAAAGCACTTCATCTGTACAATGAATATCATCAACAACTAGAGCTCTATGAAGATACTTCTAAGTAAATGTTTTTTCTTCTTTCTCTCATCGTTCAACTCATTGTGCTGGAACTCTAGTGCAGATCCAGGCACTATACTGCGACGATACGATGAAATCAAAAATAAACTTCGTGAAGACCTCCGAGACGAAATTCGTGGAATCAATGGTGGAATTGATCCATCCATTGCTGGTAATGCACGATCAGCACGGCGAGGCACTGTGACGACCGGTGATCCGGTACCGCCGAGAGTGGACAACACGGATTATTTCGAGCTAGTTTATGAATGTATTGATACGCGAAAGATATTTTTGAATATCGTTAGTCTTACCGCCCGTAATTCCGTTGAACCTGATATTGATCTTGCCATATTACAAGCTTTGTTAAACGGTATGGAAGTCCGCGCATAACTTCTTACTGATTAACATTATTCTTTTTCTTTGTCTAGCAACATCCGGCTCGGATTTGAGCAAGACGAGCAATCAGCGAAAACGTGAACAATTTCATTTAGCTTTGGAGTGGAATCGTGCTGATATAGCAAGACATTACATTATGAAAAACACCCGAGATTGGGATGTGAGAACACTCCTATATGAAACACGAGAATCGATTTCAAAACTTTTATTATTTAGAAAATTAATCTAAATGATATGTTCGAAGAAGCACTCCAACGAAACCAAATTGAATTCGTCAAGTTATTTCTTGATCACGATTTCTCCTTAACTGATGTATTTCGCAATAACGACAAATTACCATTACTCTATGAACATACGTTAGACGAAGTAAATTGTTCAAACGAGGCGTCTGTCATTGCGTCTTCGTTCTTCTTTGTAGCCTTATGATTTCGCTTCGATTTCTGGCGATCGTTTACGAGCAGTCTATCGAGATATAATTCAACCGTTGATAGGTGACTCTTTCGAAGTTGAAGCTGCAATACATTCAAGGAGATTATCAGCATATACACGATCAGATTCTCAAGTTGACAAGGAACCATGTTCGTGTTGCGTATCGTCATGGACAGGTCGACACTATCATGTTGACACAGAAGCCGAAACATCTGACAACTTACGAACCGACCGTAAAGTTTTTCTTCAGTTTTATCCGTTCGATTGTATTGGAATGTCCGTTTTCGTTATAGTTCTAAATGGTCATACCGACAGTCACATGGATGTTGACAAAGAACTTTTCCTTTGGTCAGTGATCACCGGCCGACGGGAATTCAATTTACTGTTTTGGTCTCGTGGTAAAAATAAAATCTGTAATAAACAACTTTTTTCTAAGCTCAATATATCGAGGAAAATTTTGTTTTGAGGCGCGGCATTGTTCGCAGCGTTGATTTACAGAAAACGTGCTCGCAAAACAAATGATAGTAGTTATTCTCAATCTGCCGATGAGTTTGAAAATTTAGCTGTACAAATTCTCGATAGATTCTACCAAGCCAATACTCGTGCATGTACAAAGGCAATTATACGACAAATACCAGCGTATGGAAATGTTACATGGTTAGATTTGGCAATATCAGCCGAAGCAAAACAATTCATTGCACAACGTGCTGTTCAAGACGTTTTGAACAATATTTGGTTTGTTGATATTAATATTTCAACTGAACATTTTTTGAAATATGCGATATAGGTTTGGATATATCGATCAACGAGAAACTCATACGGCCATTATTTTCTCGACAGTTACGATTTGGTATAGCGGCACTCTTCGTTATCATGATGAGCTAGTTAAAACGAATGATCAAACATCATACCTTGATGTAGGTTCTTTGTGACTTGTTCTCATCTCGAATATAATATTGCACGTATTTAGCACTCGCTTCGTAAATCACAAGTATCACAAAATAAGGCGCAATGCACATCGAGACACTCAACGGAAAGGTACGCCAAACACTTGAAAATACATGTATTAGTTTATTACGATGGTTTCTAGACACGATGATGGTATTAATTTGAGATTAATGCATGATATTCCTCTTGTGGACAATATTCCTATCGAATTTGTCGATATCGGCTGTTGTGAAAAGTAAAAAGGCAACGCTAATGATTAGCTACTAACATTTTTCAGCTGATTCTTGAAACTAATCGACTACTAACGTAAGAAGATTGGAGAGAAATTCTCTACAAAAAAACGTCCTTTTATCTTATTTTAGGTTTCGAACAAAAGTTTTTCGATACTTCAGAAATATTCTTAAATTCATACGTGCACCAATTGTTAAATATTTATATAGTCTAGTAAGTATACAGATTATATACGATCTGGTAAAATCAAGAGAACAAATGATTTTCTTTTTAGTATTTTCACATTGTCTTTCTATTTCTGTTCTCCTACGTGATCCTATGCGATTTTTTTCCTCTATACGAATTTCAATCGGATGTGTGTGCACCTGCCAACGAACCTGAACGAATTTTCAGTCAAAGCAGCAATCAACCCAATGCGTCAGTTAATACACCGACAAACGAACTTCATAAACGTGATCGACCAGCTATATCAGAATTGATATTAGCTGGATGGATCTTCACATTATTGTGCGAGGAAATTCGACAAGTACAACATTCAAAATTGATCATGTATTTTCAATATAGTTTTTTTTTGTAGTTCTTTTCAACAGAAGCCAAGACAATACGCAATGCAATAACCGCATATTTTCAAACGTTTTGGAACCAATTAGATGTGATTGCTATTTTTCTATTTTACGTCGCTTTTGCCCTTCGGTTTCTTCCCGGATCTGAGTGCTTTTGTGCTGCACGAATTGTCCTATCCGTTGATCTCACACTATGGTTTATTCGTTCGCTTGATATTTTCGCTGCTGTGAAACGACTCGGACCGAAATTAGTGATGATCGGAGAAATGGTAAATTAGCGACGTTCAAATTTCTTTCATCCAAAATGATTCTCTGTTTGTTATTTGAGGCACATGATTTGAAATTTTTTATGCTGATGTTAACAGTATTTATTCTGGGCTTTGGGGTCTCATCTTATAGTCTATTGTATGGTACTAAAGATTTCAGTTGGCATCTACCTCGTGAAATTCTTAATCTTGCTTATTGGCAAATGTTTGGAGAACTAAATGCTTTAGACACGTTCGAGCGTAAGAAAATAATGAAATATCTTTTGTAGAAATAAAAAAAATTATCAACTTTTTTTCTTTAGATAACTATAGTCCGAATGGTTATGCTGTTTTTATCTTGTTGGTTATTTATATGGCCATTGTCAGTATACTTCTGGTCAATCTACTCATTGCAATGTTCAGGTATTTTAAGAACATTGAACTTTGTTCAGATCTCATCGATTTCAATGTGTCATGTCGTATTTAGTAACACTTTCGATCGTCTTCAAAATGATACTGATCGTATTTGGAAATTTCAAAGATATTCACTCATATGCGAATATCTCTCTCGTCCTTCGTTACCACCTCCATTCATTGTTTTCTCACATATTTGGCGTCTAGCGTTATACGCGCTCTCGCCATGCATCAGATCAACATGGCTCAAAGAAAAATATGCACAACACACCAATCGAACTAAATACAGTAAGAAGAGATCAAGAAGAATTTCATTGTGTATATTCATTTGTCTACGCACAGAGATTATGCTCGATGAGAAAACTGCGACTACGATTGAAATTGCCGAGGATGCATTAGGAGATGAAGTTTATTACAATTATACGAAAATGGGCAGAAAGTTAGTTGATGAAAGTGATATTGATGATGACCGAAAGTAGAAAATCTTGCGATCCTTTGTCCATTGCTTGCAATTGTTGTCATATTTAGTCAATCACCTCATGAAAACATCCTCAATCGAATTCGAATACTGGAAAATCGTTCGCAATTGTTGAATAATCAGGTAAGATTAGATGAAATTGTACTCCTTCAGCTAAATAATCATAATTGCGATTTAGCAAACTCAAATGCTCGAATATCTTGATTGTTTGATGGATGGTTTGAAAGCACTTGGTGGTGATCGTATCCGAATGCCTGAACGACGCCGTTTTGATCCAGATGATTCATGTATGAATGAATGATTTACTTGATTTTCTTAACTCAACCAAATATTTCTTTCTTTCTCTTTTGATGCTAATTAGTTGATGAATTATCCGGCAATAATGATCAAGGCAAACGATATTTTCGACCAGATTCATTACTTGACGATGGTCGTCGCCAGTCAGCAACTAATAACGAAGACATGCAATTGCCACTCCTAAATTTCTTTCCAATACGTCGAAAGTAAAGATTTGTGCAGAATATATTGCATTTGAATGTTCTTTTTCTTTTCGTAGCGAATAATTCGAAAAGTTAAACATCTCTAAGCTCATAATATGCTTATATATATATATAACATAGACAAGCAAGGTGCATCGATTATTTTATCGCTTTAGAGTAAATTTAACAATTTTTGGTCATTTTAATTTTTATCTAAGGTTGATTAAAATTTGTCAAGCGCTTTTCTAATAATGAAAATACAAATCTTTGTAGAAATAATCAAGTCTTCTGATTCATGAGTTCGAATATAACATGCAGTCAAGGTAGGAAAGCGACGCTACAGAAATGAAATCTCATTTTTCCTCCTTGCATACATTATAAGTAATTAATAAAACCACGAGTGAATCACCTTAGTAGTCGATATGAGATGAGTAATGTGTAATAGCCTAGTGCCGATCACTCTTGCCGCAGAGTTGGAATTAGATGCGACATGATCATGGAAACATAGAAAGAAACACGTACACCATTTCGTGATTGGGAATGCAGATTTTGAATCTTTAGTTTTAGTACGACATTTATTTGGCAATCTATAAGCAAAAGTGGCAGTATATCACGGTAGGTCAAAGCATAAAATTGAAATTGTCAATGAGAATTACGATAGTTGAAAACGAAACTACGACACGATACGACAAGAGTCATTTCATCAATGTATTTTAAATGACATTTCCCAAACAAACATGTTTAGCAGATAGCTGACGACTAACCTATGTGTTCATCGACATCGTTCGATTTCTTTGACATGCACAGGTGTTCATCAAAACGAATACGGCACCAGCTGCGTCATCCGAAGCAAGAATATCCTGACATCCATCGTTATTAAAATCTGCAGGAACAACCCAGCTATAACCACCACTCAAGCCAGTGGAAAACACCAGTTGAGTGTCAAAGTTTCCATCTCCATATCCCACTAAGACAAATACAACGGATCTTGTAATAGGATTAACGACAATATCCCAAATTCCATCATTGTTGAAATCACCTGCAGTGATTCGAGTGTAGTATGTTCGATTCCCTGTGGGAAATTTAACAACAGGGCCCATAGTTCCGTTGCCGTATCCAAGAATAACTCCAACACTTTTTCCCCCACTGTAAGAAACCGCAACATCTGCTCGATTGTCGCCATTGAAATCACCAGTGGCAATGTAGGATGGGTAGTACGATCCACCAGCGAACGATGATACTTGATCAGCGAACGTACCATCGCCTCTACCGAGCAAAACACCAATGCTTCTGATCATAATATTGTTAAAGTAGATATCTTGATACCCATCGCCATTGAAATCACCTAAATCTACCGATGATGGCTGAGCATTTCGTCCCGCATAGTATGTAGTCTTGTTTCGAAATGTTCCATCACCATTACCCAACAACACAATTATTATGTTGAATCCTGGAGCAGAGACAGCGATGTCTGAGTTATTGTCACCATTGAAATCGTAGGCAACGACTCCTCGGAGGTTCGTTGCATTTCCCATAAAGAATGTTACCAATGATCGGAATGTGCCATTACCATTGCCAAACACCATGTACACATAAGCTCGATTCTCACTTGTCAATACGATGTCAAGTAGTTTGTCATTGTTAAAATCAGCAACAGCCATACTAAAATACCAAGTGGTAAATGTTCCTATATACGTTTTCAGCTCTGCTGTGTAATTTCCTTTTCCATCGCCAACTAATACATGAATACTGCTTGTATAGTAGTTGAAAAATGCGATATCAACTAGATGATCACCATTGAAATCAGCAACAACAGGCGACTTGAGACCAGTACTAGCGCCGCTTCTATATTTGATTGTTGGTTGAAAGTTCAGCTGGCAGATGGGCACTAAGAAATAGCCACAATGCAATTCAAGTATTAATGATTGAAATCAAACATTTTGAACAATGAAGCATATTCGTATGAGCATGAGTCTGTGATATTTACCGTGTGTTGTAGTAGTCGTAGTAGTTGTGGTAGTTGTTGTTGTAGTGCTCGATACAGTACTGGATATCACAAACGATGCAGATGCTAGTAACAAAAAGTGAACATAATCAGCGAAATCATCAATGAGTTCGATTTGTGTTATCAAAATGCACAGAAATACAATACATATCATACTTGTGGAAATAACATTGTCACGACCTTGTCGAATTGTGTAGATCGAGAAAATAACAAGAGCCGATACAATAATCGACAGCAGTATACATGCCAAAATGATTTTCAAACATCGACGATTTGATAACTCAACTGTTTTCCTAAACAGAACAACTAGAGGTCTACCCAGAACGTGCAGTAAAAGAAAAACGAATACATACTTGGATGGAATAGTGGGCAGATGTTTCACACTAGACGTCAAACTATTGACTTGAACATTTATAACTTGAACGGTTGTTGACTTGTCACATATGCTGGATTGAGCATTGTTTAATCGATTTCTTCGGTTTCGTTGCACACTGGCCATGATTCGGATCGATTTTGGGCAAATCCATCGAAGAACGATTGCCAAACCACCTTGAAGACCAATCAATACAGTCACCAAATAAAGCACATTGAACTGTTCATTGTAAGTGTAAGTGCATAGTAAGGGTAAACACTGATCAAAGTAGGATGAATAGTTGATTGTTGATACCCATTGTTCAACAAACAACCCATTCATCAGTTCGGCAACAGTCGTGTTCATGAAGAATCGACTCGATGCGATTGACAATGGAACTGAAGAATTGGATGAATTAGATGACTTTTTATAGGAATTGATCATATCAATGCATGATTGATCATAGAAACATTCAAGAGTGGATGCACGCAAAGATTCACTTGGTGTACAACCCATCTTCAAACCTTTGATCTTACCCAACACAATGAAGTTGTCTTTGAGGAAATTGGCTTGAGTGGTACAGTCTGGATACATTCCACATGAGCAATTGTTGTCATAGATGATCGCCTGGTTGGGAATATAAGGATAAGATGTGGTCGTGTAATACCAAGGAGAGATATATTCAAAATTTGTTCCATAAGTTGAGATGAATGCGTTGCCGTGATTGATACTTCGCATGAGAGACAAAAGACGAATGAATGGTTTGGGAGCAGCTGATCTCTTTTGTTCAATTGAGAAATTGAGTTGTGTATGAAAGTTTTCGCTTGACAAAAGTTCAGTTGTGATGAAGAGTGAAGTGAGAAACTGTTCGATTGAGTTTTCAATTGACTGAATGGACAGATAACATAATCCTTGTAGATACTGCAGATGAGCGGGAAGAAAACGCCGATAATCTGTTCGTCCATATGTGGAAAGATTGGCATTGAGATCACCTGTGACATCCATTCGCCATTGATCTGAGACAAATGAACTTGTACATATCTAGAATGAACTGGGTCGAAGATGAGCGCTTAGGTATGATCGCAGCTTACTTGATGAAATGCTGGCGTGATCTGAGTAAATTGAGCATATTTCGATGCAATGATTGAACATGAACACTTGAGCTGATCTCCGTATTGTTGTTTGAGTTGATTGTAAGATGTGAATGATGGTTTGTTGAAGATTTTCGTGATAGTTTGAGGTGTAAAAGCAGCGTATAAAGTCAGAATCGACAATCCAATAATGAATAAGACAATGTAAATACGTGTTGCCCATTTACCAAGATGTTTGGCAGTTACCCGATCTGTATTACTGCCAAGATCTCGTGGTGAAAAAATGTTGAGATTAATTGCAGAACTGTAGCCTATCGAGATGGCATTTTTCACAGTTGTTTTTAGTTGAGAAAAGTCGCGTCGACGAACTTTGAATGGAACAAAACAAAACAATACTTTATTATTTTAACTATAAAACAAAATGATATATCATAGGAACAAACGTCTTTCAAGCCCATGCTGAGGAATTCGGCGAAACATATATCTAAATTCACACCTCAAACAGGAAAACTACTGATTTTGTATTTCTCTCACTCTATGTATATAATTTGATTATTACCCTGTTGTTGTCTTCGCTTTTGAATAAAAGCCTGTAGGCCGCTGTGTATATATTTAACGATTAATGGTACTATTAAACTTAGCGCAAAAGTAAGACCGCCAATTGTCGATATGAATGTTACGAATACTTCGACGATAGATCGAACACGCATTCTATTCGAATAAGTACAATAGTTTGGCGCACACAGTTGATAAAAGCGATTGTATGAATATGATGGATTCCATTTTTCGACCATGATCTGTTGCACTATAGATGATATTGTTGTATTTGGTGGAAAACGACTCTCGGCTGGATCGTAAACAAGAGGACGTGGATCGAACCATGCTGGATTCAATACACTTTGATAATAAGAGCTTTTTATGTAACTCAATAGTATTGAAAAACAGTCCGAGTCTGCATATAAACATAGAAGTTGTGAAAACATGAGAGAACTGAATGTAAAACAGCTTCGAGCTAATCCTGGCACTATGTATACCACGTATGAAGTCACACGGCTACTCCAAGCATAATCGATTTGATAAATCGCAACTGGAGCTTGACACGAAGCATTAGTAGCACACACACAATTGATGCCAGATAAATTGACATAGCGAGTTCCAGGTGGATTAAAAATGACCTATATAAAAGCGAAAGAGCAAAACTTATGTGCAATACCTGACTAATAGATTAATATTCCATAAAACATCCTTCTTCAGCTAAAAGAGAACATACCTGGAGCGATTGGTTCAGAGTTATATTATTTGTAACAAAATTTATCGCCAGAAATGGATCGTCCAGCGTAGCCCAACTAGTAGTTCCTCTTGCTCCCATGTAGAATTGATCAATTTGTGTAAGAAGCGTTGTAATATTGATGAGGGAACCAAAAGAGCGAATTGTAGATTGGAAAAATTGATCGAGTATTGCATTTATTTGTATGTTAAACTCGTATTCGGTTAGAATACTTGAAACAACTAGAGATTGTACAAGAAAACGACGAACAGCATCATCGATGGTGTTCTTCGCTAGCTGACAAAGATTGGATAACAATTGAAATTGTGAATAAGCTCGATTGCGCCAATCTTCCAATTGATAATCAGTTGCTAGCTGTAGTATTGCGAGCCAACTAGTGGTGATAAAATCACTGGAGCATACTTGATGCAATGTTGGTGATAATGTCATGAACTGTTCGTATGGTATTGTTGTACTTGAACAAGGACATCGGAGAGTGTTCGAATGCGACTTCTCCAAATTACTATAAGTTGTCAAAGATGGATTTGATGTAGTTATTGTTAGTATTTCAGTTTCAAGAGACGTGAATAGAAGAAGAACCAAGAAGGATCCTGCGAAAAAAATATATCAATCAGTGAATAATTATTTCGACTATTAATGAATGCACATAGGCGATCTCATCTCATTAGAATTCAACCATACCTGCTAGTAAAAACAGATAAATACGTGTCATTATTCTCTGTTGTTTGATGTCATTCTCAGATCGCTTGTCAATGTTCTTGAACAAATTCAGTTGTTTGATTGATTTGATGAGTTGTTGTGGATGGATGTTCTGTAGTCCTACAAATATATTCATCATTAATTTACTCCTTGCTATGTATAGACACATACCTTGTTGAACATTTCTGTGTGTCATACACATTTCTAATTTTGAACAGAGTTTAACTACGGATGGTGCGATCAAACGAAGAATAATGATGAGACCACCATACAAACTAATGAACATCGTCAATGCATATGAAAGTTCTCTTTGATCTGTGACGGTGTATGAACATGACACTGGAGCACACTCATTAAAGTATTGTGAATAGCTGACTTCAGTTGACCAGTCTTCGACGAAAAGATCAAACAAATTATTATAAACTGTGACATTTTGATTGGCAGCGTTTAGACTTGAGTTAGTCCAGTTGAGGTTCAACTAAACAGAAGGAGATCATGAGAGTGATGAAGAAACATTCCGCTCAACAAACTTGAGTGAGTGCTGGAAAATAGCGGACTAGCAGCTGAATGCACTGCCTATCATACAGACAATCGAGTGTACCCGCTAGAAGAGCCTCGAAAGATGTACATCCTGTAAAAAATCCATTGACAAGTGTTGAATTGGCTGCTGGTACAGTCCATCCAGCACGAGTGAAAGCTGCTGTCGTAGCTAGATTTGGAAAGAAACCTGTTGGAGTTGTAGGATTCTGACTACTACACATCAATGAGCTAGTTGTCGTAGTGAAAATGCTCGAATCCGGCGTAAACTGTGTCTGTAATTGATAGATGAGATATTGGGTGCCAGTTAAGTAGGTTGACAACATTAGATTTGTGTTGAGACTCGATACGATAAAGTTTCCACGAACATAAACTCGGACATAGTTGACAAAAGAAACGATTTGAGTTGATATGCTACTTTTAATCATATCGATGGCGACATTCATCTCTGATTGTACTTGATCTTCCGGAAGTAGATTGATCGAGGTGAATTCATCATTGTCAAAGTCTTGTTGAGTTTGCAAAACTGTGTTCATAGACATTGAACAGAGATCAGCCAAAAGTTGAAACTACAAGAGAGTAAAACAAATGTGACTATCGACTCTTTCAGATAAGTTTCTTCTATCTTCTATTCAACTTTTTTCGATACCTATTAAATATTCCTGTTTTTGTGTATCCTACACTCACTTGAGATTTTGCTGTGGCTCGAAAATCTGCTGGCCCATAATCACTTGCATTTACCAGATATAATCTTTCGATCCATTGTCTACTAACAAAAACACTCGAACAAAAAGCATGAAATGTGATGTTGCTTGTGATGAAGTTCTTGTGTGGCAATTCGATTGTTGAACATGGACATACAAGAGTCTCTGAATGGTCTTGATAAAGCTGTTCGAAGTGATCTCGAGTGATGGAAGGAACAGTAGTTGTTTGAGAGTGTGATGTCATCAAGGTAAGGTAGAAGAGGACGTAGAGTGACACTGAAAAGACGAGTTGTAGAAGAGAGCATAAAAAAGCAGAAGACAGAATTGTATGTTTACGACTTACTGAAAATAAGAAGAACATAGAGCCAAGTTGCATACTTTTGTTGTTTGAGAACAGTTGCGGAATCTTGCACCTCATTTTCATCATCATTATTCTCATGATAATCATTTTCATCGAGAGCAAAGAGATTGTAATTCCTTCCTTTCTCATAGATCCAACGATAAAACACTGTTGGGCCCATCGAAATGAATGCAATTGCTTTTTCACTTGATGCGTGAGTCGAGTGGTGGAATCTGCAATGAGGAAAGTATAGGGTCATGAGTAAATGGGTCAATTGCTGTTTGTATAACATAATGATATAGAACATATTCGAGAAAGAGATCTGTTGTGATGCACGTCGGGAACCTGGCCTATATTTCATGAAACACTTAATCGTTGCTTAGAAAACTCATCGAGATAATTTTATTTGTGTAGTGCATTTAGACACTTACAAAAGTGAATGTGGAAGTCTATGTCAAACACCTGTGATATAATCACCCTTGAGAATTCTACCGTGTCTCTTATAGATTTTGTTAACAAAGCATTTGTGCATGGTTTAAGCATTATTAAAATTGAAAATACGTCAAAACATCAGGAGTTTTGAAGATGAAAGAAAAACCGTTTGTTTATTTGATGATAAACAGTTTTTGAAGTGTGATTATTCCGACAAAGTATTACAATAATTAAGGTGTTCGAGTTTGGCTGTTAGATAAATCTTCTGCTATTGCCACTGATGAAAATCCAAAATCCATTTAGAAAGATGATGGTGTTTCTAAACTATCAATTGATATGAAATGTCCTTTCTTGAGCTGTCTCAAAACAAAATGTGTTTCGATCCATTTTTTTTTGTGCACTACTTGTTTTGCTGTTTTGCACGGAGTTTCTATGAGATTAATGAGTATTGTTATATTTAACTGCTGACGTAGTGTCTCTCGAGTCAGCGTTGAAAATAATCATCGTTTAATCGTTTGTTGGTTTCTATATTTGAATGCATTCTTTCATGTTATTTATAGGAAGTATATAGGAACTAGACAGCACTCAGAGTCAGAGTTAGAACCGGACAGGCTTTTCCCATCCGGTCCGATCCAGTCCGGCCGGTTCATTGTTGACGCGAAACTGGTAAAAATCCGGCAAAATCAGACATGTATATCATGTTTTATCTATATTAAGATAGTAAACAGAATTGATTTCGTGAATAGGATGTATAAGGGTGCCATGCAGAAACACATTTCAAGTTTTAACGTTCAAGGAAATTTGACAAGATTGAAACGAAAAACTGCCAATAGAAACATAAAATTTCAATATGATGAACCAGAATAAGTCTGGTTTTACCCGGGTCGAACCTATTCCAACTCTGCTCGCAGTAGAATAACATGTCTCTCCCATTCAGTATATAATCAGACAACAAAACTCAAGGACCGTTCGATATATCGTAAACTAAGAACTCTTCGAATTTCTTCAAAGGTGAGCTAGAACTGCACTACACGATCTTAATACCTATTAAATATTCATCATACCCATCCTACATACCTAAGCTAAGAAGTAAAGTCATGACACAACCTGACAAACTAACTGGCGTATCAAGGAAAAATAACATATAGTTTCTTTACGAGAAGTCAACATCATCATTAAAAACAACACAGTCTGACTTGATAACATCTCATTCACAAAAGATATGTTTGCATATAAATAGATATACACTTTCAATAATAATCCACAGCATGATGTACAAGATTCCTTCGTTCAAGCATAAAAAATACTGTTCGAGAGGCAGTCACTTTGTCTTCGATTGAAGGATGAACATTGAATAGTGTTCTATGGTGCTGTACTCATTCAAAGTAATTTGAATATTATTATATAAACATGATAATACCATTTCTAAAACATATCGTCATATAAGTGGTTCCATTGCAAATTCATAGTAGTCTTTCACCAAAGTGTCATATAAATAAGTCATTTTGAATATTTCAATCACAGATTCAGTGACTTATACGTAGATCAAGGAGGTAGTTCTGATAGTCTTTCTGCATGAAGTGACACAACTGAATCTGTCCTTTCATGTTTTGTATGGCGGAATAGAAAAAGGCCACACACGGAGAAATGTCAAGCATATTAATGCCTATGTTCCAAAGTTTTTCAACGTGTGATGTTTTTAACGCAGACATTTCTTAATTGCCACTCAAAATAGCAGTAGAATCAAAAGAAAATCGGTTGAAAAATCATTGAAAAGAATTCTAATGCTTCTTCATTTATCTAGGTGTAGTCAAATAATCAGCTTATACTTAAGGATCAGGATAAGTGATGAAAGCATGTCCCGATGATGTCGAATCGAATCTGGGTGGGGTGTTTTTCCCACGAGAACACATACCACATACGTACATCGTGCAGCATTTGAGTTCGACGAAATATAAACGCCAGCATCTAATGCGATATCTATACGAATCGCTCAAGCGCGAACATGAAAGTGATCTCTCCCTAAAGTCAATCTCCTCGTTCGCCATTGATCCCAACATAGCTTCTGTCTAAATAATCTTTAGTCATCGTTTTCTCGGGACTACACTCAGGTGTGATTGAAGGTCTCGACTGTAATCTAAATATTCGTTGCAATATCGTTCATTTTAAATGCATTGAATATGCACAATAGACGTACAGAATCCTTTCGTAGCCTGATCAAAATTAGTTATAGCTACTGTAGACTTATACTGATCAGATGCAGAAGAATGCTTGATCGGGTTGAACAATGAACTTAACTTACTGTTAATGGCAGGTCTGTTTCAAGTGGAAAAATGAGAGCCTAACATAGCAAATTCTGGCATGCTTGACCGGAACACAGAGACGCAGGGTATGAACAATTGAAATTTAACTTTTCGAGATGTCGACTGATAAAAGTGACATCAGGTAGCCCCGTGGTTAATAAACAGTTCAAATTTCAGTGCAATGAGATAGAATATAAAATCATCACAGCTTCATTTCATGTTTCAACATTTTATTATTGAAGATATGGTCACACTAGTTCCCTTATTGATATCACAATAACAAAAATAGTACATAGGGTAGTTGAACGAAAAGGAAAAATTTTCTCAATAAGTTTCATGTGTTACATAATCTCTAGGTCGAACAACCCGACACGGGAACGACCGACTCCAGCACGAGTCTGGTCAGTTTCCTGGCAGATTAAACTAGAAACTCACAGAATACTGCTTCCGAATTCATCGTTCTGGGATCACAATGTTCAATTGCAATATTCGACTCATAAGGAGCGACATTGTATACGAGCTGTAAATCTTATATTAAAATAGCAAAGTTTTGGTTCTGTTCTGCTGCAGTGTGTCGTAACTTGCAGTTTTTCAAGGTACAACTATGTAAAATCTAAAAACATGATAAAATTAATCCTGGGTCACTTTCCTTTTTCCTTAATAAACAATATAATCAGTTTTATGTCGATTATTTCTTTACGCACGTTTAGTTTAAAGGATCAATTCAGATGAAAGAGAACAACTGATGAATGGGAAGTACAAAGGGCAATGTCAAAAGTATAATTGAAATCTATTAGTGTGCCCATTATAGAAAGAACATACGTAAGCATTCTTTCAAACCTATCATTAAAAAGAATCTTTTTGGTCGCTCTTATCATGTCTGCATTGCTGATCACACAAAGTGTATTAATACGAGAATTTAAAAGCATGTGCGGTCATTTTCATTCATTAAAAGATTTATTGGTCTACGTTATGTTGTTCTAAATCTTTCCTTGAAATAGATTTCGAATCATTTCACGTCCTGAAATACGAATAGTATGGTAAAACGTTTTCACATCTAAAGTTGATGTTAACGTATCAGCCAAACCAAACGGCATCATCGGTGGTATCCATCCTCGTGCATATTCCAATGCCCAACATCCTTTGTGCATTTTAAATTGTTTCGAAGTACCTTTGGGTAAGAAGTGTACGCTTCCAGCTTGATAAATCTCTTTTTCTAATGCTCCAGCTGAAAATGCCCATTGTTCGCCGTATAGAATATGGAAATAATCATCTGCTGTGTGTAAACCTGTGTGGCCTTCAGTACCGAGTGGTGTTCCGAAAATGATGAGATATTCTGTGAATGATGCATGAATGATGAACATGGCCCCCATAGCTCCTCCAGCATTATTAAAAATCCATTCTTCTTCATTAGTTAAAAATCGTGGGTCAATTGTTTTACGTAGTTCAGCAACAATATAATCAATGACTGGTCGAGTGGAATTTGCATTCTCCTGCGGAACAGGTATTAGTTTTCCATCGATGTTTTTCAAGTGACCATTAACAAGAAGTGCACGTTGAGCAAGTTTATGAAGTTGTTCAGGATCAAATATGTAATGATGACTTTTGATTGAATCAATATACCCAATAAGAATCGAGAAACACACAACAGAAAGACTTATAAGAACCAAAAATACCCGTTGTTTCGACATGATGATAGTCAACGTAATGATTAACAAATACAAACGAAATTTTCGATATAGAGTTAGCTCGAAAGGTTAACCAATAATAAGGTGAGCGAAAAGGTGGTGTGATGACAGGTGCCGTCCTGTTTCGTTGACTTGATAGTACAAAGTATTTTTTTCGAACGAACGAAGACAATTTCACGCCCTCTATTATGCGAAGTTCATTCATTGCGGTACATTACGGATGAACGCGAAAATTGGATTCATTTGTATGTTTTAGACAGCGTGTTGCAGATGGATGATTTTGATCTTGATCTTGTCGACGAACTTTGCTCATCTTTTTGTGCGCCAAGTCTAAGCCAGGAGAAAAAAGAAAATTCATCACTAAGTATCAATACTTCATATTCAAGAACATCGAGGAAACGTACATCGACCACAAATCCTCCGGAAAATCCTATTGTAAAGAAAATCTGTCTATCTGATGCAACGAACAAATCCACTATCGACGAATGCGACGAAATTAGCACACTGGATGAATCCGCTCTACAAATGCTTGTATAGAATTGAGTGAAAAATTGATCTAATGTTTCTAAAGTATATTCTAGTGTGAAGAGTGGGAACCACCATCACAATTTCCATCTTTACTTGATCGAATTGCTACTTTGCTGGAAAAATATCGAAATATTCGATCGTTACACAGTAGGAAACCGATCATATTTTGTTTGTGTGATTCTTTGATTTGTTTGATGACAGACTGGCAAAAGAAATGTCTGAATTTACCTGCTCGTCGAAAGAATCAGAATCTAATCTACACTCTTCCAACAAGTGGTGGCAAAGTTTCTATCAAAATTTCAATTCTCCTTGCAAATTCTGTACATGAATTTGTTTGTATCTTAGACATTAGTGGCGGAAATTATGATGTTGAATTGTTTATTTCATCGAAATCTTGATGCTGTCTTTATTTTACCATTCGTAGCGGTTGTTCAAGAGAAAGTTTGTTTGTTTTGCACAAAGATTATCTTTCTACGTCTTTTATTATCTAGGTTCGGAGCCTTCAGCCATTTGCTGATGAACTTGGTGAGTGTGATGGAGAATTCGTTTTCGTGAAGTGTAGTTGTTTGTCTTAGGTTTTCATCTGGAAGAATATGCAGCAAGTAAAGGACGTTATCCACCGTTGAAACGGCGCGTGAAACGATCTCTCTATATTTGTACAATTGAAAAAGCCAATTCATTAATTAATAGTCTTATTGAAAATAATCGAATGACTGAATTAGGCATAATTGTTGTTGACGAAGTACGAAAGTATGAACTTGATGAATTTCTCAATTCATTCTTGGTCTTCTAGCTGCACATGATTGGCGAAGGACAACGAGGAGCTACATTGGAAAGTCTTTTGACTAAAGTTCGAATGGTTACACGTTAGTTACTCGACATATTCGGGTAAATGAGTGTAGGAAGAAATAACTTTGTTTAGCGCAACCACAGATTATTGGTATGTCTGCAACATTGGCGAATATTGGTGATTTACTTAAATTTCTCAATGCACAATTTTATGAAGAACGTTTTCGACCGGTAAGTAGTGGAAATAGATCGATAGATTTGGTTTGATGTTCGTTTTATAAAGGTTGAACTTGAAGAATATGTTAAAGTGAATGATATGGTGTATAAGATTGATCGAAATAGTCATCCACAATTGATTGAACATCGACGATTAGATTTCAAAGTTTGCTATTTTGCTAATTTGTATCACACGAAAGGAATGAAACGAATTTTAGTATACGAAACAAGATTTGTTGAATGATCCTGATCGACTTGTTGGTCTGGGTAAGATTGTGTCATGATCTGATGATTTTTTAGTCATATTTTGATTCTTTGGTAGTTTCGGAAGTTATCCCAAATGATTCATGTTTAGTTTTTTGTGCGTCGAAAGTAAATTGTGAAAACGTGGCACGTCTGATTGTTAGTTTTATGCCCGAGTAAGATTGAATTTCTGGTCAAGTAGATTTCTTGAATACCGTATTCAGAAAATTACGTGAAGACAATAGTGAAAAACGTTCGATTCTACTTGAAGCTCTCGTCGAAGTAAATGAAGGTGACTTATGTGAAGTATTGAAAGCAACTATTCCCTTTGGTGTTGCATATCATCATAGTGGTTTAACCGGCGATGGTAGATATGAATTTGCTGGACAAAATGAAGAATAGTTATGTATATGAATGATTTCAGAACGACAATTAATTGAAGAAGCATTCCTAGATGGAATTCTGACATGTATAACATGCACATCAACACTTTCAACTGGTGTTAATCTACCAGCAAAACGGTAATCGATTCTTTAGTGAGAATATCTTTGTTTTTATCATCGTTTTATTAGAGTTATTCTTCGATCACCATATGTTGCTAATCAATTTCTAACGATTGCTCAGTACAAACAAATGAGCGGTAGGAAAAACAACTATAAAGACACGAGTTCGAAACTTTATTCACAGGACGTGCTGGTCGAACTGGTCAATCTCAAACTGGCGAATGCTATGTAATCGCTCATGAAAAAGACATGAAATCAGTAGGCTTATCTTTCCTAATCGAAGAGTAACTACATTGCTATGTTTGATTCTTACAGCTTCGAGAGATGTTATTTACTGCAGCTGAAAATAATACTGGCTGCGATAGTCATCTAGCTACAAATAACAATTATGCAATCAAACAACTTTTATTGAATGTCATCAGTCTCAAAGTAACATGGTGATGATTTAAAATTCTTCGTTTTCATTCTGTATGTTTAGATGTGTACAACATATGAATCTTTGACAAGTTTAATGCGAAAAACTCTTCTCGCTTTACAAGCTGAACGCTTGAATGTCAATCTTGAGAATCTTCTTGATGAATGCTTACAATATCTAATCGATATGAAAATTGTTGTGTTAAAAGAAGAAGAACAAGCAAGTAATGTTACAAGCAGTGGACATGCTAAACGAATGATTTACGAAACAACTAAATTAGGCAAAGCGACAGTTGAAGGTGAATCTGTCAACTAGATATCCATCGAAAATAATGTCCCCGATGTTCTCTTTTTAAGGTAGTGTGGAATTAGGATTAGCTGATACATTGCATAAGCATTTAACGAGCAGTTTAATGAACATGAATTTGGAAAACCCATTACATTTACTTTATATTACCATGCCATTCGATTTATCCAATATGACGATTGGGTTTCGTCAACTGGTGGATCGTGTAAGCTCATGAGTATTCAAAAGACATGTTGAGATGTGTTCATTTAGATGCAAGAAATGAAAAGTGAAGAAAAATTTGTACTGAAACTATTAGGAATCGACGAAACATTTCTACATAAGAAAGCTGTTGGCTTATCGGCACAAACAGTACGTAGAGAGAGAGAGAGAGAATCTCTACCAAATTACATCTGTACATCAATAGACAGTGAGCAAAGAAACATTATTACGCTTTTATATCGCCATGATGCTGTACGATCTGTTCAAAAATAAAAATTTCTACGAAGTCGCCAAATTTTGGGACCAATCACGTGGCACTATCCAAAATCTCTACTCCCAAGTGGCATCATTTGCAACATCTATACTTTATTTTAGTAAAGTAAGATTGTCAATAAATGTTCACTTATCTTCCATATTCTTTGTTCGAGATCTACGATGAATTTTGGCCTTATCAACAATTGTGTAAGTATAAGAGAATTGATAACGATAAAGCATAGTCAAGTGCTTTTTAGTACCGATCTTCATTCAACGATTAACATTTTGTACATCGTTAGAAATCTTACCGCTGATGGAAATTCCCGGGATTAAGAGAGTAAATCTCTGGATATGTAGATTTGTTAATCGATTGTAAAATCTTCTAGGGTCGTGCTTTACAACTAGTACGTGCAGGTTACCGTACACTTCGAAGTTTAGCGAAAGCACAACCGGATGATTTAATGAAAGCTGTACTTAACTTACCATTACGAACAGCACAAATTCTTGTTAAACATTCCAAGGTGATCTCTCTTTCATTTGGTAAGAAGGATAATAATCTGTGTTGCTTTTAGAGACTTCTTCGTGAACAAGCAGAAGATCTGCGAGATCAAGCAGCTGAACTAGTCGAACAGATCGAATAGAAGTACATCTTTTTTGAATCGAATCTTGTTATATTTTTGTACGTGTAATTTTATTAACAAATGAATAATTGTCCTTTCTTTTTGTTGTTGCGTGTTTAACTCGTCAGATAATTATGAAATAAAAGATATTCAAATGAAATAATTTCAACAAGACTTTCTATATGGATTTTCGAAAAAAAGAAAAAAAAGCAAAGACATATATTTTCTGATTTGTCAAAAACAAGAAAATCGAATAAATGATACATCTGTTAATTCATTTTCTGTCCCATCTACGAATAGAATGTACAACATTCACGCACACGAAAAGAAATGAGATAGTCACTCTACCAAACCACGTGTTGAACTTTGCCTGTATTTCTTTGCCCACCTCCTGGTAAGAATGGCATCTGTGGTTTGCCGGAAAGAGAATTTCGTCGCTGTGTACCGAGTTTACCTTCGATTTCAGCTTTCTCTTTGTCTTGCAACCATTTTTCGTACGCATCTTGAGCGCTAACAAATTTGGTTTCTTTAGTTTCATTAAGTTTTTTCAATTGTTCTTCGCGATTGGCTTTCTTAGCTTCTTCTGCTCTTTTGATTTGTTGCATTTTCTTTTCGTTCCATCTGTCATAAGCTTTCTCCGCTTCTATCACTTGCTTTTGTTTTTCTAATTCGAAATGGAAACGATACATAATTAGTAGATAGAAAGGCAACAAACAAACCTTCTTGTCGTTTTTCGATTGCAGCTTTTTTATTCTGTTCTTGGTCGATTTTATCATGACTTTGTTCATCTTTCTTCTGTTTCCAATTCTCGAAACCATCTTTAGCATCCTGATTCAATATAAAAGGCAAGTTTAGATGTGAGTTTTCAAAATATGCTGCTAATCATACCTTTTTCTTCTGCAATTCTTGCTGCCGACGTTTTTCTTCATGTTCACGTTTTAACGCTATTTCTTCCTGTTTCTTCTTTCGTATCTGTTCCTCTTTTTCCTGTCGCCATTGATCGAGATTTCTCATATTTTGTTCTATACGACGTTGAATTTGCGATTTATCAACACGTTTGGCTTTGTCTTCTTCCCAACGTTTTGTTAGTTCTTTGTCTTGAAGTCGCTGTTCCTCCTTGGTTTTCAACCATTCGAGATAGACGCCATCCTTTATTGATTGACTCGATTCTGCACGCATTTGACTGGTATTGAGTTCATCAAAGTTTATCGAAAGATTCGTATTAACACGTGGTTTGACATTTTCATATCCTGATGTGGAACGACGGCGTTGCCGTGTCGTGTCATTACTTTTGTTCGTTGCCGAATGGGCACGCGTGCGCGCACTTTGCGGTCGTGGTAACGTTTGTGATTTCAATTCCTTTTGCAGAGCGCGTTGAATCGATGCAGTTAAATTGATAGCCGATGTCGGCGTTCGACCTGTATCAACACGTGATGTTATTTCTTTATAACGAGGAGGAATTTTGAATTGTTGTTTTTTATGAATACTGCCTGTCGTTGTGGAGTTCGGATTTGGTCTAGGTCGTGGTGGTAATTGTGCCGATGGGCGGGGAAGTGGTGTTGGTGGTAATGTTGGCTGAAGTGCAGCTGCAAGCGCTTCATTGTTTGATGTCAGAGGATCGAGTGTATGTGGCATATTTGCCGATGTAACATTATCAATCGCTGATTGAGTTTGCTGACGTGTTGTATTCGATTTGGCTGATGATGGTCGAGATTGAGACTGCTGGTGAACTACAGGAGGGATCACAGTTTCTTGCTCTTCGCAATATGATGAACGACGACCGGACTCGACTTCTTTTTTACTCGCTGAACCTGGTCGACTCGACGGCAATTGATTAGTCGTTGCTTCGATATCTTTCGGTACGGTCTACAAAAGTATAGAATGAAATTTAATGCGAATGAAAAATCGTGTGGATTACCTGTTCTAATTCATGAGTGGACGGTCGATGATTTTTCAAAATCTGACGATCGGAATGACTTCTTTCATCGTGATCATCATCATCACTTCGATCTGAATCATCTCTACTTTTTGTGCTGTTTTTTCGTGATTGTGGTTTATCGTTGGTTGTAGATGAATGTCGAGATTTAATGAAGCTACTTGGTTTTCTGTGTTTCGATGACGTCGATTCATCGTCGCTATCACGATGTTTTCTCTCGTCAACATCATCGTCACGATCTATTGAAAATTTTCGACTATTTCTTCGTAAGTCCGAACTTGGATTCGAGTTAAACATGTCCGTCGGTGACTTTCGTCTCTGTTCGTTGGAGAAGCCGTCGGCAAATTTCCGATTATTTTCTTCATCTTCTCGCATTGTTGTTATATTTCGTGGTCGTGGACTTGGCTTCATTGTTGCATGCCCGAACGCATCCCGATCATCATCGTTAATATCGATATGTCGTTGTGCTACTTTTGGTCTGTCTCCATCTTTTGTTTTTAGAAACGAACGTTCCATTGGCTTTGGTGTACGCTGAGTCGATGTACCGCTCGACGTACTTCGGCCAGTTTTCGTGTCTAATTCTTCATCAGAATCGTTTGAGTTCCTCTCATCGTGATAAATACCACCCAGATCGAGATTCAAATTGGACATATTACCAGGCTTCGGTCTTGCTAAAGTTGATTTCAAATCTTTCGAGCCGAATGTATCCGTTTTGTGAAAACGCTGAGTTCGAAGAAGTGGCGATGAACGATCAAGTTCGTCATCGTCATCGTCATCTAAACCACGAATGCCTCTCATTACTACGCTAGAGATAAGTTAAATTGAATATATATGATGCTTGTAAAGGTCTTTTTCTTTACGCCGACGCCATTATTGACAAACACGTGCAAGACAATACGTAGTAACAGACTTGCCTATGAAATGACTGATTGACAGAGTGAAGATAGTTCAGATGGTGTTATTTTCCTGAAGAAAAAACGAATTTAAAAAAGTAATTGAACAAATTTAATGAGATTCAATTTAATTTCTGAAAATTTAAATTGACCAATCAGATGTCACCTACGGTATTATCGATGAATCATTCGATCTGTTCGGGCTCTTCCACAAGAAAAAAAATGCCAAAAATTATTGGCATTCTTGTCTACTTGGTATCAATAACCAAATATGTACTTTTCATTTTTCATTTCAGTCAGTCCTGATCGTGTGTGAAACCATTCGATATAGTTCAATATAGACACAAGATTTCCTGCCTGATCGATTGTTTTATTCTGAGACGGCATCAGTTGTCTCCTATATATCTTTTGTCTTCGAATACAAATAAAAATTGAAGAGATAAAACAAGTTAAAAACAAAATTTCGTCCTTCCTTTGTTTGAAGACTTTACTCCTTAGAAAATACAGATAAGTAATAAACTTTGAAAAGCGAGAGTCCGTTAGAAAGAAAAGAAAAACACTATAAACATCTCTTCAGTTAGTACTAACCGCTTACGATTTCATCATCTCATTTCCTTTTCAGATTATTTGTGTTATTGTCTTTGTCTTATTTTCTTCATGAATCCAAAATGAAGTCAAGTACTATCTGGGGTTTGTCACTCGGAATCGGTATACCAGGTGCGCTCATTCTAATTGGCTTACTTGGTTTATTGATAAAGTTTTTTATGAAACGTTGCCGAACCAAAGCATGGAATGATATTAGTTCTCCTCCGAAACAAACTGAGTCAGTTGACAATCCATCCTATTCACGTAAAGCTCCCAAACGCAGTGCGTCTGACCGCCAACCATTGTATCAGTCGGGCGAACATACTTCCATCGAGGTATCGGAAGGACACATATCCATTCCAGTGAGTGAAGCGCCGACTCCAACTTCAACTCCAGCTCCAGTTGCTCAACAAGATCAGACATTAGTCCAAATTCAACGTGATCGATTGAATCGTCTTAAAGAAGAAGAAAATCGTATTCGACCAATGTTGCAATTGAATCGCGGTGAATTTGATATTCAACAAGCGATCGATCAAGCTCAAAAGGAGTTCGATGAATCGGTATGATATTTCTGTACATTTTGGATGATTTAATCAAAAAGAAAGAAGAACGGACTAGTTTGATCAACTTTTTTCGGTATATTTTTGTGTGCTGTTTTTGTCTATTCGATTGCTTTAATATCAGAAGTCTTTCATTTTCGATATGAATATACTGTTTGTTCGATTATTTGCATTTTATAGGTAGGTACAGTTACAGGCAAAACGAAACGTCGCCGTGATAAATAAGTTTGTTCAATGAAAACAAAAAACTAATCATCTTTATCTTCCATTTATGTTAGCGCTTCTTGCTTATCTTCTCAGATTTACTTGAAGCTTTATCGAATGAATCTTTCTTCTTCATGTTTTTTATCTCGTTTTTCAAATTGATGAAGTTATTTGTGTTTCTTATTCTTCGAGATTAAAAACTAATCAACTAATGTTAAACTTTAAATTATACATTTGCTTCCGAAAAATCTTAATGTTGATCGAAATTCTATTGCTGTAGTAAACCATAATCATCGTTCCAAAATGAATGTCAACAGTATTGACATTCTCAACGAAATAAACGGACGATGAAGAATATTTGATTCTTCTATTGATGAGTAGTTGTGCATGGCGTTGGCCAGTTTCAAAAGATATCCATTTGACTTTCTTTTTTTTGTTCTTTGGATCAAAATACAAAAGATAAGAATCGATGTAAAGATTGCGATCTGAACTTCAAATTCGATAGCAAAGGAAAAAGCTCGGGTTTGTTTATTTTTTTTTAATGTTATTCTTGCGTACTTCGATAAATTAATATACTAGAGAGGAAGAGAGAGAGAGAGAGTCAAACTCAATTTCCTTTTATTATATGTACTTTGACGAGTATGTAACGTATGCCAATGAGTTAATGTTTTTCTTTGAATGTTAACAGTTTGTGCATTTCTTATTCTTTTTTTCTCTCTCTCTCTCTCTTTTTGAGATTTGAATATAAGCTGTATTAATGTGAAGTACACTTTTGATCAGGATAGAGATGACTCAATTCTGGCAAATATACAAAAGATAATTTATTAGATTTCAACAAATGCTCTTCGTGAGTGTGTTTTTTACGATTCGATACACATACGTGTAGCGTTGAGCAAATAACTGTTTCGAGATGTCCTTTCTCTCTTATTCTCTTCTCGTCTTTCTACCTGCCTGTGCATAAGCAGTGTCATAGCGGAAAGTTTAACGCGTCGAATGTGCTGTTTATTACACTTCTCTTTCTCTCTCTTTTCTTCTCTATTCGATGCCAATCCTACCAATGCATTTCGGTGTGTCCTTCAATAATACAGGTAAAATCTAATCACGTTTTTTCTTTCTTTATATGCCAACGAAACGATATAAAAGCGCAGTGATCAATGTCAATGTATTAACGTGAGTATACAATCACGTAACAGAGATCGAAAAACTAGTTGAATCAGTTCAACATGTCGGTGAAAGAGATTGATGAACGGTTATAAAATTGGTATTTAGAAGAAGTTACGGGCATATATTAACAACTTTCATTGACAATAACCCGGAAATCGTGTACCAAAGTTCAATCGGCGAGGTCACCCAATGAAAGAATAAGTTGTTCTTTCCGTGTTAAATCAATCAAAGTAATAAATCTCGACTCGATATTTCATATATGATTTTAATCTGTCACTTCAATTGTCAACGATTTGTATGGTACAATAGATTAAATTTTGTTGCTGTTGATTGTCAATATTTAATGCAAAGAATAGCAGATCGTCTTCGATAGATCTATCAACACCATTTCTCTTTTGTTTGTCTATGTGAAAGAAGGATTTTACTATCTCAGGAAAGGTGTGATGAGATCTATGAAACACGGTCAATCGTTGGACAGTTCGGAATATATTTTTCTGTTTATTCGTTGTTTGTCAAATCGAATGCAACATGTGGGAGTGACCTTGGCCTTTTCTGTTCTTTGCACATCGGCATTTTGCTAGTGACGAATGAATCATTCTCTCTCGTTTTCAATCTTATCATGTCTCGACGATAAACGATATATACATAAAATCTTTTTTTTGTTGTTTTTTCTCTTTCTCTCTCTTCCTTCTTTACAAATGCATCTCGTTGTTCTTCATCTTCAATCTATTAATAGCATCCGCGATTTATAATGTATATGCGTGCGTAGAGAAAATGATGACTAAACTTCAGGCATGTCACAATTTGAAGTTGGAATAGGAATGAGTAATAGAAGAGAACGCGACTGAACCTTTTCTTCTGTTTGCATCCCTACGACAATAAGATCGAACAGAGGCAAAAGAAAAGTTCATATATTTTCTTTCACTCTCGTCCTCTCTTTCTTTCTCTTTCTACTTTTTGTACTTCTTACGGGCAAATTATACTTCTTGCGGTTGGCCGGCCTGTTAGCGAACAAACAGTAAGCGAACATAGAAAATGCGCGTGTGCCATATATTTTTCGATCTCCATTCTCCTGCACTACGCTTTACTAGACAAGAGTAGAAGAGAGAATAGAAAGAAAAAGAAAAAAGAAAATGAGTTATTCTATATGTATAGTCGAGTCACTGTCAACGGCATTCATTGAAGGAGGAACATAACCAGGTAAATTGTCACATACATCTTTCTTTTTTTCGTCAGCTCAAAGATCTTTTTTTTCTCTTTCTTCCTCTATAGGAAAAATGAGTGAAGTAATCGAAGATTGTAGTACAACGCATGCAATTAAACCTTCAGCGTATGTTCTAACAAAAAAAAATAGACAAGTTGTCAAATGAAGATTTTACTTTTTTTCTGCTCGTAATAATTGATTCATATCAATTCGTAAAAGAGCAAATTCGTTTTTTTCTCATCATATCAGCGTGTGACCGACAAGGAAGAGAGTTCGATACGAATATGTGTGTATAATGATATATATATATATATATATATATATACAGGTAGAAAAATAAGGTGTAAGAGAACGAAAAAGTATTGATTTTAGAATTTCGATCAAAATGTAACAGAAAGAGAAAAAATAAACATATTCTTACCCAATACTTATGTTACGAAGACATTGAATTGTACATATAGATGAACATGAAGCTTTAGAAATGATATTTGTTAATTAGAAATTTTCTTTCTAGATAATCATGATATTATCAATAAACATTCAGTTTTTTCTATTATTTATTATCTCAATTCATTCTCAACAAATGCAATGGATTCTACTTAGTGACGGACAAGTCGGAGGAAATGTGCCGAGTCCAAGACGTGATGCAGCACTTGGCTTTGATTCTTCATTTCTTATTCTATACGGTGGAAGGGACCAATCAGGAATGCCCGCTCAAGAGATATTCACTTTCAATATTCTACAAGGTAAATTTCAATGGATTGAATTCATCTGGCATACATGTTTATCTATTAGGATATTGGGATCTATTGTCTTTTCCAAATGCTCCACCTGCTCGCTATGGTATGGCATACGCAAGTTCACCAGGTAGTGGTTTATACATATTTGGTGGCTTCGGGAGACAAGGTTCATCAGCAAACTATAATCCTTACACGGCATACGGCTCTGGTGGACTTCCAGGTTATAAGAAAAGTTCAGCAGTGAAAACAAAACGAAGCGCCAATGTGATGCCTAAACAAGGCTATAACGCAATGAATATGGGATACGGAAACTATCGATACAATGACGATAATATCGATGAAAACTATTATCCGTTAGCAGATGCTTGGTTTCTTAGTTATATGTAAATAGATTTTGGTAGAGTGATTTCTAGTTCACGCTGATTTGTTGAATCTAGGACAAAAAGCTGGCAAGAAACACAACGATCTCAATACGGACGTGGTTTCGGTTCGGCTGCAGCTTCGCCCTATTCGAGTAACATTCCACGAGTTATTTACAGTATGGGTAAATCACGTGATTGGATGTATTCGACCGTTGAAACAACTGGTCAAGCCACATCGGGTTATAATCAGTATGCTGGTGGACAAGCAGCAACAAGTAAGATTTTCGAGCTGAATCAAATATCAACCGACTCTTTCTTTTCTGTAGTTATGTATGATCAATCATCGTATAGTCCCGCTTATCCGCATGCACGTTATGGACATTCAACAGCATTACTCACAGACAATCATCTTTTACTTTATGGTGGCTGTTTAAGGTAAAAACAATTACTAACAATCGTATTAGTCATTCACTTTGACTCATTCTATGACTCATCTGATTACTCATTGATGAACAATTGATAGAACTTGATCGTCTCGTTGTTTTAGTGGTTATGGTAAAGGTGGTCCATGTCCATCGACCGATACCTGGCTCTTACATCTTGACCGTGGACATTGGGAACGTCTTTGGGAATGTCCAACAACGAAAACCGGTGCTGCTATGGTTACACTTCCGTCGTACAGTATGTGCGCATCGATGGCTCGTCAAGGAACAGTATTTGGTGCTGGCGCTGGTTTGAATATGGGCAATGAACAGCCAGTTGCAGTTCTTTGGGGCGGCCGAGAATTTAATCCTTCATCTATTCGAGTAAGATATCCTATTTCACTTGTTTAATCTATTGAATTTCATATTCTGTTTTTCTTAGTCTTATTTAAGTCCATTAGATGAAGTTGCAGTCTTCAATTTAAATCGAAAGGAGTGGCTATTGAAGAAAGCAAGTCCTTCAGTAAGTAGAACGTCTTGTTCTTCACTACGGATCTTTCAATCGCATTCTACAGTTATTCTTCTACTTCTTTCTTCTATATCTAAAATAAGGGTCAGTCTTCTAATCTGTTGCTAATATATTTTTTATTCGTTACAATGAATGTGAAGATAAAGCATGATTGTAACTGCATGATAGCTGCCCGTTTTGTTATCTGTTTGTAGCGATATCGATGTGTTCACTGTATTTATATACGTTCTTTGCTATATAGGAAAATGGTTATCCAAGACAACGTGAAGGTGCTGCTTATGTAGCAGGTTGCTTTCAGAATGCGCCCGGCATGTTCGTTTTTGGTGGAAGAAGTGTCTCGTATGTATCAGATGTGAACAAACAAACATGTAATTCAAGATAAAATTATCATTTTCAGTGATGGTCAACTTCTTTCTGATCTTTGGTTTCTACAAGCAGCACCACAAGCTGCTCTGAGTGCACCTCGATCACGTGGATGCATATATCCATTCTCATACTACCATCTTCATGGAATATTTCAATTTTTTACCTACGGTCTCATCTTTCCCATTGGTTACTTTGTCGGTCGACATACGAAAACTCTATCAATTCGACGACCACTACATATGGGCTTACAAGTAAATTGAAAATGATCATTTAATTTCCTTTTGCTGGAAACTCGATTTTTCTTTTTAGCTATTTGGTGTTGCATGTGCCATCTGTGGTTTTGCTTTTGGTGTTCATTCAGTTCGAACACCATCATGGCTTCACTTCAGACATCCGCATGCTATTATTGGTATAATTACTTTCATCTTAACCATTATACAATTTTTCGTTGGATTGTAAGTAGACAATTTCATTCCACAGTTTGAAAGGAATTCTGAGGTTATTTGATTAGAATTGGTGCATTTTTTATTGGACGACATTCTGTGAAAAGTGAACGCCTTACTGAATCAGGTCATAAAGTTACATCTGGAACATTTGCTTATGATAAATGGGGTGGTGAAGGTTTATGGCGTATCGCACATCGCATTATTGGATCACTTGTTTTGGCACTTGGCTTAGTCAATATATCATTGGGTGTTTTTCTCGCTGTATTACCGTTAGCTGTCTGGATTATCTGGTATATTTGGTTGGGTTTTCTTGTACTTTTACTTGTTGGTTTCGAAATCATCTCTCTCGTATCTGGAAGTGGCGCAAACAAAGGAGGCTCACTTAAGTTACAAGGTAAGACGAGTGAAAACAAATACATCTCAATTTAATGAGAAGATCTTTCATACAAAGAGGCCTTTGAAGCAAAATTGAGTGTTACTTGTAAATTCAAATAGGAGAAAGCCAATAGCGAACATTTCAGTCATCCGTCTTATCTCTCTCATGTAGCAGGACGTGAGGATCCAAGGGGTACATCACAATCATCTTTGAAATATTCGGATGAACCAAATACACAACATCACATAGCAGTACCAGCTCCACGTCGTGGTACGAGTCGTATTCCATTGAACGATTCATCCGCACGTGATAATAGTTTGAATCGTCGTCCTGTCGGAAGTTATAGTGGTGATGATATGGCTCCACTGATAACCCATCAAAGACAAACGAGACCGGGTGATGTAAGTTCATCGGCTGGTCTTCCAGATTATCATCGACCGAATGAACGCGAATATACAATAGCAACAAGAAAAAAGAGTGGACCTTCCGAAAGTGGAGGTTTCGATTATTATGTTGGTTATGGACCTGAACATGAACAACCTTTGCCGTACGTGGAAGATTTGCATATCCCCCGCTTTGCTATCGCTTAAATCGCATGCTTAATATTGTTTTTCGTGTGCTTTGCGCTTACACCTTTGCTTATTTCATGCTTAATCAAATGATTCATTCGAATTTAGTCTGTATCTATTTTTCTCTTTTTCTGATTGTAGACGATCGACCATACAGCAGCAAAACGAGCACAATCTCACTCGAGTTAGGCTCCAATAAACATCCATCTACACCAAATTCTCACCATATGATATCCGGCCAATATTCTTCGTCCACACTTCGTTCGGACAGATTTCCTTTATATCGACGAAATTAAATATGTGTGCATGTGAGTGTGAATGAATATTTCTTTCCTCTTCTTCTTCAATTTGCTATTTCTCAGTGAAAGATCTACATACACGCTGTTGGTTTTTCTCTTCTTGTAGTTTATGATCATTATCTATTTACCAACATACTTCTTTTCGTTTTTTCTTTCTTTCTAATTATTTTCAATCGCTTTTTCTTCTTGTATCACACGACAGTGTTGCTATTCGTTTTATTTGTTTTCTTCTCAATAAGCTGTTGTATATTTTTTGTTTTCTCTTTCTTCTTCGATATGTTCATGTCTATTTGTATGTATTTGCTTTCGTCGTCGATATATTCATAATTTTTATATATAAAACGACAAGTTTGTCTCTTTCGTTTTCTTTTTTAAATGAAATTCAAATTGATATTTCACAAAAATATATTGATTCCTTATCGGATGTTTCAAAAATCAAAGTCAATTATTTCTATAAGTCAAAATTGTCTACATGAATGTTTACCGAGACTTCGATATTGACAATAGGTTGAGACTGAGCAATGATTTAGCTATTAGCTTAGTCGTGTCAACTAATGGTGATGAAGATTTTAATTGATCAATGAAGATCAATCGATCATTACGAGTTCATTAGTGAGTCTTGTTTGTACTATGAAGAAAGACAGATGAGAAATCATTTTGTTAAAGCGATGTGTGAAGAAAACTTACTGAACGTATATTTGACATGCGTAGTACGAAATATTCTATTGTGAACTAGAAAAATCGCGCACTGGATGTTTCTATTGTTCTCTGTCACGCTTCTTCTCACTATTGCGTGGTGAAGTTTTAATTAAAAAATTTTCCTTTGAACAACGGAGAAACTGTTTCCCTTACGATAAAGTCATTCATTATCTTTAACGCAACTGAAAATAAGCGGCAACTTTTGTGATCACAAGATCTCGGTCTTTCAATAGCGTAATTGACCTTTTGGTCGTCTATATATATATATGTTTGTTCCTAAACGAACGTAGCTATCATATGTTGAAAGACATCGGTTATTGTTTTGACTGTTCGTTCGTATAGAAAACAACTCTTTTATCATGAGTTGATGCCGTGAGACGTGTCTAAATGAGTATTGATAAGGATCATTTGTTTGAGTATCGAATTATGTAAAATTTCACGATTGTTAGAAGTACTTGAACGAATTTCTTTCGAGAGGAATCTTTCTAAAGTATTATTCAAGCGGAAAAGACTGTTTAATCAATTAGAAACAATCGTAAAAATGGTGAAGTTAATGAAAAAAAAAAAAGAATTGAAACTCGAGATAGAACATCGAACTAGCTGATTTTTTGTTTGTAAAAGTAACTTTGTCAGTATTAATCGTTTATCTAATGATGACATACAACAGCCATCTCTAGTGGGTTTGTATAATACATAATTAATGCTTAAAATAATTTTCTCTCTTTGTTGTTTTCCAAAGTTGTTGGCGTGATTAAATGTCGTGTCAAGAATACTTTGGATTCGTTTTTGTTATGTGTTGTGTTTGAGTAGGCCAAAAAAGAAGATAGTCGGTTATTTACAGAAATCTTTTCCTTTTATTTTAAGACGTTCTCGGTGAAGAGAAGTTCGACTGAAACTATTTTACATTTATATACAACAGACACAAAAGAAGTGAAAACTGTTCCTTTCGTCTAGTTCAACTATGTCGCCTCGATCGTGTTCGATATGTCTTTGTCTCGTCCTGGTATCTATCATCAATCTATCAGCAACAAATCCGATTCGTAAGTACTTTGAAAGATACTTTCGGTCGATGAGCTCGTTTTGGATTTTCTTGAAGAGGACATTGCTAATCAAAACGCACAATATAAACGTTTCTTATTGCATCCGAAAATAATATCAAGCGAATCAGATATTCTCAATAATCTCATTCATTCATCCTCATTTTCAAATCCCAAAACTGTCGATTCATCGTTGGAACCGTGTGCAAAAAATCCTTGTGAGAACGGTGGAATATGCTTGTTGAATGCGCCAATGAAATACATATGTCAATGTTCCATGAGTCATTATGGTCAACATTGTGAAAAAAGTAAGATTAAGTCATAATGAATAATGAAGAAAGGGTTTGGTTAACATGTTTGTTTAGGTTTCAGAAAGCGCAAAGGTTACCGACAACAGGCATCATTGTATGAATTGTCGAAACAGATGAAACGTTACATGAACACACAAGTTGATAGCGATGAAGACGAGGAAGAAAGAGCTCAATATGATTTTCGCAATGGAATATATTTTTGAAGAAGTTTTAGTTTTACAAACAGAAATTAATAAAACGAAGTTCCATTTGTGATTCTATAGCCTGATTCGAAGCTATCAGTTTGATTAGAAGAAAAATTTCTGTTGGCATCTTGAGACACCAAGGGCACAGATCATCCTGGAAAAGGATCGCCTGATAATAAAGGAAACCGCGAATTGATGTAAGATTAAACCGTATTTTGTATGTCGACTCATCTATATTTACACACCGATTAACGTGTGTGATATAGACAACGCAATTTAACGCCACGCCCATAATTCGATCAATGAATACTAATCAATCACCTAGACGTTCGAAGATAAAGTGAGAGATGTCAAAAGCGAATATCTCTTGCGCTTTTCCAATCGATACTAGTAGCATTTCATACAAATCTTCATGACATAAACATGCCCTTCTTGTGTAAACAAATCTTTTGTACGCAGGTCGGCGAGTATGAAATTTTCATACGCCCAAAAATAATTATATTTCATCATACCTAGGCGTTCATGGTTACCATGTGTCCACCTGAGCGATACTGACAGATGTTTTCTCTTTTCCTTGTCCAATTGTACGTTATATTAAAATAAAGCAGTGGTGACTTGTCTTTTCGTCATATGAAATTTGTACTTTCATAGGTACGCAGGTACTCTTGACACCATTATCAGATTTTTTTCACCGCAATACAGTAATCAATCTAAAAGTAGCAGAAACTGACGTAAAAGCTTAAATTTACACGTTCATAAAGCTCGATCTAGCCTTTCTGATCAAGGTTGAAGTTTCTCCACTTCTATTTACCGTTCGTACGGCATATCTGTCTCTGTTTACATATAATCGAAACAGGGCATATACTCGTACTTGTTTTTTTATACGTTAAGAACGATAATGATAATGCACTTTGTTCTTTGTACATTTTTGCATCATGTTTATTGCGATGCGTTCTCTGCTTTCTCTTTCGTACATATGCGTCACGGATAGAGAAATTTGTTCCTATATAAGCAGTGTTTTTGCTATGCATTCGTATAATTTACCGTTTTATAGTTATTAATGAGAGAAAATGTCTTCGAAAACCCAGCTTGATTCATTTGTTCTTAGTGCTCTAACATGTCCTATCACCTTGGAGTTATTTACTGATCCGGTGGTTGCAGATGATGGTCATACATACGAAAGGTCGGCTATAGTCGAATGGATAAAAAACCATCATGAAACGAGCCCAATGACACGACAGACCATAAAATTGAAAAATCTAAAGCCCAATAATGTCGTCAAACAATTAGCTGATCAATACCGTTCGTCATCTACATCAAATGTGAGTACAGATTTAGTTATTTTCTACGGTGGTGGTACATTACTGAACAAACAACAGCGACTTCTGATAAACGATCTCTTCTACAAACCAAAAAAATGGTTATTAATTTATAAAGCAACTCGAGATGGCTTCGGTTCAGGTGATTTCCACAACCATTGTAATAGTCGAGGTGCTACACTCACATTGATTCAAACGCGCTCTCGTTTTTCAAGGAAAAAGCATCCAACAATCTTTGGTGGTTATACTACGATTCCGTGGTCGTCTCGGTATGCATTCTATACCGATCCACAAGCATTTCTATTCCTTCTAAATCGAAATGAATTGACTCGATTCAGTTTGGGCTCACAAGAAGAAGTCGCTGTGTCACATAATATTTCTGCAGGACCGATTTTTGGTTTTGACGATATTCATATATGTCATCGAGCTAATGAAAATAGCTTCAGCTACTCGAAATTTCCCAATTCCTATGCAGATTCCAAGAAAGATGGTCTCGGCAGAAAAACATTTTCCAAAACGAAATTTTTCTCAGTTGCTGAAATCGAAGTTTACAAGGTCGTCACATAGACTCATCCACTGACATATATAGGCTAATGTTCAGATAAATAAATCTTATATTCAGAAATTTTTACTGAAATCTCTTTTAATATTAAATAATGTTTTCAAATTGAACCATTCATTCGATTGTGTTACATAATTATGTTCATCACGTAACTCGAGGTAAAACATCGAACAGTGAAAATTTTATTAAAAAAGAATGACGCGAAGAAAAGTGTTAGGTTGGATAGACGGTAAATAACCATACTCTTTTGCATTGAAATCTGTTTATAACAACCGCGAAAATGCATGTTTCTCATACTTTTCTCCTTCTCTAGCAAGTTAATATCATTTCACATACAGGTGCGTGTCTCGTTCTCTTCGCACAAGTAACGTCGACCATGTCGAATAAAGTCGCTTTTACTATGAAACTCAAACCAAATGTTGTCGATGAATACAAACGACGACATGATGAAATTTGGCCAGAACTGGTTCATTTACTTCAGCAACACGGAATATCTGATTACTCGATTTTCCTCGATGAACCGTCGTTAACATTATTTGCCGTACAGAAAGTATCTTCGAATACGACATCTTCAAACGAGAAATTACGTGAAGATGCGATCATGCAACGTTGGTGGAAATACATGGCTGATCTAATGGAAACGAATCCTGATCATTCGCCAGTTACACATGAACTAAAACTTGTTTTTCACATGGACTAAAACATTCACATTTTCTAGTTCGAATACTTCTCTTTTCTTTTCGATTTCAATATAAACGAACAGATGTCGCTGAATATTAGCGCTGTTATACAAGTTGATCATTAGTCGATCAATTGGACCAACGACTAACTAACACTTCCTTTGTCTTTCCATACTGACATCATAATTGGGGATTGCCATTGTCTATGGAATATATCACATTTTGTCTGAGTTTAGGTTTAGGCGAAATGAGTTGGACTATTCTTTTTTGCTTGCCGGACGAATTTAAGAGTAACCCATATATCAATAGCTTGTGCCTTTTTTTGCAGATTGTCATCAGTGATATTAGTAGCAATTAAACAAATTCAAGCAGCCATGGGCCGACGACTTAGTAATGAAAAAGATGACACACTAAACGCTAAACAAGCCACGAAAGATTCTGATTCCAGTTCAGATTCAAATCTTGATGAAGAAGAATTCGTTGTCGAAAAAATTCTTAAAATGCGCACCACAAAAAAAGGCAAAGTTCAATGTAAGTCTTTTGTTCTTCTTCGGTTCAGTAAGCCTTTCGCTGTTCACTTAGACTTACTCAAATGGAAAGGCTTTCCCGATAGTGAAAATACTTGGGTAAGTGGAACAGTCTAGGACTGTGAACAACCGAATTCGAACGAGCATTTGAATTTAGGAGCCAGCGGAGAATCTTGAATGTCCCGATTTGATCGCAGCGTTTGTAGCTGAACAGAAGGAAAAGCAAGAAACATCGACATCAAATGGCAAACGATCTCATTCGATTGCGAGCACCGATGAAGTAAACAATAACAGCACATCGTCAACCAAACGACCACGAATTGAAATCGAACAAACAGGTTATCATCGTGGTTTATTACCTGAGAAATTAATGGGTGCAACAGATATCTACGATGGGGAACTTATGTTTTTGTAAGTGTAGTTTGTTTTGAAAACAAGTTTTCATGATTGATTTCCTTATTGTAGAGTCAAATGGAAGGATGTTAACAAACCAGAATTAGTTCCATCCCGTATTGTCAATAAACAATCAGCCCAAATGGTTATCAAATTTTACGAAGATCGTTTGACTTGGAATTCCACGGCGACATCGACGAATAATAATAAAAATCTTTAAAAAAAAATTGAACATTGCTTTGTTTTCTATTTGTTTATTATAAATTGTCTGTTTTCGTTCAGAATAGTGTTTATTCTCAAAATAACATACACATGCGCTGATTTTTTTTTCGTTTTCCTTCTCCTTCTTTTCTTGCTTATTGTTGTTACTGATCGTCTGTGTCATGTGATCGGATTTTGTTGTATATTTTTCTTGAAAAAAAAAACCATGGATAGGATACCAATACTTCTAACAAAAAATGAGAGCTGTGGCGTTCGTCTATTTTCGAACCTGTTGTATTTTTTTGTGTATGATACTAGATCTACGCTGTGAAATAAAAACGCTTTTATACGTTAGAATCATTTTCATGTTCAATCACACAATGTCGTCACATGTATGAACGAAACGTTAAGCACACATGTGAACGTTTTAAGGAGAAGAAAATATTTGTAATCGATGAATCATTGACGATATTTCGTTACTATATTTTGCAATTTTCGGAAAACATATTGTACACACACACACACGTAAATTAAACAATACGATCGTTTATAATAAGACAGCATGTATCAGACAGAAAGAAAAAGTGTTCTAGACGTACGTACATGGAAATAAGAGTAATAAATACAAATAAAAGAATGTCGAAAAAACAAACAACTAATATCCGTAGTATTTACAATAAAGGAAACATTGATTTGACAGAAATGCTTTTAAAATCAGTACTAGAAGATATGGCAGCAAAGGATAAAGTTAAATACTAGACCGTGATTGACTCTTTCTCTTCATACAGTTCTTTGCTTCTTGCGCGGTGGGCAGATGATGTTATTCTGTAAAGAAGCCATGGCTTTGTACACATCAGCTAACAGATGTGGATGTGTACAGATCATTGTTTGAAAACCGCTCGTTTCCAATACATCTAAAGAAACAAATGCCAATTCGTTCGACTTATTTTCATCAAACAATCTTCTTGTCATACCTTGTGGATGCGTGTTGATAAAATCAATAGCCTGTTGCCTTAATTGGGTTGCTGAATGCAAATCAGCAAGTATAAGAGTATCAGCGACATTATCTTTATCGATTATTGTACATAGGGTTTCTTCACATTGAACTTTAAGTCTTTCTAAACAGTATTTATCAGCAGCAGGTAAAAGTGCGTCAGCTAATTTCTCCATATTTTGCGTTTTTCCTGTGTAGATAAAACGAAGAATTTCAAGCATAATGTCACCATCGATGTCTTCAATTTCTACGCGTGAACGTTCATTTTCCAGCATTTTGTGCTCGAACATTGCTTGGAAGACTTTCGAACGAGCGCTGAGAATAGCTTTATGCACAGGAAATTCTCGATGTCCACAGACAAGTGTCACATCGGAATAAACAGGATTGTCCAATAGTGACAGAAAATCGTCACTCAAACGACATTCGGGGATTTTGAACTGAAATAGCAAAAACCACAAGCAGCAATATAACCTTGAACCACCAACAGCTGTTTGTTTACATACCGGATTTATTTGTGTTTGTCCGCATGTATTAATACTATCGGCGACAACGCTGACCTCACAAAACAAAGTTAATTTATCATCTGGTAATAGTCCATTCGCTTCGTCAATGAGAAAATCTCGACGAATGAACTTTTTGAAACCCCAATCTTTCCCTACAAGTTTGTGTTGTTAAATGAATAGTAAAAGAATCACTGTTTGACCATTACCTTGAACAAATCGATAAGCTCGTTGTGATTCCATAGCTTTGGTTTCATCACCTTTCGCATTGAGAATGGAGAATTTGAATTTAGCACGTGTTTCACATTTACTATTCGGTGCAGCAACTAACAAGAGATAAAGCGACAGGTAATCTTTGGATTCTTCATCGAGTCCTTTAGGGTTCAGACGTAGACACCATTTTAATTTATCGTTCGTATTCGCAGAAAATGACGACGATTTCAATGCTTCGCCCATTTCTTCTCGGCAAAATGAAAAGTTATTAATTGTCCAGTTAAACGAAAACTACACAAAGAGAACGTCAACGATTTTATTTCAACAAAATCATCGGATCTTCTACATACTTTGATCACTTTGACACTCGTTAAGCACCATGATTCAGACACAGGATGACTATAAGATTGAATTGGTTGTTGAGTATTTTGTGTAGGTAGAACGAGACTATCACCGTTCATACTGCCAGGAATATAGTGTATGGAGGGCGAAGGCGCTCGTACCACAACAATATTCTGCGGAGAGTCGGGAAGCATCATTTGCTCGCGAGTACGGATGCGTTTTGTTAATACAAGGACACACGTACCAATGAAGATGAAAAAAATCTATTTAAAATAAGAACGAAAAAAATTGCACGAGACTTTACGCGCGGTATGATTTTTTTTGAGACGATGAACAGAACAAATGACTACATAGTACAGAATGAAAGAAAAAAAGTTGACCAGTGCGCGTGTTCATCAACGGTCAATCACATGTATCTGATTTCAGCGAGATATAGCAATAGCAAATACGAAGATGAGTCATCGTACTGTATGAATCGATTCAAGATCACATTTTGACAGATGAATTTTCGACGTTTAGAAAACTTTCAAACGCTTTTCTAGTTCTAAGTAATTTTTTCTTTTAGATTCTATTTTATTTTAAATTTAGCGCACTCTATCTTGCCTTCTCATTGGTTCGCGTATTCGAGCAATGCAATTTACTGATTTTCATGTATGTTGATTAATGAATATTTACTAAAAAATACGCATGTCTATTCTATAGAAGGAGACAGTTTTCGTTTGAACACACGCCCATTTACTTATCTATCTACTGATTGGCTTGTATTATTGACGAGTGGAATAGAAATGTATCTTAGTTGCGATAAAAACACGTTTTATTACACAGCAAATTTTCTGTACGCAATGACATAAAGTAGGGGCGTGTTTTGAGTTGTAATAATGAGAATATTCGCTTAGATAGAAAGATACAAAGGTGAAAGAGCGCACATCTTGTGAATTGTTAATATGCACATCATGATTGAGATGAAACTTTCGTTAATTGAGCTACAGACATACATTAGTAAGGTGAACGCATAATCAAACTGTTCTATCTTGATAATTGATTTATAACATGAAAATCTTGTATGGTAGATGAGTTGTATTATTATATCACGTCACAATACATGAATTATACATGCCTGTGAATATCTTGTAGATCGAAATTTGTTTATTTTTGTCCAATGGGGATGAGCTTGAAAACCGTGCGTGGTTTCCGTCCAATACTTCGACTTTTCGATCCATCTACGTTTACTGCTTATTTTCTGGGAGGACCATCATCGGTAATTCGCTTCTCTTAATCGGATTCTATGAGTTTTTTTTCATGAACAATCTTGTCTACTATAGAAAACAACCGTATTGCCAGTCAACGGAATAGATATTCAGCCTGTATACTTACCACACCCACCACAACCATCTATGGGCATAACGGGTGTGAATGGTTTTGATCATTGGAAAATTGAACGAGTAATAGCCGTAGCTATGCTCGCTATGATTCCCGGTTCATTTGTATATGATTCCGTGTTTATGAATTACCTTTTGGCTGCTTCGCTTGCCATACATGCACATTGGGGTAAATCTTAATAAGAATGTTGTTATTAGTATTTGAAAGAAAACATTTTCCTGTATATTTAGGAATGGACAGTGTTCTAATTGACTATTGCCCAAGAAAAGCATTGCCTCTAGCCAATGTTATTCGTTATCTACTTACAGTCTTGTCTTTTCTTGGTCTTTGGTAAGAATATGACTAAATCTTAATTTTGACTTATTTTCATCTGTCTTTTCGTTGTTAGTTATTTTAATTATAACGATATGGGTATAACAAGAGCACTGAAAGCACTTTGGACTATAATCTATTAACGGATCTATTGGTTTTATCTTGTACAAATAGGAATCTGCATAAAACGTCTTTGTGAATTTATTTTTCTTTTTAATTTGTTGTGAGATTAAATAAACACCACAACGTCTATCTCAACAATCGAAGCATTTATTCGAATAACACTTCTTGTTGTTGATGTCTTATCAATGATATCTCAATTAGACTAAGTTGGTACGACTACACCTACGTTCTCAACAGTTTTCAATTAGGAAAATTGAATAACAAGATAAGACTTCTAAATTTGATTAACTGACAATAGTTTATGAAGTAAAAAGCTGCTGTTAAATAGCTAAACTTGGATTTGCACTTATCGTGTGATTGGTACATTTGAAGAATAGAGAATAATAGATATAGTTTCAGTAAGTTGTCTCGATGATCTTTTCTCAGTCCACAACACGAAAACATAATAAACATATGTTAATTGTTGTTTATTGTTCTAGAATCTTCAAATGACTGAGAGGTATTGTTGCGTTAACGATCTTGACTGTTGTTGTCATCATTAAGCTTGATAAATGAAACGAAACGTTAACTGACAAGTCATTCGTATGAATATGATTGTCGTTTTTTTTCAGATTTATTATTCTGTTGTAGTGTCGAAAAAGCGAGAGTGATGGGAAAAACAACGAACGAGGGATACAATAGAAATATTCAATGTGATGATTTACTGTTCTAATCTATCAACGCGCTTTGCTATCGCCCTAATAACAACAACATCTGCCTGACTGCTGTCCTTCATTTTTGTTGATAGCGAACTCCTCTAATAGGAGAAGAAGCTTGAAATAGCTTGCCGATGTTTTTTTTTTGTTCCTAAGAAATATATTATCTTAAGTATGTCGTAGCAATAGACGTTGTAGACGTGGAATGTATCCAATATCCTTTCTGACATAATATCAGTAGGTCATATACGCATAAAGTTCTACAGAATGGCAAGTGATGATGTCTGAACCGATTTTTTTCCAATTTTTTTCTCTGTGTAGACGAATACACCATACTTAGTTTCACATTTTATGATCACTGGAGCTGAACAATGCTTGGATGATTATCATTACATACGAAGCAAGATCGATGTTGTCAGTAAAATTTTCGTTAGAGAAATGAATCATTTTGGTGAATATTTTGTTGATATCTATTTAGATACATGGGCAGGAAGAGCAGTTGAGTCGTATTTTACGTATGTTAGATCAAGATGATGTTATTCTTAATGGACATCTTGCTGCAACGTCGCTTGGACGGCCAAGATCGAATTCACGTTCATATGATTTTAATCGAACATGTTTACCAGGCAATATTGCTTATCTACGTCTTCGCGAACGAGAACAAGAAGATTTGAAGCGGCGCTCGTTGTCATCATCAACATATGTAAGTCGTCGTCCTTACGAACGTCGACGACGCATAAGTGAACAAGGTAATGACTTTCTTATGTCGAAGTGCGCTACTCGACAAACTTTAAGAAAAACAGGTCTTGATTCATTCTTGTTGAATTCGGAAACACGACGTCGAGTAGATGACGATCAGACTAGTGACTCTCTCATGTCGAGATCCGCTCTTGCTCGACAACGTACAAAAGAGCAAAATACCGACTCGCGGTTGTCAACTTCTGCTGCACAAAGATCCATCATTGAACAAGAGTATGATTCCCTCAGGTCGAAATACGCCACTCGACAACGACCTAGTGGGCAAGACGGTGACGCATCACTGTCAAATGCTGCCATTCAACAACAAGCGAATGAGCGAGCCAATGACTCGTTCAAGTCAGAATCTGCAAGCCGAAAACGAAAAGATGAACGAAATGTTGACTCTTTTTCGTCAGATCTCGCTAGTCAGCAACAGGCCATCAACGAAGGCGCGAATTCTGTGTTATCAAATACTGACGCACAGAAACAAATCGACAAAAAGGGAAAGGATCTTTCGGCTACAAAATATGCTAGTGAGCAACAGAAAGAGATAGAGCGTACTGATCTATCGTCGTCAAATACTGCAGCGCAGAAAAAAACTGATAAGAAAGAAAAGGATCTTTCGTCAGCAAATTCTGCCCATGACCAGCAAAAAGAACGAGAAAGTTCCGATCTTTCTTCGTCGAATGCAATAAAACAGAAGCAAACTAGTAACCAGACAAAAAATCTTTCGTCAGCAAAATCCGACACTCAAACAGATCAAGATGGCCAGATAGCTGAACTTTTACCGTCCAGTTCAACAGACCAAAAACAGAAACAGGCTTCAACTGAAGAAAAATCTTCGAAGGAGAAACCAGTCGTCCAAGACGAAAAACAAGAACAATCGAAAAAAGATGCCGAGGTAAAAAACCGAAAAGCAAAAGCATCGAATGTTGAAGCCGAGGGTATGTGCAAGACGCAAACAAAAACGAAGTGTACACACACACACACAAATACACAAATACACATCCATCTTGTAGTTCAATTCACATCCCCATGCACTTGGTTTCACTTCATTCAATGATTTCACTAAAACTTTTTTGTCAAGATCTTTAGCTAATCTTTAGATTCTATGGAAAACGATTGATTTTGTATTATAGAATCTAACGCGGATGACGAATACTTTCTATCTCAAGCCTACGATCTGTTATCGTTCGTTGCTCATTACGAAGAATCCTCATCAGATGATCAAAGTCAGGAAAATCAAGATTCTCTTGGTTATCTCGTATGTGAATGGACAACACCGAAATTACCTTCGTCATCAACTCCGATCGCGTCAGCAGCAGCAGCTATAGATCATTTTACGATCGAACGTCAATTTGGCGGCCAAAACTGGTTACCCTTAGGAGAGAAAATCGATACAGCACAAAACAAAATTGAATTAGGTCTCTCCTCATTACTTGATGAGCAAATACAGGAAAATATCCCATCAAGTTATCGCTTAAAGGCACATTTTAAGAGTGGAAAAACATGGACAAGTAAGCCAACTAATGAAATCAACGTGGATTCTTTAGCTAGTGGCCGTTTTATAAAACCTGATGTCGAAATTCTCTCGCCGAACTCCGTTCAATTAACTTGGCAACCTACCGGTGATGAAAAGACAACGAAATATCATATTGAAAAGAAGGAATCTCATCAAAAGCAATGGACAAAAGTTTCGACAGTCTCCCTATTACAAGACGTTGCTCAAATCGACGATCTAACCGATGCTGAACAATGTGAATTTCGTCTAGTACCATCAAAATTAGGTGAGATCAGATGAAATCATTCATTTCTACAAAACAAATATTCTCCTACATCTATCTAGACGAAAATGAATCCGAGCTCTTGACTGTACAGAATGTCAACGAATGGCTCCGTTCATTACATATTGAACCAATATCGGCTAACATTGTCGATATCGATATATCCGAAGAAGGTTTTAAACAATTTGATCAATATAAAGTGGAATACGCAGCGATGGACCAACCAGACCAATGGAACCAAGTATGTACTAATGCCTTTGCAAGGGCAAAGCAAACATTGTTGAATGATTTTCTTCAGGTTTCGAACATCACTCGCGATGCTGCTCATCTAACAATAGAAAAACTAAGAGCTGGTGTTGATTATAAATTTCGCTTAACACCAATTCTACGCGGTTCAGCAACAGCAAAGAAAGACGCCATCTCCTCTCAGCTATCCCTCGTGCTCGATGTTAAAATGCCGTTGACACGCAAAGGACGATGTCTGTTTCGTATTTCTTTCTCTAGAAGATCATTGAACTGCTCCTTCTTTGTTCAATTTCAGTAATGAAAAACGAAATCAAGTCCAGCGAACCTCCCACCCAATTTGCTATTCATCAAACGGATCCGAAAACTGTTTTCATCGAAGCAATTCTCCCATCGAACAAACCAGCTCTATTCGAAGATATTTTCGATGTTTATTCCAAGAAAGATACTGCTAATGACGACTGGGTTAAAGTACGTGGGTAAGACATTGATTTCCAATATATTCGATATGTTTTCAAAGGTCGGAACAATCGATAAAGACCATCTCAATATGACAATCAAGAATCTTCCGGAAAACACAGCCTACACCTTTAAAATCCACAATCAATCAGCGCCATCCTCAGATGAACAAAGCAATATCGTACAAGAATTCAATTTCGAGACGGCATCAGGTTAATTGAAATTTATCAATTCTTCGAAAGCAAACTTCGTCTGTTTCTTTATAGTAAAACTCTATGATCCATCGCTCTTTTTGGAAAAGGTCGAAAAAACTCTCGAGAGCGTCGTTAGCGGTGTAATGCAAGCAGGTAAGATCATGATTCAAGTACTAGTTCGTTAAGAAAGAAAAAACTCTCTAACTGACATGTTATATCAGAGTTGTTGACACGCTTTGATTTGTTTTTAAAGACATGTCTAATAGAATTAGTATACGATCAATGATCCGATTATCTGGAAAAACATATGAAAGAAAAATACGACGATATTTTTACAGATGCTTTGACATTCGCCGAGACGCTTCTTGTAAACAATGAGAGCATAATTAAAATAGGGAAAATATTCGAATCTAATGAGTAGGAATGAAGAAATTATATCTTCAGTAAACATTAGTTTCTTCCAACTACGCATTCTCATGTTTTTCATATTGAGTGGGAAATGTTGGTGTAATTTAAATGAAAACATACTTCGGTCGGTTGGATATGATATAGAGCAAATTTGAAGTTACGATGTGTTTATTTAATATTTAGCTGCTGGTCATCAACCGCTCGACGATCCGTTGAATATAAGTTTGAACGATGTGATTCAAAAGCTTTTCAAAGAGGAAGATCTCGTTCCCAATGAACAATACGGTTTCGATACCTTAGCACTAAGCGAAGATCTACAATTATTTCACGGTCCAAAACAAATGATGTTACAACAATTAACAATCGACGAAACTAGCGAATCATCCAAACATGATGGAGAAATTATCATTCATAATTATCGCAAAGCCGAACATGAACTACAACCGGTGACTGTTCGCGAGGAACATGGCAATACACGTATTGGCAATATCGATGGTGATGTTATCATTCGAAATGTAGTAACAGATGTTTTGTTAACCAATGATCAGAAACGAAATCAATTGTCGATGAACATCGTCGGTCAAGCTTTCTTGAAGCGCGTTCAAGGAACATTAACTGCATCGAAATTCAAAGGAATTATTGTTGTGAAAAATGTGGATAGACCATAAGAAAACAAGACATGCGAGATGAACTTTGGACTGATTATATTTTTTGAAAAAAAAAGAGTTTCATTAGCCTTAGTCAATAAAACAACCATTTAACTATGCGTAGGCGTTCATAGTTTTGTTCGAACTAGCGAACTGAGACGATGCTGGTTTTCGTTCGTCGGACTAGATTCTAAATATAGCACAGGGAATTGAAAAATAAAACTCATCTTATGTCGATACAAACTATTGGTTGCGAATGACTGCCGCTTTTGATTCAAAAATGCTCTACGAAATCGTGAGTTGGTTATGATAAGAGTCAGCGGATTGAAATAAATTGATGATTTGGCAAAGATCGCTAGGTAAATAGATTCAGTAATTAATCCAAGATCTATTAATGACAGAGTTATATTTACCTGGCAGAGTGGCACCCAATGGTGAAATCAACGTCGGAGAAAAGAATGACGAAATAAAAGCAACAATGGCATATGGTGTCCATGCAGTAGTAAATGTAACTATAGTAAAAAAATTCATTAGTGGGTTCACCTGAACTCTATGCCAGCCATGACTTTTTACTAAATTAAAGTTCATATCATGCCTCATTACAGGAATGAGTCTTGATAAGTATAGTTCTGTCTGCTTTGTGCCATAATGATAATGATAGGTCATTGAGTATAATGAAGACATTACTTACTTATAATAAGATAAATCGATCTGACGACGTGTTTTTCAATGACTTTTCTGTGATGAATCCGATTTACTGTTGTACATGTTTGGCATAATGAATCTCGTTGAGATTCAAGATGTATCTATGGTAGATACTACTTAAAGAAACATATACCCATTAAACCGTTCTCTTACTTGAAGATAGATTTTGATGTTACAGTAAAGCAGAATACATAATGGTACAATGTACCCAAAAAGAAACATCATTATATTATAACTAATAACATTCAATGTTCCATCTTGCCAACGTATTGAACAGGATGTCAGTACACCTTCAAGAGTGTAATGACTCCTAAGTGATGGGGAGTTGATCTGTGCGATGTACTCGTAAAGCTAAGTTACTTACCAACCAAAGATGGGAGTGATTGCCCAGAAGAAACTTCCAGTGATTGCTAAAGCTATTAATCTGTAACTTGAGCGATAATTGGGATTTTTCGATTTCGTTGGCGTCACAATCAGCCAATATCTTAACAAAGCATTCTCGTTCAAAACAGAAGAGATCCAGGAAAAGATTCGCTTACCTATTCAATGATAAAGCAGTCAATAGATACAATCCAATCATTCCAACGAAATACGCAAGAAAGCCTTCATAATAACATAAATATTTCCCATACAGCCATCTTTACTCATATAAATAAATGTATTTTCATCAAAACAATATTCTATATCTTACCGGCAAGCAAAGTTCGATGTCATAGGTAATGGTATACCGAAGACAGCATGACTCAAATCCGCGACGGACAATGCAATTATAAATGTGCTGACTGGTGCTTGAACGAATTGCTTTGTGAGAACTGTGTATAGAACAATGCCATTCAAAACAATACCAAGAACAAATACTAAACATAAATAGCCGCTAATCCATTTTAACGTTTGACAAGATGCTAAAGCACGCGGCGTCCATTCATCATCATCCGACGAATAGATCACACCGAATGAAGAAAATGAGCTGTTAATCATTGAAAATCACCTAAAATACAATGAATTTTTCTTTCTCAAGGAAAAAATAAGAGTGACGAGCGACGCAAAATACCAAACTGGACGAACTATTCAACAAGTCCAACGTTTTGCTTCTATCAGACAAAACGACGTGAGACTTCAATCAGACGTGCCGTAATAACAGCTTAACTAAATGTCGGAGAAGTTCAAACGTATAATTGAGGTTGAAGCGTTGTGTTCGTGTTGAATTAAATGTCTAAACAACTAACAGATCTCTTGTTCTTCATCAGTTGTTATTAGGAAAACAATGTTGCGCAGACTTTGACGTACACGAGAAATGACTTCTTTCTGCCATTTATTGATATGCACATCCGCATCCTATAATCTTAATCAAACCGGTACATTAGACAGTGTAAGAAATCATATTACAAAGAGCGAGTAAAAATCTAAGACATTTCTCCAAGGGAAATTTGTTTTTTTTTAATGACTGTTAGACTTTTAAAGAAAGTATCAGGACAATAAAAGAATACCCAAATGGTTATTTAACAAGTCGTTCAATATAAATAGGTCTTTATAACTTACAGCGCTGTTTTGGATTACATAAGATTATGTTCCAATAGATCAAATTCAATTAGATATGTATGGTCATAAAATGCTATTTTTATGCATGATTACAGATATATGTCGAAAGTATTTATAGAATGAAGTTTCTTTTTGCACTCGACACGTTGTCAGCGGTGAAAAAGTATACGCAGGTTTCATTCCACTAACGCATATTTTGTCGACCGCATAAGACAATCAAACGATTCTCGGAAATCCGCTGATTGCTGTACACTTTTATATTAGTGATTGCGATTCTAGCTATTTATAGAAATGCTGATTATTTTAGCATCGCCTGGAACTAAACAAGAGGTGTTATTATTCCCTCTGCCATTAGAGCTGCACTCGGTTGTTACAAAGTGTTGATCATACCACTTGCACTGGTAGTTTGAATGCTTGGCCCTTACTAGATATGTTCGAAATCATCAGTCTTTAGACGATTACTCTTACAAATTAATATGGAAATATCATTTAAAAGGCAAATTTTGTCAGTGATTTTGATACAATGTCATCGTAAGTCGGTAACCACAATGAAGAATGTCTTCGATTGTGTAGACACGAATACAACCGACGCAGAATTGAACAGCTCAATGATAGCTAATCAAGATAACTTGACAAAAATCACTTCTTTGAACAATACTCCGGACATTTTTCAAAGGTCTCTCATATACATATGCAATGATGAATGTCGTGCCCAGCAAGAAATTATCGGATTTAGATCATAAGAGGGTTTGTGAGACAGAAAACTAAGTTAATTAAAATCGTGGTCTTTTGGTATCATGGAATATGAAACGATAGGATTAAAGATTTTATGTTTATAAATAATGTTTTCAGATAGTATTTCTTAATTAAATAATAATTGTACTTCTAGCATATCATCAATACAAGGTGTCAGTTGCATACCGGCGTCAAATGAATACTTTTTTTTGCTTTTTATCTTTGTAAAAGTGTGTTCGTTTGCTTGACTATGACTTTTTACATTTAGTTTTGTTGATACAGGACTTATCCGCATAAAAACCGTGCATTTCTCCTACGCACAAAATATCTTCATTCTAATACGCTTCACTTCACTGATTTTCCACTTTTTGCAACAAAAATAAGTCGCTATTCTAATGACTCATGTTTTTCTACAATGACATCTTTCATACTTAGTTTCTACTGGACAAATATTACTCATGTATTCATGAATAACATATGCGTCAGGAGTAAGGGCGCAGAAAAAAACAACTGTCTCTCACTCAGAAGTGTACATTCATTCTAAAAATCTAAAACTAAAAAGAAACATACATAAGGTGACCTACGCTCTCTGCTAGTTGAAAACGAGACCGACTGTTGTTCTATGTATAATTCTTGGAAGGTGAATTTTATTGACAATAACAATCCATGTGACTGATATATGATAGAAATATATCTCGGAAGAAAACTTTCTGGTTTAACGAAGCATTCCGTTGAAAAACTCGTCGATCTAACATTTTCAGGTAATATGCCAATCATTCAGTGAATACTTTCACATCGAATGAACAATACTGTTCGATGCGTCTATAGTATTTGTTCGACTCATAAAGGCGATAGATACATAGAATCGTAAACGTATTGCTCTTCATGCGTATATAATGGCTTCTACTTCTACTCAACAGCGAGATACTTTCTTCGTTTTGTATGTACTGGAATATCGATGGAGTTATAATCCTAATTTAGTCATTCAATCAATTCCTGAAGTTTTGCCCAATTATATCGGCTTATTAATATTGCATTATTGCTGTTTCACTTTATATTCAATCTTTCTGTTCATGGAGAAAGCTTTCCAGTCTTTTTTTCTTATTTTTTGTTTTTGAGTAAACGATTTAGTTTTAACATTTCAGGTCAAAGGTAAGTACATTCAAGAACGCATCTATCTTCACCAATCTTGGAAGACTTATTTCAAGATTACATCTGTTTGGTATGTGGAAAATGTCACTAGGTTGCAATGGAATGACATATACTGAAGAATTTCTTAAAGATTTATGTATACTACGCATCGTCCCACACACAATATCTTTCGCGCTCGTTGAAGCTTGTTAGAAAAACATCAAGATTGAGTCATTGTAGCTGTTCTCTTTCCTGACTCATGAAAAACCATTTTTATCGCTATAGAAATAACGAGAGAAAAAAGCGAGCAGCATTTTTTTTTCTGCTTCGCACTCGTCAGAGAATCAACATCGACCTATGCCTGATGACGTAGTGGAGAAGTGGAGAAATGCGTAAGATGATGTCATCAGTGCGAGCTTTGCTAGGCTATACACGTCTCTGTCGCCCCCACCCACACACAGAACGAAAAAAAAGCCGAATTTATATAAAAGAAAACATTTTTGAAGACTAAACCAACGATATCATTGTATACGATCTAAATTATACCAAATCAACCAACTATTCATGGGTATGAACGAAATACTCTCTACGGCGACTTACGCCACGGGAACACCATCGATTGTTAAAGTTGAACCATATACAATTAGTTCACCAGAAAACAGTCGAACATCGTTTGATGATAATGACATAATCGCATTTGGTCCTATCAAGGTTAAACCTCGTAAGAAACCAGCACCAACATTAGCAACTGGCCGTCGATCAAAGTATGAAGTTTTAAGTCCTGAAGAAGAACAAAAACGAAACATCCGACGTGCACGCAATCGTGCAGCTGCCGAACGTGTTCGCGTTAGTCGATTGTCTGTCGAACAACAATTACTCAATCAAATAGCCGAATTGGAAAGTCAAGAAGCAAAATTATCACAAAATGTTGAATCACTTCAGCATCAAAAACTACACTTAGAAACACGATTGTTTACTCATGAGCGCATGTGTTCGAATATGACTCAAACCAATGCATCGATCACTTCGAACACCGATTTATCAACATTTTTTCAATTCGATGACATTCAGCTTCCTTCTCAACAATTCGATACAATAGTAAGCGATAAGACTGTCGACATCGACTTTGAATCATTCATTAATTCGTTAACTCCCGAACAAATTCAACAAAACTTTCCAGATTCGTTCATAAATTTTACCGCCGGTGACGATCTCAACCATTTTCTGATGAATTGATGCTAATCTCAATATTCATTGTATTTAATTTTCCATTTTTTCACTCGAATGATCTGTTTATAATTTCTTTTTGTTTGTTTGTACGATAATGTTACATTATGCTAGTATTTGAAAGAAAAACCAACTCGTTTACAACTCATATTTCTCTCTTCAATATCAGTTCAAATCGATTTGCCTGCAACGCACTAGATCCGAACTTTCTAGATGACGAGAATCGATAGAAATCTTCGCCAAGCCTGCTATAGTCAACAAACCGCTAGCAAAGGAATGTTTGTTCTCAATGTATTTCTTTTCTTTTTTCTCGTTCTCCTTGAAAATAAATGACAACATCGTTATATATTACCGTGTACTATTTATTTTGACCTGCAGAGCACAAGGCAGTTATTTCGTTGCCTTTTTTTTCAACAAGCTGGCCAAGTATCGTATGCAAAACGAGGTATTTGTCATTCTGTTTCGGCATGTTTTTCGTTCTTTCAGAATTTTCAAGTGAAGATATGCATTGAAAATGTATTCGTACGGACGTTTCGTGTATGGCGAAATAACGAAATTCAAACACGAAAATAACCTTTTTCTTTCATTCTTTTTTTCTCTTCCTTTTTATTGATCGATGAAGAAGGCAATTAGTCTTTTCGAAAAATGCCATGTGTCTTTGTACAGGTAACATAATCGATTACATTAAGACTACTTGATTTTGTGCTTTGAAAATATTGATATATGTATGCATTCGGAATGTTTATGTCGCCCAAGGACATGAAGGTAATTGTTGACATAGGTTTCTATGTATGCGGACAGAATATACAAAACAAAATCTATTCGGAATCTAGGTGTGTCCTTTGCTTTCAACAGTTTGTACTTTCAGGTAGTATTCTGATCGTACAGTTCGTTGCTTTCGTACGGTTTATTTTCTTGCAATGAATAGTTCGATCAATGTACAATTTTCCTATTCTTGCTAGTTATTTCAAAAATGTCGAGCAATAACTTGCTTCATACAGCATACGATGGAAGAGAAGTAATTTGCATGATACTATCAACATTTGTTTTCATGACATTTTTGTCAATAAATGAGTGAGGAAATGTAAGGAATTGATCAAGAACTAGACATCAACTGAATATTGAAGAATTCTTTGCTAATCAATTTCATCTGATGCATTGATGATATGGGTGAAGATGAGAGTAGGGTAATATTTGCGAATGATCGAACAATTGGAGATTTATTTTCGTAAAAATAGACATCTGCCTAGAATGAAATGGAATGCTGTGTCAACTGATTGTGTTCGGTCGAAAACGAAAAGTTGCCCAGACATAAATATGATCGCTACCGAATTGCTTAAATGCATCTTCGAGTGTATGATCGGCTGTGGCATACGCTTTACCATGTGCAAGAGGCTCTAATCGATCGGGATCGTACAAAATATGATCGAGCATCATGTTTTCCCAATATTCTGGATCACCGTAATATGTTGGAATATGCGCATATTCCGATGACTCAGAAAAGACATTTTCGAAACCGACCCATTCAAATTCATAGTGATCTTTCACCTCAGCATTCAAATCGCCAGCCATGAGAGCAATCGAATGTGTCGTACCGAGTAGAGTGTTACATCGATCGTAGATCATTTTTGCTTGAACTACTCGATGAAAGAAATCGATATGAAGATTTAGCAAGTGAAGATTTTTCGAAGGAATTTCAATAATTTGAATGGCATCCCCGCGTTCTAAATCGAGAATACCATTGATAATTTTGATTTCAGATGCATAGGCGTAGTTCTTTCGGACAAGTGTCAACAGTCCATTCGCCTTCGGACTCGGTGTCGGATTGTTGGGCGCGAATTCAAACAAATAATCATCTCCTAGTTTTTCTTTGAATAGAAATAAGCGATCTTCTTGTGCCTCTTGAAGCATAACAATATCATGACGAAGTGAAGAAATATGATCAATAATCAGTTTTAAACGGGCTTGTTCGTCGTCAGCCAAATCGTATAGAGCAGGAGTTGGATACCATTCTTTGTATATCCAACAAGGCGCTAAAATATTCCAGCTGAGTAATGATAAATCATGCGATGGTGTGGAAGTCATGTGTAAGAAGAGAGCTTTTCCACGACAGCGAGCAACAATTTCTAGTTATTTACATGTGGTTGCCAGGAAAAACTTGTTAAAACCACGAGACGAAAAACGCACAAACAGATTTCCTCGGAGTATTACATTTACTACTCTTATAGGACGAAACACAAGCCAATAAAAGTCGCTTTGCAACTTCACTTTATTAAAGTATTTGAAAATCATCAGATACTAATTATACACGTCTCAATTTCACTATTTTGCATTCAAAAACTTCTCTCTAGAAGTAACATTAGTTCAAATTAACGCCATCTAGTACGAGAATAGGTATACAGTTGGTAAAAAACAGTGTTAGTTATCGAGATATTCGCATGCCAATCATCTGAGATTGCCATCTACTTAGTAGGAGAAAAGAATGGGTTTAAACGTCTGAAACGACAGATGTCTCTGAGACGAAAATCGATGCTGTCGGTGCTAGAGAAGAAAGTCGAATTTCTCTCGTGATTAAATTGTTGACCGACGGTTTGTTTGAAATTGATAGACGTTGATAATCGATTTGATGGCTTTGAATTTGATCGTTAATCAAAATTCTTGTAGTTGTTTTCGTTCGCGATTGAAGATAATTGATTCGATCTGCCGCACCAATCATACTCTGATGCATCATCGTTTTGTCTTGCATCAATTGTCTTTGATCTGCGGATAAACACGAAAAAACTCGTTGGAAACTTGTACGAAAGATTTCGCTAATAAACGCGTATAAGATTGGATTTGTTGATGAATTCACAAATAATAAAAATTGTCCTATACTCGATGCTGGAAAAAGGTATGAACTATTTTGCGGCAACAATTCGATGGTCATAAACATTTGAAATGCCCAGTACGGTGAACAGCAAAGTAAATGTACAGTTATGACGCTTAGAACTAAGATCGTTACTCGACGTCGCGTACGCATCGATGTTCGCGAGCGGCGATGTTGTTTAGGAATGCGATATTGCAAACGATGAACAATTCGTATATGAAAGTAAATCATTAATAGTAATGGAATGAAATATGCTATAGTTGCTGTATGAGCAACGAAAATAACATAGAGAACGCGTGAATGAGAGAACGGTAAAATGATTGTACATTGAACATCAGATGAAGAAGTCGATGATGATGAACTGGTTTCACGTTGTAATGATGTGAAGATAATAATTGGTAACATTAAGAGAAAAGACAAGATCCATACAAAGATTAGAAGTACATTCGGATTGACACGCGAACGCCATACGATTGATTTAGCTGAATAACAAACAGCAAGAAATCGATCGAAGGATAAGAGTGCTAAGATGATAATTGATGTGTATTGATTAACACCTTGAGTTAAAAAGAAGATTTTACACGCTAGACGACCAAATATCCACGAACGTGTGATAATCGAAGAGACGAAAAATGGTGCACCACTCAAAAAGATCAGATCTGATAGTGCAAGGTGTAGTAAATACGTATTGGTCACTGTTTTTAATCGTCCATAATTCAAGACAACATAGATAACGAGAACATTTCCAACTAAACCAATTAACAGAACAATGAATAAAAGAATGGATAAGATAATAATGAACGGATTATTATCATCTCTTGGCGTCATTAATGGATAAAATGTTGCATTTTCAAAAAAATCAAGATTTCCAAGGGTGTTCATTATGCACTGTAATGCTTTAGATTGACAGTTCGACGTAGGTAATGCTCAAGTAACTGTATGCGATCTCTTTTTTAACGCAGAGGATTTCTATAATTTGACTTTAAAGGAATTTCGATCATCAAAGTAGACGATAATGAATGAATACATACTCGAATATGCTTATTAAAGTAACTCAGCCGACTTCGTTAATTGTGACATGAATACTTATTAATCTTTCTTTTAAGCTTCGCATTTTTCTCCATAATAATTATCTTTCTCGTTAGGAAAAATAACGAATGCATACCAATCAAGCTACTATCTCTACTTTGAAATCAATTTTATAATAATTTTCCATGTAATAAAAATATCAATGTACAATATGTTTGTTTGCACAGTTACATACCAAAACAGGCAATGTTATTGCTAATTTTAACACAATATCGATCATTCTTTCGGTTGTATATCAGCTGTTGACAATGATAATGAATAGTTATGATGGTATTATAGTGTAATGTAGAGGAGAACTATGCTGAGAGAACTTATACTGCGTTCGTGAATTCAATTATCAATGATAGCGAATGTTTGAAATGATATGACGCTCAGAATTAGATGTACAGTTTAGTCAAATCGATAAAGTTTCATTTATTTATACGGAAGAATTCTTGTTCAACGATATTTATTGATTTAGTATTTCAGATTTCTTGGATAAACATCACAGCAGATGTCATTCTGCGAGATGACAATGAATGGGGTGGGATAAATGACGTTTCTATCCCGTCGAATGAAAAACCCCGTCTTATTTCGTCATCTTGGCTTTGTCGGAATATTTCTTTCTTCCCATGGTGTTTTATTTGTTTCTGTATCAAATATAATCCCACCGTTCGATCAGATATAAAAGTAACTAGGTAGATCTATCGAAACATTTTAATTCATTCGACTACTCGGCTTATTTCGTCATTGTCATTTTACAAAGGTAAGCTACTGATGTTATAGAAAAAGTTTTCGTATTACGGATCATCCTCTGGGAGGGTACATTTTTTGAGAATGAGTCATACTATGACTCTGCTGAGCGAGTGAGATAAGACAATGTGATCATTGAAATTATTTTATCTTACAAACTGGCTTTTTCGAAAGACTGGAATTTGATATTGTCAAGCTTCTCTCAGCCAATGTTGGAAGAAAATAGCGAAAGGTATACATATCGAGAACACAAGTGACACTAGTTTTGAAAGATAGATTTGTTCAGAAAAGTATAGCTTGAGTATATAAATCTTCTTCATCCTCATCTGCACATTTACTGTTGCTTTCGATACGTTTGCTCTTCGTTCAAAGTTGCAATCGTCATATCTAATTTCAATATTTTCTTTCGATCTTTCAACAACAATTCATTGTACCGATTAAATAGTCTTTTACCCTTACGAAAGAAATTAGCCATTCATTTTCTAGTAACTAACTAACTATACACACACAATAACGAAAACCTTTTTTGCCCTATGATCATCTCAAGAAAGTAGACAAGTTTTTCGAACGTACGTCAATTTCATTGTACATTCTTCCTTTGATTTAGATCGGCTTTAACAACCAAACATGTTCAACTTAAGGACCGTATTCATTGTTCTTGTAATTCTTTCAACATTCCTAGTTTTCATGCCTGATCGAGCTGAAGCTAGTTACTGTGAACAACTTTGTTTAGGACGGGGTTTCATGACTGGAGTTCAAAAAGGAGCTTACTGCACTTGTTATTACAGAATAAGACGTCATCGACGAGGCGCAACGTTAACTGAAGTTGCGCGCAAAACAAACGTTTTGGAAAATTCGTGATAGTCAATGTGAGAATTCAATGCAATGTTCTACAATTACTATCTTCTGTTTATTGAACCAATTAGTACAATTCCAGTGTTTTTATGTATATTAATCAATGATAAACAAAATGAATATCATAAACAAGAATTCTTTTTTTCTCTGCTTATTTGTATATTTTTGATAATTGATTGAAATATAAAAAGGAAAGACAAAAGACCTAAAAACAAACCGGAAAGGCTTATGTTTTCAGCCAGTTGACTTCTAATGATTTTTTTCCCATGTTCTCTCCCACTGCTTCTCTCTATAAGTCTCTGGCCAGCGTGTACCGATAGAACAGTGACAATGATAATTACCTGACCAGGTTCAGCTGGTGTCACAATGACAGCCATCAGGCGTCGGCCAATGATGGTTGTGAGGTCATCCGTTGACCATGCTCATCATTGAAATAAGAACTACGCCGATCAGCATAAATGCATTAACTAAATTGATGCTCTTCATCTTCTTACTATGATCAAAATCGATGCAATTCATTTCAAAATGTGAAGCGAAAATGATTGTTTACATAAATAAAGCTGGCCCTTCTGATAGAACCAAACTTGATGACGTTTCCCTTGATAACAGGTATGTCGGGAAAAGCACAGGTGAACCCAAAATAGATATTTTTGATGAGAAAAGATAAATGATGCAACATACATTCTATGTTGGTAAAACACGAGATGAAGACTGTTACATATCGTGTTACAAGAATACAGTAAACTTATTTATGTTGAACTTTTCCCTAAATTTACACGCGGTGTTATATATCATTCTTTTCTTATCGATAATATCTATTTCCCTCTGGATCACGTATGGTCTTTTTCCAACACCTTCAATCTCGTGTATTTCACTATTGCTTCTTTCGTAATTCGTTCTTCTCATCGGTGAGTTAGTCACATTCTGAAATAAATTTTATTCATTCCTATTCTAAGAAGAAAATGAAGAACATCAATTTGGTGATCGCATTCATACTCATCGGCGTTGTACTCCTTTCAATGACGGACATGATTGATGGACAACATCATAGTCATTGGCCAGCAGGTCGTGGTTGTCATTGTGATACAAGTTCCTCCTGGTCTGGTGATCATCATTGTCACTGTCCTCTCGGTATACACTGGCCCAGTTATAGAGAGAAGCAATGGGAGAGACCATGGGAAAAAAATCATCATATTTACTATCTTGATGGCCGTGGTCCACCTAAATGGTGGCGAAGACGGTGAATCATATAGTCAACTTGAATAAATTCTTGTCATTAATCTCGATAATTAAAGAAAAGTGGATTTCTTACATATTATATACTAATACATACATATAACTAATAAAAAGAAACGAAATAGCTGGATGATGAGAGCCTACCTTCTTAATTTTATTATTTAAATATTATTCTACGAGTCTCTTTTCTCGGATAAACTTCATTGGTTCAATTTCAGTATTTAGAGAGTAGCTAGGTATGTGCGAAGGTGTAAGCTGATCAGTTCATCAACGATGGCAACGATAGTCGATAGAAATAGGAATATGAGTCTGTTTATTTCATTGTGTATATACTAATATCCTAAACAGAAGAAATATAGACGTATCAAACTGTACAGACGAAAAAATGAATGATAGACAGGGCAAAAGAAGTATTCGATTTTTTTTCAACCAGCAAAAACTACGATAACACTTTTCAAAGTCAATTGATTCACTTGGCCCTTTTGATTCGAGTTCAAAATAATTCGACACAATTAACAAATCCTTTGAGAAGTTATTTAAAAGCATTATTGTTAGTATCTGTTTGAAGCGAATGGTTTAAATATGCTCAACAGTTCGTTATTTCGGTCTGAAGGTGTGGACTAGCAAGCAATAATCGTACGCTCAACATTTACCAAACGACCGAAAAAGAAAGGGAAATTCTCTTAGTGGGACTACCCACATCAACACAAATACTGTCATATCGAACAGGATGAGAAATACTAGCTATGTGGGACTTTTTCAACATACCATAGATACAATGCCATAAGTTTTTCTTTTTCCATCGATAGTTTCTCTCCCAGTATATTCTTTGTTTTTTTCTCCCATCTATCCATCGCCAAGCCAATGGCTGGTACACCGACATCTATAAAAGCTGGTACTCCATGAATGTATACAAACACAGTTTATACATTTGAAAGGTAGGTAATTCACATTATCTTGAAAAACTTGTTAGATTCAGTGCTTTTGTTTTGAGAGTGTGAAAAATAAAGATATGATACGAATCAGTGGCTATTTATCTTATTCGCATATGTTTTTTTTCGTTCATTCGCACTGACTCGCAAGCAAAAGTTGTGTAGATACGTTTAGCTTTTTCCAAGAAAGTCAAGTTTAACGTGCGTGTCATATTTGTTGTCACACATTATAATTCATAAGATTCGAACACTTCTATCTATTTGATATGGAAGACTGAAACATTTTCACTTTCCCAGACCTACACAGGGTACAAGTAGTCTAGTTTGAACTATGGAATAGCTCTTTCAAAGTGGAAAACTATAGCTTCTAACTATCTGCTTTGAGACAAGAAGTCAATGCAGTCGATAGAGTAGCGAGGAGTCAAAATAGAAAAGAAAACAAGATCTTTGTATATGACCAACAAATCTGATAAATAGTTCTGCACATTTTCTACTTTTAGTATTTAGCCTTCGCTACTATCACAATGAACAAAACGAAACTGACCGTTGTATTGATGCTCTTGGTTATGATCATAGCAATCACAAATGTTGCTGCTAGACATGATGGTCATTTCACGTGGGGTGCTTGTAATTGTCAACACGGAGGAGAACGGGGTGGTCACTGTCATTGTCCTTGGTGGGCTAAAATGGATACTTACTGTCGAGCTGGAAGTAATCATTGGGTCTGCTTTCCATTCGGAAAGTAATCCGTACACATTCCGACCTATTCTTATTCACCCTTTATTGTTTTATCATGAATTCTAAATAAACGTAATCATTTTCCCTATTCAATCCTAGTTGCTGTGAATCTTAATTTGAATCAGAACGATTTTGAACTTGGAAGAACGAGTGTGAATCAGTGTCACCGATTCTTCTGGACACTTTCGCGTCCCTAAATTCACTAGATTTGAAATATTTCTTGCTGAATTACATTTCATCTTAATTTTTATCACCGTATTTGTTTGTTATGCACATGTAAACAATGTGAAATTGGATCTTACACTAACGAAGCCTATGCAACTGAAGTATTTGTTACGTTCTAAAGAAGCGAATAGATCTTTTCGAGCTTCTTTGTTCCAATGAAAACTATTCTACCAAATGACAGTGCAGACAAAAACTTTCCCAACCACAAAATGCCTCCAGAAACCTTTGCCAATTCCTAATTTTGAATAATCGTTCAATTTTATATAGCTATGGGTTTCTTATTGTGAATTCATGATCCAAGAAAAATCAAATCTAACCACAACAATTGTAAAGTGACAGTACTGTAAATAGTTGGGATTAACAGTACACGCCTGATATTTACTGCTTGTTAATTGAAATGAATTGTAAGATAGCTGGAAGCACAGACGATCGCATACTTCAATACTTTACCGTATGTCATGATGAAAGAATACTCGTGCAGCTCATGAATATCAAGACTTATGTGGATACTCATTTCTATCAATTTCCTTCGTTCTATCAATCCTTTGTTGGAAGAGACATTGAAGTATTACCTCAAAAATACTATTTGTGGGGAAATGAGTCATCCCACAGAGTGAAATAGTTCCCAGAGCACCACTGTTGTCTATCGTACATCATGGGATTGTTCCAATTTGTATTTAGAACTGTAGTATATCTTCATGATATAAATACTAATACGAAAACCATCGAAAGCCAAGTAATTCATATGCTAAAATAAGTTGTAAATGTTTGTTTTCTTTTTGTAATTTAATGAAATTTCTAGATTGATTTTGACGTATGTGTACATTTTAAATGGATTCACATTGATACAAAGAAAAACATCGAGTTTATTCTAGTACCTGTTTCTGTATTTCAGATTTTCAATCGTATTAAATGAATAGCGCAAAATATAACTTTCTGCGACTTACAATCTTATTTGGTTTCATCTCTGTAGAAACACTTACCTACTACCACAATAATTACAATAGCAATCATCACCTGCATAGAATAAGGCACAAGCGATGCTTGGATGCATCTATCGGGAATTGTTATGATTATATAATCGTTGGTTCGGGAACGGCTGGTAGTATTCTAGCACGAAAACTTTCAGATGATCCAAACAACAAAGTCTTATTGATTGAACAAGGCTATTGGTCATCATTGAATCCCAATATCCAAGAAGCATCGAAATGGTATTCCTTGTTATCCGACCCACTTGTGGAATTAGGCTACGTATCAGTTCCACAACCCGAACTGAAAAATCGTACTATACCACAACCTAGAGGGCAAGGTACAGGTGGAAGTAACAGTATCAATGCAATGATATTCCTACTGGGTAATCGTAAAGATTTCGATGAACGTTGGGGACAAATCGATGGATGGTCATGGGACGATATCGCGCCCTATTGGAATTATATCAATGCAACATTTCCACATACACAATTAGATCGAAATGATTCGATCATGAGCGAATTATTACAAAGTGCCGAGGAAGTCGGTTATAAGTACAATCCAAATCCAAATGATTTAGATTCCGAACAAGGACAAGGAGGAGTAGCACCGAGAATTTACATGGCTAAAAAACTCTCGAATAATTACGCAGAACGAGTTAGTAGTTGGAATGCTTATGTACAACCAATCCTACCACGCAGAAATCTCGATATTCTGGTATTTACACAAGTCCACAAAATACTATTCGATAAAGATTTAAAAGCTATTGGTGTGCAAACATACAACCTTGGGAAAAAAGACGAAACTTACTTTTACAGTAAAAAAGAGGTGATACTATCCGCTGGAGTGTTTGATACACCAAAATTATTGCTATTAAGCGGTATTGGACCGTGTGATGAGTTAGAAAAACATGATATAAAGTGTTTATCCAATGTGCCGGGTGTTGGAAAGAATTTTCAAGAGCATACTATTCTACAGATGTGGTCAGCGCCATTAGTTGATCAAAATACGACATTACCAAATCACGTTTTGGGTGGGGCATGGGGCGCAGTTGCAATTGAAGAAAACGGTGAATATTACCATGTTTTAGGTGTAGGACAGGTGAATAATGTCAAAGCTATTCAAATCTTCATTGAAACATTTCATTATCAATCTCGTGGAAGTGTTACTTTATTAAATAACAATCCGCTCTCAAAGCCTGTCATAGATCCGAACTATCTATCGAATTCCTATGATATAGACAAAATCTTAAATTCTATTAAAGTCGCCCAATCATTTTTATCTACTAAAATACTCAGTAAGCTGACCACAAATAAAAGAAGAGCCATCTCTCCGACATATGACATAAACAATGATAATAAATTAATCGAATGGGCGAGAAAGAACATAGAGACCGGTTTGCATCCATCGAGTACGTGTACAATGGGCAATGACTTCGATGACGATAACATGATCGTCGTCGACAATCGACTTCGAGTGCGTAACACAGAAAACTTACGAATTGCCGATGCTTCGATCATGCCAACATTGATATCTGGAAACCCGAACCAAATCACAATGATCATCGGGTTTAAAGCTGCTGATATGATTTTAGAAGATAACGATTCATACGGTTCTTAGTTAAATATATGACATACTCGCGTACACTTCGCCATTGACTTGATTCGTTGTTGTTGTTGTTTTTTTCTTCTGAAGTGAACATGTTTCTAATCTGCCACGCGTCTTTCATCGACCTTTTTATAATAAACTTCTTCTCGAATAGCAATTTTTGGCAATACTCATGACTATCAGTTTAGCCGAAACGAAGGAGTCCTCCAATTGACGATTCGTTCTTTTTCATCATTAGCCGATTCCGCTCTCGTCTTCTGTACGCCAACAGAGTAACATATATTGTGCATTTAATTTATTTGATACACGAAAAGCAAACATTGAAACAGATATATACACCAATATGTAAAATGGCGTGCGTTTTTTTCTCAGCTAATGCTACATGCGCAGGCTTCCTTCAGTAAAATCATCACCGGTCTCCTATGACTCGACGAACACATCACGACTTTCATAAAATAGAATGTAACTAGTTTCAGATTGCCGACCGAGATCATGGGAAACGCCGTAGAATTCTTCGAAATTCGCCGGATCCAATCTCTATGAGAAAAAAAGCATCAAAACTAAATCTTAACTCAACATCTGTTTTCTCTTACATCAACAGTTTCGTCATCGAATACAAGCCAAGAACCATCGCGTTTAACTACAGCTATGTAATGTCCACGATTAGGTCCAATACCACAATGAACAACCAAAGAAACAAGATCGTAGATGCGATCGTTATTTGTACAATCTTCCGACTAGAAAGAAATAAGACGATGATACTTTTTCGTAAATCTCCGACGAGATACTTACAGTATTCAATAAACGAAGTTCGAATGGAAAGACAACGCGATATGATAATTTTTTATACTGTTTAAAAACTTCCACATATTTAAAACGTTTTAAATGCAATGCTAATATACGTGGTAGTTTCTTGATGCGCATTCTATTGGATAAAACAAAGCATGAAAAAGAAATTTGAGTTAACGAACGCAAACCTTTTTGTTGCTTCTTGTTTACTCGAACATGTTTCACAGAAATACTTCGATTCACCAGCTAATGTTTCTGTATTACTAAATACTCGTAAACATGTGGTGATTGAAGTGTTCTCTTCGACATCAATGGATAGATCGAGAAAATTCTCATCTTTACTGTTAACCTAAACATACGCGAAGTTTGTATTTTCTCTTCGAAACACATGAAATTTCAAGTACCGTTTCACAATTGAGACATTTCGTTGTCGATACGAGTGTTCCTTGGAAAAGTTCGTGTATCCAAGTCTCATCTGTCAATGAACTCGTTCCATTTAACAAATCATTTGAATTTAGCGTTGGATTGATTCGATTATACGATCCATCACCGTTATATGGTAAGACATTATTCGATTTATTCCGCCTATTCTCCGTTTTGTCCTTGTCTTCTTTCTTCTCAGCTAAAACAATCGAATATATGAATATTTTGATGAAACATTCGAAATATCTCTTCATACCAATTAAAATGTCACCACAAGTGTTCAACAAATGATTAAGAAACTCATGTGCATCTTGTTGCATATCATTATCGAACGTACTGTTTTCTTTTCGTAATTTATTAATGAATTTCTTTGGTTGCAACGCACCTGTTCGCCGTTTGCCATTGATAATCATATGAAATAAATCCGCTAAACATGTCAACAAGTTCTCTTTCTTATTCTTTTGTGACAGACGGTAATTTAACACATGTTCACGAAATGGTTTACAGAAATAAAGAGCTTGAAGCACCGAATTGCAGTAGCACGTATTGCCGAACTAAACATATCGTTGTGAAACGACGATCGAACACAGAAATTCCATCGATTAGTCAACACTTACATTTACAAGTCCGAGATAGTGTTCATTCGAGTTTGATTCAATCGTTGAATTACCGGTTGTGTTGGCTGAAAGTCCATGACCCTAGAAAAAGCGTTCATTGCCGGAATACATTCACAAGTTCGATCGAATGACATACCATTTTAAAGCAAAACATTGGATTCATTGGAAATCTCGTCTTTTCGCAACATAGATCTGAAAATAAACAAACAAAAAACATCGATATGGACACAATTGTTTTAAACATCAACAAAAAAAAAAGAAAGAGAGAGCGAATTCCAGAAAGTTTACATCACAGTATATCAATGTCATTCCTCAGTCCTGATGTTGATTTCGTTCAATAATAATTGGGCGCGAGCATAAAGCACAATTTTGTGTCGCATAAAACGCCTTTTGTAAACACTTCTGATGAAATATATGAGCACATGGAGTCACACAAGCAACACCCGACGTTAACGTATTATGACATATAGAACATATGTCATTATACTCTTCGATCTGTTCATTAGTGGCCAATGGTAGTTGAGTAACGTTATTCCAAGCTGATTTACGATTCTGAAAGATTTGCCAACCACGCCGTAGATTTTTAATAATATTCAAATGTGCGTGAATGGCGAGCATTAGAGCACGTAATGCACCACGTGATTCAAAACATAAGATATAAAAACCATTAAGCAGTAGGAAAACACCGAGTAGAAATTCAAAACAGGAAGTGACGGCTTTGATACGGAAAATGTATTCATCGAATGAATCGACATTCGACAAACGATTGTGTGCATCGAGAACATAGACTGTATATTGAGCAAGTGAAGCAATGAGACGGACAATGAGCTCTAAAGAGAATGCTGTGACAGCAAGTAACCAAGTAGAAAAGGTTGTTAAACGCCAAAGGATGATTATATAAAGAATTATTAAGCATAAGATTGAGGCACAGATATAAACATGCCGGTGTTGATATGAACGAAGGATCGAAGGCGAGGAACTGAAATGGAGTTTATTTGTCAGGTTGTACGAAAGGGGTTTAGTACTTACTTGGTGAAATCTTGTTTTTCTTCTTCTTGACTAGGTTCATTCGTTTGATTAAACGCCATTTTTGTCGTCATTGTTTGCATTGCTACTTTAAGTAATTGAGGCTCGAGAATCGTATGTAGAAAATGAAAAAGCGCGACGATTAATAAACTAAATGCTTTTAGTAATGGAACATGTCGGCGATTGAGTTCTAGTCGTGTGATATTCGATTGAAATAATAAGAGAAAAAACATGACACCAACAACTGTGCCAATTTGTTCAACATCTTCGGTCCAGAGCTGAAGAAGACGAAATAAACGATGAGAAATGCTCTTCATTATATGAGAAACCAGACATGCTAAACTTATCAAACTAAATTCACAAGAAACATCTAGAAATCTATTTTTGACGTTCAGCAAATCTTACGTGAACATCGTCTCCGTTCCATAAAACAAACTTGTATAATAAATCGTTTTTATTGTTGTTTCATTGTACAGCATCTCTTTGTTCACCACCGTCACATTCTCCTCCGAGCTTGTCATATTCAGATTTAATGTTACATTTGCTATGTACGGATTCGAGTAAATGTTCCGTATGCACAACGGTAAAACGAAGATTTTTGCTAACCAAAAGATCTTCAATAATGTCGAAACGTATATTCGTGTTTGAAGATAATTGATCAACGTTTGGAAACCGAGGTTCTCATAAAGATGATATAAATCCTGAATGAAATCGACTCGTATGTAGTTCACAATGGTTTGTTTATGACAAACAAATAGTTCAGTCAGATGAGCAACTGTCCAGATCAAATAATAAGATTTCAATAACTGATGGTCATATTTCGTGGAGATCAAATACCTTGTTAGAATTAATACAAACGGCGCGAAATGACATAAATATGTTTGAATCGTATACGAACGAACACGTGGACGTATGTTGAGCATTTGAATGTAAATTGATGATAACAAAAACTGAAGAACATACATGTTGATTGATGACGATGTTTGACTGTCAGTTATACAACTCATTTGATAATCAAAATAAATTACAAGCAACGATATTGTATAACTGTAGAATATCACAAGATGTCGATCAGAACATAAGAGTAAAAGTATCAAGAGAATCAGTCCTACGAATGATGAAAAACAGTTTTTTGAGATGACATGTCATTTCTGTAGTTATGTTACCTAGAATCGGTACTAAAAGACTAAGAAGCAATTGAATCAGCGGAAGAAATGGACTTTTCTGTAGTATATAATTTGTCATGATTGTCAATGAAGAACCCTCGTTCTCGGTCAAATCGATTAAATATTTGAAAAAAGTTTCGAATAACTTGGAGAATTTCTCGGTAAATAAATAATCATAGATAAGTACAAATGGCACGCGTAATAAACAATACTGAATATAAATGATTGTTTCTGGTGAGATAAAACGATGGAAATATTCGATGAATGTTCGACGTCGGGACGGCTCGCTTGCTATTGAATGCAGAAAGAAGTCGCCAGCAATATGTGCTTCGTCAGTATCCATTTAATAGGTTGACAGACCAAGTTACACTATGTGCGTGTGTGATTAATGAATTTCGATTTTGAAACAACAATACATGTGTCATTATTGGTCAATTGGATTGAACAAATCGAATGGAAGAGATAGAGGTCAGCATGTATCGTTTGGAAAGAAGGTATTCTTTATTGAGAATTCAGTTTACTTTAATAAAAAAAAATACACCTTGACGAAAAAAAAAAGAAGAAGAGCAAAACAAAAGTCGAATAAGATAATCGAGAGACAAGAAACTTCTACATGAGCAAAGAGTTAATAATCTATAAAAAGGAATGTACATCGATTGAAGTAACAAATGAAAAATACGTGAATTCATAAGAATATTTAAAAAAAAAGGAAACCAGTGGAACAGATCGTCGAAAACAACTATATTTACATACGGACGAGAGAAACTAATTAGCTGAGCTCAATTTTTATCGAGTGACAAACATTGCAAAAGATATAGTGAATAGAAGAAGAATGATATTGACAGGTTGGATTGAACTTGCAATAGCAATACGACATTTCAATTGATCGAAACGTGACATTCGAGAATTATTACTCATTAAGACCTCCCATTGGGTATCCATTGCATCACCATTGAAGAAGTCATTTTGATCGATAAATGGATATTCATAACCTGGTCGACAACGGCATTTGTATTTACCTAGACGGAAACCACGGCCAAAGATTGGTTCACACTAGAATAAAAACCAATATTTCAAGATCAGTCAACTCATCAGAAGTAGCAACATGACAAACATACCACGGTGCTTTGATAATCACAGCGATCACTGCCTTTAAATGCATTCGGTACGTAATGTGGCATTGAGCATTGATTGATATCCAAATAACTGAGATAAGTATCAACTCGTACCACACCCCTATGCGAAAAAAATGAATAATAATCATCCAATTCAACTGTGAATAATCTTACTTGAATTCAAGGTTGATACCAAGTGCATCAAGTCCAAAGAACGGTACAGCATAAGTCACAATCCATTGACGTGGTAATGTATAGTTTCTACTACATTGAAATGTTGGTGGAAACCATTGGCCATGTCTATGAGGATAGAAATGATTTTCATCATACAAATGAAAATAGTGTTATGTATATCTTACTTCAGTTCTGGTGCGTAAGAATATAGTGGAAAGCCTGATTCGTGATGTACTAGTGTATTACCACTATAGTCCGATCGAATAAACAATTTCAGCCAGAATTCAGTCAACTCCGATCGATCGGCATTGGTTGCCCATCGTGCTTTCATTGTCTAAGTAGAAGTAGAGATGGTTCAGCATGACGCAGAAGAGAAAAAGAAGGGTTTAGCATACTCGGAACCAAATTTCATTCTCGTATCCATCAGGTAGACCAGCCCAATCAACTACAGTGTATTTCCGGCTAATATCTTTCTCCGGGCGAAAAGCGTATGGTCCAAAGTAAGGTAAACGATAGTTGCGAAATTTGCCGCGATCAAAAAATATTCCAACACCAACAGCTTTATAATCACCGCCGACTGCAGCAAGAACTTCACCGATCAACTGTTCGTCAGTTAATTCGAGTTCAGCTTTGCGAAGCGGGAAATCTTCTGCTGGATTCACAACTTGATAGAAACTCGAGAGAAAGTGCGACAAGGTCAATGCTAAACGTGCTTGAGATTCGAATTGAATATCCACGTCATTCAGCACATCACCCGGCATTGTTAATTGATCTTCAGTCATTAATTCACAAAGATTTGGATCACGATTGAGACGATCGTACAGTTGCATGACTGACGCAACGCGTGATGGACGTTCAAAAGCGTATCGTTTTGAACGACTCTTTTTCTTCTGATGTTCAGGATCATCGTTATCAAAACCTGTTATAAGTTTACCCGAGAATAAGGCGAATTGTTGAATTGATGATTTAAGTAAAGAGACAGTTGGCGATGATATAGCAGCGATTGGATTCACGTGTGATACTGAAGCGTAAAAGAAAATTACTCGATTTGCTCATGAGAACAAGATCGTCAGTACATACGGGATTCAATGAGTGGTGGTAAAATTGGATCTTTACTTAAATCACCATTATAGATTGAGTTATTCGACATTTCAGCTTGGGAATCAGCTGAACGACGTGTACGTGCGGCGAAGATTTCAACGTTCGATTGGTAGAAATTTTGTGGAATTTGTTGATACACTAGAAAAAGAATGTTTTCGGTACACGTTCACTCGTTTTTCTATCCTTACGTTCAACTTTGAGACAATCGAAGTTATTAGCATATTCTTCTTGAGTTGCTTTTTCGATAACATAACCTTTGAATGGACCATCCTGATACGGCGGATAGCGAAAACCTGGTTGGCAAAGACATTGATAACCACCACGTCGAAAACCAAAACCCATCAGCGGTTCACAACGTGTTGTTGGTTTACATTTATCCGTTGCGGCGAATAGATTCGGTTGTTTCGATTGTGGATCATTCGATTGAGCATTGGTCTGACCTGTTTCAGCACATTGATTGATATCCATCATAATAAAATCAATATCTGTAACAGCAACTGCTAAATTGCGCATGGCTTGCAAATGACGATATTCGGTATGTCGAGGATAGATGTCAACAATCGGTGAGACCGCACTAATAATCCATTTGTTCGATCGACCACAATCGAAATACGGACGTGTCCACAATGTCGGTCCTTTTGTTGTTTGAAGGAAAAACATGATCAATTACTTATATGTGAATCAAATCAACTTACCCTGAGGATCTTCAGGATGTGGTGGTCCGTAAAACTCAATATTCTGAGCTACATCACGCAATTTATACATTCGTTCGGCCAGTAATAACTGAACCGTATGCACTGGTTTACCTAAGAGACAACGGACAACAATGTATATACGAATGTACAAAGTAAAATTCAATATTTATACCTCGTCCTTGATCATTCCGTGTTTGATCTGGCAGCCATTTACTATACCATTCGTTCCCTCGATTGTATCGTGATGTATACTGATGATTTCGACCTGCACCGATATCTTCTTCTTGAATTGTATGATTTGTCCATTCATTTTTCCAATTGAACGCATCTATACATACATCCGCATGATTTACTTGTTTTAAACAAAAGAATTCTTAAAGTCTTTACCATAGAAATCATCTGCACGCCATGCATATGGACCAAACAACGGTATTGTTTTGTTAAAGAAGTTTTTATACCAATGAGCATAGTATTTATCTTGATCGAAATAGATACCTGAGCCGTTGATCATACTCTGACCACCCGTTACATCAGCTAGAAAATGCCAAGATGAAAAGAGTACACAAACCGTGGCAATTCGATTTTCTTACCGGCGTTATGCAGAAGAATATAAGTAAGACCCGGTTCTTCAAAATCGAATAACCGTTGAAATAAATAACTGTAAAGAAGTGCATTCCGATGCGCAATATTTCGAACGTGTAATAATTGTGTTCGATTTCTCATAATAATATCTTTTTTCAGCATTTCAATCGATGGTTTTTGATAGACAGCTTCTTCAGGTAGCACCAGTTCACTTGGTTGTTTGTTAAAACAATTACCAGCAGTGACCGAATTGACTCGGTCCATGATTTCATCAATTTTATCGTATGCGATCCATTCGAATTGAGATCGACTTTTATCAAAGAAAAGAAGACAAAGACAGAGACAGATGCAAAGACGCACAATCAGGCCCATGACCAAGAATCTAAAACATGAAGAAGACAATACCTATTCGTATTTGAACAACTGTTGCGCCCTATTATATAATATTTTATGTGAAAAAGTTCACGATAAGCGAATACAGAGAGAGAGAGAGAGAGGGGATAACAAACGATAGTATCGTTTACGATATTCTATCGATGAATTGTCGAAGAGAAATTTGCATGGCTGAAACGATCGGATGACTAACCCTCTTGACATTTGACGAATTTCGTGAAAAAAAAGAACTTTTTTCGTCAAGGTCAGAAAGAACTCTTGATTCTCAGTTGTACAACCGGAAAAATTCACAAATACTCAATCATCTCGATCTACGTATCGCATTCGCTGTTGTCCGAAGAAAAAATACAGTCACCATTGATCACCGGTCGAAGGTCATCTATGTACCGCGAATTGACAGCGGCCATATTGAGAATTGAATTGAAATTATGAACTTTTCTACCTGTCACCGGAACGATCAATCAGGTAAGTTGGAAAAGGTGAATGAAAAATTTAAGAGAAGAAAATTCAAAGTTTTTCTTAGAAATGAAAATTATGTCACTTCTTTAATAGATCTTCTTTATATTTTCCCTTTCTCTATTCTTTCGTCGACGGTAGCGCTCTCGCCTCAATTGGTTATCTGCTCGAGCCAATTGGACGTCCGACCACATCTTGTTGTTGTCTTTGTTCAAGTAAAATCAGAAAATATTGGAAATGTCTACTTGGCGAAAAAGATTTTCGTAAGAACTGACGAATTTCGTTGCTGTTCAATGTCCATCTTCACCTTTTTTCTAGACGGCGACCACAAAGATTGGATGCAAATAATGAACTTCTTCTCAACAACACAGTCAAATATCGGAAAAAACTACAATCAGCAATCGTTCAGATCAATCGAACGAAGAAAACAGCGCAACGGAATCTCGACAATCCTGACTCATCCATACATGGTAAGCAGAAGCTGAAATATCGATTTGAATATCCATTACATTTAGTTGCACGATTGATAAACGACATTGGCCACCTATCCGGTTGTAAATCTCTTCAGGTATATTGATATCTTTGATCTAATACGAAAGCTGATGAGATTATTTGAAGGAAGTCACTAGTTTACTCGATTCATTAGCAATGAGACATCAATTATCATCAAGAATCTACAATGGTAGGAGATATAGTCAATATTTCATCACTTCAAAGTTGTTTTCGTTGAGTAGAGTATGCGATGAACGCATTTCAACAGTCATTGCAAAGATTAAACAATGATCTATCCAGAGATTTCGATAAGACAAAATCCGCGTTTGAAGAAGCCGTTGCTAATCATTGTTCTGATCACACGACGAAGCAAATATTTAACAAAGGTTGGTTTCTAAGTGAACTAGAATCGTTCGAACTTATCGAATCACTTTTCAGTTCAATCTGAATGGTCTAAACATCAAAAATTAGCAATCATCGAATTCAAACGAGGCTTATCATCTTATTGTGATATTGGTCTGTATAATCTGAAAATTCAAATGGCGACACTTGAAAAACTTCAGGTAATTCATCCGAAATACACTTTTCATGACGAGAACTTTATTTGGGCAGACTTTTGTTGATCAATTACCGCATGATGGAGATGATGGTAATACAAGTCTACCAAATTTTGCTGACCATAGTTCTCGAGCACGAAGAGATATCGATACAATGTTGCGTATCATGCTTGATGCAGCACCAAACGATTTGACTTTGCTGCCGAACGCAAAACGTTCGCGATTTCTCAGTAATCAATTAACTCTATCCAGTGAGTTTACCCTTTTGTTTCTCTCAAAGTTTCTCATCTTATTTGCCATATGTAGATTCGCTTTATTCACCTGAAATCACTGAAGCAGCCGCTCGTTCACATGGACAATCGTTACGACAACAAAATGCTCAGATTATCCCACAATATCCATCCATTCCTCCATCAGCACCTGTTCAGGCACCTCAACATGAATCAATCATGGTCACTCCATCGAACGAGCGATTTCAAAGTAAATTCTTCTCTTTCAACCATGGCAAAAGTATCGAGTTTTTCTTCTTTTTTTAGACCTTTCCGGAGATGATCGGTTGCCATCATATACCGATCTTTTCGTTGTTCCAAGTAGTTGCAAAGAAGTTCGTCTTCAACGACGAAGTCCACGCAATCGAAACAAATGATTTTCTCCTTTCGCTGATCTCTCTCTGTACCTATTCAATGAAGTTTTCTTTCCAGTCATAATGTCAGACAAGTCAATAGATGTATACATTAATCTCTATCTTATTTGCTTTGTATTACAAACCTCATCTTTTTTTGTTGTGTCTTGCTGTGTTCTTTCAAATAAACTATTCAATGATGATTATTAATCATAAAGAAAAAGCATGAGATTTTATTGAGAGAATTATACAAAACCAAATGAAAAAAAAAAACGAACACGCTACAATGATTTCATATTCGAATGGAACATGTTGAGAAATTCATCCAGTTTCAAGCACAAAAACAGAAGACATTTTGGTTTGATAGAAACCATGCGCATATAGAGAATCACCGGTGGATCACAGTTTAAGTTTTGTTTTACAGTTCGGTTACTCTTGGTGATAAAAGACGAGGAGTTGACACTGTTCGATTATCTTCCTTGATCGAAGAAGGACTATCCTGTAGTGAATCGTAGATATGATTACTAATGCTTGGTGAGAGTTTCGGTGGAAGCGGTGGCGGAGGTCGTTTAGGTGGTTTTAAACGAATTGGCGTACGATCGGTTTGAATGCATTGGTTAATGAATGGAATAATCGAAGAAGTTGACGAACTTTTGTTCGATTTCGCACGTTGAACAGTTGGTAAAGAACGACTGGCGATTTCTTTGGTCGATTTCGAACGTTTAAGAATAATTTCATCGTGATTCGTTGTTGACGACGTTTCTAACGGTGAAGTCGATTTCGTACGAAATATTTTATTGGATTTCGAATGACGTAGAGAAGATTGAAATGATGTTGAACGTGTGAAGGATGTTTTCGCTGAATTTAATCGATCTAAATAATAACAAAGAAACAATGCGAGAATAATCCTACTAAGCCTTGGAAAAGCATTTCCGAATCGACGAGAATATTGAGATTCTCTTTTGTTAATGAAGGTCGCTTACCCAATGAAAAACAAGTATATTTTTCCGGCATACTATCAATTTCAATCAAAGATTTATGTGAGTCAATAGAATCGAAAACAATCTGATTGATTGGTAATGATATATTTGACATTGACTGTTGCATTGATGTCGTATTCGCTGTAATGAAATTGATATGATGTTGATTTGGTAGGAGATTAACCAAATTGTCAAAGCCTTGCTCCACCACACCTTTCATTCGCTGGTAATTTTTATACAACTGGACATCATAGAAAATGATGCGAATTCCATTGATCCATCGTTGATATTCTTCGAAAGTATTTGTACAAAAATAGTGAATGTATTTGTTGGATTTCTTCTGTATGTGAACATGTTTTAATGCAAAGCCAAATGATGTGGGTGAACGTAATGATTCAATCCAATTGTTCGCGTAATATAATTGAAGATTCGAATCGAATTTCATTAGACAAATAAGATCACGTCTGGACGAGGAAGTTTTCGGTAAATGGTAAATACCCGATTGACGAAGAATGCATGTGAACTTTTTCCACAATTTGCGGTTTTTATCTTTGATGTAAAGGATACTGGTGATGTCATCCGGCAGAAGAATGGCTTCCGAAGAAATGTAATCGGTTAGGACGTCATTAGGAGTCTTTTCGTAGTTTGAGAAGAACTTTTTTGGTTCTTGGAAGATGAAATATTTATTCGGAGATTCTTGAAAACATATTCGATTGTGTGTATCACGTGTCCAATAGATTAATCCATCGTTGATTAAGTTCTGATGATCTTCAAATATTCGGTAGATATGCAAATCCGGAAGATCTTCGATGATCGAATAGTTCAATGTTGGTTTGAAGTGATATTTGTGAAAAAGTAAGATGAGTATATGATAGATCGACATCGTTTCATCGATGAGAATGTTCTTTGTTGATTGATCTTCATTATGGATTTTCACAAACAGCTTTTTGATATTTGCTTCATGCATTTTCTCTAACGCTAGACGAATCTCGTTTTCATCACAAGAATTCTTTATCGTATCACATGAAATAACCTAAAAAAAGTCTAGTCGAATCCAAATTCGATCACAAACTTCTGACATACGCTTGACGCATTGGAGATCTGTTGACTTATCAATGGTATATTAATCGAATCTGTTGATTGCGACAAGCCACTATCAGAAAAATGTTCGTCATTTTCACAATGATGTTGCAGACGAGTTGAATCACTCGTTGCTGACGATGATGAACTATTTCCCGAATCATTGAATTCAATTTCCACATTTTTTATCGTGTTTGTCAATGTGGCTAACGTTTGATCAAGCTCATCGAACTGTGCGAGGATGGTTGACGGAATTGATTTCTTTCGCGAGAAGTCGCATACTTGCCGAGAGTATTTTCTTTCGTCCAATCGCTGTTCAAGTGTTTCGAGTTGATCAAGTAAAATATCAAGTTCATTTTCTAAACAAAACCGTCACTACTTGTCATTCATAGTTTACATAAAATTGACTATTGAAGGGAAGGAAATAAAGTTTTCGTTCGAAGTGTCTCTTGAATCTATAATGATTTCTTTTCCGCTCAAATGCTCATGATGTGATGAGATGCGGTTTGCTCTTTAATGAACAAAACTGCTTACCTTGATCCAGATCGAAACTTCGAGATGCTGCAGCAGCAGTTTTCCGTCGTGCTTGTCGTTCTAACGTGGATAATTCTTCATAAGCTTCTCGAATTTCCTGTAATGTAAATGAAATATGATGAGATTGTATACATAATATTCAACATTAGACCTTGATATACTGCTAAGACAAATAGAAAAATCTAAGCACCGGTCGCTGATGGCCTTTTTTTGTTCTTCATCGCTTGTCTTATGTTTACAAGGTGAACGATCTTAACAAGGCCTTCGAAGTCATTATATATACTGACAAACTACCAGGACCAGGTGGATAATCGACTTAGAAATTTAGCACATGGGTGTCATAAACAGATCTATTAGTGTGAAAAATGTCTGTCGAGTAGGACTTCTGAGAGAGAGAGTAGCGGAGATTAACAAAAACAAATAACACGACGACTTACTTCTTTGAAGACATTCAAATCTCCAAGGCAATTTTCAACATTTAAGTTATTTGGTGAGAGTTTGTCTGGTTGATTTTCATTAGTCTGACGTTCAGTGTTTTCTCCGTCTAGATGATCATCATCACCTGTTTCGGATTCTTCACTTATACTTGACATTGAACATCGACGTAAATACATTCGATGATACATCTTTTCTTTTAATTTACAATCTAAAACACAAAAAGTCTCTTGTCGTTTTGCATCGCCATGTTTCAAAATTGATCAAACAACATCAATCGAGAAAAAGAAAAGCCGAGAGAGAAGAGGAAGAAAAAGGTATGATGTAATGTCGAGTGTGAAAACTCATAACGAAGTAATAGGTATTACTTCACGCATGAAACGTAGAAAAGAAGAAAAAAAGTGACCGATGATGAACGCAACTATGTATTTTACCGTTAAATTATGATCTACTTTACTTTTTTTTTCCTTTCTAATATGTATGTTCAGTTTACCGCAATAATGCTCTTAATGGATTGAATTTAACCGTGTGAAAAGTTCATTAGTCGAATGTTTATTGGGGAGAAAAAAAAACTGCGGAGACAAGCTAAACACAAGAATAAACAGTCGATTTGATAGACACCAAATGAAAGCTAATGAATTGATGGCCTTGCTGATGGTATAAACAAATTCTCATACGATCAATCAACATGCCACCAGAGATAGGAATAATAATAACGATAATCGTCTAGTCCTTACATGAATAAAATTTCAAGAATGTACACAAGGTATTCAGAATAGTTGTGAGCTTTACGTTCTTCTCTTCTGTTCGTTCGCGCATATTGTCAGCATTGTATGTTAACGACTATAGTCCAATAGACTTGTTCTCTCTCAATCGCACCCGCACATTCTTTTTTTTTGTCTATTGTCTCGATATCTTTTCTCTCATCGACTGCTTAATCATCAATAGTTTGTTGAATTGCAGTATACATAAAGGTTACGTCGTAAGTGTGTGCGTGCTGAGGGACGTTCAATGTATAGAGATATCTATTTATCCTTTTCCTTATCATCACTCTCTTCTCTCTTTCTTTCCGCGTTCATAAATAAGGTATTATACACCATAGTAAAGCTAAGGATCTTATCTAATCTACCTTGAACTTTGGTGCAGTTATTTGATGAATAAGAAATCTAATGAATCAATGAACAAAAGTAAATCTATCTAGAAAAGAAACAAAAAAAAATGAGTGAAAACGACGCGTGAGAGCGAGTAAGAAAGACATGTATGTTGAACAATCAAAAGATTAGTATCAGTACGTATGCTTAGAGCATATTTGTGTATGATTCGTTCTTTCTTTAGCCGATCTGATGTGTCTCGACATACACGCGATTATACAAACGAAGAGCCTTTCATTATCCGATCATTATAGGTTCTCACATCTCGGCGCACGTACATACATTGAATATATTCTCGTTTAATCAAAATGAGATGAAGTGTACATGACACGTACACTCACGCTTAATATATTTAACTATATCGACTCGCAACGAAACGAGGATATCGATATATTAGAAGTAACGAATCGTTTTCATGCATCATTGTCAATTCTATTTTCATTCGATATGAAATTGAGACGAAGTAAAGCAAAACGAACAAATTATTCATCTGAATGTTATTTTTATTTTCAATTCAATGCAAGTTTTGCTTTTTTTTCCCTTCCCTTGTACTTCACATGATTGATCGATACCATACGAAGACGACGATAGGCTGAGCTTAGATACTACTTAGGGAAATAATATCGTGAAATCTAATGGACGTGTTGTTATGATAAACGAGAAGGTTTTATCGACATCTTTTCTGACTTATCCGATGTTCATAGCGTGATGAAAAGATGTTAATTGTCATGTGCGCTTTGATATGTTCTATTATGAAGATGATAAATGACACACATCTTTCATCGTCTTTCGATCGCACTTCATTGACAAAAAAAAAGAGAGTATCGAATGAGCTTTCTTTCGCGTTAATTATTCAAAATTCATGTCAGGAACAAAAAATAAATTACATTGAGATTCGCAACGAAGCATGTGGAAGATCATTTTTCTCCTGTAGATTGGATTATGCAATGGAGAAGCAATCGAGCAGAAACTATGCAATTCGACCTTTGATGCAATTTACTCGTTGTGATTTCGACTAGAAAAGATTTATTTCGAATAAAAATGTCTACTTTTGAAAGCGTTGACAGAGATAGTTTTGTTGATCTTCATGATCATAACCGAATTGTTGATAAAAGCCGACGAGATTGTCTTTACATTCAAGCGAAACTTTGTAACAATCACATTGTTCTTTGGCGAATTTTGTTAATAGTTCAATCAGTAATTTGCCGAGTTGTTGACCGCGATAATGATGATCAACAACTACATCTTCGATTCGACCGCGAATGCCTAACTGGCGAATGAATTTCTTTTCGCAAATCAGTGTTGTTGAACCGATGATTTGCTTATCAGAATCCAAATCTTCAATGATGAGAATGTAATACGTATTTGCGCACTGTTTCATATCAAAGAAACGCTTTTCAAAGTCTTCCAACGAGTATTTTCCACATTCGGTCAATTGACGGAGTAAATCGACATAACCATGGTCATAATCAGATGCAGCTAAAGGTCGAATCAAGTATCTTCCATTGTAAATATTTCCCTGAAGTTTTGGATCTTTCGATGCATATTCTTTGAAGGCCGATTGAAGTAAATTTGCATCGAAGAGTAAGTTTAACTTCTGATTACCGTTTATCGACGAAGAATGATTGTGAATAAGACGTTCGGTCATTCTGCTTTGATGGAAAGAATACAAATGTGAAACGAAGGAGATATATAATCACATTTATATGCGAACTTTTCTGACGACGAAAATAGACTTGTATGTTTTCCTTCTTCTATATAAACGACGGATGAAATCTGACTGTGAATGGCATGCTTTTCAATTAAATCAAGCTTTTGTTTCTTTGCCAACTCCATTTGAATAACAAAGCGATAGCTACATCACTATACCACGCACAAAAGTCATCAGTAGACGAGACGCCACTCGTATCTTTTAACTAGACCATATCGTTCTGATCAGTTCTGACACATTTTATTCAATACACAAAGTAACATTTATATTCATATTAGTCTCCTTATTTTCCATTTCTATCGCCAAGCCATGACGTTGGCGAACCACGAGGTACACATTTACCACTTGTTGAATGACATTTCATTCCCGAACAGCAGGATTTACCGAAAAGACCCGAACATCTTTTACCTTGTTTCGCACAACTAAAGAGTCTAAAATATTCTACATCACAAAGATCACATTCATCACCACATACACTCACCGTTTTTCACGATGAACGCTAGTTTCCACACTTCTTCCATATACCAATGTACAGTTAACAACAATCAACACAATGACTAACAAAATACAAATTCGAATTGCATTCATAATTCTCGCGGAAGCCTGTAAAAAATGATTTTGATTAAAATAAATTTACACCCACAAACATGTGTGTATAAATATACGTGACGCGGATGATTCGTGAAGCTATCATGAATCACCAAGTGACGGAGAAAACAACAGCTGTCTTCTACTATCTCTACTTACATTCGAGGTGTTCGACAAGAACATATGAAAGTTATAAACGAAGAGAGAAAGACGGCATAGCCATACACGCACTTATTAGTTTTACCCATGCCTTTGACTGGATGATTAATTGTTTGAATAGATGCCAAATCGATGCATTTGAGAAAAAGAGGCTGGATGGCACTCGTGAATCATTTTCAAGATAAGAGACTCTTCACTTCTGACGAAAACATGAATTTTCTTCCATTGCTCGTGGCCATGCATTCGAGTCGTTCGCCTAATTCGGGAAATGCGTCTTTAGTTTATTTTTCTTAATGATCTATTTATTCAATCATATAGAGAACATTCAATATTAGGAAAAAACAAGCGAAATCGGCGAAAATACGCATTTTTTCTCTTCTTTTTCGGATCTTTCCAATCCGATGGTAATTCATCGACTAATAATAAACGTAATCGTTTCCCGAAGTCGTTCAAAACATGTCCAGCTTGAAAATACGATGTTGTTCGGGCAATCAGCACATAATCACAATCTAATGTATCACAATTAGGTAAACAAAGTAGAAACTGTTTGATGACTTCCGGACTTTGTAAATAAGTTGATTTGATTGTCAATCGACGAATCGTTGATAAGGAAAGCCATGTCATTAACGATGGAGATGAACTCATTAAATCAAATTTCCATTTTAATGTCAATGATGTCAAACGAGGGAATTCATCACGAAGATAAGTCAAAAACTCGTTCGTATACGGAATTCGATCGTATAAATCGATGTCACGAACAAACCGCCAGTTCTGGTGACATTTTCGTGTGCGTTGATGTTTCAGTATGGATTGATCGAGATTGAGATGATGAAATGGAAATGGAAGAGTGTAAATATGATTGTAGGAATGAAAACCAATCGGAGCAAAACGAGACCAGAACGGAGTTTCGAACGAACGTATTAAATCGTTGGACATCATGGCAATTAGGGATTTGATTTCGAATTGAATTTTCGACAGATTCGGTAGATACGAAAAGATGTCGGAATGGAGACGATAACCGTCGATAACACCAGATTGAAGATCGAAAACTAGCGAGAAACTCAACCGTTTCAATGGTGTCAGTGTTTTGAAAATATTTCGAATGACTTCATATGAGATCGGATGAGAACATATGAACAACAGATGTTTGAGATTCAACGGCGGTGCAGCGATCGTCAATGGATTTTGTTCATTAATATTTGAGTCCAAAACACGAATACGCAACGATTCTAATTGTTGAACACTGCTGAGTATTGTACAGAAATCGTTCATAGCACGAACAGTAAGCTAAAAAGAGAAAGCGTATGCATTAGATAACAATTTTCAGAACAACTTACAGTTAGATTTGCGAATAAACAATGTTCGAAATTAATGTCTTGCACGGAAATCGAATAGCAAGGCGGTGTGGCGAATGTTAACGATTGTAATCGGGTTTTGTCTGTTTGAAAGAGATATTGTTTGACATGCTCTTCGAATAAGATTCGATCGCAACAGCAAACATCGCTTCTGATGTAAAGTTGTTTGATCTTGGTGAAAAACGCGAAATATTTCAACAGGATCGATAGTTCATCGGTTCGTCGAACGATAATTGAGAGTGATTGTAAACGCGGAAAGTTGGTTTCGTCCAATACGAATCTGTGCAGCATATAACCTTCGAGTTTAAGATGTTCGACTTGAGTTCGATCGAATTGTTCCGATTCGAAGAGTAACGAACAATAGAAATTATAAATTCGTGTTGGTGCGTTGACCAAATCGATATTAATCGACGACGAACGATATTTTTCAATCAAACACGAGTAGCGCTGATTGAGAAACTGAAAAGCATAAACAATATCGTATGTTTTCAAATAGCGAAATATCAAGAGCACAATTTCATTGGGAAGCGATTCCATGCTGAATAGAATTGATTTCTATTGTAATCTTCGCCATTCAATTAATTTATATACATCTCATTGTCGTCTAGATTCGTCTGAGAGAGATATAGTCTCCTTATTCTCTTCTTTTTTCTCTACGAAGAAGGAAAATATGCAGGTACAGGATGCACTGAAAGGTCAACGTTTCTTGAACTAATATGAATTGATTCGATTGGCAAGGCAAATGTGTGAATTAATTACGGAAAACAAACTACTCGGTTAACATGAAATGGCTATTGATTGTAATTCTCAGCGGGCAGAGAGGTGAACATGAAGGTCGATGATAAATTCCACCGACGAGATTCAATCAGTTGCTTTGAATTCTTTCATCAGCAAATGACAATGTCTTGCAAGATACGAGTCGATTTAGCAAGGCTTTGATGAGACTTATTTGAAAGGGATGGATAGAATCTATTTTTCAGCGTTTGATCAGTTACTGGAAAGAATTTCTCTTTCGGAGTATTCTATGACTCATCGGACGAATATGAAATAGAAAAGATAAATTGTGTATTGATAGTTAAATTCGAGTTTTTGTTATTTACTAAAGAGAGAACTTGTTTCCGTCGAGAAGCAAAAGCGATTTCTTCTTTCATTGATTTTCTCGAAGTGAATGGCAATGTAAGTGGAAGAGATATAATTTAATCTGATTTCTTTTCCTCTGATTGAATTTACAACGAAGTTATGATGACCAATGCCGATATAATCTGATCGTTATCGTCGTTTTTTTTCCTCTCGTTGTACTCGCATTGGAGATACTTCATCTTCCGGGTAGAAGGAAAAGACAATATTTTTCTTGGAAGACTCGCGACTTGTTCGCTGAGTATTTTCTTTTCAAATCGAATACGTCTGATACGCTGTCGAAGTCGACAGATACGTCTTTGTATTGTTACTTGAGATTGATGAGTCATCGTCGCTTCTCTTCTTTCCACTATACGCTCATCAAAATTTTGATTGAATTAAGAGACCGAAACGCTTGAAATGACCAATCGATATATATTCGGAGCTGGATCTCTAATCAAAAGATGTCAACTACAATTGGAGATCATTTAAATTGAAGCATATTATTCTTCTCGAAAGTACTGATGCGTTTGTCATTCTCCGATTAGACAGAAACAGAAAAGAAAGGAAGACGAAGCAGCAACACAACTCTTCTTTTGAGCTACACATATATAAAACAAAGAGATTGATTGAATTGATACAATTCTTTTCCTTTCGTCTTTAGAGAGATACTTTTTTTTTCTTTATCAAAGAAGAAAACACGACGCGACGATTAGTTTTCGAGATAAAGAAAGATCTTATGCATAATTTTCTTTCTAGAGTGAGATAGATTAAGAAATCAGTTGAAATGACTACCGAAGAAACACAACAGAGAAGACGAAGATTGCTGCACATTCTACTGATTATTCTTGGGGTGGTTATTCTATTAGCAACTCTATTTCTCATTGGAGTTATTTACAAAACATTAAAATCAAGTATGTTGTTTGGGTTCGAGATCAGGAAATAGTTGTGACATTGTTTTAGAAACACAACGAGACAGTTTAGCATTGCATAGTAGTAATTTAACAGAATTGTATTTCAGTAAGTCGAAATCTGAATCTTTCCTCTCTTAGATTCTTTGTTTAGATCGATCTGAGCGAGGTAAAGGCAGAAGTTTTGCCTATTTTTTTAGCTTGTTGTTTTGTTCCATTAGCGTGTTTACATGGTTTCCTCGAGTGTAAATATAATGCGACGTGTACTGAGCAAAACCAATGTCATTGCATTTTTAATTGTGCCGATTCGAATGGTGATACATGTCGACTTGATCAGGCGAGATGTGTTGCATATTACGAGAAAAGTAAGTCGTAGAGAAACTTGGAAATTGTGCCGAGTTTTCTATTGAAAGATACATTTTTTGAACAGATCTGACATGTTCGTCAATGAATTGTTCTCATGGGGCGAAATGTGTCATAAATGAGAATGGTTTAGCGGGATGTAATTGTCCAATTAATTGTGATGAATACGATCGGACAGAAGCGCCTGATGGATTAATCTGTGCGAATGATCAACGAACTTATGATACAAGTTGCGAGCTACAGAAGAAAGCGTGCGAAATTCAACAAAATCTATATGTTCTTCATTCAGGAAGATGCCGTAGGTTTCTTTCTATGAACGGATGATTGAAATGTGTGTAAAATTAATTCTAGAAAATTGCACGGGTTCTAGTTGCCTGTTAAATTCGCAGCAGTGTAATCCGTATGTCAGTTGTTCGTCAAAATATCGACCAATATGTGCGAGTAATCTTCATTCGTTTTCGAATGAATGTGAGATGCAGAAATATGCTTGTCAATCTCGTGTAAATTTAACCAAATTACACGATAAGAGATGCTATTCTAATGAAGAACAGCAATTGAGAAAAGGTAGATAGAAGTTATTCGACAAAATCTTTGTTTTTCTTCACATTGCATCGAATGGACTAGCTTGTAAAACGTTGACTTGTTCAAATGGAAAAATGTGTATGCTGGAAAATGGACTCGGCGTATGTCGATGTTTATTCAACTGTTCATCTGAGAAAAATCCAGTAAACGTATACGAACTGTCAAGTATTGTACATTTTTGCTTTTTTTTCTGAAGATCTGTGCATCGGATGGTCGATTCTACCAAAACTTATGCGAGATGGAACGTGCTCGTTGTTTCAACGATGCAAGTTTCGTTCCTGTCGATATATCCTATTGTATGTTAACTAACTATTTTCTTTCATTCATTTCCTTTAATTTTATTATTAAGGTGTATCAATATGCGATAAAATTCATTGTCCTTATGGTCGATGTAAACATCATTCGAACGAACAGATTGAATGCGAATGTAAGACTTGCTCGCAGAAATATTCTGAGCACGAACAGATCTGCGGAGATAATGGATTTACATATCCGTAAGTTAGTTTTTTTTCTGATTCTTCTCGTGAAAGATTGATTTCCATGTTAGGTCACAATGTTTACTCGAGCACGATGCTTGTACAAAACAAAAAGATATCAAACCACGGCACATGGGGCCGTGCAATAACTGTCAGAATGTTGTCTGTCCATTCAATGGATATTGTCGATCGGAACAAGGAAATCATACGTGCCTATGCTCGACGAAAGATAGTTGTTTGACGGTAAAGCATTTTCAATTGTTAAATTAAAGGTGACTTCTGATGTACACAGCGTAATCAATCAAATCCAATATGTGGAAGCAATCAAGAATTATTTTACAGTCAATGTGAAATGGATGTACGTTCGTGTGAGTTGAATACACATTTGTATGCGGTTTCTCCTCATTATTGTATTCAATATCACGACCAAAAAAGTAAAACTGGGACGAGTTGTGCGATTTCGGAGAAATACTTTCTTTTAGAATATACTTTTGAATGCAGTTATGATGAAGTATTGTTGGATTTGAATTCAAACCGTTATATTGAATGCGATGCTTTCGAACGATGTCCGATCAATAGTTATTGTAATAAACAAACCAACCGTTGTTGCGTTAAAGGTAAAATAGATGGATGTTTGTTATAGATACAATTTTGATTTTAGTTATAACGGCTATTTTACCATATCGAGTATGTCGGTCCGATGAGGATTGTGGACGAAATATGATTTGCTCATTTGGTCTTTGTCAATGTGCAAGAAATGATATGATGCCCGCGAGAAATAAACGAGAATGTGGTAAGATGAATCAATTGAGTTCGATATCTTGATAACCGATTGTTAGTTGCGGTTCCTTCATATGTTTCTCAAAATTCTACGTGTGCCACTTCTCCTTATGGATGCTGTAATGATCAAATTACTGTTTCACCAACATTCAATCGACAAGGATGTCCAGGTATGTGATTTTCTATTGGATAAGAGCAGAATAGAAAAAAGATTTTCTTTTCTCTTCTCAAGAGAATTGCGATTGTCATCCAACGGGTTCATTACGAACATCGTGTGATCCACAAACAGGTTCTTGTTATTGCCGTTCAGGTGTTGATGGATTGACATGTTCTCATTGTGACAATGAATATTGGAATTTTGCCCGAATTTCAACACATAACAATACTGGTTGCATCCGTAGATATTCACTATCACTAAAGATTCAATTTGGATCAAGTATATTTTCTCTTGTAGCGTGCGGTTGCCACCCGTATGGTTCGGAACGAAGAGATTGTTCACAAGATACAGGCCAATGCTCATGTCATTCGTTTACAACAGGTCTTCAGTGCGATAAATGTATTGATTCAACATTAGTTCTCACTGATCATGGTTGTGTCAACAGTATGTATGAGAAACAGTGAAATGTGAAATATTTTCCGATACTATTTAGTGAATAAAAATCCTCGTCGTCGTCGTCAACGAACATGCAATGATTTGACATGTCTCTTCGATGGAATATGTCAAATTCGTGATGGTTATCCGAGATGTACATGTGATCAAGTAATTTGTACAGATGAAGAGCAACGTTCTATGAGCATTTGTGCTTCGAACGGGCGAACGTATCGATCTAAATGCGATATGAAACGACAACAATGTGCAGAACAATATGAGATTGTTTTGATGTATCTTGGCGTTTGTCATGGTAAGAACGACGGGGATAACGATTTTCTTAAACGCTCTGCTTATTCAATTAGCAAGGGATGAACATCAACAAGTGGAAAATAGTGGATTTGTTGAAGAAGTGTTACCGATCGTACCGATCGATTCAAGTAAAACAGCGATTATAGAATTTGGTTTTCAGTCTTACACGTAAAATCTTTCCGTTTAGAACGATGTATCACAGATGAAGATTGCGGAGAGAACATGGTCTGTCTATCTGAGTTTTGTGAATGTGCACAACAAAAATACAAACGTGTTCCTGGACCGCAGTGTATTAGGCGTGAGTGATGCTTGAAAACTGATGAACAGAGTTCTTGTACATCGATGAATTTAGTACACTCAACTCCATTCGAACGCAATAAAAATTTAGTGAATTCGATTCGCCGTACATCAAATGCTCTATGCATGCGATTCAATCCATGTGAAAATCATGGTGTATGTCACGATGAATCGAATGGTAGCTACATATGTCTATGTTCATTCGGATGGATTGGACGTCACTGCGAGCAGAGTAAGGTACATATTTTCACGAATGAAGTTGTCCGACAAGCTTTTCATCAACAGGAATTACCATAACTGTACCGTATTTTAATCGTCAGTCCTATCTGGAATACAATTTATCGACGTTTATTAAATCGATTGATGTTACCTTTGCTAGTGAGCATGAAAATGGATTAATTCTTTATTCGGAAGAGAAATCCAACAATATCTATTTCGTTATTGCGATACGAAATCGAGCTATTGATATAATGTAAGATTCGTTCGAAAGAGAGTTCGAGATGTTTTATCTAATTTTCTCGAAAGGATTCGATCTTCTCGTTCGATATCGAAAATTCAATTACCGGAGAAGATCAAATTACATACATACGTTCGACTACAAATTCGTCTTGTATATAATGAAATTCAAGCGAAGTTGAATGATGGAAATCTAACAACGAGTATGCCTGGAATTTAGACGAACGAATCGAAAAACCAAGTTTTTTTGTTTAAGGATTATTACCATTTGAAATGACATTGAAAAAACAATTCTTCTTAGGTGGATTACCAGAATCATTACATTTGTAAATAAACTTCGTGTGCAATTCTCTAGTTCTATGGTGTCATGTTTAGCCATTATAAACAATTGGAACTTGATGAAGGTTTTCAAGGATGCGTTCATGACTTATCCGTCAACGGAGAAGCGATACTGTTCAATAATTCAGAACAAACCGGTCAAAATATTCGTATGTATTCTTTCTCAGTTTTCAAAGTACATCTTTTTTGATCGAATAGATGAATGTTCGGTCAATTCATGTCAATCAGCTCAATGTCTACAAGGAACTCATTGTGTCCCACTCACTAATAACGATCCAAGAAATTATGAATGCTTGGACGAAGATTATACAGCGATTGACCGATGTTTAAGAAGACCGTGCGATACCAATCAAGAATGTGTTCTTGTTTCTCCAAACGATTACATCTGTGTTTGTTTAAATTGTTCCCTGGGTATGTCACAGCGAGTTTTAAGAAGCAAGATAAGTCAATTTTGTCATTCTAGATCATCAGTATGCCGTTCAATTTCAATCGATTAGTTATATCAAACATCGACCATTGCAACCGTTAGGGGAAACAGGAAAGTTTAAGATGGAATTATGGTTTTTAAGTTCGAAATCATCAGGTTGTATAGAGTTTTCAACTTTTTCTAACAAAGAGAGTCGTTTTTAGGTTTACTGATTTATAGCGAACATATCAATTCGAAGAAAGGTCACATGAAATTATATTTACAACAGAAAACATTGCTATTCAATGTTCTACTTGGAGCGAAGAACATTGCTCTGAGGTAAACTATTTCAATTATGTGAATACCAAACGTTGAAAACTTTCTCGTGCCTTAGTTCTCGTTCTCCAATTGAACTGAACACCTGGCATCGCTGTTTAATCGAGATCTACGGTCAAAAAATTACTTTAATTCTCGATCAGGACCTGCCAGTCATTTCCTATGAACTATTCTCTTCAAATAATCTATGGCCACGTTCCCTGACATTTATTGGTAACCTTCCTCAACAATATCGCCCAAAGAATTCGCGTCTCTTCGAAGGATTTCAAGGCTCAATCCAAAAAGTAACATCTCTTCTAATAACATGCTGAAACGACTTGTATCTCTATTCAAATAGATGATTATAAACAATCGTGTATTCTCTGACATTCGTCAGAATGCGCTGGAGTTATTCAATATAACTGAATATTCGGATGATCCATATCAATCGCATCCATTTCTTCTATGTGATCAAACGGATATGGATAATGCAACGTGTATTGATCAATTGAAGAGTAGTGATACATCAGCGGAGTTCGATGGAGCAAGCAATGCAGTTTATGCTTATACACCACAGAATTTACAACGAAATGATTTCGATCTGCTACTGAAAACGAAATACTCGTCCGGTCTTGTGTTCTTTGTTGGTGAAACTACAGTATCATTTTTCTCGAAGTATCTTTCATTGATACTTGTTAACGGTTTTCTACAATTCGAAACCAAAGTTGATCAACATTCAGGTGCGATCTTATTGAAATCGAAAGTGCGAGTCGATGATAGTCGATGGCATCGAATTACGATAGAAAGGTACGCAATTCTCTATTCACATCACCTAAATATCATCATCCTATATTTAGAGTTCGTCGTCGTATAATAATGAAACTAGATGATATTTATTATTATCAAACATTATCGTTGAGTAAAGAAACAGATTTTCACCCTAATCCATCATTAATTTATATCGGTGGATATAATCAGCTTTGTGGTTATGATGAACAGCATTGTCAATCCTTTCATGGATGCCTAAGGAATGTTTCTATTGATGAAAACTACTTAAATTTAGTGTACGATCAAATCAACAAGCAAAGACAGTTACGCCCCTGTCGTGATTTATACTGATAAACATTCGATCAGTATATTTACTCTTTTCTGTCAGAAATGTCAGTGTTAAAAGTCAATAGGTAGTTTTATTTTCGTATTTATTGCTTTAGTTGGTAAAAATCTCACAAAAAAAAAACATTTTATTGTCAACGATGTCATTGATGTTAATCTCATTTGTTGAATTGTGTTTGTAAAATTGAATAAATCAGAAATGTATATTCAATTTTACTTGAAACAACTCGTGCTACAATAGGAAAGCATATTGTTATCTAGTAAATATTAACTTTGACACCCACACATATCAGTGGTTATTCACTTTTTTGATATCGTAAAGATTTAATTACACTAGATAAGTACCAGAGACTAGAGCGCGCTATCGACTCTTGACAACTAGTAATTTCATAACGACAGAGTAAGTTTTTAATGACGCGAGCAAATATTCAGAGATATTTTATTCTGTCCATCAAGATGATAAGGAATTTAGCTATATAAAATCCTTCAAGGTTTACTGTCGTAGTCAAACTAAGAAAGACTTCATATTTTAGTAACTCATCACTTAACAACCGAAGCATGAATCCTTGGAGTAGTAAGTTAGAAAAGAACTTCTTCGTGTTGCACGTACAATGAACGAATTCTTGTCTTAGGTGGTCTTTTCGATTGCTTCAGCGATATTGGTATTTGTTTCTACGGTTGGTGCTGTACACCTTGTCTCTATGGAGAGAATGCACAACAAATTGACGGCAGTAGCTGTTGTGGCTCGTGTTGTATATGGGTTCTACTAGCCGACTGTGGTTTGTGCTGTTTAGTTCATATGGGTAAACGAAAAGCATTACGTGACCGTTACAGCATCCAAGAAGATTGTAATGACTGTGTGGCCACTACTTTCTGTACGTCGTGTGCTGTCTGTCAAGAAGCACGTGAATTGAAATTTCGTTCGGCTACAGTTGGAGGTATGTATGCGAGTGAATAACCTGAATGCAACCAGAACATGTATATATCTAGGTCCGGCACCAGTTATGGCGCAACCCATGGGAGGAGCTGCGTATCCAAATCTTGGACAACAATATTAAACGAATAAACTATTTTAAATATTTGTCGCCTTTGGAGAGACTCGTTTTACTCGAGGTACTGCATTAAATACGAAATATTCGAAAATAAAAGAAATCATGAAGCACCATTTTGTGAAAAAAAAGATAAAAATTGAGTCGCTTATCTCGAGAGTGAAGACACACATAGGTGAAAAAAAACATTCTCATATCTTCATTCTCCCACACCCAACTTCCAAAATAGAATATTTCAACATTGATATCTAATGATGTTCTATTAGGAACTTTGTCATCATCACACTAATGATCATTTTCGATAGCAAAAGACAGCAACACCCTATTTACACTGTTCACGTCGACATGCAGAGCAAAAGTCAAATAGAAAGATAATCTCATATAATTAGATCAATCTGCTTCGATCAAAGTATCATTATTCGAACTGACAATTGCTTGAAACTTTTTTTCTTTCCACTCACAGAAGAATCATCTTATACAATAGCATAAAAATAAATATAGACACAGTTGTTCATTTAGACTTTCGAACTTTTCGTCTTTGTATACAAGACAATGACTACTAGAGGGAAAAAAAACGACGCAACGAAAGATCAAAGTTTCATCAGTATTAACTTGACGGTCGCTGGACAAACGAGCACGACGGAGAGAAGTATGTCTGGACGCATCTCGGCTAATAACTCCAAGATANTCATATACAACAGCATAAAAATAAATATAGACACAGCTGTTCATTTAGACTTTCGAACTTTTCGTCTTTGTGTACAAGACAATGACTAGTAGAGAGAAAAAAAACGACGCAACGAAAAATCAAACTTTCATCAGTATTAACTTGACGGTCGCTGGACAAACGAGCACGACGGAGAGAAGTATGTCTGGACGCATCTCGGCTAATAACTCCAAGATAAACACTCATTTAGCGAATAGAACGTATATTCAATATTGACCATTACACATCTACATACGTATAACGTATAACATTCGTTCAGTTGTTGAATTGAATTTGAGTTGCCGTACATGTCCGTACCGAAAATGAATTGTACATTTTGCTTTGTGTGATTATGTACAGAAGGACGACATGGTCCATTGGTTAATGGTAATTCTCACTTATAACTTAGCCATTCTAAAGGTTTGTTCAGTTAGTTTTTCTTTGTTTACGTGCATTTTCATGTGTATTTAGTTATCAGTCAGTGAAGTAACACTGTCCTTACGTTTACTACATTATAAAAATCGGAATGGTTTAACGTATGAAAATCGTCCGTGCGATACGAGATACGAGCATGACATCAATCACGATGGGCGATGTGACACTGCCTTTTTATTCTGTCTTGTACGATTACCTTTCCGAAATCCACATAATTGTACATTAGGAGATCATTTTACCGGTTTCGTCGGTGCTGATGATATTCATTTTATCAATGTGAATCAACAGCAAGAAGATAAATTCGATGCACAACCGCGATCGGCATCATCGTTGAATACTCTTTGGTATCAACCCATTATTTATTTCCGTTTTAAATATCCTGAAGTAAATTTTGTTTGATTTTTGTCGAAATTTTATATTTTAACGATTATTCAATCTTTATATAGGCAGGTATTGGTTTAATTGTTGAGGTATTCGATGTTGATGACATGAATAATCAAACGATCCATGATTCAATCGATTTCTATGCAAGAAAATTGCTTGATTTGAATACTTATCCATCTAAAGACTTAGCGAAACCACGACGAATTCATTTACAAAGTTTATTTGGTGTTTATACGAACCTGACAGCAGATTTTTCGGTTGAGTTTATTAGTTGATGTCGGTTTTCATTATCAATTGAATCTTATTTCGATTTTTTCAGTTGTACTGTTCACCAAATTACTTCGGAACGAATTGTGAAACATTTTGTTTACCACACGATCAACGGTACGATTGTGACGTGAACACAGGACAGAAAATTTGTAAAAATGGATACTTTGGAGCGCATTGCTTTAGTGGTAAGACGAAAAAAAGAGAAAGAGAGATTACAATGATCAAACTTGATTTTCTCGTTCTAGATGTTCGTGCTTGTGCAGATGAACCGTGTTTGAACAACGGCACATGCGTTGTATATCTTCGAAGTTATCTATGTCAATGTCAGAAAGGATTCTCCGGTCGAACATGTGAAATCGGTTCAACAATGAGAATCTTCTCATCGCCGTGTAATCGCCTGAATTGCGTTCATGGATACTGTTCGAAAGAAGGAAGGTGTGTTTGTTACAACGGCTGGACGTCAGAGAATTGTAATGGAAGCTTTATAATCGGTAAGTATAGTGTCTTTCAATTCGGTTGCTGTTAAATTGGAAATCAAGCAGGAGAATCCGGTTGTTCAAGTCGACCCTGTTTACACAATGCCACATGTGAGACATTGATTGGCGTCAATCCTGCATCGGCATATCGTTGCCATTGTCGAGCAGGATTTACCGGTCGAAATTGCGAAACTTGTAAGTCCGAAAGTATATCTTTCGGTTGTAATACTGTATTTATTTTTAAAAGCAATGATTCAAATGTGCGAACAGGTGACTTGTGTTCACGGACAGTGCTTTAAAATCGATTATGACACAGAAATTTGTGTTTGTCAAAAGAACTGGACAGGAATCGATTGTTCCCAGCGATTACACCGTAAGTAACGATGACGATACTCTTTCTAGTTTCCATTCTACACGCGAATGTTCTACACAGCTTCAACTACAACGACGAGAACAACAACAACACCACCACCGCCTACTATCAGATATATTCGACCGACGAAACCAACGAGAATCATAAAAAACCTAACCAACGTGGTTTTACAAAATGATATACACAACTATCTCGATTGGTTGAACATGAAATACACAGATAGGAAAAATGGCACTTTAGCCGAACTACCTATCACAATATCGACCGGACATCATAAATATAGTATGAACAACATAATGTCGAAGTTTAATATTGGTCGTCTATTTCTAGAACATTCACCATGTTCGAGCAAACCGTGTCTTCATAATTCGACGTGTGTATCACGATCTGAAGAAAGTTTCCAATGTATTTGTTCCGTGTCATTCATTGGAGTTTATTGTGAAATTGGTATGTGAAAGAACGACTTTTGAAATCTCAAAAAAAATCTTGTCATCATTCTCATTCCGTTAGAAATTCTAAAGATTACACAGTTTCGTAAGTTTAGTTCTCGCGTAGTTCGACGGAAGCATGTGCAATCCAGTAGAATTTTCTCCTTAGTAACAAAAAAGCTATACTGTTTTGTTTTTCTTTAAAGAACAAAATCCATGTGAAAGTTCTCCATGCCAACATCAAAGTCTTTGTATAAGTAAATCGAATCACCATATTCAATGTCTATGTCGACCACATTATACCGGCAAATTTTGTGAATATCCGGTACCATTTTATCTGACGCCTTTCAACGAAAAATGCAATCGTGTTTGTCAAAACGGCGGTGTTTGTCTGGTAAACACAACGAGAAAATCATTAACTGCAAATCTCGTTTTACATGTAAATTCTAGATTGACGAAGCTAATCAAGAACAATGTGTTTGTAAACCAACTTACACCGGGCATTATTGTGAACTATCGAAAACTAATTGTACTAACAGCACGGGTATGACTATTTTTTACTTAAAATTCGTCCTCGTTTTTATCATGCATCATTAAATAGTCATAGCTTCACGAGAAAATAGAGTATGTCTCTACTTGAATTGCAGATGGAAAACAAATTTCACTCAACATGAGTGATTCACGCTCGCTTGAGTATAGTGAACTATTTCATCTTGGACTTTATACTAAATTAAAATAAAAATATTCTTCATATCGACGTAGAAGTAGATGAGTACTCAGAGAGCGTTCTTCTAACAAGTACTGTTGACATGATTTGTAAAAAGTAAACTATTTAAATCGAAGTTCAATCGAAGTGTTTACTTAATAATGAGATTTTGTATCTATATATTTATTTAGATCCATCTTGTTATGCTGATCCATGTAAATCTAATCCGTGTTTATTCAATGGAACCTGTCACATGTTATTAGCATCGAAAAACTACATTTGTTCATGTCTTGAACAATATACAGGTGAACGTTGTGAATCTGAAATGAATTCCAATTCATCAAAAGTCATCGCCACCAATCCTAATATCAACTTCGACGACGATGAGACAAACAATACCAGCAATCTCTGGCCGTTAGCGATCGTCTTCGGTTATGTATTTTCTCTCATGTTAGTTTTTATAATCATCTGGTTCTTATGGTAAATCGCTTCTGTTCATATGTTTCTAAACTAAATTGTTCTTTATTACAACTAAGGTATGGTTTAACAATTCGTCCTCAATCCTATACTCCATATGGTGAACGTGTTAGTAGTGATCGATATCAACCATATCGTCTGGGTGTTAGTAATCCACTTTTTTTTACAAATCAAGAATATATTACACCTATATCAACAACATTATTAACACCACCAACAACAATATCAAATCTTGATCAATGGACACGAACAATAACTCGTTAGGATGATTTCAAGAAAAAGAAAAGACTAAAAAAAAAGAACGAAGAAATTTCTAAAGAAAAAGTGTTTCTCTCAATTCTGTTTTGGCTTGTTTTCTTTCATGAGTACTATGTACACATTATATGAAGAAAGAACAGCAATAGTAAAGCAAATGAGCAACAAGAGCGAAAGAGAAAATGAGACATGAGTGATTCATTATCACCAAAAATCGTCTTCTTCCGATTGTGGTTTATTGGTTTTCTCGGAATGTTTACCAGTTCGATCAACATCCGATGCTGAACTGACTCCAGAATATTCACGAACGATTTGAACTGGAGCTTTTGTTGCGCCTGTTGTTGTAGCAGGTGGTGGAAGTGAAAATGAACTGCTATCTTCACTCTGAAAACGAAGGAAAGAAACTAGTGGAAAACTGATTGAACTAATGTCTCACCTTTTCTTGTTCCGGACTTTCCATAATATTGTCGATGGCTGATCCAGGTGAATCTGTTCGTCTTTGATTAGGAGCAGCATTCGTTTGATGTTGATTACGACTGGCAGGTGACACTGTTCGAGTCAGTGTCGCATAGACATCCGCTAAATGAATCAAATGCATCGCTGTCCAACTGTTGCCATCGTTCGCCTTACCAGACTGTTGTCTTATTATTTTTCTATTATTATGGTGACTACTTGATGGAGTCGACGATGAAGACGATGACAATGATACTTGTTGAGTTTCCATAACAATGGGCGTTTTCATGTCAGGATGTTCTAATATATTTGGTACACTTCCTCCATTACTTTCATAATGTGTCATTGGTTTCGTTGTTACAAGTGAACGTCGGCTCGCCCTGTCATCAGTTCTCGAAGGTTTGATTGTGATTTCCGGATGTTCGAAGATGTGATCATTGCTTTGAGAAAATGTTTTAGGTCGACTACTCGGATTGCTTTTTGATGTTAACAAACTTCTAAAAGCGAAACAACAAACATTCATCAATTTATTAATGATTAAATTACCATGAAAAACAATCCCAGTCTCTTATTTCTCGAAGTGTGCGTGCAGAGTTTCCGACTCATCTGTATCAATACAATAGATCCTAGTTCTAATAACCTTACGAGCTTCTATTTTTGGATGTTCAAAAAAAGGAAAACATCGGTTCCGATTTGAGTCAATAGCTTCCTTTTTAGTTTTTTCTATCGGATCAAACAAATAAGCTAAATTTAGCTTTGTCGAAAACCTTTAAACTTACTCGGTTAGATTAATCATTGGTTGATCCTTATTCCAATTGTATTTCTGAGTATGCGAGTTAATATCTTGCAAAGACGTTGATGCCGGCATGATGTTTGTCGTCGGATTGCTGGCTCCTTGTATTTGTGCACTTAGTTTAACAGTTGGTCCACGTCGTGCTGATGAATAATCAATTTCTATTGCATAAGAAATAGAACAAGAATGAATAATTTTCTTTCAACTGCTGGATACTTCGTTTATTCTCGATACCAACTAATCTTATACGAGTACTATGTGCGCGAAACGATATCGAAGTTAAGGGCAAGATAAACTTTTATTTTTCTTTTTGAAAAAAAAACCATCTGTAATGTTGTTTTCGGGTAAAAACGAACGGAAATCATGTGGGCAATTGAGTAAGAAAGTATTTTCCATTGTGCAAAACTGGTGCACATGCATATGTTGAATAGCGTTGCTGTAAGCTATGAAAAAAACAAAGCGTCGCCCATTACGTTCTACTTTAGTTGCTAAAAATATCTCGATGATCGTCTTCTTGATAACTTTAAGACAAAAATTTTCAAAAATTCATCTGTCAGAACCGAGTCATTCACAAGTTTTCGTGTTGGTATGTATTTCTCTCTCAAGAGAGAGAGAGAGAGAATGAGACAAGATTGCCTTATGAATAAGTGATACCAGCCCCTTTCTGTCGATGATGACTTGTTTCTCTAGTTTTCATGAAACAAAAAAAAAAAGAAACGCGAGTGACAGTAATCGTCTCCGAATTGAAGTCTTGGAAAGATAAAAAGCTTGTTGAGATGGAGAGTATGCACAAGCATTGAATAATGACACGAGAAGGAAAAAAAGATGTTTTTCTTCATATATAAATAGGAATCAAGCTATTCTCTTTGATTCATTTTCTTGAAAAAAAAAGAAAAGACTTTTCTCATGAGCCTGCACGGAAATAACTGTGAGATGACAGGATAACATTATGCATCTTCTTTCCGTCTTTTTCTCGTTGATTAAATAAAAGAATCTTTGCAAGTAGATTTGAAACGAAGGAGAAAAAAAAAGAAGTTTCTCTCCTGGCGAAACGAAATCATCGGTTCATTGTCTTCGATCGAACTCATTTAATAGTTCAAGAGTATTTTTCCTTTTATTTTCTCGACGAGTCATGCATTGTATGTGTTTTGGTAAAGAATATGACTATTATTATTTGTTTCCGTGTTGACTTGCTCGTTAGTACTTGTCGTTCTCGTTGTTTCTTTTCTGCTTCGTAAGACTACAAATAATATAAAAAAAACATCAAGATGTTCTCGTTTCTCCTTTCTCTCTCTCATCTTTAACTCGATTAAATGAATCACGATGGAACCGAAGCAAATCTTCCCTTCAGAGAAAGTTTTTCTCGTCACCAGACAAGAAAGAAACACATACCGTGTCACAGTAAATGAAGCTTTGTGTAAATGAAGATAAGCACGAGAATATCATCTTTCTAATGTTTATGTTTTTCTCTTTGCGTAATGATCGAATAGCATGAACAGACACAATGTTCATCCGAGACATTCATTCACTTCCGCAATCAAGAAAACTTTGTCTATGGGTAGACAACGAGCTTTGCTTCTCTCGAAGTTTTTCACCATTGCTATTTATAGCAACAATGATGATAATCATGATGAAGAAGAAGAAAAAAAAAGGTAGAAGAACATCGTTTGCAAACTTACTCTTCGAATACCTTCGGGCGAAATCTTTCTATTCAAACAGTTGATTTAGATCTTCGACTGAAATAGAAATAGTCTATTTTAGACGCGAAAACTTTTATTGCTGATGTGCTAATAAATGTTAGCAAGTTAGAAACTAGCAAACGTGATTAGAAAGTCGTTTTTATATCAACTTATGTTGCTGTTTTCTCTCTCTCAGAACTCGATGAAACATTTCTGTATTATCAGACTGTTTGGGGAATTCGCTGGACGTAAATGGAAACGAACCGAATTAGTTAATTAAAGACGAGCGGCGATGTTTTCAACGATCTTATGCAGGAAATCGAGTGTAAACACGAGTCGGTCAGCACTTACTCGAATTTGATAGAAGCATGAGGTATTATCGTAGAAAAATCGTTCATTCAATAATAGACAGTAAGAATTGTATATACCAAATGCGCGATTCAGGAAAATAAGCGAAAGAAAATGAAAAAGAAAGAAGCGATGGTAGATCCTCTTCTTTTTTTTCTCTTCTCTTTTTCGGCTCCTACGCGTACGTTCTTTGCAATTTTGCAGCATTAGAAAAGAAAAGAAGAAAAAAAGCAAGAAAAACGCTGTGTAACTTGGTTTTTTCAAAAAAACAAAGAACGAGTAGTGCATGCACTCAAGTACATACAATAGTGTGTCTTTCATTTTCATAAATAACTCGATTGAAAGGAGAAAAAGTATATTTTATAACTTGTCCATGCGGTACGTGCGTGTTGGAATATGTATACGCCCATCGGATCGGTACGTTTTATTGAATAAATACACGTACTTTTTCTAATATGTGCTGTTATTCGATCTACGAAGTGAAAATTGATAAACGCCTCTCATCTTGTGATTTGTTTATTCCAAACATTGAATTCAGTGAAACTAACACAACTGTTAGTCTCGTTTTTCTGTCGTTCTTTCCTTCGGTGCAAAAGTGAGTAGCGTTGTGGTTACCTGCCGATTGTAAAGCATGTGGTTGTGACGTTTGGGTTAAAATCCGATGTTGATAATCACGATAACTTTCTTCGACTCTCTACAAGAAATTGAAAATGTTTGTACAAATTTCGATAGATTTTTTTAACGAACATCGGCTTCGCGATCGAGCTCATGCATTCTTAATTTCGCCTCTTCGATGAATTGATTATAGTTTGACGACGTTGAGTATCGACTTTGATTCAACTGAGCATCACTTGCTGATTTGACAACACGAGATAGATAATCACCGCCATGATTGCTCGGAAAACGACCATTAAGGCTATTGAGAAAACATTTCACTTTCGTTTCAATGAAAAGTCGATACTCTTACTACGGTTCGGGTTCGTTCGATGATTGTAGAAGTGCTATTTGTGTTTTTAGATCAACCAATTCATCATTGACAACACGTTGACCGACGGCTTGATTGTCCAAAATAGTTTTCAATTCACGTATCACTCCTCGCTAAATAACGGCCGAATCAAATAGCGTTTTTATCGAAAATCATTCGAGTTCGATCTTACAGAGCTATGCGATCGCTCGCGAGGCGATGAACTACCACTATCATGTTGATATCGATCTGAAAATATTATCAATAATTCAGAATACCAATTGAGGGATGACTTACTGGAACGTTGAGATCGACTACGAACAAAACATAATGGAAATGAAGTTGAAGAAAAGAATAACGGAGAGCTCACCTTGTTGTATTGTTCATTTGAGATTTTAAAACAGCATTTTCTTCTCGAATGGATTGATAATCAACAGACTAAAATGCATGGAAAACATAATTTATCATCGGAATGTCAGGCTTTATTTATCTCCAACAAATAAAAATAGAAGACCGAGAATATATGTCGGAGAATCTTGGCCGGAATCGAGTGCGCAGCTATAGAAGAGATTTGTCATGAGCGGAGCGCAGAGGAGTTTGAGAGCCGAAGCCGGATTCGGAAGTAAAAGCATTAAAAGCTGATTATCTGAGCTATGGGGCTTAGCAAAGCTTTGCTTCATGTATGTAGCTGATCACTATAAAACTCAATCTGCCGGTGTTTTACTTACGTGTTTGGCTTTTTCACGTAAGATTTCATTTTCATTCTGAAGAACTTTGATTTCACTCTGTAAACGCAAAATTTTCGACTAAATGAAAAGTTAGAGTTGTTTTTCCATATCAGTTTAACAACGATTCAGTTACATCAGCTTCGGAATAATGTTTACGCATGGAAGCAACTTCGGCTTTCGCTTGTTCAGCTGCCAAACGTTCTTCAGCAAGTCGTCGTGTTTCTTCTATTAATTCAACAATTATAGATAACAGAGAAAGCAACTTTAATCCGAATGTACCCTGATTTCTCATTTCAATCAATTGTAAATTTTTGTTGCGCTCGGTAAATTGCTGTTCAATTTCAAATCGTAATCTAAATCAACAAAACTTGTCTTTCAAATCAACATGGATTCTTCTTCGCTCGAACTTGTTCAATTTCATTTGTACTTGTTGATCCACATGTAATTCGGTATTTGTCAATCCTACTTCACGTTTCCGTATATCATCTTCAAGACGCTTAACGCGATCTGCTTCAAGAGCTAATGATCTAAATAAAGAACAACGTAATCAACATTAAAACGCTAAATTCATTCAAACATGAACATCTGTCTATCTATAGAAACTATGATGATATAAATTACGCATATGCCCCGATGACGCAGAACACGAGCGACTATCGTCTTCGTAAATTATTCAATGTGTTCATTCACAAAATGTTCTGCAGAAATGACGTGTTACGCAGACATGCTGAAAAATAAGCGCAGTGTATGACGCGAGAAATTTGATTAAATACCGGGCAGATCTTTAAGCTGTATTCTTTTTCTAATACATGAAAGTTTATTAATAGTCTAAGATGTAGATCTAATCATCGGAGCAAGATTTCCGAGGCTACAGAGTAAATCTTTCAAATGGAATTCTCGTGTTTACGGTCGTTGCCTTCGGGAGAAGTGTTTGTGAAAAGGAAATGCTTTTAGAGAGTATGGACTCGAACTTTACCTTTCGCGTATTTCGAGGTTCCGTTGATTTTCAGTCTCGCGAACTTTCATCGCTTTTAATTCTTCGAGAAATGTTTGCCGTTGTCCGTATAGTTCGCGCCGTTCGTTCTGTATGAAAGAGAGAAGATGGATGAAGCGATCGAAAAAAGACATGAGACAAACTTCGAGTTCAGCTTTGAATCGATCACTAATACGTCCTTCTTTCTCGTTGAGAGTTTCGTGTTTTGAATGATAAAGTGCTTCGAGCTGGGAAAAAGAAAGAATTTTGTATTTTGTTCAACAAAATCGACTAACTTCTTTTCGTAATGATTGTAATTCCATTTGACATTTCAAACGTTCATCTTCACGAATTTTCTTAATTTCGTTTTCACGGAATTGTTCCATCTAAATCAACGTTTTTCCTTTTATATCCACGAAACATTCAAAATGACCTACTTGTTGCCGAAGACTTTCTTTCGTCCTCAGTTCGATATTTTTCTGAAATAACAATAGTTTTTCCTCAGTCGACAAATTATGCATCGAGGTCACGTCGTCTTGCCGATTGTTATACATTGCATCGAGATTACTTAATTTTTCATCTAAATCAATTGGAATATACATCGACATGTACAGCCAGTCTAACTGCAAAGAACGTTGGCGTGTTCTCCCGCACCGACGTACGTGCCTAGAACTTGTCGTGTCAAAGAAAAACCTCTCAGAAGAATTGTTTTGTTCGATCTTTTTTTAAGAACTGATAGACATGAGATATAGCACCGATAGTCTAGACAAGACGCTTTTTGCTGACAACTGATTTCTTAATTGGAACTAAATATATTTCCTGAGAGAGATTATTGCATTTGATCAATTTTCAATGTGAAAATGTTAATAATAACTAACCAAGCGTTGCTCCTGCGATGGAACCAGACCAGAGATCATGCGAAGTTTGTGTTCCATTGCTCTGCCATGAACCAGGCAACCATGAGGCAATACATGTGAGCATTGCCATGAGTAAACTTGTGTGTGCGTGGTTTTCTTTGTTTGATTTCTAAATGAATTAGACAAGCAAAAGGATGTGAATTCCATTCGAATGAAAATGAGCTATTACAATTTTTTTATAGAAAGTTGATTCCGTCGAGATATTCAATAGACGAAGAATTTCTTCATCTGACATAACCTAACAAGAAGACAAGATGTTTTCTTTTTCTCAAACCAGATGCTCTTCTGCTAGTCAGACTATACTTTATAATCATTAATATTCGCGTCAGGTATGAAAACACTTGATGTATAATCGTATTTTTGTATTTGAAAATAATCTAAAATCAATGCATTCAACGCTCGGACAAGTAATGTCGGTTGCGTTTCTGACGACGAGAATCGAATTTGATCATCAATGCCTCCACGCAACTCTTGAATCAATCGACCACGTAGATGAGACTGAAATTCAGAAGATCGATTATGAGAAAAGAAATTCAATGAAACATTTTCATAACGAACTTTAACATTGTCCACGATTCCTTTTGATTTCATTAGATCGAATAATTTGATTCGAAGATCTCGTCCGCTAAGACCATTTTGATCAACACTCGTCATCTTTGAAATAAACCTTGGAGAAATGAATCCAATTACACGCTGCAACAGTTGAATAAAACCACAACGACCATACTCAGTTTGTTTCCTATCACAATACCTCTATTCACGATCAATCACATTACATTCATTCTTCTCCCTTCGCATTGGCTCGACGTCCGCCAATGAGAAGAGCAACTTGAAATCAAAATGATATGACATGATAATGATAAAACTTGTTCATCAAGGTTTGTTTTTATTAGGTAAATTTTCTGATAAACTTCGTTTTCTATCATCCGTTGTTACATTTGCTCGAAAGCAATGTACGATGACTTCAAATAGAATCCCATTACACCGTGTTCAAGGGACACATTACGAATATTCGTATCAACTCGGTCAATTGACACGCGAATCAATTCGACAACGTATTGCAAATGATTTCGCCTATTTATCGAAATTATTCCATTTTATTCAAACCGAATACGGACAAAAATTGCATCGAGGTTTCATTGAAACCACTCGCTCCATTTATCCATGGTATTGGGACGAAATTCGTGGATTAGCGGATGGATCTCAAGTTCCACTCGAGCAGATTGTTGTTTTGAACTTTCTAAATGAAACCCGGACAGTTTATCGTCTGCTTGACGAAAAGAAAAAGCTCGAAAATGAAACAGGCGAACAAGGCTGCACAACGGTGTTAATCAATCGAAAAGATACGGAGACACTATCATTATTGCATAACGAAGATCATTCAAGTGCACTGTATATGACAGGCTATCTAGTTGAAGCTGATATTCAACCGAGTAAATACGATAATGATCAACGTGATAGTCCTAAAGAGAAGTTTGTTGCTTATTGTTATGCTGGGTCAATTCCAGGTAAAAGAAATTCTGTTTTATAGTTGTGTTTTACCTTTTTTCCTCGAATAGGAAACGCATTTGGTGTTAATGTACATGGTTTTGTTTGTGCATTGAATGGACTCTATCCAGATTTTGTAGTCGCCGATCGTTTACCGCGTCAGATTGTCAATCGTGCATTACTTTCCGTCAAGAATGAAGACGAGTTAGATAAACTACTGCAATCATCACCTGTTGCATATGGATTTTGTATCAATGGTGGTTTCCTTCGTCAAAAAACACATCTACTCAACTACGAAATCGGTCCGAATCTAAATGAAAACAATCAAAATTACATCAGTAAATGTCGAATTATCAATTCGGAAGGTAAGTTCAATGACGATTCCGACGCTCGCAATTATCTTGTACATTACAATCACTATGAACGATTGAATCATGTTATCCGTCAACAAAAAGCACTCGATTCCTCGTATAGTCGGTGGAAACGTGGTAAAGAACTCGGTGAAATCTTCACTACTGCCGATGCCATCAGATTACTTGGTGATCATGAAAATGAACAATTTCCGATATTTCGTACTTCGAACGGATCCGATGTTAACTCCGTGACACTTTGCACGGTACATATTAATTTCCTTACGTTACAACTTGAAATCTATCAACAAAATCCTAAAGACAACAAGCAACCATCGATTACTTATAATCTACGAGATATATTTTCTTCAGAATGAAAGACATTCTATTTTTTTTTCTATTTTTTGTTTTTGTCGCTAAACCTCATTTATATCCATCAATGTGATACATGAATTTTAATAATAACTATTCTTCAACAATCTATTGCTATTATTAACTGACGCTCGAACAAAAACGGAGAAAACACCGTTCAAATTGGCTACACATCCTATATAATGATAGCGATAAGAAGCTAAATATTTTATAAGCAGCTCAAATCTCCATATGATGACGATGATTGTTTATCTGGAGAACAGAAGTGCTTTAATGGATTCCAAAGTGCTTCCCTGAGAGAGACACATCAATAGGCTTAAGATATATATATATTAGTTGCCTGTCGGCTTATGTGCGTCTCTTTCAAAGTTATACCAAGGTACTTTGATTCTCTTTAGAGAATGAGAAACGCTTTTGTTGAAGAGATTAACGTTTTCGACCGTTATTGTTTCCTAAATGAATGTGATGGTTGGAATGCTTCATAAAGATGCTAAAGATCAAGGTGAAGTTATTTAAGAGTCGTTCTAGAAGCGAATATCGCCTGATTGGATCACATTCGCAGCTGACAATTGAAACTAATGATCGTCGATACGCTGAGAATGCAAAGCATCTGTTCTCCTTCTTCTCTTTCTCATCTATTCTATTCATTTCAATTATTTAAAGCCATCTGAACAGAAGTGTCAGAAGGAATGAGGAATTTCTCGAAGATACTCATAAGCCGCTCAGACTGCAACTCTCGCCAGTGTTCAATATTGAAAAGACATGTAAGACGCACTCATTTATACTTATTCTAGATGAACGTGTCGAAGTATGATGTGTGGCACGAAGCTATTCGTCTTGGTCTCGTTCGACTCTTCTATCCATGCTTAATGATATTCGGAACCATCGGAAATATTCTGTGTTTGAAAATTCTTCTCCGCAAACGCTTTCGTCGCCAGTCAACTTGTCAATATCTATGCATACTTGCTGTCATTGATATTTTATTCATTTACACACGATCAATACGCTATTTATATCGACATATATTCAGTGCTGACTTACGGAATACATCACAATGGGCATGTCGGTCACTGATATTCTTTTCTTCGACACTTTCACATTTAGCTTCATGGATTCTTGTTATTGTTAGTTTCGATCGATATTTCATTATGAAAAATCGCGTCTCGCATCGAAATACGAAATATCGCGTGATGTTAACAACCTGTATTCTAGTTTTAATCATTTGCTTTCTCAACGCACATTATTTCGTGATTCTAGGTAAGAATGAAATGAAAATTGTTTGATCTACTTCATCGCCTCTTTTTTTACCAGGAAGAAACGTGAGATTACCTTCCTCAACTCATCCGAAACGTCGAAATCTGACCGATGAAACAGCTCACAATGGTACCAATCGTTTTGTCTGCATAGCAAAAACGGAATTTAAACAGTTTTTTCGTTTTGTTCAGCCGATACTCGATGTATTATTCGTCGCTATCATTCCATTTTGTCTTCTAGCTTTTACAAACATCGCTATCATACACACTACAATGCGTACGAATCTCCTACGCAAAACATCACGCAGACAAAAGCGTAACAATCGCCTGACGATTATGCTTCTTTCGGTGATCTTATCATTTATGCTGTTAACCTGTCCATCCGTTGTTTATATCTGTTTGAATCGTCTATCAACAGTAACGACATTTTCGGGTACGAAACTAATCGTCTTGGATTTGTTCGAAGCACTATGGTATACGAAACATGCATTGAATTTTCTTCTGTATACATTAAGTGGTCAGGATTTTCGACGGGAATTTCGAAAGTTAATTCTGTGCTCAAAACGAACGGCATCAAACACCTTGCGACATCGTAAACATCATCAGCAAGGAAATAGTCATAGTATGCTTTCGGAAAACTCCTATGTCTCAACGCATCGAGCATCATCGATTACGATTCAATAGAATTAAACTGAAACAAAAACAATGATGGTCTGGAGAGATTGATGAAGAGAATATACGCGTATCCATTTTGCTGACGAACAAGAAGAAAGATTATAAATACGACCATACATTCAGTTTGTTTTGATCAATTAGATTTATTTTTGAACTTTCCATTTTCGAATGTCTTTTCATCTCCTAATAACCAATGTTTACTATTTATTTATTTATTTATCGCAAAAAAAAGCTTTTATAACAAGATGAAAATGAGAGTATAGATGGAAACTAGCTCTTCTATTATTCATAACTATTGGTAATTCACGCTTTGTACATTACAATCTTTCAATGTATTAGAAATTTGTTGATTATTAATAGACTACTTCGAATACTTCACCAGCAACGGATGACAGATGTCAACTAAAGTAGAATAATGTCGAGAGGAGGGAAACGGAATTAGATTGAGACCATGAGTCGTCTAATTGGATTTACTTTTCAAATGAAAAGAACGTGTATTTAATAACGTCCATGTGCTTGCAAATGTACTGTGTCTGAAGGATTAGTTATCCGTCCGACCATGCCACGTTCGCGATTATGAAGCTGCTCATCCAACGATGAACGACCAATGTTGTGAATTTGTTCTGGATTAAATCTCTGATCTCGATTCGTATGTAGCGGAGTTCGACGAGCGTTCGCAAATGGTCGTCTACCTTGAGATGTCGATCGATGTTGATGCATGTCGTCACTACGTCGTCGATTGAGATGTTGTGTACCTTCAACAAGACTCATACGTCGTCCAGCTTCGAAACCTGCAGAAAAACCATCGGCGTAACTATTGGAAACTTCATGATGATCTCTCGATACTCGTCCAGTAGTCGTCCGTCGACCATTCTGCATCTTACACTGAGAGAAAATGAAAGAAAACTCAAATAAATATAATGATAACAATAAGAGTATTGTTCCAGAGCGCCAATTAAAGTAACTCTTATAAAAACATAACAATTTATTATTCAGTATGTTTGACAATGTTCTTGGATATTCCCATCTCCTGTTTACCCATCGGTACATGACAGGTTAACATCCCTTTCTCTTTCTGTAAAATTGCTTAACAAACTTCTTCCTGGTAAATAAATTATTATTAACGAATACACTTTGTTCTCAAAAACAAAAAAAAGTCTATTATTATTCACAATCAAAAGACCAGAAAGCAGAAATATTAGTGAACATGACAAAAAGAGAAGAAATTTCTCACTTGTTTCAAATTGAATAAAGTGACACTTCAAATATAAAATGATACACTTGTTATTTTCATACATAGTTTTCATGTTCATTTCCTAAAAGACGTTTCCGCGATGGAAGATGATTCTCACGCGATTGCTGTCGGTCTTGGAGTTGGTCTTGGTGGATTTGTCGGATTTGTATGCACTTCTTTAGCTTTATCGAACATGAGGAACGAATTTGTCTATTTCTTTATGTTAGATTGTTATTGGTTGTGTTCTCTGGAAGTTTTGCTGCGGATAGTACGTTAAATTTGAATATCATGTTGTTTTGTACTCGTCAAATTGTTGTTTTTAATTTCAGTTGCTGTGAAAAGAACAATGTGAAGTCGACAGCCGTGCAAATTCCACTACGAGGACAGCGAATACATAGGACTGAACCACCCTACGCAATTCAAACTCATACTACGCGCTTTGTCACAGCAGATTAATCTTCAAAATGTGCATTTCATTTGAAAGTATACACGAGCTTGTTGTACTTTTTCTTTGTTTCATATTGTATTTCTAAATTTTTATGGGCAAAAAAAAGAGAAATTTCTCATTGTGTCGAACAGACACTAAATAAATTTCATATCTTAAAATCGTTTTCTTTCAACTGACATCAACACACGAAATATTCACCATCTTATCGATCAATTGACTTCTCAACAATTCTTTCGTTAATACAAAATGACAATAGTTCACGTACATACTCACGACATCAATTTACTATTATGTCATTCGAGTCCGTATGTAAGTGTTTGCAGACTTGTCCAGTAGATTTCAAGGATGACAATATGAAGTTCAAAGACGTCGATTGTAGCGGTGATACACTTCTCTTCTCAATCCATACAATTTTAAGTTCTTTTTCATGATATAGTCTATTCTGTATTCGATATATCAAGCACCTTGTACCACTCGTAATTATTTTGACTATTACAGAACTAATTATTTCGATTTAATTTTGATTTATTAATATGTAATTGTCTAGTCAAGGTGCGCTGTCGTTAGTTCTCTTTTTTTTCTCTTTTGGAATTCTGACGAGTTTTCATTTAAACATCTTTTCTTCTTCTTGTTATTTGATCTTCTCGTTCCTCGATTGAAGACACAATGGAAGACGTGCATATTGTCAGTGTGGAAAGTTTTCTTTTCTTCTTTCTCGTTCCTTTTTTTTCTCCTCCACAGCAGTTCTTTTCCCTATGATTCGTCGGAGAGAAAAAGAATAGACATTTCAAATCGTCTACTAAACAAAAGTAAAACGAGGAAAATCTCAGTCAAACGATACGATATCATGAACGGCGAATCGCTCGATAGTTGTGTCGTCTTATCACAAGATCCAACGTTAATCACAAGGTATGAACAGAATTTTTGCGCCCGGAATTCACCTTTGCATGAAAGACCTTCGTTTTCATAACGTTTGAAGTGAAATTTAACAATGATAAGATCTTTTGTGTCTTTTAAAAGAAAAGGAATATGTCACTTATCTCTTACGATTACTTATAAGAGTCAAGCTATTTATTCGGAGGTAAAACCGACGTATTTTTTATGGCTCCTATCTTTTTATTTTCCTATGTCAATAGACGTGTAATGAAAAAGTGCAGTCAGAAAGATAAGAATCTGAGTAGCATTCCTTTTCCTTCAAAATCTCTTCAGCTTTTTTTCTTCAGATCAGTGGAAATGACGGAAGAAAACAAATCAAGGTTCGATGTCCAACAAGTTTCCTGTATAGTTAGAGACACACTCGACAAAAACATCGGAAATAAACCGTATGACCACGATCAAGTCAACCGATGGTCGGCTACCATTGTCGATCATACGTTAACTGGCCTAGGAGGAATCGAGAAACCATTTAAATACGTTGTGCATGCGGTATGTCGCTGAATTTGTATACGATTGATAGAATTTCGTGATTTATCTAGGTTTTAATGCAAAAGAATGGTATTGGTGCTCATACCGCTAGTTCTTGTCTTTGGGACAATACAAAGGATGGTAGTTGTACTGTTCGGTGAGGAGATGTTCATTGATTGCAATGATAATTTTCGATTTTCTTTGTTTCAGCTGGGAAAACAAATATGTGTATGCTATTGTTTCGGTTTTTGGCTTATATAATCCCTAAATTAATGTCGTCTTCACTCATTCTCCTTTTTCCGTCGATGCTCTTGCGCTTTTAGTTCTTTGATATTCATTTTTATCATAAAAAAGCACACCTAATAAATAAATCTTGATAAGAAGTGTAATTTTTGTTTACATGCAATAAAATCTTTTGAATTTGTAGAAAAAAATTCGAAATATGTGCGGTCGTTTTGCTTGCGGTTTAGCTCCTGATATCGTACGTCGTCTGTCGACTTACATGCATTCTCAAACAAATGAATCAACCGTACCACCATTTATCGACTTAATGTCGTCAACACGATCGTTTCGACCAAGTTGGAACATTTCTCCGACTTCAACTTGGTATTGTTTTGCTTAGACACTGCAAACTGAATATGTTCGAGTGTTTTTGTTTAGTCTCTGTTTGATTTCAGCGAAGCATTTAGATGAACAAGAGGATTCATCAACACGAGTCCTCTGCTCGATGCGTTGGTCGCTTGTTCCACATTACTACAAAGGCGATCTGACCGATCTGAAACTTGTTTTGAACAATTGTCGATCGGAAACTATCGATGAAAAGCCAATTTTTAAAAGACCTTTAAGGAATGGTTATCGATGTGTCGTGCTTGCTGAAGGGTAAAGATATCATTTGATTGAATTGACATGAAAGATTGTCTTTAAAACGTAGATTCTTCGAATGGAAGAAGAATGTTTCAAAAGTACCTTATTTTATTTACCAATCGGAACCATTTCTTAAAGAAAGAAACTATCCAAATATTAATTTGGATAAAATCCAACCACATACAGATGAGAAGCCACGACTATTAGCCATGGCCGGCCTTTTCGACGTCAACGAAAATCTCGATGTATGCACCGAATCGATTTTCCTAAGATTTTCATTCGTTTTGTTCCAATAGTCTGATCCGTTGTATTCATGTACAATCTGTACAGTCGATGCTAGTGAATCCATGCGAACTATACATTCTCGAATGCCGGTAGGAGGACAACGAAAACTTTCAATTTCTCACTTTAACTATCAATTCAAAGGTGATTCTTTCAAGTCAAGAAGAAATTGACGAATGGTTGGATTTTGGTCGATACAAAACTGAAGAAGTATGATGGTTCTTCTGAGATTTATGAGAGTGACAATTGGTCTCTTCTAGGTTCTTTCATTACTTCTTCCACATGATGATATTCATATGTATCGAGTTACACCAAATGTCGGTTCGACCAAAACAAATGACAAGAACAATATCCGACCGATCGATATCGATAAAGAGAAGTAAGCAGCCGTTTTGTCCATTCCGAAGAATTACATATTGAATTTTAGTAATCAAAATACACTTGATTCATTTGTGATTAAAAAAGCTCCAAGGAAATATTTCGAAAATCGTGTTTTAAAAGATGAAACTAATTTGAATCTGTCACGTAAACGTTCATCCAATCCAACCGATGAGAACTCATCTCAAGAAATTAAACGATCATCAAAGCGTTTGAAACAATAGATTTTTTTCTCTCTTTTTTTTTGGTTTTACTGATGGTTTTAGATGTTTTTATTCGTTTGTACAGTTTGATTGTCAGATAAAATTCGATAGCTATTTAATCTCGATGAAGAAAACCGCCAAAACGTTGTCTTAGATGTTACTTTTCGTTTCTTTGTATACATTCTCGATTGTACGATATCAGAATAAAACTATGGATGACATCCATCTTATTGAATTGAAGATGAAGACAGCTGGCCTTTTCTATCCGAAGTGAAATCACGAAAACTGCACCAGATGGCCGAAAAATATTGATTAACATGTTTTCAACTCATTGAATTGCGAATGGAGCTTCCTGCATAGTGTTTATTCAATAACACAAGTTTTATTTTTATCTTTAACATACAGCAATGAAACAACATGACCTTAGTTCAAAATTTCGATTTCTGTGATGATGCCATCGTAGTTAATTGCAGTTGATTATCATCGAATAGTAACGACTGCTTCGCCATTAATACATTTGTATCAACAGTTGATTCTTCTTGTCGTTTTCGACAACCGGAAAGATGACAAATCAAACCAGCGAGAAAGATGATGATGAACATCAGTGCGATACCGAATAGAGTAACTGCCCAGACAGGTAGAAAACCATGAAAGAATCTATCTCCATCACGATTGACCATGTTTCTTACTGATGGGCACGCATCTAATCGATAATGAATCTGTTTGTTAGATGAGTCATTGACCAACGTTTCATTATTAGAAAAGAATTGACCTAAGAAAGAAATTCATTGTGCAAATTATGGAGTAAATATCTCCGAGTAGTTGTGCCCATCCGTATCCTGAGATTAAACGATGGAAAGCCCATTCGTTTTCATTTTGTCCTATTAATTCACGGAGCTGATTCGCTTCGATGTCACGCGTACAATTCCTCGGATCGATAACTGCGTGGACAATAGCATCGAAATTAGATTGAACACGCATTCGGTGAAGAAGATAAAGATGGATCTATGATATTGATGAATTTAATACAAAATAACTGAAATATCGGAGTGGTTGATATGATTCGAGGTAACGGTGGTAGTTCCGATGGATACGAATCGACGATAAACACTATGAGAGGCACGATGTTGTTGTTGGAATTCATTTCTTCATTGATTCTACAATTGTTGAATGGATACTGGCAATATACGTTCGTTCGGTTGATAAGTTGTTCCTGTAGGATAGTTGATTTGAGATGTGTTCGTCATTTCAATCTGAGTGCTAAGACTAAATGCGGTTCCGACATGATTCGACTGAATAAAATCGATTAATAATGATATAGACTGAAAGTATGCAATGAAATTAGAAATATACAAACGACTCGAATAGAACGAATCGCCTGTGAACAACAAACCAGTTAAGCAGTCATAAAAATTAAGAGATGCTCTTTCATACTCTGCAATGAAAATAACCGCTAAATGACGTTGATTTCCTAAGACAAACACTCCAATTTCATGTGGCCAGTTGTCTAATTGAAAGAATTCGCTCATTTCGTCAACACTCGCGCCTACAAGTGTAATAAAAGGTTTTAGTCGAAATTGTTCACCACCAGCTGCATGATCACCATGATTATGTGAATGCGTGACAGCTAATTTCATATCGTAGCGTTGCTTGTTCTGATCTATACACCATTACCAGATTATTCTTTCAACATATCATCGAATTGGAAACGAAACGGATGATACTGTGGTACCAGAATTGATTAACAGTACAGTTTCATCGCTAAAGAGGAGATACAGAAATGGTGCTGCATAATTAACACATTTATTCTCTCGAAGAACGAGTGTATCATTATTTATAGAAAAGATCTGTAAATCAGGCTACCGAGCGTTCCTATCAAAACAATTCTTTGATCCATGAAACCAAATTGTCGGTAGGAACACTGGTCGATGAAGATAATTGTCTCTAGGGCAATGGAATTGCTTCCTAGTGACATGTAGAACATTTATCAGTATGAGATAAACCAGCCGCCTACTCTTCGATTGTAAATGAGAGGAACAATCGAGCAACATTGCTTGTCATGTGTATAGATTCTCAAGATTACATAGAACAATCGGTGAAATTTCTTCTATTGTTCTATCGATTTTCATATAGATCAAGTGCGATGGTTTAAATAAATAAAAAGAGCATGACGAAAAGTTTACTTTTCCTTGTTGTCATGTTTGTCTTGAAACTCATAAACAATTGCTTTTCTCATTCATGATGTTTGTTTCCGTTTATTGGAAAACTCTATACATAATTTAGAAAGCGATGAAAGAAAACTAGAACGAGTTCATATACATAGAACGCTGAACTGCTGATGATAAGTACGACTTAGAATACATTATATGATTGAGAACTAATGAGTAGTCATATATATCTTTATAAACTCATTCAATTAGATATGTTTTCTTCCACTTAAAATTGAAGAAAAACATCGAGTTCTTAAGGAAGAAATATCTCTTTACTTACTAGAAAAGTACATCTATTATAAATTTCTAGAGAAATTCGATGTGCGACATTCATATTACTTATTCTGCGCAACGATGTCCTCTCAAACATCACAATCATCAACATTTCCCGATCTACACAAAGGAAATGATTTCCAGCGATACGAATGTAATACCAATGTGAACATGAGAAGATATGTTCCATCTCGATTACCAGCATTGTCCTTACCTTGCCATAATTTACATTCGTTATTTTGCGATGAAATTCAATCGTCTACCCGCATATTACCAAAAGTATTCTATCCTTATCCTCGATCTTCGGCGCATACAATCGTATCCGATCCACAAAATTCTGAACAAAACACGAATTGCAAGTCAACAAATAATCGCGTGCGTAAGTCTCTCATTCGATCTGTATATCATTGTCCAACGGTATTTCGTCGGAACACCGATGATGAACAAATGGCATTGTTTGGCAATTCGGTTAATATTATTCGCATATCTGTACTTCCAAGTGCAGACTCGATCTATCCGTCTGCTTTATGGAAGAATCCAAATCCCGCTCAGCATACATGTAAATCTTTTAGGAGAAATTACCAACAGCTGTCCGTATCAGCGAATGAGCATGTCGACGATGTTCCATTGTTATTCAACGATACATCACAATCATCCATAACAATCGATCATGATAATGATTCAACGATAGAACAGTTGTCATCTATATCAAAACCTCTGACTCGTAAACAGTTGCACGTTTATCTTCCACCAATAAGTTACTAATTGTCATTTGGAGAAAAAAACTTGACTTTCCTATCGATGTTTTCTAGAATATTAAATTGAGAAATAAAGTTAATATTCATTGATTCTCAGTTAATCATCCTATACTTAGCATAATAAGGTAGCAGGTGACTCGAAGCATTTCTATCTACACTATTTACTTTGTCTGGTATGGGGAAAACTATAGTAAATACAATTCTCGATCAATTATGTCACTCATTCGATTAGCAAATTACAATCTATCATCATCATATGATAGAATGCTATGATATCTAATTAGTTTTAAAAAGTTTGCAAGTAGCGAAGCACTGATTACTGATGAGAACATTGAATTAGATTGTCGGCTGAGAATTTATTTTCTTTTCGTTAACAACGAAGAGACAGGAATTCAACATAACGCAATGACTTCTTTTGTTATCCGTCCGTTCAACCGAAAAATGCATCCCAGTGATGTTTTCGACCAAATGATTGTCGTTTGGCTGGATTGTAATCATTTATCCGACCCAATGGACTTATAAAAGACGTTGGAGGAAAAATGAAATTAGCTGATCGTTGTGATACATCAACTTCATCACTATTTTCTTCGCTCGTAAGTTCGTCACTTTCGAACAATGGTGAATATCGTTCATCGAGTATAACTGAAGAATTCACTCGCAGTATGATTAAACATGATACTAGAAAAGCATAGAGAAAAATTCAACATTAGATGATGAAGTTCTTACTAACCGACAAAAGATAAAAGATAGTAATTTGAAACCATGTTACCGATGTATATAATAAAGCAGAAGTTGTAAATGAATGGGTGAAATCAATCTAGAGATGATCTTGTTACTTGCTTTTCTTGTCGAATCTTCTCCAAAAATGAATGTTGAGTGGTTGGTATTCAACTAATTAAATGTTTTCTTTTCTTCTTTTCATCCACTTTTCGACCAGAAAAATATTAGAGATTAGTTTGCCTTATTATTCAGCACGAGACATCTCCTCATTATTCTTTACTATTTTCTTGTTTTTTTCTCTCCTGCCTTCTCACAATTTCTCTTCTATTGATTGAACAAAGAATAGAATACAACTGCACTTAACCTTGTCTATGTATCAGAGAAATAACCACTAAGAAAATTACACAGAAAACCTTGAAACATTTAAGAATATCTGTCAAGAATAAACACCCACTCTAAGCTACAATGCTAAACAATCAGTTGCATGGTAAAACGGATTACGCGTATTTGTCAAGTTATTCCAAGTGTGCAGTTTCTAATCTTATCGGTTGCCATTCGATACAATGCTTACGAAAACTTTGTTTCTTCTCACATCGTTTGGATTCCAACGAATATATTCTTCACTAACTAGTAGTCAGTTCTCTCGAATAGCTCATTTGAAAAATATGATCTAACCATTATTTGATATATCTATCTGTCTAATCGATGTTTTCATTGGCGTAATGTTTGTATCTGTAATAATGATTGATGACTAAGATTATAGCCAGATGTGCGTACATCTTGTTTTGTTCTGTTGTTGAGAAAGTAAAAGAGAATGATTTAGTTGAACGTGGCTTGGATGATTTCATTGACTTTTCAACATAAAACAAAAGTTGTTGCGTGTGAAACACTTGTGCAAATGAGAGAAAAGTAAAACGAACGAAGGATGAAACACAAGTGACGAACTGCATAGTGTTTGTACATGTATATGTGAATATACGGACTAAAGCAAATGTAATTGATGGAAAATGAAATACATGCAAAATACTGATGAATTGTTTTTGTGAAATGACATTAAAACAAACGAAGAAAGAGAAAAAAAAGACGTTTAGTCAACTGTGAGGAATTATGTTTTCATCATATCATAGAGAAATGTATGCGTAACTTTTATTTTTCCATATCTTTTCGGACTCGATAACCACGATATGCGGCCTAAATAAACCACAAAAGTCCGATGAATTCCTCACGTACAATATCTTTCTTACTTGAATTTTCGTTGCAGCGACATTGTCATCCTCCTCATGAAACTCCGGTTCTTTATTACCTTCAACCGAGGATGATAGAACTAAAAAAAGTACAAATAAGAAAGAGTAAAGTGAACGGAGGAAAGCAGTCACTTACCTTTGCTATGGTGAGCATGGTCGTATTCATCATGCGGGTGCGATGATGTTGAGGATGGATGTTGATCATGAGGAGCTCCTCCAGTGCCTAGTTCTTTACGCGTTTTGTAACCCCGAAACGATGCTTGAATACGTGTCGCTGCTTTATCAAGATTCGGATCATTCATATCGGATTCGTCGGCGTCCAAATTGGGTCGATTTTCTCGATCGAAATCGAAATCACGTGGGATTTGAGTATGCCGTTCGAAATCTTCGCTTAATTGTGTAGGTTCACGTTCAAGATGATGAGAACTGGTAACGTGATGCTCACCTAAAATATAAATGCCATCATTGCCAATCGCTTTGCTACTAATAGATCACTGTAAAATGCATTTTTCTCGTCGTGTCAAATGTCAACGATATTTTACTCTTTGGCATATGGACGCATTTTCTTCATCCGAGACACTGTCTGATATACTATGAATGACGTCGATGATCAAAGCCTCAATCCAGTTTCTTCCAATCTCTGACAGACAATTATCCCAATAGAAAGATATCTATCGTATCTCTTTTTTTTGTCTAATGATGTGTTGGTATCAAGCAACAGCGATAAGAGACTTTCGACGTCATTGCCAACTTGTCGAAATGCTGAAATGCGCTTACATGTTCGAAATATTCGCTCGAGAGAATTAACAATGAAGTTCATTGACTCACTTGAATTCGAAATGATTTCTTGAGTTTTTTTAATATGTATCTGGTCGGATAAATATCTATCAAATGTGTAAGATACAAAGAATATCCACTATGGATAGTTTGTAGTTGTATTTAGCTGATATTCTCGCTTTTTTCCTCCTTTCCTTCTTCTATTCTCTATCGATAAGCTTAACTGTCGCATTTTCTTATCCGTAGGCTAAACCTTTTCTTAGCAAAGATAACATATGAAGAGAGAAATATTGTCGAGTAATGTTGTTTGCCAATAGTGAACCCTTGCTTTGTATTAATAGAATATAATACGATATCACGTCATAGCAAGGAAAAGAAAAGAAATGATAACAGACGATAGCATCCATATATAGACATATTCTTTCGTTCGAGTCAAGAATCAAAATCATTTACTTACCAGTCTCATGTCGATCACTATCGTGCTTGCCATCGAGACGACTTGATGGTCGAGATGAGACTTTTTCATTATCAGATTCCTAGAAAATGAAGAATTTTCGCAGGTTTTTCTTTCCAGTTGTAATGATAGAAGAATATATCGTACGTGATGATGTGGACGGTCGGATGGTTGGTCACGATCACTGACAGCGCTACCAGGTGAGGACCGATCTTGGGCAGGACTTTTTCGATTCTTATGGCCACGAAATCGTGCCTGAAAAGGAAAATCATTCAAGGCAACTTCGATTCATGATACGGTACTTGAATTGATCTTGCGGCTCGCTCTTGTTCCGCTTTTTCCTCCTCTGTCAGTTCTTCACTGAATGGTTGATCTTCTTCTTCTTTTTTCGGCTTCTAAACAAACGAATTTTGTGTATCACCGAGAAAAACTTTCGCAACTCACATGTTCATGTTTTTCTTCGTGATGTAATTTTGCACTTGGAACACGTGCTGATGTCTAAAAACAAATCTTACGATCATCATTCAACAAGTTCTTCATTAATCATATTCACTTGATGATGATCGTCGTCATGTCTTGGCGTTGTTGACTGTCCGCGATCATAACCTAATTCTTGTCGATCAGTATCGAATAAATCTTTCTACAAAAATACGCTTTCAAACGAAATCGATGCAAATCTATCTGAATTACTTCGCGTCGCTTCTTGTCCAAATCCTGTCTGGCTTTATGGCCACGAAATTGTGCTTGAATCTTGGTTGCTGCATTTTGCACATCCGGATCGTTGACAGGATACTCTTCCTACAATTGGAAGAGTCCATTACATAGCACAGAAGAAAACCTTCATACTTGAAAACTCGGATTATTATAATACCGATCTTCGAGTGCAGTTTGTTTGTCGGGTAGATATGATTCACCTTGTTCTAAACGATACATGACCGAATTCATCTAAGGATGCATTAGCTAAAAGTTTTGTCTATTTAAAGAAGTTTTTAAAGAGATCATTCGATCGAAGAGCAATTTCGTTCATAATGGACTTCCGAATGTTCACGGAGGAAGAAATAATTCTATTGCTTTCAAATCAATATCAACAGTTCGATAAACATTTAATCGATTGAGACGATCATGCTTTCAAACTCATGAATGTAAAAATCAATGCGGAAAATCATCGTATGATTTATTCATGAAAATGTCTAGAAGTTTTGGTCGATTAATATATTTTTTTAATAAAAACCTGGGTTCTCATCCTTAGAGAAACGCGACACACACACACACACAGTAATAGGTGCTGAATAAGAGTAGTAAATAAAGAATTTGCAATCTTTCCTAGGAAAACAACGTAGAAAATAATAGTAGCAAAAGAAATCGGACAGTTTGTCAGAGAATTAACAACGGAAAAGCGCTTCATTTCTATTTCGAATGAATAACTTGGTTAAAATTATTCAGTACTTGTTCCGCTTTACGTCTTATATCATCAGGTAGATCGTCAGGAATGTTATATTCGTTATTCGACAATTCAATGACCGTGTTCTTAATCGGCGCCCTTTCGTTTGGTACTAACGATGTTGAATTATCAAGAAAAACTTGTCGAACACGTTTAGTTACTGTAACATTAACAACTTCATGTTCGCTAGTTTCCGCATTCAACGAATTCAAATCGAGTGCTGGTCCCATTTTATCGTATAAGGCTTTCAAAAACGAATTCTCCGATGATTGTGATGCGACATAGATGGTAACCATGTTCATCAAACGTCTTTTGATATTGTTATCATTGTCGATGACTTTATACTGTTGTATATCGTCGAAACATTGTTGAAGTTGTTCGCTAATAAGTTTTTTCTCGTCAGCCGTACCGATAATTCGTTTATGTACATAATCAACCAATTTTTGTTTTTCAGTCGAATCGGACAGTATCTTCTCTCGGACGAATGACGCAACTTCTTCTTTGAGTTTATCGATGGTTTCGTTATTTGAATAAGATATCGTTGTTTCGAAATTGTTCTTAACAGTTGTTTGTTCATCGTCGTTATCATCATCATCGGCGGGAATCAACGTTGACGAGGGTGCTGGAGGTGGTACTGACGATGAGGATAACGTGGGTGTTGTCGGTAACTTCTCTTCCGAATCTATGAAAGGCACATTGGCAAATTTATCAGCATTGATTGATGATGATTGTTCACAAATTGAATTGCTCTTCTTCTTCTTCGATGTTGATACATCGTCTTTTCGATGTTTTTCTTTGTTTTTCTTGACTTTCGACGCACATGCACCCATTGATTATTGTTGTCGTTCGATTCTTTTCTTTTCTAGATTGTCTTACTTGTTCTTGCTTAGTGTATGATTATATACGCGATAGTAATAGAATATTGTGTCATTAGAGTTGTTCCTTATTCTTCTTCCTGCTAGGATTTTTCTCTATTTCTTCATTAGAGAAAGAACGAGCGAATCGGCGAAAATGTTTCTCTTTCATTATATATACAGATGAACTTTTTCATCTGCATATATATAGATTTGTATATGTATATATGTTACTTGTTATGCGTTTAGAAACCAAAGATCATTCGTCAAGTCAAGAAAGAAGAGAAGAAACGTCGTAATGAAGGATGGCTTAAAACATATTTTTCATAAATGCCCAAAGGCAAACAGTCCCAATTGCTTTTTACGCATGTTCATCGACGCATTTTTCCTCGATTTTTGTATTTATGTCGCATATTGATTTTGATCTATGATGTTTTAGAATTCTTCGGAGACATTAGTCATTCTTTTCTTAGGCTACTAATCGAAGATTCTTTCGCTTTGTACACACATCGGCAACACAGGGAGAATCATTGACGTGTCAGAGTTACATTTTCACTCGCATATCTCATCTGTCTATATACAAACGATCACATCAAGTCTCTGATTGCTCTTTCTACTTGCCATCTCATCATGTGAATAATTGATTGGGAGGAGAGAACGATGAAGAGCACTCTATGAATGAATACTAACAAATAATAAATGATTCCACATTGTCCATGTCTTTCTTTTCCTCTGTAAGCCGTTATTAATGAATCAATTAAAAGTACGATCACCATTATTATCAACGCAAAAACATTCGAACTTTTACACTATTCTACGCCCGATGATAATGCATTAACAGATGGAAAAGCCATCAAGACTACGGATATTTGATACACATACAGTACGGCGAAGAAGAGAAAATCTATGGAGATGAAACGTCAATCGCCGATGATGGTAATGAGGAGATTTATGTTAGACACACGCGGCGCACATAAATCTATACAGACGATCGTTGAGAATCCATTAGAACAATTCATCTTTTTTTTCTTTTTGACGATGACAAATCAGTCGAGCGGAGGATGTTACATGAAAGGAACAAGTCAAGATTACACATATCAGATAAAGTCATTCAAATATATGAATACCAATGCTGATCTCGATTGCCAGCAATTGGGGAAGAAACAAGTTAGAGGAAGAATTCGAGCGAAAAAGAAAACGTTGTTCATGTTATTTAGGCATGATCGACTCGTTCAAAGGAGAGAAAATGTCGAGAATGTGACTTACCGCGTCGTTGAAGTAACTTCTCGAAGTATTCGGCAGCGAATTCATGAATGTTTCGTGGTTGACTACGAAGAATTTCAGTCGACAAGCCAACTAACAAGCTTTGAAAACCTTTGGGAACACGTAATTTAGTATTAGAAAACGGAATCACCATGATGGAGAATGCTCGAGCGAAGAAAAATGAATATCTAAAATGAATTAGCCGACGATTTCCATACTAAAAAGCGAAGAAAAAATTCGTTATGAGAATAGAAATCACATATCAACACCAACAATAACAATAACAGAAAAGAAGAAAAAAACCATACCCAAGAGACGAAGTGAATGAAGCAGAACAAACGGAAACCATGGCAGACTGAGGCAAACACGAGTAAAAGACATCGCAAATGGCTCAATGAAAAAGTCCAATAGTGAAAAGGAACAAACAGAGGGCGCAGTTTTTATCGAAGAAAATCATTCTTCTTCACACATATTTGCAGAAGAGATTTGTTTGAAAACTTACAGAAAAAAAAGAAACCTGTTTCATCAATGTTGTTTCCGAAGAATTTATATTTGTCACATATATTTCCGCCCTCTTCGATGTCTCAAATTCTATTTTCGACCTGCTAATGCAATTGACATGTTGCAGATTCATTTGACAAATCTAATAAAACGATTTTCAGCTTCATCTCATCTCGACAACGATGCTACATTACACAAATATAATCAAACATACTTTATTTCGAATGAGGAGAAGCTATATAAGTAAATAGGAGATTTTCCGTAAATCCATTTGCTCTGAAGAAAAAGAAACCCAGGAATGAAAGTTAATGGGTGTTATTTGAGCTTTCAGAGAAGCATCTCGCCTTGCATTTCTCTCGTGACAATGTTTAAATAGATGCATTACGAACTAACTAATCTTCTTTTGATCATCTACGAAAAAAAGACTGTCTTCCGGATAGAAGAAAATCATATCCTATGCCAATAATGGCTTCCTTCATTACAAAGAAAAGAATTACTTATTCAGTTGACTAACACAAATTTGTAACATGATTTGTCAGACGATCATTGATTGAATAGAAAAGAAAACGTCTTTTTTTTATTTTTCTCTTCAACAGAGTCAAAACATCGAAACAATCACAAAGGAACAACAAGAAAGAAACCATCGTTTTGTTAATAAAATTGTTTGGTCTTGCTTTTATTTTGAATATAAAAAGAAGATCGGATGGATCTGACACAATCATAACCGGAGCAGTTTAACGATCACCTCGACCACGTCCACCGCCGAAGCCACCGCGATCGCCACCTGGTGCTCCAGCACCACGACCACCGGGTTGACCAACAAACGAATTGATCGGTGGTCGACCGCGTACACCTCGTCCGCGTGCAATTTGTGCACGTAAAATGGCGGATTTACCACGACCAGCACCACCTTTGACACCACGCATGTTTTTAAACATTGGTGCATTCTAGAAAAGAAAAACCAACGAAAAATGAACGAGAGATAAATGAAACGTTTTCGTTGTCTACCTTGAGCATATCAGGAAAGATCATGAAGCGAATTTTCGATCCCCGAACGTAAATATATTCAAGTTGAGCTTGTCGTCCATCACGATAAGTTACGGTCACATTCGACAATTGACAATTCATATTATCTTCAGCTTCGATTAATTTACCACGATAAACCTCGGATGTTACAGACTCAATTGTAATTACATGACCTTCTGCTTCATGTAAGATTTTAATCGGTACGCCAATCGACATAGTTAATATCTTAAATCAAATCTTCACTCAAGAATAATCAATCTATCTAGAACAAGACGTCTGCTTGATGAAATTTCTGCAATGGTTTCTTACAATTGACAAAGAAATATTTCATTCACGTTAATGATTGCTTCATGGAGATGCTTGTAAAATAAAAGTGAAATATAGATGGCACTAGCATACTGCTTTCTTCTAAACACAGAGAATAAACGGTATAGGATCACTCCATGTGTGGACTGTCGTATAGTTTTGTTTGAAGCGAGTATAGAACCATATTTACCATTTGGATGACACCGAGAATTTGACATAATGTTTATTAGAAAGCTGATTAACGCTTTAATTCGTTAAAAATCAGCTTAACTAATAAAAAAATCTTCTAAAACCTCAGTTGAAGTAATACAACGTCATGTCAAGTCGAAATTACGTAGATGTTCGACAAATAAAAAAAAGTGTAATTAGAAAAGATCATTTATTTACAAATGAATCGAACCAATATTAACAAAGTTACAAAAAAAAATACAAGAATTATCAAATGTTCTTTGTTAATTTGATGTGTTTATTTGATAAACACATAAGTCATCCAGTGCATCGAACATCATTTTGATTTTCAGGTGAATTATCCAAATATGAGATTAATAACGTATTCTTCTCACTTTAGAAACCATCTTTCGATCCACTAGATGATATTTTCAATGGAATTGTTTTGGCTGGATGCTGAATGTCAGTTTTCTGTGCAGCTGCTTTCTTCTTGTTGGTATCGGCTGTTTTACTAAACGATGAAGATATTCTCAACGCAGGAATTCGTACTCGAATGGCATCAACATGATCAACAATTAACATTGTGCAGAAGATCACAACTAACAGTTGAGTGTAGGAGTATTGCATCGTATCACCACGTCGGAAATCAGTTTTCTTATGTATCGAAGTACAAGAAGGTGCATCTAATTAATGTTTTTTTTTTCATATTTAATTACCTAGTTTGTTTTTCTATTTCATTCGAAACAAATATCATCTCTCCATGCATAATCAATCAGTCTCACATACGTGCATTCGCAACGCATCAGCGGATGCGCCATTTACCTGGCTATTTATCTGTGGCGAAACATCAATTTGTATACGTTCATGTACAACTCACGCGTTTCTTTTTCGGACTGACTTGCACACTTGAAACATTAAATCTGTTCTAGTATGTTACCGTATGATGTGCGTTCTTTTTTTTTCGCAGGGTATATTCCAAAGTTTATTACAATGAAGAAGAAAAAGAAATGCTTTGTACTAAAAGACTAGATGGAATGACGAATACAAGATATAAAAGAATAAAATGAACAGGAAACACCGAGATTACAGGATTGTTTAATAACCATGCTGGTAAGCATTATAGCCACTTCCTGATGTTTGCTATTACGAGAAAAACAAAGACACGAGAACGAATAATTTAGTCTAATTGTGAAAGAAAGTCTTTGATTTACCATGTTTGATGTCGACAGTGGAGTTGAATGGATCGACTCTTGTTTAATACCTGCTGTTAAACCGGAAGAATATTTTGTTTGCCACTTGGGATTGGCGGGTGCGCCGTGTGGTGCCAAAAGTGGGGGATTGCCAGAAATTTCGTGAGAATCATCAACATTGAAGTTCCTTTGTTCACCACCGATACCATCGGGAAAACGATGATTTACATAAGTGAATATGCCCACGAAAATCAAACATATGTTACCATAAACACGAAAAGTTATGTCAGTACCTAAAAATAGAATATTCGCATGAAAATAAACACTTCAGTGTATATTCGAGTGGAACGTACCAAAAGATGACGCAAAAAATCCACCGAATAAAGCTCCACACCCTCGGCCGAACCCAAAATGGAATCCCTGTAAAACACCTTGACACGATATGCGTAAATTCTCCGGTGCTGCTTGAGATAAGTACGAACACGCTGTTGCCCATACAGCCGCATGCGTCAATCCTAGACAATCTATTAACATTTCCGAAATCAATGAATGACCACTTACCTTGAATGAATTCGAACGGCAAAACCCACCACGGATTTGATATAATCGAAATATAAACGAAACGAACGAAATTTCCTAACAAACCCAAATAGAGAATTTTTATATGACCGAAACGATGGATTAATTCGTGTAAGAAAAAATATGCACATAATTCACTGGTGTGATTGATAACTGATGCCACACCTAAAAACGAACGAAACATAAAAACAATTGAATTTCGTGTTATCTACCGAAAAGTGTCGGTGAACCACCGAGATCTTGTAAATGCCAAAAGAGAAATGTAAATACAAGTCCGACTCCACATCCCATCCACCTTAAACAAGTGAATCAACGAGATATAGAACAGTCCCTACTGATTCAATTACCAAGCAATGAATAGAAACGTTCCGTTTTTTAATGTCATAAAGATCTGAATGATTTGCATTAATTTAATTGTATTCGATGTTTGATACTGTTCTTCATTGTTGACATTTGATTTGGTCGATCGTTTTGACTCGGCGTTCGATGTGTGTAATGGTAATTGTTCATTTTTGTCATACGAAAATTCGAAACGAGATGCACTTATCAATGCAAATGTCATACAAACAGTGAACGCGGCAAAACAAATTGTATAATTTTTCTCGAGTGGGCCACTTGTTCCACAAGCATGGAATGTAAGTGATTTCGATTGATCTAAAACAAATTATTGACTTATTACGAAGAAACCCACAAGAAAATCTCACCGAGTATTGTAGCGACAATGAATATTGCCAAGCCCCAACCCAAACTTCCAAACATTCGCTGTCGGCCATACAATTCAGTATCTTGTCCCAGGTATGACAACGTACAGGCATCCTAAAAAGATTGTTATCGTAAACAATGAGGATCGTTCGTTATTCATCTAAATAATTTCCACACGAACGTTCGTAGCATGTCACATCAATAGCATCTCTTGTTGTTCGATTGCTGAAAATGATTTATTGACAAGCAAGTTCATTGATTAGTCGCTGAAGAATTTCATTAGGATTCTTATTAAAATAATATCTACTCAATCATTTGGAGTATTCTCCTCTGGGAGAAAGAAAGTCTCTTTCGTTGAGTTTCCTTTTAAAACCTAGTGACGAACTCACCGCTAGTGTGATGGCGGGTGCACTGAAAAATTCTCCGACGATAATCAGTAAAAGGAAAACCATGAAGACATTGCGAACATCTTTTTTGTCATAGAGTATAGGTGATGCTAATGGTTTCACTAAGGAGATATTCGTGTGCGTAATTGATAATGGATTGCCCATGGATTTGTGTGGTTTATTTATGGGTACTAAATAGTTAATATTTGATGGCTGTTTGAAATTTATTTGATGATTTTCATTAATCGGATTATCTTCTTCATTACTGTCAATATCATCATCCTCTTGATTAAAATGTGAAGGTAAAGTTGTTCTCGTTGTTGTTGTCGTCGTTGTTTTCCTTGTTTTTCTTCGTCGCGATGTTAATGTTATTTTTGTTGTCATAGTAGAATTCAGAATTCGATTTGGACGATCGATTGATTCTTTTGTTTTATCCAAAGCAGAAGATGATGGTGATTTGATTAGTTGTCGTTTAACAATTAGTTTAACTGTCGGCTTTATTGTACTCGTTGAATAGCTGCCGACACGTTCGATAACTTGATGTGTGGAATTCATTTCTCGCCAACACGAATGTGGTGGTGGCTTAATCAAACCGATCGCAACAGTGAATATGATCCAAGACAGAATAGCCATGATCAAAATCTGTTTTGCCTGGCGAAAACGTGTCGACACCACACTCCAAAATGGCGCGGAGACAAACTCAACAAAAGGTCTAAGTTAAGAAAAGATAACGAATTATTAAACATGAAGACAAAACTCAGTATCGAACTCGGTTTTTTTTTCTTCAAAGTTACTAATTAAAGAGTTGAGCTATCTTTTATGTCCTATTTACCGAAAGCCCATGAGTATACCACAATAGGATGGTCCCATGCCCATCTGTTTGAAGTAGATCGACATCAGAGGGAAGAGGGAACCAAATGCTGCGAAATACCAGAAATAAAAAAGCTTAGCGAATAATAATGTTCGATTGACATTCGCTGGCAACGAGTCGAGCAGATTAGGTGCACGTCGGAGTGCTTCCGATGATTTGGGTATAAACGACGAGTCAAGTAGATTACCCAATCGAGATTTAGACGACTTTTGTTCTCCTTCATATTCATAAAGTTCAGTTTGCTCCTGATTTTGTTGTTGTCGGTAGGGATCAGTCATGTTTTGATAACGATCTCGGGAATCCATGGTGTTTAATGTAGATAGAAAACAATTATCTAAGCGAAGATGAAAAGAATATTTGGAAATGAATGAATGATTCGCACGGGATTTACAAGTTTAATTTGTGTTAACTCGAACTCATTTTAAAACGTGTCATTCATAGTTTATTAATAGACAATTATTGCAGAAGATCTTTCTTTCCTTGTACTTAACATTTTGAATGGAAAGGAAAGATGACAAGCTATAGCAACTCTGATATATATGCAGAAAACAAAGCCTATCCGGGGGAAAGAAAAAGCGATGACAGTATGCGATACAATGCTATGTCGTTTTCTATTATAATACTGTTGTTGGGAGGGAAAGTTCGGTTCGTACGATGTCGAATCATCTTCGTTGAATTTTTTCTTTTCTTCTCACGTTCAACAACAGTTCATTACTTTGAGAATTGACAGAAGGGAGAGAGAGAGAGAGAGAGAGAGAGAGGGAGAGGGAACAAGATCATATTATTAGTTTTTCTCCTCGTTGACGGATGTCTTGCTTTTTCAAACTCAACAGAGAGAAAATAAGCTCAAATCTCTGAATATTCTTCTAATGAACATCATTTTGCGTGTTGCCTTATACAAAAATGCCTGAAGACACAAGTGCACATGCAAGGATTATTAAAGACGTATAGTTTTTTCTCTTAATGAAAATTATTAATAAGGTGATAGACGATGGACGCAGATGTAATGACTTGATCCGTAGCGAAAAGCGACAGGAGAAATCTGTTCGCATAACAACCGTCTAATTGTCTCCTCGGAAGTCAAAAATCGGCAAGTACTAACTTGAAAGTTCCATCGAGCGACATGTTCTTTGCAACAATGATCAAACGAGAGAAAAGCGAAGGGAATCTTAAATAAATTCACCAATGAATAATTGATTGCATTTTTTACTCTAATGATCAGTAAATCTTTTTCTAGTCGTCTAAACGCACTTCACATCAATTCATTCCACTGACTTGTATTTACTCACAAGCAAAAAGAAAAAAACTAACGTTTTTCTTTTTCGGAATCAATAATGTCCTATGGAAGAAAGAGAAATGCAGTCGGAAATGATTTTACGGGAATAGTGAAAAACAAAAATCGCGAGCTCTTTTGTTCAAATATATCGGTAGTTTAGTGAAAAGAAAACAAAATCTCTGCTGTATCATCGCGAAGAAAGGCAAAGTAAATATCGACGAGAAAATAAATTAAGATCGATTAAATAAGAAATGCTTGACGTTGAACGATGCAATAAATCATTGAATAAGAGAAGATAGATGATCATAGTTGCTAGGTGGAGACAATCGGAAATGAAATCGGAGAAGAAAGATGTGTTGTGTATTAGCGAAAATATGCAAGTTTGATTTCTTTTCAGTAGAAAAACCGAAGAAATCAGGATTTTAAGTAATACATCGACAGAAATTGTCGCACGAATAGAAGTATTATTCTTGTTCCACATGCTTTTTGACATGTTCGCGACATCGTACATGGTTGAATCTGTCGATTTATTGATTTAACTTTGATCAATCTGATTAGGAGAGAACGTCAACTTAAATCATTTGTGTTCAAGCAAAACAATCGGCTTTATTTGGTTAGAGCGAAGTTTCTATTGGGGATCGACCTCGAAAGAGATTTTTGCGTCCGAGACTGACTTGTCAAAAGCAATGAAGATTAGAATCCATTTGAATGAGTCTGACAGCAAATCTCTTGCTTGTTGTTGATGATGTTAAAACTGTAAAACATCGATCGTCAATGTGAGTCAGCGAAGATTTGAATATTTGACGGGCAAGGTCATGTTTTTTTCCAGATGTCATCAGCAGTGAATGAGATTGTCAATACAATCCTGCGCACAGTCATCTGGAAGAATGCCATTGAATTATTGGAAAAAATAAGACTATTCTTTAATTTGTCCCTTCTGTCTACTGATTGTACTTTGACAACCTTTTGATTTAGTTCTTTTCTCGCGAACTGTACGAGTAAATCCATTCTTTGCATGAGAATTAGCAAACTCCCTGAGTATTTGTCTTATGTTTTCTTCTTCACTTCACATACACACACCCTCGTAAGCAAATACTACTAGCCTGCCGGCAGTCCTCTACGCATTGAATCGATAGAATGTCGAGAAAAATAACGAATGACGTGATTTTTGCAAGTTCAAGGTGTCATTTCAATTCATTTGTGCTTTATCTTTGGAATGATACGTTTTTTGTTTGTCGAATCAAATGTGACGATCGAGATTGAAGTGTTAATTATCGCGTGTAAATATCGATAAAGGGCATAATGGAACATTTTCGTGTGGGAGAAGAGTTTTATGGATTTATTACGTTCGAAAACAGTTTCGCATCTGGTGTTTTGACTGAAATGCTAGACGACTTAAATTTTTACGAAGGATGATTCCTGATATTGATTGCAATTGATGAATAAACAACAAAAAGGAGTTAGTTCGTCATCTGTAACAATTTTCGAATGTCAAAATACAATTGTTCTCCTTCAATATTTTCTCGAGAGTACACGACTGCAATATATGCAAGGTCTTTTCTGACTAGAACGGCAAGTTCTCGTATTACAAATTCGAGTTCATCCAGGAACATTTGCCACATCTACTGTCCGGTGTCTCAAAATTCGAGAAACATGAATAATTCTAAAATCATACTAAAGTTTCTAATTACAAAAGACAATTACTGTTCATGGTTACACTAAAGCAATTCTGTTTAAAAACAGTCTTATTAAATATTCATCGGGCTCTGACAATCTTCAACGTATGTGAACAAGTGTCAAAGTTTGGGGATGAACTTCAAACCAGAGATATGCATGTTGCAGTGCAGACTATTCAAACTGCAGGTCAGAAAAGCAGTGTATTCCTTCATTCGAACGAGAGATTTTCAAAATCACACGTCGTTGTAGTTGAGTGCATTGTAGAGATTGTCCATTTGATAATTATTATACTCCAGATACTCAATGTTGAAAGCAATCGTCATAACGAATATGTCAGGTTTGTTTCCTTTCATTTGACTTCAGAACAATAAATGACTCTCCGAGATGAAAATAGACCGTGCGCGCTAGAGAGAATCAAGAGAAAATTATAAAACACTTCAACCGAAAGTGAACTCGTAGAAGGGTAGTTGAACGTGTGCCTTTGATGAGACTGTACTTCAGCTGAAGCAAAGTACTGAGTGGGACGTTCTGCGTGAGTGTAATGAGCATCTCGACTTTATCTTTTTTTTTAAAGGTTTTATTACCGTTGCTATCATAAAAATAATTTTTGAGTGTTCTCATCACTTAGCTCGTTTTTTCCCATATTTTTTTCTTTCTATATTTTCCCTGCTTCGCGTCATTATCATTCCAATAAAAGGCATTCTAATAAAAAGTCAAGCGTCTCTACTAACTTAACTAATACAATTTTCAATCTTACTTTCCAGACAATGAGTTTCAGAGAAATCTTTCGTTTTCGTAAGTTTCACTGTGTTCATCATTCAAAACTGATCTCTCTCTCTCTCTTCTTCAGCATCAATCTGTGTTTGTTTGACAATGTTATTTATCTTAATTCAATATTCCACAAGTCAACCCGTAGAAACAACGATCCAAAACGCTGCCGATAACAGTGCGAATCTCATGTGGTTTCGTCCAACGTACGAGTCCGAGACGAATGACATCGACGATGAAAGCGATGATTCTCGACAGAATTTTTTTGTTGTACATTCGGCCTACAGTCGTCTACATCAATCGCCATCATCGGAGCCTAGTCGTCGATCAAACTTTTGGAAACGAGCGAATTTTTGGCGTAAACGTGCCAATTTTTGGTGAGCCGTTTTCCTTGCTGATGAACAATGCTATACATTGTTCTCAAAGTTTTGAAATAATAAATAAAATATCCGGAGTCGCTTGATGATCTACGTAGAAGAGATTTCATGCAAAGCGTCCATTCGATGAAGAGCATCTATAATCTAAGTAAGTCAATAATACCGGATCAATATCAAGCTTCTGCAGACTAAGATGGTAAAGATTGACTTATCAAGAGTTTCACTTTTGCGTGGATTAGTGTAATGAATTTGTGGTAGGACGAAGGAGAATGTTATGACTGAAAGATTTACTCAACTCGATACTTTTGACAGATGGAGTGTTTTTTTCCCAAGAAGTTGCTTAACCATACCGAAAGCAGCAACGATATTGGCGCATCGGAAAAGATAATTTCAAAAATATCAAAACTGAAGATCGACGAAGGGTGTTTTTATGCTTTTGAAATCTGAGTTTGATGCCATGTAGAAAGATATGATACCAATTACTGGATGTTTCGAAGGTATTTTCGAATCAGAGTTGATTCTATACTGACGAAATATTTATAATTATCTCTGAAGAGCACGGTTTGTTTAATTCTCTATTGAGACAAGTTGATAAACTGCACAGGATGGCCTCTCAAGTCTTGCGTGATTTGCAGAAATCGTTCAGTGAACTAAAATGTCCTACACAGATAGAAGAGTAAATTGGATGTCTGCAGTCAACCAAGGAGAATTAGTTGGTTATTGTGTTAATTTTACATGCAATCGAAAATGTCAATTTCGTCTAGCGAGCAGATTGTATCTTGATTAGCTCATTTGATATAGACCCGTTCTAAATTAGAAGTTTTCTATATATCAACAACTTCTTGAAACTTGTCATTAGTTTTTGTTAGAAAGAAATTGAGAAATAATCATATTTTCAAGTGGAAGTTTGATAATGTCGACAACCTGTTGAAAACACGGAACGTATAAAAGGTCTCGTTCAAAATCGGGACAATCCCCGAGAGCTTCTGATGTATAGAGAAGAGATTTCATCAATACAAGAAGTTTGACAATTTTGTATGCAAATCTGTAAATCTAAATAGTTGTACTTACTTTGATTAATAAATTTTCTCAATCGGCTTATATTCTTTTCTAAGGCGAATATCACGCTCGTTTTCTCAATGACGAGGAAATTAAATTAAAAATCAGAACCGAAACGTGCATACGCACGCAGTTTTTCCATAATGTATGTAGAGAATGAGTTGACGATAAAGGTTGGTAACTGAAGTCATTTATAAGGTGAAAAAACTTAATAATTCACTCATTTTCGCTATTTCTATTTCAAAGAAGACAATATTGAATCATCAAAACATTGAATATCTCGATAGGAAAAGTCTTTCCAATAATTAACTACGACTATCTTCGGCGTGTATTTAGTATTTCATTATATTATCTTGTTGTACTCGGTGAATGCATCAGCAGTCAAGCAGTGCTACTCAATTATCACTTAGACTAATATTGCTGATTAGGTTTTCATCTATACGACGAATTATTACTCTCAATTTCGGACAAAACCATTTTCGATCCAGATTACTCGTCATCACATTTTACAAAGTCATAGTCTACTCCACAGTGGTGTTTTGACGATTTATCAGGTACGTGTAATTATCTCATAAGCTGTTGTTTTCTATGATCGTCATTTGCCTGATATTACACGTTACGCAGTGTCTATGGAAGAACTGGCACGGTGTGAATCGCCTAATTTTCTTTCAATTGTATTAACTTTTGATTTTACATGATGAATCAAAACACCATTAACGTTTCATAGAAATGCTCAGATACAAAGACCTCTGTTCGCACAGCGTCGAACTTCCGACAAACATTGGTACTGATTGTTACCTTGCAATGAAATGTTTAACAAGGACTCTAACTGTTCAAGATTTTGTCAACACTTTCATCCGGAAGGGTTAAAAGTAAAAAAAATAAGGAGAGATGAATATGAAATGTATTTTTAACTGATACACTCGCTTCGTTGATTGATTATTTAATTAATTCTTCTATTCAATCATCATTAAAAGTCATTTTTCTTTGAATAATTTCATTCTGTGATTATCCTATTATTGTATGAATAGATTAGTTCACAGGTACACTAGTAGACGTATGACGCAGTGCTCGTGATTTTTTTTAATAAAATTTTCACGAGAGTGAAACTAATAGAATCGTCATTAAAGTAATTCTACTTTTCATCATCTTGAACTACTTATACATTTGTTTTTTTGTACTATGCATAGCCGAGATCTCGTTCGGCTTTTATTTGTCCGATTATCTGGATAGAATAACATACGAGCTGAAATTATTTATTCTAATTAGACAAAGAGCAAACAGAAAAAAAATTTTGATATACATGTAAAGATCACGATATCCAGAAAGCAAGATCTTATTTGATAGTAGTGGTTGAATTCCTTGGTTGTTGTTGTTGAGAGGTTTTATTATTAGACGAGGAGGTATTCGATACTCGCGCTGCTTTTCGTAATAAATGCCAACATGCAGCGCGCTGTTCACCATTGATGACCTCACACCAATGAATGATTTCGCTGTGCTGAGATATATTAGCACTACTGATCGGTGAAACGTGTTCGAAACGTAGGAAACCCAATGGTTCATCAGGTGCTATCAAATCGTGGTGATAGACACCGATTTCCAGAGCTGATTCGATCAAGGATACACCCGGAATGTTGAACGAAATTTCTTCGTTCCAATTCGGATTCAATGTATTACGCTTCACACTTGTCTTTTTACGTTTAACTTTGTCTGTTTGACCTAGCTGTAAAACTAAACGAACAACAGGATCTAAAAGAACAACACAAGTAGAGTGCGATGAGAATACACATTCAACAAACCTGCTTCGAGATGCATGAAAAGTGCTTTGAGATTTCGTCCTTCAATAATGCCAACATTGAGTCGCTCAGCTTGCGGTAAATATGTCAGTGAAACTAACAATTCTCCAAGATATTCATCCTCCTATAAATGAAATTATCGTCAACTGAAGATCTCAATGAAAGAAATGTTCATACTGCTCGTTGTTTACTGATTGAACACCAAAGATCATCGTTGGCACGTAAGATCTGTGGTGTTAATCGTAACTGGGCTTCACCGATACATTCCGGTCGACTTAAATGTGCATAATTATATATATATAAATATAAAACTTTTGTCGATTTTAATACTGTTTCATTTGTAACACCAAATTTAAAAAATTCATTCCAGAGGGGATTTAGCGTTGTGGGTTGAACAGATGTTTGTCGTAGTTTTTGATCGATAGGTGGGCGAAGGTAAATCTTGACATATGGATTCGATAAATCTTCGCGTTCAACGGGTAAACACCGAGCTAAAAGAGAAGAGAAAGTCGGTTTACCGATCAATACGTTTATCTATTCCTCTCACCCTCAATGACATTCACAACAAGATCATTTCGATGTTCATCGTAATGAATACGAAGGTGCAATCGATACAAATTTTCTTCCGACGTTGAAGCATCATCAGCAATTCGTTCTCCTTTTGTACTACTATTGTTTAAAGTCATCCCACTGTTTCCATTACCGTTACTATTCGCCGTACTCGTGTTGTTTGTGAAATAAAGATCAGGCGTGATTGCTCCTAACGCACCACGGAGTGTTTTAGTTTTACTAAATTGAGAGCTTGACTGAGAAACGAGCGGCGGAGATAAATGTCCTTGGTCGATCGTTATCATGGAAGCACGTGGAATAGAAATCGACTGTTTTCCAATAATCGGGAATTTCGGTATTGTGTAACGTGTCGATGGTGAACGGAGTAATGATTGACGTCGCGTTGGATTCGTTACTTGATGCGATTCAACTTTGGTTAATAATCGTTTCGAAGAGCTGACTGGTGCTTCTTCCGTACCACTAGTTGACTGATCGACGGATGAAATCGATTGTTCGACAGCATCGGATGAACGAGGAAATAATTGGAATCTAATATTTTTTGTATTGTTTGTACCAGTTGGTGATGACGTTGCTAGCAGGTTTTCGCCGTCTGTAGCTGATAAACGTGGTACAGGCTTGGAACTGCGTCGACCGGCATAATGAGTAGAGATGGCTTGAGTATCGGTATCTTCGTATGAATGAGACAGACGGCCAGACTCACCTTTCTTCGGCAAAAGAGCGCTATCGGACGCTACCGATGGTCGTCCGGACTGATTGGAACTGATCGATAATCGAGAGAATTTGTCAGATAGAATCGATAGACGACCGCCGGATGCAACTGATGTGCGAGCAGATGGCGGTGTTATTTGTTGCGTGATAATCGGCGGTTGTCGAATTCGATGAACTATAGGTACATAAGTCTAGCGGATAAAATAAAAGGGAAGAATATTTGAAGTGAATGACGCACATCAGATATCGTTTTACATCTCAAGTTTCCATTTTTTTTTCAAAAATCATCTCTACGTATTCGTTCGCCTGTAAATTTCAATCAATACCGGAAACTCGACTTGTCATGATTCATTAACAGGATAAGTGAACGATGAAAGAAAAAAAATCAATTACTCACGAGATGTTGCGGCGGTTTGAAATACGTCTTCGCATCGATATTATTTATCGCAGCATAGTTACTGGCCGATCGTCCGAAATATCGATGACTCGATGAAGGCACACAACATTTACAGAAAATAATCGTTGCTACGATGATTATAATAATTACCGAACCAGCTCCGATAGCGATCCCAATGTAGAAATCATACCGTGATGTAAGCATAATAGCATTGCGCTTATTCTTCAAATTCTTTAACGAGAAAAGGCAAAATATTAACCTGTGTGAAAAAAAAGAGTTCTTTTTCTTTTTTTATTCTGTATTTGCCCGTTGACAGTTAATAATTTTTGTTATCATGCAGATGTAGATGACAGTATTTGTATGTCCGTTAATGATCTTTCTCTTCTCCCTCTCTTTTTCTTTCTTTTGTAATAATCTACAGAGATGCTCATCATTATTTGAATTCGAGATGAACGAGAGAAAAAGAAGAAGAACTAAGAAACTATTACCATCATCATCCATCATATAGATGACAACAAATAATGATTTGAATATTTCTCCACGTCTATGCAGAGCAAAAGACACATTTCCTCACAAAAAAAAGCCAGAACAGAAGAAATTATATGCTACGCGATGATAGTTTGGCTTGCACTAATAGTTACCTGTCATGTTTTATATGCACGAAAAAATAACTCAGGGGTATGATAATAAATTGATGCGCATTGATGTTCATCAAACGAGCAGGTCGTAAATTTATAGTTGAATGGTAGATATTTTCTTTTTTTGTTCGAATTAAGTTAAAACAACGGTGTAAAATAACATTAGACTTATTCTCCTCATCAGTTGCCTTCCTTCCTTTTGTCATTACTTTGACTATCAATAGAATAAATCTAGCAGGAATCTTTGATAGTGAAAAAAGACAACTTTTGAGTTTTTTTTCTTGTTTGTTTATCAGAAAAAAAGGAAAGAAACGCGAGGAGAAAGATAGCGAAGTAAAGATTAGCACAAATTGTCAAAATGAATCAGTGGAACGGATTTACTCGGCTTCATCGGCAATTAAATGCATTATTATCATCTCCTCCATATTCAATCAATAGCAAACAATAACGAAAAAGAATCTTTTTCTTAAATATCATTATCAAAAAAGAACTAAGAAATGGGATTTACAATACTCGTTTCTATTTGCAGATTTTATCTGTTTTCCTTAGCGAACAGAGATGGATCAGCCGACAACGTATTTATAACAATGAGCATGCGTCTCACTGATCGTGGTATGCTGAAGCAAGCTGAGCTTTCACGCACACACACTTAAAGTATATAAAAAAAAGGAGAAAAAAATTTTCACGAACCACCACAGAGCTTATTATTTGTCATCGGAAACGAGATACACGTATAACAGATATGAAATAGAACTAATGACTTTATATCAGCTAATCTTAGCATTAGATATTATCAGCCTTGATTAATTTCTTTCAAGTATTCTTTCGATAATTGTTCATGACCATTTTTTTTCAATGATAATTATTTTATTGAGAAACGAACTCCTCCGCATTTGACAAAGAACATTTCTCTCGACATCCGCTTCGGAGAATTCCATACTTAGCAGGGTGAAATGTTTACATCTCTCGTTATTCGCTTGTTGACATTTGAAAATGTTCTCATCATGCACTTGTTCATCGCACGTCTAGCTTTTTATGTATTCACTTGAACATTCACAGTAGACATCTCTATAGAAAAGACAAATCACTGCGGTGACAACATCGTTATCTCGACTTCATCAGTCTGTCATAATACACTTGATTCCGTTCATTTTCTTTCTCTTTTACTGACCGAGATATCGAAGTTAATGGGGTTGACAGAAACGATTGAGCGAGTGAGTGAGCAAGCAAGCAACAATTATGCATATGTCTCCATGTACGTATGTGTCCAATCAAACAAAACAATAAAAGGAGAACTGACACAAACGTTTTAACTCTGTCTCTTTTTTCTTTCTGTGTCCATACGGTAACCTAGCATTCGATAGTGTATATATATGTACATACGTTATCATCGCACACTCATTTTCAAACACTTTTTGTTCTTTACGTTCAACAACTACTGAGTAAATATGTTGAAAAAGTTTCGACATCGTTCTGAAACCAAACATATGAAGATGAATGATTCAGCGTTGAGAGATATTATTCCATCGGATGATGTTTCGTTCACGGAGGTAGGAGTTCAGGAGGAAATATTTGGAATTGATTTTCTTCGTTATAGGAAATACGAAAACCGCGATTGTTAAGATTATTTAAAATCTTTCTCATTGTTTTCGTTTTGGGACTTGTCGCAGTTGGAATTGTGTTATCAGCATTGATTCTTACATGTAAGTGATCAGTTTTTGCTCCTTTATGTTTCTCTATAAATATTTATTTAGATTCAGGAAAGTCATTCTTATCCTTTGTCTTACAATCCTCAGGGCTGAAGATTTTCTCTCTATCGAACACAACTATTTCTCAAGAAAGTATGTGTAATCGCGTGATTATTCGTCTTAAATCTCATCCGTCACATTTGAATAGATTTAACTAGTACTTCAAGCAATGATAATTGGCAAAAAATCACCATTTCTCCAGCTTCAACTCTCTCGACACTATTACGAACAGGAGAAGACGTTAGACATCGATCAATGAAATTCGATCGCATATCGAGTACGAAAGCGAATGAACAATCGAGTTCAATTACTACGCAGACAGAAATATCTTCTCAACAATCAACGAGTTCACCTTCAATAACAACAAATGCGCGAGTTTATATTACAACTTCATCAGAGAACAGAGTCGACTCATCAACGTCAATGCAATCAACTTCACAAAGTGCGTCACATTCTTTCGATGGTTAACCAATATATGCATTTCTTTTCATATTTCCTAGTTCAAGATCATGAGACAAGTACAACTGAACAACTTCCAGCAACTACCAATATTCTTAGGCAACCTTCGAGAAAATTCTTCCGAGACTACTACAGAAAGCTCAACGAGGATATTATCATTGATGATCTTTTGTTTTCATAAATGAATACAATACACAGATATGAGTTTCAATCAAATGCGAACAGAGTTTTCATCGAACATTGTCTTTTGTTATACAATCTATATTGAATAAACATGAAATTAACTCGACAGGACATTGATCTTGCACAGTTTTTGATGCTTTTTACTATGCGAATATTTATTAGGAATTTATCTTTTATTGTTGGAAGAGAAAAAATGATAAAATATGCAGAATGTTGTTTCTGACAAAGGGAAAAGAATACCATAGCATCGACGTGCTGAAATGAAAGAATAGATGGATGGAGATGATATTAGACTACGTATTGTGATGTTTTTTTTTATTTGTAAAATGTATACGAACGGAACGCGGATTACTTCTGAGTCTTTGCCGTTCCAGCCTTATCATTTTTGTGTAGGGAATATCGACAGAATGTCAAAAACGCTAGATATACGTTTTCGATTCATCTCAGATAAGAAAGAAACTTCTGCACTTTGTATATTACTGATAACCGGTACTCGAATAGTATGTGCTGAAAAAAAAACGATCTTTGTGGATAAAATTCTTTCGTGTTTAGAAGTGAAACGATTGTAAGCAGAGTTAGCACATAAGCTGTCGAGCGCTGCATAATTTGACGTGATTCGAGAGTTCATTTGTTTCTTCTTTCTTTAGGTGTGAAGTGATCAAATTTAGTTAGAAGGATAATCATGTCGGTGCGAGATACAATAGAAAAGAAGCCGTTAGAGCAAGAGACGGAGCATGAAGAGTATGAGTACGTAACTGTGCCACCCGATGGAGGTTTTGGCTGGGTTATTGCACTGGCGGCTATGGTATGAAGACTTTGACCATCTTTCCCATGCGATTTATAGATTTGATTGATGTAGCTTTGTAATATGGTGTGTGATGGTACCTTATTTGCTTTTGGTGCCATGAAACTCTTCCTTCAGCCGCATTTTGGCTGTTCTGATATGGTTATTCTTATGGTTGGATCTGTCCCGTGTGGTGTTTATCTACTTGTTGGTACGACTGATCCTTGTTCTTTAACTATTTTTTATGCTCATGACTTCTCTTTTTTTTCAAAGGACCCATTGTCTCGGGTCTTTCGAATAGATACGGCTGCCGAATAATCATCATCATTGGAAGTATCGGTGCGTCAATTTGTATGATGTTATCAACACTTTCACAAAATGTTTCTACGATGATTATTATTTATGGAATCTTTGGCGGAATCTTTTTCGGAATGGTTTATCTTCCGTTTGTAGAATTGTTTGATACTGAACATAGGAACGAATCTTTTGTTTTTTTAGATCCATTATCATGGTCTCATTCTATTTCGAGAAAAAACGAGCGATTGCAAATGGTACATAGAGGAAAAATGAACAAACTTTTGCTGTAATGCCTTCGATTTGATTATTTAGGTCTAGTCACTGCCGGTACCGGTATCGGTGCATTATCATTTCCACCGTTGGCAGAATTTCTCATGAAAAGTTTTGGTTGGAAACAAGGCATGTTTGTATTTGCTGGTATTATGTTGTCCTGTATTCTATTTGGAGCAATTATGAAGCCATTAAAACCTCGACGAGTAGCAATTAAACGCGCAATCACTGAATCGAAGTATGCTTTCTTATATTTGTGTACAAATGTCCTATTCAGATCTTGTAGATTTCCAATTGAAATTCATTGCGATCGACCATCGTTACCAGCGACAGGAATAGATTCGAACACCGACGACATTCACGTAATAAATAAGCACATCTTGAAGAATGCATACTTAATGATCAATTTTATTCGTAGGCAGCGCCACCAGCATACGATAATATCATTCCTAATAAAAATTTTATGAGTGTACCTCAAGGAACCGGTCGTGATTCACGCATTCGTCAAATATCAGTCTCAAGTCGAACATCAATAACATCTATAACTGAACATCGTGTTGGTGTTTCCGATCCTGAAAATGCATCTCGACCATTGTATAAAAAGGATGCGCTATTTACTGGGTCCAAGCAACAACTTCATCTTTCGCACACCTCACTGAATAGTAATCCATATGTAGCCTCGATTACGAACATTCCCGAGGCTGTTACACAAACAAAGAAAAAACAATCAGCTATTCGAGCGTTTGCAGACATTCTCTCTGCTATGACGGATTTATCCATATTAAAAAATAAACAAATGTTACTGATTTGTATTGGAAATATCTTTTCAATGTTGGGATATTATCTTCCGATTATGTGTTTGGTATCATTCGCCGTCGATGATCTTCATGTCGCAGAAGGCAGAGCCACGATTTTGATGACAATTTTCGGTAAATCGACCGTTTTTCTGTTCTATAATTACCAAAATCTTCCATTCAGGTGCTTGTAACACATTCGGACGATTTGCTAGTGGACCCATTGCTTTAATTCCTCATTTGGGAGCTCTTCGCGTACACAATTTTCTCCTCTATTCAGCTGGAATCTTTACAGTTCTTGCAGCTTATGCTTACAATTTCACAACATGCGCGCTCTTTGCTGCATTCTGTGGTTTCGCTATCGGTATGACCAATTATTGAAATTGTGAAGCTGTGCAATTGTTCTCTTTCAATTTTTAGCACCACACATGTCTCTGTTACCAAATGTTGTTTGTGATTGCGTTGGCCTCGATCGTTATACAACTGCATTCGGTGTCCTATGTTTGTTCCGTGGTTTTACCTCGATCTTAGGGCCACCTCTTGCAGGTTTGTCTATTCTCGAAATGAAATTCTGTTGTTTTATCTGTTTGTTCAAAATAGGTCTTTTGAAAGATTTGACAAAAACATATGTTGCCTCGTTTGTGCTTGGTGGCGCGATGATTATTGTCGGATCGTTCTTTCATTTTGGGGTGTCATTTTTCAAAACTGAAACTCAACCGGAAAAAGCAGTTGAACTAGTAGAAGCAGAAAAAGAAGTTTATGTTTAATCGTTTCGCTTTAATGAATGAATTCTAAACAAATATATAGTCGATTTTATTCTTCAACAAGTAGTTTTGTTTTCTTGCATGTTCTCCTTCTTCTTCTGTTCTGTGATAGTTGATAGAAGTGTACTCTCGAAGCTTGATGTAAACCCGATTTATCAATAAAAGCGAATGATTCGTCAGTCGAGAAGTTGCTTGTCTATAAATGTTCTTGCGATATGTATTTAAATTCCATGGAATTCGAATGTATAACTAACGAATTGGTCAGATCAGTCGTGTCACTGTTTGGATAAGCTTTGAATTTCTTTCGATACTGGCTTTTCTTTTGATTGTGTCTTGGTGTGTCGATCGTTGTTTCATTCGTTAGGTCTACTGTTTGAGGATTGTTGAGAAAAGTTTTCCGCAAGAAAACAAATCGATAATTAAAACAATGAGTAAATAATTTCAAAAATTCACGACGAAAATCCTGTCCGCTCAATGTATACAAAATAAAATTCATGGCATGTTTTGTATACCACAACGCTTCGCAGACGTCAATGATTAACCGTATATTCGATGGCACACCGGGATTATCATTTTCATTCGAACTCTCCTTTTGTTGTGTTGATACGCGCGGAGCATAAAGGATTTTATTCACACATATGAATATAACTGATGGGCATGTTAAACCAATGAATGCTAAAGTGACAGATAGAAGCATGATGGTTAAACGTTGATGTCGACGATGCGAACGTTTGCGATGTTGCCGTACACGGCGATGGCTACGCATCGTAAACAAAATGATTCCAATATTGGTACAGCAAAGTACGAGGAATGGAATTACTGCGACGAGTAGAATGTCAAAGATTGGGATGTAGGTACGAAAGAAATTTTCGTAACCGACACTGGGTATACAAATGAAGATCGAGGAGTTTCGACGACGAAATAATTCCGATTGGAAATAACTGGTTGTGTAGTTTAAATCTAACAACGAGGTATCATTCGACAATGTTCGAAAACGAAGAAAGAAACGGCGAGGATCAGCCATACCCAGACCTCGTAATGTCATCGATCGACCTATGCAGACAAAAACATAAATTAGATGAATATTCGTTTCCCAAAAGACTGGCTAGACATAATCGTGTTTTAAAACAATATGACTGATAATTATTCTCATACTTGTCTGTACTTCCATCGTGTCAATCAACTACATTCGGTAAATGCATCTGTACGTTCATGTTAAATGATAACATATAAAAACCCATCGATTATTATAGTTCATTTTCTTTCCTGTTCTATGATACCTCAATTTTACTGAAGATCCTGTATCTCAACTAATCAGACGATATCGCATGCAATTCATCGATGTTTACTGTACGTTGTCTGAAAATTAGTTCGATCGCACTACACAAATACTCATGCATTTCAATACAACCATGATTTTTCAGCTTCTGAGCTTACGGTAATGCCAATCATCATTCGCAGTGTAAACATCGAAATATTCTATATTCTAAACAGCTACGAGGTGTTGTCCTTTGAGATGGCGGAAAAAATTGATCAGTAGGCCACTTATCTTTGTCATTATATATTCCTTACCCAGTATGAAGAAGTAATACAGATTGCACAATGCCACAACAGCAATGAGTATACTTGTTGAACAAAATACTCGATTGGCAACTGAATTATGTCGTCGATATCTACTTGTGACCATGAGATATCGATCGAAACTAACAATAACTAACATCCATGAGCCCATATGTGCAAGTGCCGAGGAAAAGAATGTTAGACACCGGCAGATCCATTTGGATGTATTGAATATATGTGAATCACGAAATAGGCTGTAGATATAACGACTTGAACGCATAACAATAAATAAAATATCGATAACAGCAAGAATAGCTAAATATTGACAAGTGGAATTTTTGTTAAACTTTCTACTTAGTAAGACGCGCAAGCACAAAGCATTTCCAATAGTACCCCATACTAATAAACACGGATAGAAAACTCGGACGAGAAAGAAGCGTAAATCAAAGACCGATGCTGCTGATTGATGAGACGTTGCGACATCGAGGAACAGCGTGTAGTTTAGGTTACCGGTGCTATTCATGATACTGTTATTATTTCATAATTGTTAAACAGCAAAGAACGTTTCTTTTTGAGAATACTAAAAGCAAAATGAGAATTAGTTGATTTTGTCAAATCGAGGTGAGTTGTGTTCAGCAGAGAGAGAATACACAAGTAACACTAAAAACGACGGATATCCGTGCCACAGCGGTTTTCCTTAAAGAAAAACCGAACATAAACAGAAAAACGAGAAAAGTGCTCGAGGAACAAGATTTTTGTACTAAGAAAAGAAGACGAAGACATTCGTCGACATTTTTATTCGGTTAGAGAAACTTGTCATGCTATTTTCGACACTTTGTTGAGCTCTCTGACAGTCACGAGAAAAACAAAGAGAACTTGGCGAATATAGATGCGTTCTCTGCATTCTTTCAGTATTTACATGCTAATACCTGAGTATGAATGCATACAAAACAGCGATTTCTCAATTAATTCTCTAGCAAAAACAAATTTTTCATATAGATTGAATATTTGATGATGCACCGAGACAAACACAGGTAAGACGTTACGTATCGAGTGCCTGTGTGTTTGTGTGTTCTTCCTGGAGAGAAAAATGGAGACTTTTCAAGATTATTTGCATCACAAGTCTTTACTTAACATCCTACGCGACGTTTATTCTCTGCTGCAAATATATATGATCTGATTAAGTCCGACAAGAAGGGCTAGGTAGAATATTTTCTCTTCAGATCTCGAATATCTCAAATCATATCCGATGGCTTGAAGATTATTAAAGAACTAATTTCTTTTTTATTGAAAAGAGTTTGAGATCAGATTTACTTACTGGAATAAATGATCGCTTGTGCTTGTTGTGAGTCTTATTTTTGCTTTGTTCAAGTATTAATATGTTGATCTACTTGACGAGGTTTTATTTTTCATCATCTAGAAAACGAGAAGTTTGTGCATTAATTGAAAGTAAGTTCTGAACAATGGCGTCGGCGAAGAAAGAGAGAAGTAAGAGAAAACTCGTTAAAGGAAAAAAAAAGAAAAAGGCGACGTGATGATGAGAACAAAAGTTGTGATGTGACAATCACATAATAAACTCTAAGATAAATTAGTTATTACAATTATCATTGACAGACTACATTTCAATAGCACAAATGATGTTTCCTTGCAAACATCTACTTATTGACTCACATATTCAAATCAACTCAAGCGCGAAGTGTCGATCGGACTCCTTTTGGTACATCCTAACCAATCAGCTGAAAATCAATCCGATGTCGACTGACATTTACACTCGGACGTAGTTCAAATATGCTTTTATCGGGTAATGAAAACGTGCTATATTGATAGAATTTCTAAGTATGTTGGTTCAAATCTGTGTGTTTAGTGTCATATACTTTGAACTGTATACATATTTATTTGCTTCTTACCAGTTAATCAATTATGTTTGATTTCGAAGATTCCTTGCGAAAAAATGCTGATTTTTCACAAGAATTCTTGTTTAAATACAAAATCATATGTTTCTTCGAGTTGTCATCATAACCAATCTCGTGCATACGATAAGAGAAAAGCGCTTACTCCCGGCAAATTGAAAATACACATTATCACGTTGAGTGAACACTAATGAGGAGTTTAATTACGTACATAGTTTAGAAGCAAAATAATCTGGATTAATCATAAAAAAAATGAAAAAATAACATAAGGAGACTTACAATGAGGCGCATAGCGTTGCATGATAGATGACTATAGACTTTTCTCCTCTGTCGACCTCAGAATTGATTCGTGCAGACATCAACAGATCATAAGATCAATTGATTATCAAAACTCCTCTCAGTTCGTCTGTCACCAAAATTGATCGTCAACACACCTCCAATTCTTTCAATAATTTCATTAATAATACGAAAGAAACTAGCAGTCATCTTGCTCTATTTGTCCTTTTTTATGTTGATAAATATATGAATAAAAAATAAAAACAAAAGTTCAACAGAATGTTAACAAATAGTTAAATATAAAAACTATCTTATTTGATAACAGTTCATTTCGTCGTTGTTATTCATGGAATTGCGCAGCGTGTTTTCACGTCGTTTTACCGAGTTCAAATTTTTTGAACAATTCACTTGCAGTGAATATCAGAGAATCGATTATACTAGCAACTGTGAAGGATCCACCAACAATAGCACAGATTGACGTTATAAAAGTATAGAACTTCTGCCGATGCTCAGTATATTTCACCGTGATTGGCTACAAGAAAAAGAAAAAAGAATTTCAAATATTTGGAATGAATCGTTTTACCATAATATCGTAACGGAACCATATAGCAGGAATCATACCGCCTCCATGAGGTTGATAGGGACTATACTCCTAAAAAAGAAGCGAGTTAAATATTTGCTTTCAGTAGAAATTTGTTCATCGTGAATAAGGATTCTCCAAATCTGATAGTATAACTTGCATCTATATATACTAACTCGGTAGAAGAACGTAAATTGATACGGATACCGCCGAGTGCTTTGGAGATCTTCATAAATCGTGGGAACTATTTTTAATAAATAATCATGTGACGCATGACTTGGGCGATTAGTATTGTTAAAGCGTCGTAGTGGGTGAAACGCTTTTCGATTTGGTATTTGTCGAAAACCCTATAAACAAAACGACTTCGATCGTTGAGCTTGAACTTAAAGAAAGAGAACAAACTTTAATTGAATCACCGAATGTTAATTCATGAATGACATGTTTCATGTCACCGTTGGCTGGCTGACTGGCTGCCGAATGTGTTGAAATATGGAAATTGCCTGGGACACGATTGATTTTAAATGAAGCATTGATTCGACAACCAGCACCATTATTTTCCGGTGTTTTCAGCGTATTGTCGATAAATCCGACTTCGTGTCGACCGAGATCATCTTGAATATCGATTCCAACATCTAAACGATGATTTTTGTCCGGTATAGTCGAACCAGATACCTGATCTATGCCTTACATTCACATCCAATGTTCAATACACTAATATCGATGTGAACTGGTATTCGGTCGGCATTGCCACTTTCAGGTATATCAACGAATAATTCACTTACACTAATTGAATAGACATACATGAGATGTGATAAGTGAAAGGAACAAGCGAATGGTTCTATTTACACTTCAGGCGTGATAAAATAGTAGAGTTCGATGAGAAGTAATGTTGAAATGAAAGAAATACAAGCTAAGGATATTGCAGCACCTGTGTTCGTTGGTTGGGTTAGATCTTTGGGGATTTTTCGATAGATGTCAAATCTATAATTTGAAAATGGTACGATTTTCTACGACTTTAATCTTACTTACCGTCGGATGTCAAATTGCATCTTGAACGTCCAAATCTACAATAAATAACAATCTCTTTCTCAATAAAAAAAAACAGAAATGAATGTGCGTGTTACTAAGCAATAAAACTAGAATACTAAAAGTAAACCTTATCGATTGTTTCTTCCCAGAGGCAAAGATCCACCGGCTATGATGATATATAGGTGCAAAGTATCCTGCGTAGTTGCTACACATCTCTCAAGTACGCATGAATGCGCAATACTGTAATCAAGTATAATTTTGAAAAGTACCTCGATCTGCAAAAGAAAGGATATCTTCATTAGAGAGGCCTTTGTTAATTTGTCGCACACATTCTTTCGAAAAAAAATCCAAGTGTGTGTATTGAATTGAATAGAGATAAATGGGCGTTAAAGCCACGTTGATCTAAGTAAGTAAATCGTAAAATGTTGCCATTGGCTCATGATTTCATTCAAATAAACTAGATGTCGATAGTTTTCATTCCAATTGAACTTACCTTTGATCCCGACTGTCCGCAGTCATTGAATGAAATTTCACTTACACATCTCGTTCTTATTTCGTGTCAGATGCAATTTACAAATATTACAAACTTGCTTTTTGTGTATGGGACATCATAAGACCTGATTTCATCGACACTAGTAAAAAGAACTAAGAATTTCGCTATATTTCAAGGTGGTACACTTCCGCACAATTCGCTTTTCTTGTATAAAGATCCATCTGTTGTGTCACAGCTAAGACTAACAGGGGAGTTCATGTTGAGTAAGATCAATCAAATGGAACACTATATTGAAATCATCAATCGATTTTTATTGGTTGAACAAAAACAAAAAAACAAATGATCCTATTGCTTGAGATAATCATCCAATTTATTACCAGATTCTAGGTGACGTTCAATTTCAATTAATTTCGTAACACCATTCAGCACATGTTGAATAATTTCAATCTAAACGAAGAAAATGTTAGTCGACTTCCTTACAAATAAAAACATACTTCAGTCTTTCCAATTCGATCCTGATTGGATACATCGATACAATCTTTAAATGCCTCTGCGTCTGGATCCATAATTTCGTTCATTGTTAAATGAAGATCTTTGATAATCGTTGGGAAACGACGATCTTTGGTTAAATTCGGTAGTTTTAGATATACATTATATTTCAAGCCCGTGCCAATATTCGACGGACAAGTTGTCAAATAACCAAAATGATCATCGTGAGCGAATGAAATACCTTCAGTTTTCATGATATCCTCTAGCTAAAGAAACAGAATAATGCATTCGACGAAGAAAGTGTCCAATTTATGATTATCATTACTGAATTTATTCCTTGAACAAAATTTGTTACTACAGAACGAAGATTATTTGCAGCATTATTTTTACTCCAACTAACAAATCGTAAATGATCTTTTTGATTGATCCATGCATACACACTTTTATCACTATTGATATAAATAGCTCGACCGTCCGGCCAGTCGCGACATACACCCGAACTAAGCCAATTCATTGCTATTGGTTTAAACAGGAAAACACCATCCTAAACAATACAGTATAGGAATACGAGAGCATTTTCATTCGATATGTCTTTGCTGACACTCAAAGGTTCAATATAGAACCGTTGAAAATACACATCTGTAATTTTCTACAAACTTGATATACTTACATTGAATAGTTTTTCTTGTTCTCGTTCGTCTGTATTTGATAAACGATGGTAAATTCCATTGAATAAATCATTCGTTTGGGAGAATTGTTCGAAAACTTTCTTAAATTTGTTTTCCACACGGCGACGTTCGGCACGCGTCGAAAACGTTGGGAAGGTGAAAGTAGCAAGGTTACGTGTTATGCGAATACGTGATGAAAGTATATATTTATTTATATTGAATGTCTCGTCGGATTCAAATGGAAAACGAAGTTTAGCAATATCAAAATCATGATATTGACGAGACTCAAACGGATAATTAAATCGCTCTCGGATCAATGGATTGAATAGGTCGCTAAACATCTAGAGAACGAAATTAGTCAATGAAAAAAACGTTCCGAACGAAAGTCTCTTACTCTGTACGATTCTTCGTCACCAGCTGTTACGCCAAAATACTGTCCATTTGGTGAACGTGGATTATCCACTCCAACTTGAATAACATCATCTATCGTGTATCCCGAAGAAGTTATGCGATCACGAAGTTTGGCATACAGTTGTGGAGTTAAATGACGAGCCATTAAATTCGAATGTTTGTGTAATTGAGGATATTCGGCTATCGCAGAGTACCGCTTTAAATGTAAACTATAGGAACTTGCATGATGTTGTTGATTTTGCCAGAGAAGTGCAGCTGTAGTTAGACCAACAGATGAGATCATTGCTGCTACTTTCCATCTTTGTTGGTTAGAACCAAAATGAACGAATGAACGAAAGAAGTTCGAATAGGTCGACATGATACGAAAATCAATGGATATTGTGGAAGAGTTTCATTTTCAGTAGTTCTGGAGAGATTTTTGAATAGACGAATTGAAGTATATCTCGAAAGATGTCAGGAAAAACCATCATTACTCGATGTACAACTTTTCACAGATACAATGAGTGAAGTGTAAGAAAGATTTATTTAGAACTGTTTTTTAGCAATATTTATTTTATTTAGATATTCGACTCTTCATCTAAACATTTCCATTCGTGAAAAGTTTCGATCGGTGAATAGAGTATCATCCGAGTCAATGTAATGATACCAAAAAGAATAGATGCGAGTAGAATAATACCAATAAGAGTAACAAGAATCATAAATATTAGTTTTATCCAATGTTCCGAACTTGAACTAAAGGATAACATTAATCTTATTAGAATAGCTTTATCTTTGAATACTAATCACGACACACCGTCTGCGATCAAAGAGGCTTACCTGAATACTAATTTACCTTGTTCTACAACATCCTGAGTATGATTCGTCTGGATCATCTGACTATCATGAGTTGTTTTGGTAGAATAAGGAATGTGTGTTGTTTCATCCGAATCGCTTTTACTATCAACATGAGAAATGACGAAGAAAACCAAAATTTTTCAAAGGACATACGTGATGAGATGATTTGAGCTTTGTTGGAGAGATTCTTTTGTATATGTATTTTCAGTAGTTTCTTCTTGATCAACGACTAAAACGATTTCTTTATTATCTTCAGAACCGAAGATTAGTTACATTTACTTTTTTCACAATAGTCTCCATGATATTGCCCTTCACATACACATCGAAAACCTTTCTCTACTGTTGGTTCATCCACACATTGTCCATTATTCTGACATAACGTTGGATCAAACGTACACGGTCCTAGTAGATTCGAAAGTTCTCTTTCGTCGACAAGTAAATCCCACCGTACCTTTCTCGCAAGCTGTTGTCAATGCATTGTATATAAAACCTGACTCACATCTTCTTACAACACTCTGACCATCATTTCCACATATTATATACATGTCAAAGTGATATAGGACAGGTAGGTAAGTACCAGACGGATGATTACGACAAATGTCCTCTGCATTCTTACTAATTTCATCATCTGTTCTCATGATTGGCTCGTATTGGCAATCGACCTAGAACGATTGACAATGAACTGAATGTATGATCGAATGAATGACTAATACCAGTTCGGGAGCCATACACATGAATGCTTTTGGATCGAAATGAAGGTTACCTGGACATTTCAGTATTTCATGACGTTGATCTTCACGGCAATAATGAAATAAGGAACAATCGAGTTTATCAGGATAGATTCCAATTTGAAAGCATTTCGACGTTGCCGATTTTCGATGATCATCAAAACTGATCTGTTGGACAGGAAATTCACTCCTATCGTTCATTTTATCAATGATAATTTTGCATCTTGTTTCATTTTCCTAGCATTCAAAAAGATATTCATAAATTTCTTTCTGAAAGCAAAAATATTTACCAATGGTACGTATTCACACCGTCTACTCATGGGATTGAAAAAGAATCGATCGACACATGAATAGACTGCATGAATGTCAAGTGCACACATATGAAAGCGTGAACAGTTGGTCGTATGAGCATAGACACCATTTTCAGATGGACAATGTTGAAAGTGAGGATCGTCATCAGAGACCATTAATGGGATTGGAAAGACACTACCAGCTAATTCTTATTCATAGCACAAATCAATCGAATGTCATTTCAATTCTTACCATAGTCTAATTGATAGCTGCTTGAAGCAAGAAATGTAAGCGTAGTTAGTATCACAAGAACAACGTTCATATTCGGTTTCGTGTACCTAAATAGGTTAGAAAAGTCGATCGATAAAAGTATTGATAGTTTTGGTCGCGCTTGATTTACTTACCATACAATAGCGTGTCTTTTATGTGTTATGTACTGTCTAGATACAATACTTTTATTTGAACAATCTCATCATAGGGTATATTATCATCGATCAAAAGTTCAACTATCTAATCATTTGCTAGTTGACTCATTCTCATTCTCTTTTTTTATGATACATTATTGCATGTCGAGGACGCGAAGAATGTATTTGACAAACATCTATCGTGAGACATAGTGTATTAAGCAATCAAGTAAATGTTGATTGTCCTGTTCAGAGAGAGAGAGAGAGAGAGAGAGAGAGAGGGGACGAAGAGGAAAGAATCTCTAATTAGATTCCTGATGTTCGTGTAGGAAAGAAAAGAGAGAGAGATGAATAAACGAAGGAAAAATCCACATCGTTAAAGATGGAAGGAAATTTGTAATTTGTATGTGATGAATTCTATCAAAAGTCGCGTTGCACACTGAACCGAAGACGAGCGCCCAATTGATTTCAATACAAATACTACAAATTACAAAAAAGTATCAATAGTCTCAACCAACTAATTCAAATGAGAAATATGTTGTCAGCATTCATCTACAGCAATCATTCTTCCGTTTATTTTATTGATAGAACGTCGATAGGAGTTATGGTTGATTTATATTGGTTTAATTTTTCAGGCTTGAATGAAAAAGTCAAACAATAGGATGAAGTATGTGGCAGTGCACGCAGGAAGAAATCATGTGATATCTGAGAGTGTAAATCATGTTTATATGTTATGAAAATATTTTCTTATTTAAATGCAATTTACTACGAGAATAACAATCATAGAATCGGTTATTTCTTTCTACTTCTACAAACATTGGAAAATGCTTCTCGCTCAATTCTTTTGACTAACGAACCGCTATTTTAGATTGATAGGATTCTTTACTATCCGATCGTACACGTTTGCCGTTAAATAATTGCTTCTAAATAATTACAATACCTGAATCTCATAAAAGATGTCGTTTTAGATCGGGGGAATACAATAAATGAGCATCTCATTTGTAGTTTAGTCAAAGAAATGGGATGAATAATATTCTATCTGTCTGATTATCGATGCTCTTTGTTTTTTCGGTTCCCTATCATTTCGTCTCATACTGATTTTCACACTCACCATCACCTTCGTATATACGTACATTAGTTCAAATTTATTAATTTTATGTTTAGATCGAACTGATGTCAAGTAACGACGCAACTACAGAAGAATCAAGTGCACATGATGTAGAAGATGCATCATCTCTATGTCGATCAAGTGGCACTTCAGTAAGTATTATTAGATTATAGCTTATTTCAAAATGTATTTGTTCTCTGATAATTTGACAGCCTGAAGATGAACTACCAATGTCACACCCGCAATATACATCTTCAATCACTACAACAAGTTCCTGTATCATAACTTCACAATTATCGACTTCATTTCGAACGGACGATGCATCGAATGGTAAGTTTTTTATCATCCCATCATGCACCTTTCTTCCTTAGATGATATTTCACAAGTTCAATTTCGCCTGGTTCTGTTTAGATGTTAGATTACCAAAACTGTGCCGGAATGATCGACCTGGGACCTTATCCATTACGTTTGGATATAGATTATCTTTACCAAATTGGTTTGAAGCCCGATGAATTTATCAACTATTGCAAGATGGAAAGTGACAAATTAGCGTTTAATGATCCAATGGATGTCATCGACCATTTCATTCAAAATCGTTTAAAGCATGGTTTAGATATGGGTATTAATGAAGAATGTTTAATACATTTAACCAAAGTTGGCAAGACTTTTTCCAATGAAGAATCTTTCGAACATTATGTTTATGATTATATTGAAGTTCAATTCCCAGGTCAACACATCCGATGCTGGATTCGACCATCCGACAAAATCCGATCGGATTCCTGGAAACGGAATTGGATTGGAATCCGACTGGAAAAATTCCGTCGTTTATTGCAAGTTTTATGAGCGATCTTTTTAGCTATATTCTATGATGACCCTTAGAAAATCCGGAAAATTCATCTTTGGGATCCAAGTATGGGATTGTTCGATCTGGGACAGTCTTCAATGGGCGAATTTCGTAAAACTATGTCGTTGTCAATTTATTGAATATCCGCATGTGTTTCGACCAGACGCAATTCGTGGAGGTATATGCAACAACGCAGAAAAGTGCGCAGATCTGACAATGAAAAACCTTCAATGAAGATCTTACAAGGCCGCAAACCAATTCAGATATACGTTAAAAGTACCAATATGGCTGCCAAATTGGATTGTTCGATTTTTGGTATCTACATGTTTGGCGTCTCAATGTCATAAAACGTTTTTTTTATTGTTGTTATCTCATATTTTTTTTCTCGATTCATTTCGCTGTTACTTCATTTAAATAAAGTTAGATATACACATTTAGCTCTTTCTTGAATTGCTAATTAGGTTCCTGATGTTCATGTAGAAAAGAAAACTGAGAGGGATGAAGAAACGAAGAAAAAATCCACATTGTCAAAGATGGAGCGACATTTGTAATTTGCATGTGGTGGACACAATGAGTGTGATCAATTCTATCAAATGTCGCGTTGCATACTGAACCGGGGACGAGCGTCCAATTGATTTCAATACAGGTACTACAAATTACAAAAGAAACTATCAATAGTTTCAACGAATCATTCAAATGAGAAATATGCTGTGGGCATTCGGTTCCCTATCATTTCGTCCCACAGCCATCTCGTCTCATACTGATTTTCACGCCTACACCGACACCCACCCACACCCTCACACCCGCCCTCAAGTTATAACATTGGAAAAAGTTTCATTTGATTGAAAATTTACCATTAGGAATGATTGATCCAAATATATTTGTTAATACTCAGTTAATAAGATTTAAAGGTATTGTATATTAAAATAATTGATAATACCTCAGATATTTATTGTAACAGAATATATGAATAATATCAATAGATTGGGAAACATGATAATATGAAAATATATCCAGAGGAAGAATCTATATGCTCCAAATATTGAAAGTGACATGGCCGCTCTCGATAATATCTTCTCATATGTTGATAGAGAAAACCAACCGAATTCGCACTGAAATCTCTCGAAGGATCGTAACCTGTTTGTCAGCATTTATCGCTCTGTTCAAAATAGAAAATATATAGTTGAAGATAGCATAAACTCATTGTAATCGCTCTATGAAAGTTATCGTTTTATTTGGACAGGTATTTTCATTTTGAAACGTCTGATAAATAAGAAGATTGCAAATAAATTTTTTCTATCTTAGTTGTTCAAATATTTAATTTTGTTAAATCAGTCGTACATAATAAGAATTGAATTTTTTTAAAGAAAAAATAATAATATGAGATGAAAATGATGTTTGTAAATTGACTAATTGAATGTAAAACATTTCAATAGTTGGAAGAGTATTCTTTTGTATGATATTCTATGTATTGAAGTTAAGATTATGTTCATAAAAGTCATAAAAAATAGGTGCTTTCTTTGAGCTTAATATCTAATCTAAGTAGCTTTTTCTCCTTCTCTTTTTCATGTATAAACTCATGGTCGTCATGTTGAAGATAGATGAAGTGTCTTTTTATGTTCTTTCTCGCCGGTATACATCGATGAACTGTTCGTCTATAAAGAAACAATAAATAAATGTATATTGGAAGCTTCACTTATTTATCATTGTTAAACAGAACGAAAAAGTCTTAATCTACACGAAATTTATTCTTTATAACATTTGTATCAGCGAACATCAACTCCAGATCAATTAGTGTGATATCAATAGTAGAATGGCTTCGAAAAATTCTCAACTCGCTCTATATAAATATTTTGCAGATGCATATAAGAAAGGTCATCCTGCAATGACTAAATATGTAAGTATATCCGAGAATTCCTAGATACATATATCAGACAGTATGGATTTTCTTTCGTAGGCATGTCATTACAATACTGAATTGGAATGGAATAAAATCAAAACTAATGAACAATTAATTAAAGCTGAAATTAAAAAATATTTAGAATTTACTAAACAATTTGGAAAAAAAGAAACTTCAAATGTACAAACTGGTGATAACACTTGCAATCAAGAAAAATCAGTTACAACAGTAAATGAACGAAAACGAACATTATCTTTTGATGATGAACATGAGCCAATTGAACTGCGGTTAGAAAATGATATTATTGAACCTGTTGAACCAACATTTTCAAAACGTGATGCATTAAAAGCTTCGGAATTTAATGATCCTAGTAAACCATGGGTTGCTCGTTCACTTGCAAGAGCTCATGCACGAGCTAAAGCGCGTAATGCGAAAATTCAAGTTCAACGTCTTGCAAGTGAAAATCGAATAAAAACTCCCGCACAAGAAGTTGTTATACAAGAAATCAAAGAGATTGCTGAACGTATTTCTAGTTTAGTACAAGTGAAAAATATGGGTTTATCAACATCAGATTCGAGTCAAACTTTAAAAAAGTTACTTCAACAAAAAAAAGAACGTACTGCAGAATTAAGACGTTTACAATCAAATCAACGTTCTTCTGCACGTCATTATCAACGAAAAAAACGTTGTGTAGAAGCACTCTGCGCTGCCGATCCAGAAGTAGCTGCTACATTTTTAAATTTTTATAAACCAGCTACAATTCGTGCACAAATTGATAATATTTGTCCTGATTTAATTCAAACTATTGAAGAAATTGCTCGAGTTGGTGGTGCAATAGAGGTGAATCCTCGATTACTCAATGTTACACCATGTACATCATTAGATAATCTGAGAGTTAAAGTAAAAGAACGTGGTTTTGAAATACGACGATCATCAACATTTTATCGGTAAGAAAAAATAAATCACAAATACTTACTCTTTTTCGAATTCATCTTCGTTTTTAGTTTGATTCCATCAGGAATGTTTAGTGACGATGGTAAAAGGCATCTCACTTCTGAACCTGTACGTCTTCGTAAACTTCAAGGAATTGAACAAACAAAACATGAAGGTAAATCGACTTTTCAATTCAGTTCATCCTGATTAAAAACAAATTTATCTATTTAGATTGTCATTTTGTGACAGCAACTCTTCAACATATTAAAGATTTAGCTGGAACATTTGGAAATGAATGTGTCTTTTATTTCATTCAAGATCGAAAAGCTTCTGTTCGAATTGGCCGATCATCAGCAAGAGGACATTCACCTTTTATTATGCATCTAGATTATCAAACAACTACAGTCGATTCAATACCGATACCATCTAGTACACCTCATCAATTAAAACCAATGTACGTTTTTATTTGCTCATTATGTATTTTATTTGATTCTGCCTTTTTTTTCTAGAATTTATGCATCATGTATGATCGACAATAGTGGTCTCGTAGGATTTGCTGGTCCAACTTATATATCAATTCGATCAGCAAAATATGATCGATTTAGTAATGAAAATGAAGATATGGATTTTGATTGTGTACTTAAATTAAAAGAATTTGAGAAAACAGCTCGAAATTATTTGGGATCAACCAAACCAATCATAATTATGGGTGTTGATCATTTAGAATGTAATGATTACACACGTCGATCATCAACTCTTATATCAGCAATAAATAAATTTAAAAAATATAATCTTGATGCATTTTTTATTATAAGTGAAGCACCAGGTCAAGCAGCATTCAATGTTGTTGAACGACGTTTAGCATGTTTATCAAAAGATTTAACTGGTTTAGTTTTACCACATGATTATTTCGGAACACATCTAAATGTTAGTGGTGTAACTATCGATGCCGAATTAGAAAAAATTAATTTAAAAAAAGCCGGTGATGTTCTCGCAGAAGTCTGGAATATGGACATGATTGATCAACACCCTATTTTCGCAGAATATATTGATGCATCAACAACGATTGATGATACGATTCGATTCATTGATAGTCAGTTTACATTAGATGCGATTATTGATGAGTAAGTTATAATTGAATTTCGATTATGATTTGAAGGTATTTTAATGATATTGAATAGTATTTGTGATGAAGAAGAAGAAGAAATACCACTTCATCTTCGTGCTGTTCGTGATCGACCAGATCCAACTCGACATTTAGTTCTTGACACTCCTGAGAAACCAATTGATAATATCGATGAGTACGTTTTTCTATTATCTTCTCTTAATTTTAAATAATAAAGTCTTTCAGATACTGGTGTGCAACACATGTATTTCAAACTCAATATTCCATACAAATAATTCGTTGTACAAAACCAGAATGTTGTGGTCCGTGGCGTTCGAATTATATTCAAGTATTTCCCCATCGTTTTCTTCCGCCACCAGTTCCTTTCGATCGTTCATTAGCTGGTGTTAATTTAGCTGAACTTGAATCTTCAATTGCAACAACAAATCCTCTTTCACCTTATTATGGCACATTATTTCAACGTATACAATTTCATGGTATTGTTATGCAAGAAACAAATAAGTTACTTTTACCATTTGATTCGTATTGTCCATCAGTACAAAAGAAACTTCATTCTCGAGTATGTTCAATTTGTAAACAATATATACCATCGGCTACTCGTTTACGAAATCATTATCGCGTACATCAACAGCGATATGCATTGAATTCAATTGATTATAAGTTCTATAAAGATGAAGAATTAATTGATGAACCAGATCCAATTGAACCAAAAACAATTCTTCTATATCAAATTAATCCAAGTCTTAATGGTGTTTTTCTCTTCTTTGATATGGCAGAATGGATTAAATCAGATTTTGAAGCTGATCCTATTGTAGAATCAAAACCGAAATCAACAACAACAATTGCAAATATAATGGTTCGGAGAGAAAGACAATTACAAGAAGCAGCAGCTGCTGCAATCGGACTGAATCCAAATGACATTGGAAAAATAACATCAGGTGCTCCCGTCGCAACAACAACAACAAATGAGATAATATCTTTGGATGAAGTTAAAACGGAATGTGAAATTATTGATACGAATACAGCAAATACAAATGTGATTGATGCAATGGAACAATTAGCAGTTGCAGATAATCAAACTGATGATCTTAGTGATCTTATTGATCAAATTTAGTATGAACGACTACTAATCGTTCTCATATTCTTCTCAAGATATATCCACTCACTCATAGTTCTACTTGTAGTTGAACAACAACACTTAGTTTTCCATTTTTTATCATTTTGATTACGAGAAAAAGAAGCCGTAAGGCATAAACGATTGTATGAGTGCCTTCATGTGAAATACACTCTGAACGAGCTTTGCAAAGATATTTCGTTTCTTAAACGTGGCCAGTAAATAATGCATTTAAATATCAAAGTTCCCTCGACTGAAAGGAGGGTCATATAAAAAAAAGTTTGTTTGTCTGTTTGTGTCAGGGTCAAAGGTCAAAGGTCAAAAAAACATTTTTTTTGAAAATGCTCAAAACTTCATTAAACATCGTTTGGGAGGGATCCTGAGGCTCGAGGTTGGCTGGATGAAGGGGCAGGGACGTGACAGAAATGAAGAAAACATTTCAACCGCGCTTGAGAGGAGGGCTACGTAGAAGAGTTGACTACGAAAAAGTAAAAACACACTCGGTTGACTGCCGTGTACTAAAGGTCAGTAATCCAAAAATACATTCATTCACAAGTTACATACTGGAGAGCAATCTTAAATGCTGAGCTTCGATATATTGAAAGTTATTGTAGGCCTTTAAACCTTTTAATTAAGGAGCTAGTCTCAAATGTTCGGACGCGGATAATTTTATCTATGAGATGCTGATGGAATGCTAATTAATTTTCGATACTTTTTAGTAGCACACGGGTAATTATATGATAGATAGGGACAGCTTTGGAGCGGCGAGTTGTGAGTGGCACCCCTGTGGGGCGCCGACGAACAACGAGCTGCGCCTGGTAATCAAGCCAGTTACCAAAGTATCAACAATCCGACACGTTCGAATGCGAAATATATAGAGTCTCGTTTGGTTTTACTGAAATTATCTTTCTTTTAGAAAAAGGAGGACATGTTTTAAAGTGCAAATCCATAATAGTCATTTATAGCGAACTTCTGCTTCCTGTGAAGAGTGATTGTCAGTCAGGAATATAGAATAATTAAAAGCAGTACAAGTAGTCCTTTGACTCTTTTGAAGACTGTGAGGCGAATGAAGATCAGTCTCTGGGGACCCTTTCAAAGCTTATACTTCTGTCTTTTTTTGCATAAAACGCACATAAGACTATTTTATTTTTAGTCAGTGGTTCAGTCGAGGGCATAGCGAGTCTGCCTCGACGAGCGTTACTAGTGTATAAATACTACTCAACAATATTCTGAGAAAAAGAAAAAGAAATAATATGAAAAAGCCTCGTTGAACTCACTTATTTTTTGAAATAGGATAAAAAGCAGAGTTGAAATATCTAAGAATAGAAACTTGAACTGATTCTTTTAAGGAAAAAACAGTCGATATCTCAAATAATAGTGTATTTATCTACTCACATGCATATTTGCGACGCTATTTTTTTTCTGATCTCTCTACAATCAACTAAACAGAAAATTTTATTGTAACAATATGACACGAAGAATGTTCAAGAAAAAAAACCGCTTCTATGATTGGTCCATAAACTTAAATAGTCCAATGATACATGTGTGAATCGATTTGGTGCATCGCTACTAGTAGTTACTTGTTAAATTAGTCCAAACTTTTTATTAAAATGAAGAATAGTAGAAAATTCATAAAAATTATTAGAAGTAAGCAGCTGAATAATATGAGCGACAAAAGGTAATGGTGTGAAAAGAATGGAAAAAAACTATCTACTCGATAATGTTTTTTAATGTTAATTAATGGCGGTTTCCAATTTGTGGTGCGTATTTGGGACGGTTCCATGCATTCTAAGAAAGAAAAGAACAATGTTAGAAATCACAAAAAGATCAAAATCATTGAAATAAAAATGAACAAACAAATGCTTCTATATAATCTTGAATCATCCATTCGATAACCTAACATCGCAACAATATAGATCAATTACATACCTAACGTCTCATTGAGGCTCTTCACAACTTTATGCAAGTATTTTTCTCACCTCCTAGATCTCACAAAGAACCAGCAGCTTCCGTCAAAGATCACGGGTTTAACAAATTAATTCCTATAATAGTATTCCAATATATTTTCTCATCCCAAATACAGATTCCATCACACTTTTACATTCATCATATATATCGCATACGCGGGCTTCGAACCACGATTCCACTGTACTACCATGTTCACCTCGAACCAAAGATTCAAACTTCATTAGATCATCGATAAACATCCGAAAACTGACCAACTTTTAAGAAGATTCTCATTCGCCTCTTCCATCCTCTGGACGCAGCGATTTCTAATACACTAAATCATCAACAGACATCTCCGAAATGAACAAAGTCTACCAAGCCTCCATTTAACTATATAGCTTATTACCAAGCAAAATTTCGAAAACATAACATAATCCGTAGACATGTGATATAAGAATAATCTAAATTAAGGCTTCGCTTTCCTGTTTTCATGTTTTACTCGTTTCGAAGAAGATTTTTCGACTGCACAACGCAATGTATTGACACCTGAGAAACGAATACTTTTAAAGAGACTTCAGTCTAGATGCTTCGATCACTCCCAAGAAACCATATCCACCACACTATATACTCTGTTGACACGTCAGAAATGAACGATTTCAACTAACACTTTCTTCCACTGTTTTACTTATTTCATGACAACTCTATGCATTCGCTACAAACTCATTCGACCAAAGATGTAACGATCCCAACATCAGCGATAGACATCTGACAGATGACAGGCAGTCAGGAAAACTCTATCTAACTGTGCCACTTATTCCTAAGTAAGCCTTAAAAAATGATCGATCACCTACCACCCCGCAATATCAAAATAATTTCCACAAACGCACCGTTTAAATATATTACTCACTCCCAGACAAATGACTAATTCCACAAGAGTACTCACAGACCTCTCCTCAACGAATACTTCACACGAAAACTCCGATAAGCTACTTTCCTCATTTAGACCCAAAGCACATAATTTCACCAAAGCATTCACAGACATCAGAAGCATGAATAACTTCCACAACGACACAGTTCAACTATTTTACTCATTTTGGGAACAACCTTTCGTTTCTCCAGCGTTTTTGAAGGCAGGTTCTCAATGACCAGTTTTCCGAAAGCCCAGTTCCACTACCTTACTCACTTAAACGCCAAGCGCGCAATTTCACCACCGTATTTACGAACATCAGATAAACGAATACTTTCTACAACAACTCTATTTCACTGTTTAGTTCATTTCGAGTGAACGATTGCAACTGCATTACTCCAGCCATAGATATCTGAGGAATGAATAATTTGTATCAACCCTCTCTTTAACTGTTTAGTTCATTTCGAGCGAACAATTGCAACTGCATTACAACAGGCATAGATATCCGAGGAATGCATGATTTATACGAAGATTCTCTTCGACTATTCAGCTCATTTCGAGTGAACGATTGCAAATGCACTACGCCAAGCATAGATATCTCAGGAATGGATAGTTTTCATAAAGACTCTGTTTAACTGTTTAGTTCATTTCGAGTGACCGATTGCAACCGCACTACGCCAAGCATAGATATCTGAGCAGTGGATAATATGTACGACCATTCTGTTTAACTGTTTAGTTCATTTCGAGTGACCGATTGCAACCGCACTACGCCAAGCATAGATATCTGAGCAGTGGATAATTTGTACGACCATTCTGTTTAACTCTTTAGTTCATTCCGAGTGAACGATCGCAACTGCACTACTCCAGTCATAGATATCTGAGCAATGGATAGTTTCTACAACAACTCTATTTCACTGCTTAGTTCATTACGAGTGAACGATTGCAACTGCACTACGCGAGGCATAGATATCTCAGGAATGGATTGTTTCCACAACAACTCTATTTGACTGCTTATTTCCTTTCGACTGAAGGATTGCAACTGCACTACGCCAGGCATAGATATCTGAGGAATGAATAATTTGTATCAACCCTGCCTTTAACTGTTTAGTTCATTTTGAGTCAACGATTGCAACTGCACTACGCCAAGCATCGACATCTCAGGAATGGATAGTTTTTATAAGGACTCTGTTTAACTGTTTAGTTCATTTCCAGTGAACGATTGCAACTGCACTACGCCAAGCATAGATATCTCAGGAATGGATAGTTTTTATCAGGACTCTGTTTAACTGTTTAGCTCATTTCGAGTGAACGATTGCAACTGCACTACGCCAGGCAAAGATATCTGAGGAACGGATAATTTTTAGGAACATTCTGTTTAACAGTTTAGTTGATTTCCAGTGACCGATTGCAACTGCATTACGCAAAACATAGATATCTTCGGAATGAATAATTTCTAGTAACATTCTGTTTAACTGTTTAGTTCATTTTCAGTGAACTATTGCAACCGCATCACACCCCGCATAGATATCTGAGCAATGAATAATTTTTATAAAGACTCTTTTTAACTGTATTGTACATTTCGCCTGAATGATTGCCACTGCATCACACAAAGCATAGATATCTGAGAAACCGATAATTTTTAGGAACATTCTGTTTAACCGTTTAGTTCATTTTGAGTGAACGACTGCAACTGCACTACTCCAGCCATAGATATCTGAGCAATGGATCATTTGTACGAACATTCTGTTTAACTGTTTAGTTCATTTCGAGTGAACGATTGCAACTGCATTACACCAGGAATAGATATCTGAGAAATGGATAAGTTCTACAACAACTCTATTTGACTGTTTAGTTCATTTCTAGCGAAACGTTGCAACTGCATTACACCAGCCATAGATATTTGAGCAATGAATAATTTTTATAAAGACTCTTTTTAACTGTTTTCTACATTTCGCGTGAATGATTGCCACTGCATCACACAAAGCATAGATATCTGAGAAACCGATAATTTTTAGGAACATTCTGTTTAACTGTTTAGTTCATTTAGAGTGAACGATTACCACTGCACTACTCCAGCCATAGATATCTGAGCAATGGATCATTTGTACGAACATTCTGTTTAACTGTTTAGTTCATTTCGAGTGAA